CTGCCAACGGCACTGTCTCCCCGGACTGTGCGACATTCACCGCGGAGAAGAACAAGGCGAAGGGTCTACTTGAGATTGTGGCAATGCAGCGCAACGTTACCTCGTCTCATCGCTGCCGGCGACGGAAGTGACGAATACGTTTAGCCGTCTGGGTCTCGTCGTACCGAACACGACGGAGGCTCATGTGCGGATTCGCGAGCTGGGCGTCCCGATCCTGAAGGAAATGGGCAACTTGCCTCCGTTGGGCGGACCTTTGGCCAATGCGTACGGTCTGGGAAGGTCGAGTACGTTGAAGTTGACGAGCGTGGAGAAGCGTTCCATCGCCGATGGTCTGGTGCCAAGTGGGACTCTGCAGCATGTGATTGTCGCGAACCCTGATGGGAATGTCATCGAGGTCCAGGCGACTGTACTGGAGCAGTGATGTATGCTACGGAGTTCACGTCACGCGGTGAGAAGGCATCAAAGTGGGAGGAATAGTGCGAGATCAAGTTGGCTAAGACTGCTGCGTGCGTAGATACCATCCCAGAGCCCACTGTGGGCTGGCACCTGGATTGGGAAGAAGAGTACGGGGTCCAGTAAAGAGTTGAGGACTGGATCCAGCGAGATACATCCGCCGTCTAAGATCGTAGGAAGTGCAGTAACACGCGAAGATGGGGCATCAAAGCGAGGAGGGATAATCCGGTCATTGTCATTATTTTTCCTAGTATCCGAAGACCGAACACAGTCGGTGTAGCCAAGTGGTCATCTGAGACGATCCCCGAGCCAACGCAGGTGGCTGTGGATCAGGATCAGGTCAATGCTAGGAGCATATCGAGGCATAAGCGCGTTGGATCCTTACAGAGCCTTTAAACAGGGTTGATCCGACTTGTTCCTACACGAGCTGTCGTGTTTGGATGCAGCATTGTCCTAGTGTGAGCAAGAAGATACTGAACTCGCGAGTTGACTGGTAGTTACATGCAGAATATTCTTAGATTTGGCATTTTGACGCGGGCATTTGGCCGAAAAGTGGCCACCATTGACATTTCGATGTTATCAGTGCTTTCACCCAGGTAGCACTACTCTGCAGCCTGCAAGTGTCATGTTTCGTCTGTGCTGTCTTCAACCAAGTGGTCGGGCTGCGAAATCCGAGAAACTACCTTTGATCGACAAATATGGTGTAGTCAATGTGTCAAGATCTCGATGATGGGCATGAAGGATGTTTTCACAAGGGATTCCCAGATTCACACCTGGATTCGTATAGGTTCGAAGACGCCACCGTGCCGCATCGGGGAGTGGCTTCTGGACAATCTGATACTTGACACGAACGCGGATGATCCTGCGAGATCTTGCCCTCTAACTCCCTCTTTGCGTGTTGAAGGCACATGTCGCTGTAAACTTGACCAAAGCTGAAGCCCTGCAAAAGATATCAATCACTCTGAAACTGTCCCAGAATACGTGGCTGGTCTTGACAACAGAGACCAGGTAGGGCACAGGCTTCCTAATTTCTTACGAATAGAGGATGATGATGGCGTCTAATCCGCACCGAGTCGTCTGGAAGAGGCTATCAGGGATACCCACGGCTCAATGAACGATCTACCCTTGCTTTTAGTTCACGGGACTAACACAACACTCTGAGAAAGGACAGAGAAAAGCTTTAAACCCGAATCTCGTGAGAAATGAGTGGATAGAAAGGCGTTCTTTGGGCGACAAAGGGGACAGAGTACTCCGACGGATCGTGGCAAAACAGTCTCCGACGTGGCATTATTTGAAGCCTCGTCCTCATTCTGCTCAGATTCTTCCGCCAGAGACTGGAGGTGGGGTGGCCCGAGTCAAGTGAGAGAATTCCCCGTCGTCGGGATTCACGGCTTCCGAAATACTATTCAGGGGACAGGTCATAGGCGACGATCTCTCTGTTGTCTTAACAGATTGATAGGTTCGGCAAGTCCAATGAATGCGGCAGGGATGGCTTATCCTGCTTGCACAGATCTCGGTCCGCGCAAAATAAGCAGGATGGAAGACTACGAGATGGCAAGAGTCGTGGAGTCGTGAAGTCGTGGCAGCTACCACCTGAACGAGAACTTCAGCACCAAGGTTGAACCGTCGATGGTCGAGTGTGGACCGCCCTGGTCAAGGCCTTGGAGAGATAGGTTGAATCTGGTGTTCGCTCCGATTCAAATTGTGCCAGCCTCCCTCTGTAGAAAGATACGAGGTGCATAAGATCTGGCGCAACGCCTTGATAGCTACCTGCTCATTATTGATTCTAATAGACGCCACACCATGTAAGGACTATATGACCCTTTCACGATGTTCTGATACGGAAGTGGGGGCCGCCCTTATTGGTCGGCCTGCCCAATTTGAATATGGTAGAGAGATCTGTAAGTCAGAATCTTAGGATTCTTCTGCCCAGAATGTGTTTGTGGAGAAACAAGCGACAAGGATTAGTCCCTACAGTGCCGTAGATGAGCATCGCTAAACCGGGGAATCCAGCACATATCTGACCAAGGCGATATCAACCAGTAGGCACTCCTTCGTGGGGTTTGATCCTGGATCCACATGCATCATTTCCCGTGGCTAGTGAAGGGGATTGATCTACCGCGCAGAAGCGCACTCGAATCCTTATGATTGGTTGCAACCAGTTTCCTCAAGAGTGAAGCGGTCAGCTAGAGCCTAGCAGGAACCAATTCTCCAGCATTCTTTGGCCAGCAGGAATAGCGTCTCGATCTCCTAACCCGTCGACAATGATTGGACTCGGTTCAAAGAGCAGCAAATGGTCCAGCTCAGTCAGCCTGAAGAGTTTAGGATCTAGCCCCTTGCATTACTTCAGTGCCATCGGAATTGGAAGGAGAATCAGGTGGGCGCACGCCGAGGGAATTGTGTTTGAGGTCACCTATAGAAGGTCGTACCGGCCAAGTGGTACACCCAATCGCAGCCTCGTCCAACTCCCACCCAGGTAGTTTGACATTCCGAAATCCACACGAGTCAGCTCTTGGTATTTCCGTGGTTCGGGGTGCGAGGGCTGTTGATCCCCTCTTTATGATTTAGAGAAACACGCAGAGTCACCCACACTTTTTTTCGACTAAAGCGAGAGCTCTACTCGGTAGATTGAGTGAGGCATGTGATGAGCTTATCACATGCATGCCAGGAAATCGTCCGACAGTATATGTATGATAATAAGCTCTTCTAGAGCAGTGGTAGCCATTGCGCTAAGAACCGTTGGCCTCGTGGGATAGTCAGGATTGCATTTGTGTAGGTTTGTTTTCACAGAGTTGTGTAAGTTTGTTGTTCAAAAGAACCTCACAGCGAAGGTGGTTTCCAGATGTCACACACATGATCGAGTGGAGCTGCAAAGTTGATTTTAGTCTTGTGTGACACTCCAACAGACCTGGGTACCCGGCAAGAAAAGAGGAGACAGAGTGGCAGAATGTCCCAATCACCCTGTATCGCTTCCTTGGCGTAGTTCCGCGGATGTTACGCCGTAGGTACCATTGCATTTCCGGAGCGACGAGATTCATCACCAACCCCGTTTGCGTTTGCGGGGATCTCGGATTCTGTACGATCCTCGCATCCCTTCCCGAAACCTTGCAACTAGCCGCGCGATCGCGAGTCATCACCACCACCTGGCTCGCTGGCTTCACTTCCAGCTAACTCCCGACGTATTTTCCAACACTGGAAAGAGTTGGGAACCTTGGCGTTTACAGGCTATGCTTTAAAGGGTCAGCGCAGCGTCCAGCTGTGTGGGGGTTCTTGAGTCCATGTTTGGGCAAGAATGTGATATGCCAGCCCTTGATGATGACCAAAGACATTGGCACGTTGACGAGACACGCGAATCTGCGCCAAATGCACATCCCTTCCATGTGGAGGCCAAGGAACTCGGTACCAACTCGAGATAGCCTTCTTCAACTTCAACTTCCTCCTAAGAGTCCGTATTGCTTGTGCGAGACATGATCCACCTGACATCCCGCACTAGCAAGCATTCAATCATAACGGCCGCCTTACCACTACCTATTGGGAAGATAGCGGATAACTCTGCAGAAATTCATCAAAGTCCCCCTCTCCTCCATCCGATCTTTCGGATAGGTTGTAGCAACTGACCAGGGCTGCCCACCATGGGGACAGGGGATGCCACACAGTCCAAAACATTCGAGTATCATCCATCCCTTGAGCTGTAGGATGTTGCGATATATCAACTTTCTTGCTCCCTCCCAAATCGGAGACTGCTGAACCACACTCTCGGGTCACCCAATGTGTACTTAATGCTCGTGGGTTTGGCACAATGGAATGCCAACACCCACTCCTTCACAACCATTTTCTGCCCCCTGATTTATATTTCGCTTCAACATATTCTGAGAATTGGATTCGCTCAACATGGCATCCAAAATGAAGATAGCATCATTACTGAATGCATCCACAAACGTGGATATTCCGAGTCCCCCACCAAGCCCTTCAGGTTCATCGTCGTCATTATCGTCGTCATTTTCGTCGACGATGGACTCGTTATCCCCACCAGGCCCAAAGCATTCAGTTCCCATAGCAACAATGTCGGCGCGGCACCGGGAACAAGCATTTCCTAAAAAGGTGAAAAAGCCTCGTGGGCTTTGCCAAAAGTACACAGAAGAACAAGGCCACTTCATCTGGTATCACAGGAGGGACTTAGGCATGGACTGGCCAGTTGTCGAATCAAAGTACATGCAATACTTCAACCTCCCTGCACCAAAGGGTGGCCTTCAATGCAAGTACTATCGAGTACTTAAATCTTACGGTGTTGAAGAGGTCCGAAAACAGACTAAAGACAGAGAGAGATATGGGTTGTTGAGTAAAGTCGATTGCAGCTACCCATGGATCCGGATAGCGTGAATATTGGCGCTCTTGTTTTTTGCCTTCGGCGTTTGAACTACCTGGGACAGGCGGTTATGATATGTGCATAAACAGGGAGGCTTTTTGGGCGTTTTCCATGGATGACTGTCATGTGTAGCATATCGGAGGGTATTGGAGCGTTTTGAGCGGATACCCATCATGTACTATCATAGATAATCGTCATCGTACTCGTTGTCCGAGTCATATTGGCGATATTTGTACGGATTGCGAGAAAACTGGTCATCAGAACTGACCTCATCTTCAGGATAGTCGTTGGAGGGGTTGTCCTCGGCTGAAAAATGGTGGAATTAGTATACAAAACTGACACACATGCATGCAAACAAGAGTTTGGCTCACCATTCGAGTCTTCCTCATCCCAGTCATCTTCTTCGTCACTGTCCACATACTTGTTCCACAAATCCTCATCTTCTTCGTCAATTACAAGGACACCGACTTTGAATGCCCAGTCCTCCATATTCGTGATAGGATTTCCTCCTTGTTCCTGTTGCACTTTGATATACGTCTCGTAAACAAAGTCGTTATCATCAAGAATCATTCGATCCAAGTCTTCTTCAACAGCTGTGGACAGTATAGGGATTTCCTCAGCAGCTTCAGGCTCGACTGCTTTGTTCTGGATCTCAGGGTCAAACTCCATGGCCAGGGCTGCCAATTCGTCCGCCAGTTGATCGGAATCATGATCCCATGTACTAGGATGATCTTGAATAGAAGTCCCCTTTCGTTTTGTGTGAGCTTCGGCAGCCACAAAGGGTTTAATTGGCGTACGGTCCGAAGTTTGCAGTGCAGCAAGGCTCGGTGGTTCATCAACACCAGCAACTAGGGTTGCCCCGTTACGATCATGAGGAAGATTTATAACCTTGTCGACGGGTTCACCCTGATAGATGGAGCTTTTCTCATGCTTGTTTGACGCAGGCCGTCTCTCAACAAAGGTTGCCAGTGGTGGTCGAATATCAATTTTCTTTCTTTCAAGTCCTCCAGAAGGCGCCGTGGAGAGGTGGCGAGCTAGGTGGAATCGTCGAAGTTGTTGTAAATCTTTGACCTCTGCAGATGTCGAAACTGGCTTTGTGTTGCCTGCATTTTGCGAATCTCTGAGACCCTGACTGACTCCTCCGTGTCTCTTTGGTGCATCTTCCTCGCTCTTCGCCCTCCAAGCTTCCCTCAACGTATTGTAATCGCGTACATTGTCTCCTGGAGCGGACGTACGGACCGAAGGAACTCCAGATGATGCTGGACGGGTGACATGAGGTCCAGTACTCGGTTGAGATAGTGGAGCGACGAGTGGAACCTGGATCTGGACACGTTGAAAGTAGAAGTCGGTGACTCGTCTCTTTCGATCAGGAGCGGAGCTTTGTTCAAGGTCTGGATATTTAGTTAGCAGGAGATATTTGTAAAACTTGAAGTCAGGCATACACAAGGTCTCTACCGGTTCCTCCTGCCTTCTGCGCTTGATGCTGATGCGTTCAGGAGCTAACGTCATTGTGTTGAATGGCAAACGCGGACCAAGTTGCAACCTGTGCTTGTGATGGGGGAAGAACGAAATTATTCCCAAAGTGACGAAATAAATGATGGGCTTTCACCCCGCTAAATCTCTGGTTATGATTTAGTTAAGGCTCGGAAAATATATGCGAATACCAACACATCCCCGTGCTCTTACCTACCTAGGTAGTTACCGTAAGTATCTAACTAGTGAAGTAAGTTACTTCCTCAGATGCCGCTTCTGGGGACTGCGGCTACTTCACAGGAGCTGCTAACCCCTTCAAGGGTTGATCCTCATTGAACTCTGTTCAAGTTCAATGTTCTTCTTGGTCGCTGCAGCGGCAGACCAACGCCCGGCTTTGTGACAATATAATTACCCCTGACCCGGGTTACCAGGTACAGCCTTGTCAGAACTGACGTGCCCCATCGTGAAGATACTGCAAGAACAATGATTCGGAATATAGAGCGGTTGGTTTTGATGCTTTCATTGCGATCGCCAGTTCGCGCACCTTGGAACTAAGTATGCGAAGCTGAAGGCTAGCTAACTTCAGAAAGCACCGGAGGGCCAGAGTGACCGACTCCTTAGGGAACTGAATGATCATTCATAAACTGGACCTATGCTGACCACGAGCCTGCCATAATGCGATTCTGGTACGCCATCGCTCCAGTCTAGTAAACCCAGGACGCCCAGCAACTTCGTCTCCTGATCAGTACCACTAATGGGAGAAAACATGAAGGAAAGAAGATGAAGATGACAGATGCCATGTCCTCCATTCCTCCACTACGCCACCAGACTAGGGACAGGTAATGAACTGCCAGATCAACTCGCTGTTGGAAGACTTGGTAATGCCAACCTCGACAGACACAGTTGCAGCAAATTTATTCTTGTCGCTGATGACAGTCATGGTGCCTGGAGTGGTAGTATTGATTTCGGAAAACCCGGGCAATTCCACAGTGCTCAATGTGATCTTGATATCGCGATCGCCGACACCTCCAATGCTGACAGTTTGTCCGGGACATGTGAAGATCAGATTGACGTCGCTGTTGCCCTTGTTGTCGGCGCCCACAAGAAGGTCGCGAACGGCAGTGCAGGCAGGGGAGGCTGTACCAGCATCTTTCACATTGATGTTGACAGGGAATTGTCTGCCGCAGGCGATTCCTTTGATGTCTGGGTCGATGTTGAAGCGAAGTGCGGTCGCCAACAATGAGACAGTGGTATTCTCATTGATCGAGATGGTTTCTGAGAGAGGACTAAGAGGAGCAATCGGGATTGCAAAGGAGAGTGCCGAGAAAAAGAGTACCAAAGCAAGCATGATGGCCATTGCGACTTTGCGTTTCTGGTGTGGATTTGATTGGATGTTTGCGACGTACTTGTCCTCTCTGTCGAAAAGATTCTGGTCTTTCTGCAAGAAATTGAAAGATTTTGGTGGATAGTTCTGAGCAAAAATTGGGAACATTGGACAAGAGAAAGGGCAGTCTTTTAAAGGGAGGCAGTTCAAAACGCTCCTGCCTGTGCCAAACGTGAATGCTGAGATTCTGGAATTTGTGACAATTGGAAGCGTGAATGAACGTACAAAAAGGGGAGATGACTTGAATGATCAGTGAAAGTGGCATCGTAGAAGCATCACGGAACAAGGGAAATTCACGGCCTCCCAGCTAACGACTGTACATCGTGAAGATCAGGGAACAAACCGAAAGCTTTGAAACGACGTCTTTGTTCCGTGAGCTCTCTCGCAATCCAAGTCAATTGCGGTGTTGGCCGTTAGAACAGGCGGCGACCAGCTGTGCACCAAAGCCAGTAGAACACCTCCAAACTCCCACCTAACTGCAGAGAACAATCGTACGAGTGCATATTTAGTAGACTTACTTAGGTAGCTAGGCATTTAGCCTCTCCAGTATGTTGTGCTGGTAACAGATAGCAATTATAGGTGCAGACAGCGCAGTACTGTACTCGTTCCTGATACCGTGTTCGACCATCAATTTACCTGGTCGTTCTAGTACTGTCCAAAATACTAGGCGCATTCCCTAGGGAGACGTCCATTCTTGACACGATCAAGGACTCACGACACCACAGGCATGTGTAGATCAGTTAGACTTAGCTATTTGGTGCCTTTCGAATTGACGTGGGCGTGCTCCCGGGAAGCAACCGAGTGCTCAATCCCCGTAAGCTCTGGATACAGAAACTTGCACAATTTCCATCTTAATCATTTCAGCACTTCCATCTTGGAGGTAGGCATACAGCCCGATAGGATCGAGGTCGCCACCCTAGCTAATCAACTGGTAGTGGCAGGTTGGAAAAACTTCCAAGGTAATTTACTTCATGGATCTAGAAATGAATGGTGTGTTGGCGAAGGAGAAGTACCTATTGTTGAAGGAGGGAAAGTGCGAGTCACGTTGATGAAGTGTGGTTGGGGAAGGTGCGCGTGTTGTCCGGTGCGCCACGAGCAGGACGCGTATTTCACTCCCTCCCCCACACTTTTCCACCCTCTGCTTACCACCAACACGTTACGACCGGTTATAGAAGAGTTGAGGTTTCATATCATGCATTGATTATCATATGATTGCGAGCTATGAGAGCTAGCTCACAACAGCATGAAAACTATCTAGCTACCATTGTTCTTTTGTCACAAGCGACACCACCAGAAATCCATGGCCGCAGCCCCCGAATCGAGTACAGAGGTACGTGATTAGAATTGAAAGAATTTACTTCTTCTTGGCAGCACTCTTGGTGACCTTGCCTCCTTTGCCATCAGACTTAGCAACAGACTTGATGACACCGACAGCGACGGTCTGTCTCATGTCACGGACGGCGAAACGACCAAGAGGAGGATAGTCGGTGAAAGCCTCAACGCACATGGGCTTGCTGGGAACCATCTTGACGATAGCGGCATCACCGGACTTGACGAACTTGGGGTTGTTCTCAATGGACTTGCCGGTACGACGATCGATCTTCTCAAGGAGCTCAGAGAACTTGCAAGCAATGTGGGCAGTGTGGCAATCCAAGACTGGGGCGTAACCAGCACCAATTTGACCGGGGTGGTTGAGGACAATGACCTGGGCGTTGAAAGAATCGGCACCCTTGGCGGGGTCGTTCTTGGAGTCGGAGGCAACGTTTCCACGACGAACTTCCTTGACGGAGACGTTCTTCACGTTGAAACCAACATTGTCACCGGGAACACCCTCAGCGAGCTGTTCGTGGTGCATTTCGACGGACTTGACTTCAGTGGTGACGTTGGCGGGAGCAAAGGTGACGACCATACCGGCCTTGATGATACCAGTCTCAACACGACCGACGGGCACCGTTCCAATACCAGAGATCTTGTACACATCCTGGAGAGGAAGACGAAGGGGCTTGTCAGTGGGTCGCGAAGGAGGGTCGATGGCATCAATGGCTTCGAGAAGAGTCTTTCCGGTAGCCTTGCTGGCCTTGGACTCCTTCTCCCATCCCTTATACCAGGGGCAGTTGGTGGAAACATCGATCATGTTGTCACCGTTGAAGCCGGAGATGGGGACGAAAGGAACGGACTTGGGGTTGTATCCGACCTTCTTGATGAAGTTGGATGTCTCCTTGATGATTTCGTTGAAACGATCCTCAGACCACTTGGTGGTGTCCATCTTGTTGATGGCGACAATGAGCTGTCGGACACCGAGGGTGAAGGCAAGAAGAGCGTGCTCACGAGTCTGGCCATCCTTGGAGATACCAGCTTCGAATTCACCAGTACCGGCGGCAATGATGAGAATGGCGCAATCAGCCTGGGAAGTACCAGTAATCATGTTCTTGATGAAATCACGATGGCCGGGGGCGTCGATGACGGTGACCATGTACTTGGGGGTCTCGAACTTCCAGAGAGCGATATCAATGGTGATACCACGTTCACGTTCGGCCTTCAGTTTGTCCAAAACCCAGGCATACTTGAATGAACCCTTGCCCAACTCAGCGGCTTCCTGTTTGTGGCTCAGGTCAGTATACATCCATTTCGGGAAGTGATACGTAACATCACGTGAGACGCATAACCCCTCCCCCACCAAAATTTTGGCAGGAGCGGCTCAATGGGCAACAGAGGAATGAAATGAGCAACAATGGAGGCGACATACCTTCTCGAACTTCTCGATGGTTCGCTTGTCGATACCACCGCACTTGTAGATCAAGTGGCCTGATTATCGTGTGAGTTATTGGGCACTTTCTCGCTTCTCTTTCAGATCGAAAATTTCTTACCAGTGGTGGTGGACTTGCCGGAGTCGACATGGCCGATGACGACGACGTTGATATGAGTCTTTTCCTTACTAGAGGATGAGGGACATGTCAGCGATGATCATTGATATCAAATTGAGATCTTGGAGGAGAAAATGGGCTCGAAGCGCAGGAAAAACTCACCCCATGTTGACGGTGATGAAAGTGTAGGATTTGAGTTCCTGTAGTTCTGTGGCAGATACTAGAAGAAATCGGATGAATGCTCAGATACCACGGCTTGCGTAGAGGTGCTGAGATGAGATTAGTATTGATGAGATGGAAAAAGTGTATGGGGGCGGAGAGAGACTCACTGAGCGACGAGGAGGAGAGTAACAAGTTGGCAGCAGTGTGTGAAAGATTTTAAAGGCTGAGATTGAGGACAGGTCTTGGCAACGAGGAGGGTCTTTTTCAGTGTGACTCAAGTAGTATGACAGTGACTTATTTTTTAATCAGGCAGTAAATTCGGAGTTTAGCTGTGAATCATACTGGCAGTGGTTGGCAGGCCACTATCATCCCTCCTTCGCGGCCCAAATTCAAAATGACCCCACCATGGCCAGTGCTACGCCACCTTTTTGCCGCCTACACGTTCATCCCACCGGTCATGATTCCTTTCTTCCCACTTGATCCCTGCGACTCACACTCGAAGCTTCAAAGAGCATGTGCTGCCGCCAAGTCATGCAATAGGCACCTAAACCCATCGGGCCTGCGTTTCTTTCCATTGGAGACCAACCGATCCGCCAATTGGGTTGTGCTGTTGATGACTCGCCGCGTTGATCTTTTCAAGATGAATTTTTGTTCCTCCGTGGATAAGACCGGCGTGGCAAGTGTCGCTGCGTTGTCCACTTGTAGCAGTACTTTTGGTAGAAAAGAACGATATTGTTCTGTTTCTAGATCTGTTATGATCGTAGACCCACAAAGTGAGACCTTCCCTCGTACTATGGCAGACATCTTGCAAATAAAAAGTGGGATTTGCCCCTCTTTTAGAGGTGGGTTGAAGTGTATATCCTTGTGCAACAGAATATTCAGTATTCTCTCCATTGCTTGCCGCATTTGACACACTGCTTTAGATCAGTTTCTGTACTTGTGAAACCCTAGAGATGGAAATACCTTGAAGAACGATGTAGGAGGCTCGTCCGCACTTCTCGTCTGGAGTTGATAGAAGTATGCCTGCTTCGAATTACACTCCTCGTTCATACAGCCTCCCGGAACTGTTCTCGGCCATCAGTATATGATCAACTTCACTACTATATTCAATCGGTACTGACCCTCGTTGATCGGTAAATCTGATTGCTCTTCACCCATAATGTCGTCTTGATGTTTCTTCTTCATATATGTGCGTTCATAATATGGTTTATCCAGTTTGAACTGATAAGGGCAAGTCCGACAGGTGAAAGCATTCAGACCTTGCGGGTTTTGCGCATCTCCTTCGGATCTCTGGATCGTGAGACAGTTACAGCAGTATGGGCAAACTGTGCAATTTGTAAGTTGGTGTATCGCTTCAGTGGGAGCATGCTTACATGTCGGAGGCATCTTGTACCGTGATCAAGTACCACAAATGGCACGGTGCTCGGACTTGTCGCTGTTCTACAAGATCAAGTTATTGCATGCATCTCGCAATGCGCGTAGGGAAAAGTTTGTGCAAACATTGCAAACAATCCAAAACTCTAAAACTGACCTTGGCATGTTTTTGACGCGGCTGTGGCTTCGTTCAAGATCCAGTTTGGGGCTGAGGGGTGAATTCACCGCGAACGCTCTGCCTGCCCGCCCTCCACCAAATTTGGGCCGAAACGAATACTCCTTTAAACCACACAAGACTGATTGCTATCTCGTTGAATTTCATCGCAAGTAGTCATATTGCCTACGATATACTCTAGTCAACTCCTGGTGTGGAAATCTGGTCTTGTCCGCAGTTGCGAACTGGCTTGATCTGCTGCACACCTTAGAATCTGCCCTACATCCTCCGCGCAGGCCGCTCGTCTGACAGCATAGTTCTGGACTCCTTGACATCTCAGTCTCTGAAGCGGTATTGTCTCTACAGCCACTATGGCTGACGCCGATGTCAGTATACCCTTTGCTAAACTGTCCGCCAACTAACATCATCCCTACAGGGTGCCTCCCCGAAAGAGCACATCCTCGAAGCATGCCGGCGGGACAATGTCGAACTGTTCCATGAAGTAGTGGGAGGTCTCAAAGACAAGAGCAAGGAGCAGATAGCCGAGTTCTTCAATAATGCCACAGACACAATGGGTAACCATCTACTTCACGTTTGTGCAAGTTATGGATCATGTAAGGCACACTGTGAGGGTGAGTTCAGACGCTGCAACTGACCAGCATACAGACGATGTTATGGACGAACTCCTCAACGTCGAATTTCTCGAATGTGACCCTCTGACAAGACGGGATAAGGAGACACCAATACACGTCGCTGTCAAATATGCCAATGAACGAGAGGTTGATCTTGGCGAGGCTATGGCTAAGATGCTGATCGATGCTGGTGGCGATCCTAGAGTCAAAGATGGCCATGGAAGAAAACCCGCGGAAATTTGCACTCCGAGGACCGAACAGTTACGGAGCATTCTCATAAAAGAGGAATATGTACTCAATGAGGGTTTGAAGAACGCCGATGTGTCCCATGAAGATGATGACAACGGCGGCGCGAACTCAGCTTCCGACTCTGAATGATTGCCTAGGACTGCACTGTAATTTAGCGACATCCGAATCGAAGGCTCGCTGCCTACATTCCTGACCTTTGTGTATCTAGATCAAAAGCCGAAAAGTCTTCAACTATGGTCTATGGGCACCATTTCCAACGCGACTTGACTGACTCCAGTTACCGCTTGCTGTGGGGAAGAGAGCCTGACACATCATGGAGGGATAAATGTTTGAGAAGAAGATTTTCCTTGGCCTGGCAAAGGAATGACGTTGCTGCACCAAGAGAAGAGCTCTTTCATATATGGCTACGCATTATGAGAATCTTAATGCGGAATCTCTTTCAAACGCTGCAATGTTGCAGCCCCATGGAGGCAATGATGAATTTCATGACACTCAATGACCAGAGCCTTTCACCTTTTCAAGTCACAGCTTATCCTGGTGCTTTGCCTCTATCATCCCAGACAAAATGAGACATACAGCGATGAAGCTTCCTGAATCATCGATCGAGCCTAATACCATATGATAAAGCACTTCGGTAGCCGCGTACAACCAGATCGGTTCTGTTCGAATGGAAATGAACCTCGAGTGGCTGCCATGCCCAGTCCACTTGATGTCTATAATTGACAAAACTGTTTGTCAGATACCAGAGATGCGGCAAATCCTTAATATTCTGGAGGCATTCAACTGGACCAAGTGATTATGCCAGAACGAAACGATATAACGGTAGTTGACGCTCTAATCCAAAAGAGGTAGCGATCTATTCACTCTCTCCGAGTGAAATATTGGTCCGATGGACCTGTAGTTGAGCAGCAAGCTACGATAATTCCACAGCACTCCTATTAGCTTATATATTTGACACGTATCCATTGTCCATTGGTTATGAAGCATCACCATGCCTAGAGCCAAGAATCTCTACCAGGTTGTAAATAGCAGGGATGTTCCGGGGCGGAAACATGGTACTACAGGGAGACAATTCAGGAACAGAGCGAACTGTTCAGTATGTGCCGAAATGATCAACCGGTTTGACCCCAGAGCGATTACGCCGTTGCCACTTCGGAAATTGAGGAGGGATGAGCTTGTCTTGGGTGTCATGTGCGGAAGGCTGTGGCAGTCAGGGATTAAAGCACGTCTCGGGAGAAATGTGGCTATAGTTCGTGCTGTTAAGTGTCTACGCATCTGGGTGCATCAAGTACACAATCAACAACTCTTATTTCTTGGTCAGCTCGACCTTTCCACCTCGTGGCTTCGCCGTGAAGAAATCCAGTCTTTCCATGCACTTCTCGTCAGCGCTTTGGGCCATCACAACATCTGGACATTCTCGAAAGAAAGTCTGAACTGCAAACAATAGCTCCAGTCGAGCCAAGTGTTGTCCTACACATGCTAACACGAGATATCAGTTCGAAACCTTAACGGAGTGATTTCTCAGAAACCTGTGACTTACATCTCATGCTACCACCAAACACAACAAAATGATCTTTCATTTCCGCGGTAGCGTTCTCCCACCGTTCTGGGATGAATTCTTCGGGATTGGGAAAAGCAATGGGATCTCGCTGAATGGTGAGAGCTTGTGTAGATACCACACATCTCCCAGGCAATTGAAACCCGCCCAGCATGGCACCTTTGTCGGGAACCTTCCGAGGTAGACTGGAAGGTGCAGGGGGATACAATCTCAGTCCCTCATCAACCACCCAATTGAGATACGCTTTTCCCTCCAGCTCATCCCAGCTGGGACTTGCGGAACAGGTGGCAAGCTCTTCTTCTAGCCTTTTCTTGACCTTAGGATGGCGCAGTACCGCATAGATGATGTAAACAATGCCCGCGACAGTGGTATCGCTGCCCGCGACAATATCTCCGATAGCCTCGTTCGCAACCACGCTATCCACCAACGGTGCCTCAGATCCGTCTTCAGGAACCATCTTCGAGAAGAGCGTATGCGAGCCGCCCTTTGCGGAATTCTTGGTCGCCGCGACGGCTCGATAGCCTTCTTCAAGCATACGTGCCAGTATTTTCTTCAAGTTTCCTATACCTGGGACCGAGAAGTACCTGACAAAGAACCACAGGTTGAATTCGACTCCGAGTCCGGTAAGCATCATGATTTTCTCGAGGTCGTGGGTCAAGGTGATATCCTGCAATCTCGTGAATGAAAGGACCTTGTATCAGCGATTCTCATCCTCGATACTTACTACTTCGGTCCTCAACAAACCAAACGACTCTCCAAACGCAACCACGCCGATGAGGTCAGTAGCCATGTAGGTAAACCATTTCCAAATATCGGCTTGACCAAGATTGTGAATCTGGAGACAGAGTCATTTTCAATGTACCTTCACTCGCAATGGGAGACCAAGGTTGCCTGCAGGTCATGAGAACGGACTTACATCTCGCTTAATCTTCGCGACCGCAACCTCCGTATACTCTCTAACTTGAGGCTCCCACGCCTTCAGCGCCAATCTGCTTCCGGACCGATGATAAAGCTTTCTCCTCTCGGCCGCTGTCTTTGGATTCTGGACCTGAAACAAGCACATATCATCGTCACTAGTCTTCGTGGGGTGCGTGTTGGGATACCAGTCGGCTTTCAGGTATCCGGTCCCAGATCTGTGGATTATCTTCACAGCTTTGATGTCGGAGACATCTACTTCATTTGGCGCAATGCGGACGACATGGCCATACTTCTGGTGCAGACTGTGGATGTAGTCGGCCCGGTGTCCTGTGCAGATGGCGTACTTGAGCGGTAGTCTGCTGAATCGGTTGAGAAACGGGCCTGGCACGTGTCGCAGATCGGGGTGGAATGCGATATTCAGCCACTATAGCATCCATTAGACTCTCCTACGATTGGAGGCTCAACTCCAAGTTGGTAGAACTCGTTACATACCCTGTAAAAAACGACTACGACAATGACACCGATGAGGGCTGAGTATGGCCATGCCATTTGATCCCGTGTTTGTCGTTTAAGAAACAACAGCTCAGGTACTATGTGCAAACAATGAATAATAGAAAACCCAAAGAGCAAAGAGCTCGGACACCAACAGAAACATCCTCAAGTGAAAGATGGATTTACATATCTGTGCTGGGTGGTTGGTAGGCCTTGTTCGGGTTCGGATTCGGGTCCTCGTCGGGGTCGCGGATTCATCGGTTGCCCGTGGTTAGCTCTTTTGCTCAACGGCTTTTACGAAGCTAGTACAATCCAACTCAAAGAGGCAAGAGTGCGTTGGAGTAATTAATCTGCGGGTTTAAAGATACTTGAAACTGCATTGCGCCGTCTCGTAGCCTTGAGTTTGCCATGGGAACAGCACACCGAGAAATATGAGTGATGTTTCCTCGCAGTAAGACCGTCCTGGCCTATGTTCTGTACCAATAAAGTTCACCCATTTTTCAGCAATGACAGGCTTCAACAGTAGACTCAGTTGAACCTCGACTTATCCTGTCCGAGAGACAGCGGTCTGACCACAAGTCGCTCGATTTCATCCGGATTCTCTGCGTCGCTCGGCCCAGGGCCACGCCATGATTGTGATCTGGAGTGGGACTGCTGTTGCTGAGTGTTCTGAGGAGGCAACTCATTGATGGAAACACTTGTATATGCTGGCGATCCAACTGCCTTTCTGGGAATACTAGTTCCAAGAGAATGGAAGGGAAGAGGAGGTAGCCTCCAGCTGTTTTCCGCAGGTGTAAGGGCGAGTCCGGAATCAGGCGTGTATACCTGACGTCCAATGTCGTGTGAATAGCTGCCAGATTCCGATTGGGATCTGAAGGATTCGGGTCGTTGTCGGTGGTTCGATCCGAACGAGAAGCCATCTAGTGAATAAGGAGAGGGCCGCTGACGATCTCCAGGGGCTTGTGGGCTCATCCCATCGTCGAGTTGGCCGGGATTGTTACTATATCTCGCGTTTTCGAATTCACTACGCCTTCTCTCCGCACTTTGTTGCACACTCGATGCTATACTCATCATTCTTGCAGTAGTGGAGCGTTTGAGAGACGTCGGGCTGAACGCTGTGGGGCTAGAGTGGATGGTGCTAGTATTCTTATCTGGAGGACTCCCGAAGTTCAAGGGCGATGTTGAATCCTGTGTGCCGATGAAGCTGGAAGTCCTAGCTCCGTCTCTAACTTCTGCTGGGCCATGCTCTCGAATAACCTTCAACATCCACTCGAGTTTGCTTTGTGGAGTCTCCTCAAAGACCTTTCTATATCGCAGCGCGGCGAAAACATAGCTGCCTATGCCAAGTATGATAAGCAGCAAAGTCAGGATTGCGAGAGCCAGAAATGTGGTCGATAGTTGGACAATGGGTAACCTCACACTGAGTTGGCGAGAGACGGGAAATCCGTTCTGAGTGTCCTTTGTCGCGACCCAAACTTGATAAAACCTGGTAAGGTCCTGAGGCGTAATGACAGTGACGTTATCTCCCCTGATAGACTCGCGGATGAATTGCGCCTGGTAGTTCTGAACTAAGGCTCGGCCGACCAGCCATGGAGTGGCACCGTCTGGAAATGCGATATTGAGTTGTTTGGGATCCTGGTCGATTCGTTGGACCCTGCATTCGATTTTGGTGAAAGAAGCCGATTCGATTGGCCCTTCCCCGAAATAGCAAAAACTATCAGAGTCGCTTTGTATATTGACGTTATGCAGATGGACCGCAGCTAGGTCAATGTCCATTTGCCTTACAATACCTGTGTTCTCATCAACCAAAGATTCCTTCGCGGCACCTATGCCTAGAAGAACATCCTTATTGATCCCGTCCTCGTAATAGCCTGTCCACCATGCGCTGATGTTGTTTCTGTCGTACTTCTCGAGAGAGATGACAGCAGCAAGGCCTGGAATTTCGTCAGATATTGAAGTACAGTTCCCAACATCGTCAAGTGTGAGATGGCTCAGGTCCGTATTGCTGCACTCCAGAGTCCAGCTCGAATTCCATTCCTTTGGGTCGTAGATCCAATTAATGGAGGGGTCGGGCAAGTAGTCGAGAAGTTGGTTGTAGGGGAAGTTTGCGTTGTCCAGGCTAAAAGTCGTTTGATTCCAAATGACAGAAGCACCAAGGATGGAATCATGCCTCCTCCAAGTAATCTTCCCAGGCGTATTATGATGGCTGATGCGATGACCTAGCCGAGTTGAATATCTAGCTATAGGTCCGGATATCAATGCAGTGAAAGAGAGGAATACTACCAGAGATGCTTGTACCAGAATTTTCACATGTCTTCGACTGAATATCTTAGCCTTCAACAACCATATCACATCGATAGCTTCGCCAAATGTGCTGATACTCAACAACGCAGATGCTGGGACACTGGAGTATCTTGCACTGCTAGTCACACTTGATTGCCAACAAAACCGAGCACATGCAAAAACAGCAAGGACACTCAACCCAGTGACCACAACATTCAGTGCTGCCTGGACATTTTGAAGGCTCCATGGGCCTGGTAGGTTGATCCAGCTAGCTGTCATTTCCCAGAATTGGCTGACTGTGGTGCATTATCTAATGACAAACCCAGAGCTGCTGAGGTGTTTTGTGAAGACAATGATATGGCTTGCACCTCGAGAGATGTTAAAGCTCGACGTCTGGGAGGTCGACGCATTTTTGAGCTGAGGTCGGTTCACCTTCGACTGGAGTTTCGTACGATACGTCGTGTCCTCTATCGTTGGATGGCTGATATGGTGTGCTAAGACTGGACGCAATAACCACCCTGCGAAAAGGATGGCGCCACAAGGATGTGGTTGAGAATGGTTTGCTAGGTTTGGGCGCTTCTCAAAAGGTCAAGATTTAACGAAAGTAGTCTGAATTAGGCTGCTTCCAAGACTCTGATTCTGCAGCAGTCCAGACGTTGCTGAATGAGGTGAAAGATAGCTCGCAACTTTTGAGGGCCTCGAACAATTTAGCCACTGAGTTCTCGTGTTTGGTGAGGGTTTGACATTCGCGACAGCGACAACGTGTCTTGGCGGTTCATTCCCTGGTTAGAAGGGTGGTCTCGTAATCATCTGCGCTGGTCCAAGAGCTGAACCCCCCAGCATGGTTTTAGACTCTTGCTGCATGCGACGATAGCAACCTTTTCCGAAGAAACGATGAGCCATGATGCTGGGGTTAATTGCACAGTTTATTTGTTCGGATGGAAGAATTAGAAGCCTTCGGACTCCCTAGCATTCGGCTCGTCACCTCCCATGCTTGAAGATTGTATTTCTGCGTGATGAATATTCGGCCTGAAGCGTATTGTAAAAGGGACTTGCCTGAGCACTTGGGTGTGCATCCAGCGGCTTAGGCCTGTAGGAGGCGCAAATCTTCTTAGCCCCCACCTCAGATGTGCAAATCTTGCGGGTGGACAGCCAAGCCTGGAGGCTTGACTTCGTCCTTGTTAACGGCGCCTAAGAAGCCTAGACGGAAGTCACTTCCGGGCATCCCTATTTGTGTAATCAAACCAACGGCATTCGAGGACGTAAAACATTTATGAACTTAGCTGACTGCATCCTTTCATACGAGCACGAGCTCTCCAAGGAAATATTTGAAAGTGTTGCGAAGCGATGAGGAGGAGAATACCCGCATATTGAACAGCAGAAGAACGACTGAAATTCGACATCATCGTCGTGGCTTTGGCATTATTGACTGACAACTGAAAATGGTGGACTCGAGCACACTCCGTGCTTCAGAACCTTCTAATTCCGGGGGCAGCCCACAGAAGAGCAACAATGGTGTGGCGAGACCTACTTGGACGTGGAGAACCGCCTATTGAACACAACCTGGTGAGCTAATCTCCAAACCATCTCGTTCTTGAGATCGCTCCTGTCCTGGCCCCAGCATCTTCAATTCTCGCAGCCTGGAATGCAAATGGTGTCAGCTCCAATATCATGGAAATAAGTACAGAAACACTTAAGAGCTTTTGGGTACACAGATATATACGAAACGTACCCGAGAACCTGAAGTTGCTGCTTGCATAACCACCTGATCGTGAACAGCAGCCTCTCGACTACCAATCGGTGCTGACACGAACAATTGCCTGCCAGAGTCTTTATTCGTGATGTTATATGTCGTGTGTGTCTCTGAGTTGTGCCGGAAACCAGCAACTTGAGACTTCCTGCCTGTGGCGCTGCTCAAAGTCCTGTCAATACTGCTCCCACCACTGCCTCTGGCCGGACTCATTACCAACGAGGCAGCTTGCACACTGGCTGAAGTTGCATGTCTCAGGGCGCCGCTGGATATGGAGTCGCGAGGGTCAAAATGCTCTTCACGCTCGCCATAACACTCAGATGGCTCCACTTCGACGACTGTGTGGCCGTCATCTGAAGTGTAATATCTCGTCGTTGTGCTTGACAGTGTGCTGCGACGAGAAATCGGCGGGACCTGTTCGGGCCCTTCATCATCGTCTGATGATGCATATTCTTCGCTCACGGGAGTTCGCCCTGCAAAAGCTTCACTGTCTTTTAGAAGCTGCACTCTAAAAATGGTGGGAGACAAAATTTACGAAACAGATCGATGACTACTTACTGACGGTACTAGCTCTGCTGACGACGGACCTATTTGCACTGCCCCTAACTGAACCATTCGTTGAAAGATATTCAGATCCAGCTCGCTCTCGTCTTGCTCTTGCGTTCTCGTCCTCTAGGAATAGACTCGTGCTGCCACTCCCAAGACGTCTGTCTTCTCGAGTACCCTCCTCACCAGGCCGCCCAGAGTACATTGCGGCGGCGATCTTTTGGGCCTGCGCTGCGTGCTCGCTGCCTACTGGTAGATGGCAGACGAATTGAGCATTTCGCTTTTGATCTTTGCTTGCGTATGTGACCGAGTTAGGTCCCATTGGAGAGCGAGTGATAGTACGTGGTGAAATGTCATCTCGTCGAACGAGGACATTAGCTTGCCGGTTACCCCCACTGGAGGTATGAGAATGTTGATGGGGTGCTGGCGGACGCTCGTCGCGGGCAGTGATCCATTTGAAAATCGCGGTCATGATTATTATTAAGGGTCGATAGGTGTTCACACAGACCGAAGAAGGGGCGGTGACAAGTTGATTTCGTGATGGAATTCGAAAACAAAGAAAGATGCAAGAAGGCTGAGAATTTGAGGCTCGACCATTGCACTTGGCCGGCACCTCCAAAACAAGGCAGAATTGGCAAAAATACACTCCCGTGCATGGCCAGGGTCAAGTAAGGCTCATGAGAATCGCTTAAAAGTACTACGTGGTGACTTGGTTGCCTTTCGTATTCTACTCGTCCTGGCAGGAGTGATTTAGGATGGTAGTCATGGGGCGGCCAATCAAATCATAATTCTGATTCTCTATCAACCACACCCGGGCCAAAACAGGCAACCTCGTGAGCCAGTCTCCTCTCAATTCCGGACCGCTGATCCACCATCCCTCGTATCTCTCTGCGCCCCGTCACTGCGAGTTGGGTACCCACGAGTTCCCTGATTCCGGAATGTTGGTAGCCCTGAGCTGAGCTTAGCAACTGAACACCAGGACAAGGGGTATCCGCTTACCAATGTCTCCCAAATCCGATGTTCCCTTGGAACTATCGGCCCTTCGGAGGTGATCACCTCCTCAAGCTCGAATATGCCATACTCTCGGCGATATTCATAGCACGACCCGCGAGGTGACTGTCTGCGGGCCCTGAGTAGAAGAACGCGGTCTTGGATTGTCCATCCTTGTAACCAACATTGCAATGGTGCGCGAATGTGGCAGCATACCCATTCTGAGGAGGGTTGTCTGCTGCACCAGCTAATTGTCGTCCGCTCTTATCGTAGATAGCGGGAGATTGGCTCATGATGGAACGGTAGGCGATAGGCTAAAGAGATTGACTCGGAGAGGGGAAGTGTGTGAGAGAAGAACGAGAGTTTGTGAAGTAATCGCTGTCGAAGGAGAGCGATGTGACCACTCTTTTGCATACCATGATCACCAGAGATAAAGGGATTGACCATCTTGAACGAGGCTGAAAGTAGGCGAGCAATACGACTTCAAGGTCAGACCGATACCATGGCGAAGCGTCCCAAGCCCTTGCAGCGGCGACAGCTCGCGTCCAAGGGCGTTCACGGACTTTCACCGTGATGAAAACTCGGTAGTGCATAGAAATTGGGCAAGTTAGACAATCACAGCCGAACACGTTGTGATGATGATGCAAGCCCTGGTGTCCGCCGTGCGTATTCTTGAACTAGATATTTGCCTTATACTAATATACTTCCATTCTAGTGCGCCCAAAATGTATGTCATCCGTAGTGATCCATTTTGCAGAATTGGCCTGTGTACAGGAGTCATGTATCCTTCTCCAGTTGCCGGCCGTAATCACAATGTGATGGGAACGTTGCAAGGTATGGAGATCCGTTGACTCTCCTACCTGGGCACGCCTCGAAATCAGGCGAACGTTTCCATGCCGCCATTGAAATTGTTTTTGACGTAGTAGGCGTTCCTGGCATAACAAGTCAGAAAATCCATCGGAGACCGTTCCAAGTCCACCACAGGAGACAAGCAAGAAGGAAGTACATACTGGCACATGTACTCGAAGTTATGATAAGAGCTTCCAGATGGCCTCCCCTGCCAAGTGGCATAGCTGCCGTCTTCAAAGTAGGCTGTCGACGTGAAACTGTTTGAGTGAAACCAAGATCCGGTGACTTGTTTAATTCTGTTGGTAAATCGTCGCCACCATGACCGGAGACCCATAGTTGGAGAAGTGTTGGACAAGTGACAGGAACGAAGGAAAATAATTGTGAGGTCAAGTCCAGGGAACCATGAGAGATCAGTCAATTATTGGGGAAACCTCGATATCTTTCGTTCTATGGGAAGTCGCTAGATTGCCTTCCTTCAACAATAGCCTGAGGCGTAAGCTCTGAGACGCTCGCCTTCTTGCATACCACATCCGACCTGCATAAGAGCCTAACACATCACGACTTCGAAAGGCAACATGAGTCAGGCCCATTCAGCATCATCCGCTGTGGTCCAGGTCTCCCATTGGCTGCTCTGTCTCACAGCATTCGGGCGATAATATGCTTCTGTCTCTCTGTACAATTGGGTATCACGCTGCAACAGCGGTCTGAGTTGTGCTTCAATCAGATGTTGCGGTGACATCTGCAGCCGTCTCTCTGTGGGAAAGGAAAAGGATTTTAGCAAACACTTCCCGAGCTTGACACATGTGATCTTACTGCTACCACCAAAAAATGCCTTGATCTTCTGCCATAGCTTCGAGAATAATGGCTGACCAGCAAAAATAGCGTTTATTACGGCGACAATCAAAGCAGCAACTTCAAGTACCATTTTGCTCTGAGAGTCAGATCGATTGTTTTGAGGGCGATATTTGGTCAGATTGGAGAAGGTGCAATTGGAGGTGTCTGAGAAGAAGAGATATTCTAAAGGAAGTGGAAATATTGTCGTAAAGATCATCCCGAGCTTGTCCCAGGAAGGAGACCCTTTGAGCAATCCTTGGTCATGCATGTAGTTGCCTTCTAACCAGGGCAACATGCACAAGTGTCATTGCAGTGGTCCAGGCCGTCGCTGATCGCCCGGAAGTGGACCTGCCAAACCATAGGTCACTGAGCTTCGGGCCTGTGGCTTCTCCATTACACGAGTAGTGCAGCTCTCTTCGAATTGAATCCATGCTTTTCGTGACTTGCTTCAAAGTCTCTTCTTGGGCGGATGTCCAGGTGACTTGGTCGGTTGAGTGAATTCTGTCCGCTCAACGGCTGGAACCGAGGTGAAGATTGACGGCCAGACCATTTCAAATTCATCCTGCCTGCCTTCCACGCAATATCTCATCCATATACTCCAAGTTATGTTGAAGTACTGGGCAATACCAGTAAAAAGATGCCACCACCCATGACCTTCCAACAGTATGCCCCACGGCAGGCCAATCTGATGGCGCCAACGCCTCAGAGTGGAGCAGAAGATATTGTCTAGATTCCAGATCAGGAATCCAAGAGCAATGGAACCCATTCCGATAGGAATCATTTTTCGCCAGACAAAACTCAGGATTCCAAGGTCTCGTCGATCCCTTCTCGCCTGCTCTGCCTTATTCGGTGCGGGAACAAAGTCTGGGCGCTTGCTACAAATCGATGGTCGAAGCGTTGCTTCCATTCCCCACAGGCTCCGAAAGAAGACAATGGCCGTGAGCAATGCAAACGCATTTTGATGAAACAGCGGATCCTTGATATAGTAGTAATAGCTTGTGATGAAGACTGCAACGAAGGTGATAAACAGGCCAGTCAGCACGGCGTTCACCAGCGATTTTCTGTGCGCAAAAATGGCATAGAACAGTACGCATGTGGTGTAAATCATCGACAGCTCGTCCAAGAGCTGCATTTCATCTTCGCATCAAACGTCAGCCGAGTGTTCATACAAGCATGCCATTCGGACGAACATTTGAGGGTGGCATGGAACAAGAAGCTGCCTAGCCCAATGATCAAATAGCTGACGAACCCAAATAGGAACACCATATCATGTCCATTTCGGATACAGCTGGCAATGCCCCGATATGCCAGATAGACAAAGGCCAAGTTCGTGAACGAATTGACAATCTCAGCAGCATAAGGTGTTGCATAGTAATCCTGGCCAATGGTTAGTCGGCAGGGCATAGATTTATTGGGCAGGGATCAAGTTTTGACGCTGAGAAACTGACCTCTTCACACCAGTTCAGGGTGGACGTCACGGGTCCCCAATACCCTTCGCGCTCCGGTGGATAAGGGAACGAAGGCAACGACACCCCCATCTTGCAAAGATAATATACTCTGCTTGTGTGTATATTCTGAAAACAGTGGCACGAGGGACAAAGTGCGGGATGAAGAGCTCCCATCGAAAGCTGCGTAAGCTTTCCAGCACCACGGGCAGGCCTCCTGAGAAGTGGAGCTGTGAGATGGCTTGGCACCTCGCCCTTCACATGTCACTTCAAGTTCTTAAATTAAGACCTGGTACATCTCACCTGCCATAGAAAGCTAGTCAATCCCTTTCATACAAGGCAGAGTGCAATTCAGTGTTCCCCATTCGAAATGTAGGCAACTCGATACGACCGTGGGTGCTGTCATCATCATCATAGACACACGTGGATTTCCTGTTTGCCGAATGTAAACCCAGAACAACGCCTACGCTGAGTACATCTATCCCGAGGTACAAGATCAAGGTCGCCGTGGAGCAGGATAACCTGCCTGGCCAGGTCCTTGACTAGGTGGCCCTCCAAATCGGATACCCATATCTGGAGACCAAACTCCACCACCAGCTATCGTGCCACCCGCAACTCCAATAGGAAGGGGGGCAGTCGGCGGCATAACTCCTGCTGGCACGCCAGTCGGGTTCCTGGTTGGCACTGGTGCAGTCATTGCATCGTGAGCCTGCTCAGGAGCATGCCTGCCAGCACCTTGCGATGGGATACTCTCACGCTGTTGACTCCGGAGTTCTCTTCGCGTTTCCTGGAGGTTCAATCGACCCATATCCTGACCCGCAAGTTCTGCCTCCATCTGACTAGCCTCCACTCGTCGCTCTGAGACTTGAGTCTTACAAGTCTCTCTGAATCGTGTAACATGCCCCGCAAGGTCGTTGTAAAACTTTCGCCCTGTCTCCAGATTATTCACCAGTTCCTTGTACTTCGAGTATCCATTCTCCAAGGCCTGTAATGCCTTCTGTCTATCTTTCGTGCTGGTGTCCCCTCGTCGAGCGTCCAAAAACTGCTTGTTTGCTTCTCTCAATCGCGCGATGATCTGATCTTGATCTTCTTGCTCGGTAATCAATGCTTCGCGATCCGTGGCGTATGCTTCCAATCTCTTCTCGAACAGAGTCTCGAATTGACCCGGTTCGATCTTTTGCATAGGATATTCCCGCTCGAGTCGTGCCGCTTCGGCAAGTAATGCCGGGCCGGTGTCGTCGGATTTAGCCTTTTCCCGAAGGGCTGCTATTCTGTTCTTGCGCTTTGTTTCCATTCGAGATACTTCATTGAGACAGGTCCGCAGCTGAGATGCAGCTTGCTCGATTGCCGGTGTCATGGCAACTTGGCCAGATGATGGGACAAATCTTTCCAAGTCACGGTTGGTACCGGTCAAGACCATGAGAATGTGCTCATTCTCACGCATCTTGGTTTGAACTAGACTGTCGCTTGATCCAGCAGAGTTAAGATATGTTTGCAAATCCTTGGATGTTTGGTAGAGTTTAGCAAGGGCAGTCGTTGAAGGAGGTCTTGCCCAACGATCAGTCCCGTACTTAGCTCGTGCACGATCATCTTCTGCTCGCTCGGCTTCAAGCAATGAAAGACCCTCTTGGTAGATGGCAAGATCATTGGTACGAACTTTGGTCGTATCTTCGGTTGCCCGTTTGAGACGATAAGGGGCATCTTGTTGGCGTAGTTCTTCTGCCTTTGAGACTAAACTCGGCGGAAGTCCAAGTGGCTTCTCCAATGCCTGCAGTGAACCAGGCAGATCAAGGGATTGAAGTATCTCTCGAAGTTTAGCCGTCATGGTATCGAGATCCACGATGATTGATTGGGTGACGAGTCGGTCTCTTCTATCAGCATATATTGAGGCTGCCTGATGAACGGCATAAGGAACAAGTTTATCGAACAGAGGTTTCCCAAATGGCTGGCCTTCCCCTAGCAGAGATAGACCATTGGACACATCAGTTGGTGTTCTCGGTTTGACCATGTTTGTTCGTTCAAGAATTGCGAGTTCTGACTTGGGTGGCAGTGCTTGCAGATATATCATGTCATTGTCCTTCTCTGCCCTCTTGAGCTCCTCACTGACTCTAGACTTCAATCCGTTTAGATCTCCCAGCACAGTCGAGTTGAGCCACCGAGCCTCTTGAAGTCCTTCGTTCACACAAATGAGACTATCTTTTAGGCGAGCGATTTCCTCTCCATAATGCTTGTTGGTCATACAAGATCGAGACTGTCTGAATTGGGCCGCAGCGGCGAAATGATGATGTTTGGCTTGGAAGTGATGGATCCACTCGGTACTGATAGCACGAGACTGACGTGCAGCCTCTGCAGCCGAAATATAAAAATCCGATGCACTCGCAGCAAGCCTTGCAACAGTCCCGTCTGACATGCCTCTCTTGATGATCATCTGCCAGAAGCATTCTTGAGCCTGAGCTAGACACAATTGCTGAAGACTCTGAAGCGTGATGTCGTCCATATCTTCAGGCGGCGAAGAACGCATGTCAGGCAAGATATCTGTTCGCATGAAAGCGAATACACCTGCTGCTGCTGCTCCATGTTCGGCGGCAGCCTTCAGGCCCTCTGCTGTTGTCCGATTCGTGCCGAACGCAAGCTGAGAATATAATGCACCAAGGTTGAAGAGAATATTTGCCAATTCGAAGCGGACATTGTTTTGAAGTATAGGTTTGTCTTTATCATAACCTAGAGCAGGATACCAGGGAAAATCGACTCCAATGTCTATGGGGAATTTTCCACCAATATATCGCAATTGTGCCGCGTACGAAGTCAATTTCTGAACTCCACTGACGTGTGTTTCCAGTACATGGATCGCCTCGTTTCGAAGGTGATTGATCTGCCGCAGATCATTGGCAAACATCTCTGGGGACTGGTCATATTTGCTAGAGATATATTGCTTGATGGCGGAGGAAAAATCGACGGAATGGGTACGGCGAAAGGGGATCTCGAGTAGATTGCTGATGAGATTAGAGGTCAAGTATTATGCAGCTGGATCGCAACTTACGAAGCCATGGTTGCAGGTACGCTCTTGCGCAGATCAAGCCACGAGCCGACGGATTGGCATTGTCGCCTGCGGAAAGTTGAAAACGCTCGCAGTTGCGGGCAGTATCAACGGAAGTCACAGCCTTGCGTGACGTCAGCCTTGGCAACCCACTTTGTGTGTCACGTGAGCTGACCAATATCGTTCTGTCTGAACCATCACAGCCTTGTGAAGCTCCTCCACCAAGGAACCTCATGCTCCTCCCCGAGTCAAGTCTACAGAAATCATCATCCAGTTCCGGCATAACTTTGGAAGGTCTACATGGCCGGCAAGGGGTCGATTGACCATACAAAGACCGGCTATTTCCAAGGGTAGGTCCGCAGTAAGTTCTTTTCCCGGGCCGGGTTGAGGCTCTCCCCTCCAATTGATCAACCCGCGGACTTCTCCTCATTTTAAGGAGGAAGCCGCACGCCTATTACATCGCTGGGCGCATCGTTTATCAATCGCTGGCCAGAGTAATCATACTTTGACATTGTATCTCTCTCACTCTCTCACATCAAGATCATCAGGTTGAAAAGGATCATCTTCTAAAGAGCAACACCAACTGTTACTGTTTCTTGGGACGAAAAACTCTTACCTTGGGTTCTTTTCGAAGTCATATAACATCCTATCACCTTTCATCTTGCAGGGGCCCTTCGTGACCATGTCTCCATCTGCCATTGCCGACCTGCTCCCGACAACGCTTCCCATAACCTCAAAGACCATCACCCCAGCCAAAGAGCATCACGAACATGGCATGCAAGACAAGACCCCCATAGCAGCCATCTCGCACGGCGATGTGGTTTTGCCCGGCGTGCCATCATTCACCTCAATGGAACTCAAACGCCAATGGCAACTCGAGCATATGGCAGCCGCATTCCGGCACTGGTCGCGCGAGGGATACGTCGAGGGCATCTCAGGACACATCAGCGTGAGAGACCCTGAGGCGGAGGACGTGTTCTGGACAAATCCACTAGGCAAGCACTTCGGCCTGCTGAAAGCTAGCGACATGATCGCCGTAAACTTCGACGGCGAGGTCGTCGGAGGCAACCGAACCCGACCCCCGAATGCCGCAGGCTTCCTCATCCACAGCGCTGTGCACAAGGCACGGCCGGATGTCCATGCCGTCTGCCACGCACACACCGTGTACGGAAAGGCGTGGAGCGCGTTCGGCAAACCTATCGACATGTTGACCCAGGACTCCTGCAAATTTTACAACGCCCACTCAGTGTACAATTCTTATGGTGGCGTCGTGCTCGCGAGCGCCGAGGGCGAACTCATCGCGAAAGCCCTTGGCCCCACCAACAAGGCATGCATTCTGCAAAACCACGGTCTCATCACAGTGGGCAATACAGTCGACGAGGCTGCGTTCCTGTTCCTCAGCCTAGAGCACGCGTGCCAGACCCAGCTGCTGGTGGAAGCGGCCAGTCAGGGAGGGAACTTGAGCAAAGTGCTCATCTCCGACGAAGAGGCCGAGTATACGTACCGTATGGAAAGTGATTCGGAGACCTGCTACGCCGAGTTCCAAGCGTACTACGACTGGGAGGACTATCACACCAAAGGCGATTTCAAGAACTGAAACGTCAATCTAGCCTCCACTCCGCCGTGGTGTCATGTTGTTTTTTTAAACCATTTCCCTATTTCACAGCAACTAAATTTAGAATATGTGCGCAGCCCCTCATTTTTCACATGGAGTGGCAATGTGCTTCTGTAGAGTACAATGAAGCAGGTGCGGAGCCAAATATGGCAGGTAGCAGGAATTTATCAAAGCACATAAATTGCGATAATGAAACACATTGAAAGAATCTGTTCTACGAGGTCATCAGTCGTGCCAGAAAATTCATTCGGGTTGCGTCTCGAAACCGAAGATTCTTGCAGCCAAGCTGGAAAACGATGAATGTGAATACGTTTATTTCCATAAATCATTTCAAGAGCGCCAGTTCATGGTGAGTCCAAGAGACGGCCAAAATTCGGTGTTTGGAAACGCAGTGAGGTCGCGGCACATAGCTCCATGCTTTGCTCTTCAGTGCATGTCCCGAGAAAAAGAAGCCGCTATGCTGGTAGTAATAGTCCAAATATCTTCTTGTTGCCTCTAGTCAACAACGCATGTTCCTTTCAGCCTTCTCCCGGATTCTCTCCTCGATCCCGGTCTCTCTCCAGCCCCAGCACCAGCTCGCCTCCCTCATTTCCACCCGCACCATCCGCACCCCTACGTCCCCGCTGGTCCGCATCCGGCGCCGCCCTCTCACCATCACCTCCCCAACCATTCAACATCCAAGTAACGGCACAAGTGACAGCGACCCAGCGCGACAGAAAGCCACCCAGCGCGGCATACCACAAGACGCTACGTTCCCAGGGCGGCCGCTTCATGACGCCGGCGCAGGCGAGGATCGTGGCGAGCAGCAAGGGTGTCGATGCATCGCATGCGCGGATCAGCAGGTCTTGGATGTTGGGGTGTGCGCGCTCGAAGCCCAGCACGTATCTCCGTGGCCGCCGAGGTTGGCGGCGGCGTGCGGGTGGCATTTTGTGAGGGTGGTGTGTGATATGTACAGTGATGAATTGGAAAATTTTGGCGTGGTCACTTGATTGATTTGGCCTTCTTTTGGTGATGGTGTTATGATGCAGTGATCTGGACGTATTGGGACGTCCTTGCTCTAATGAGTCTCAGCCGTCCGTCTACCTATGGAGAATCGAATGAGCTTAACGAGGAGTGAGTTTTCCGGTCCAACGGGGCGTGTCTTGAATGGCGTGGCTGTCGTGACCATCTGTGTTCAGTCCCCTCGAGATTCCAAGCCAGCATGGAATTAGCGACCCAAAAATCTGCATGCACAAGAAGAAGGGACTGATGGGACGGTCGATCGATGGCTAACGCCTGCCCTGCTGGAGGCGCTGATCAGGCTGAGGTTCAGAAAAGCCCTCTCTGGTCCAATGATGAAATCATACAGGCTAGGCAATGCCGGTTTATTGAAGCCGCCTTGATGCACTTGTGATGATCTATCTCGGTTTGGCGAACTGAGAAGTTTATTTCGATAGGCGTGGTGGTGTCTGATGATTTAATCGAGGAGAGGTGAAGTTCACGAGAATTGCTGACGAGGATGTGTTTGGGCGGCCGTTTTCAAAATCGCCGTTTATGGCCTGACAATCGTGCTTATTTTGCGCAACCACCCACGGTTCATAACACTGAAAGGTATCAAATGAACTTAGACCTGCTACCTGTGCGTCTTATCTTCTGGAAATCTTCACTTGGTTTGAACTGCTTCTCCTGCTCCTGGATGATTGAAACCACAATTCTAGCGATTGACATATTTACAAAGGTCATGTCCATACTCCTCCGTCCAAAATCCTAGTCGGATCCGTCTTGGTGTTATTCGGCCTGTGATCATCCTAAAGTCCCGATCCGTTCCTTATAACCCAGATTCCCCAAGACGTAGCGAGCGTGATCGTTCTGTACAATAACCCAAAAATCCAAACCCTTAGATCTAGCCAGATAATTTCTTTCTCTTCACCAACCGAATCCTTCTTCCATAAAATCCAGGTTCGCTCCTTCATCAAGCATCAAACGTGAAACTCGTCTTACCTCGTCTGCTAGTCCACCACCAGCACAAACACTCACTCCAATACAGCCTGCCTTTGCCTGTACCTCGTTGCGCATCAATTCCTCCACATTGGGTCTGCCTCGTGACATTCGGACAGTTTCACTCGGGCTTGTGATTGATTGACTCAGACCAGCTTGGGTCACATAGATCAGAACCTTCAGGACATCACGTCGACCCTCTATTCCTAGGATCTCATGCATGAAAGGGCGTATCCACTCAATGCAGTCGGTGGTGGGAATGACCCACACCAGCGTGACCCTCTTAGTCGCCAGGGTACCTGCAGAGTGGTCTTCGACAAGCTGCCTAGCGTAGCCAAGCTGATGTGTAATACCAACACCACTGGCGAAGAGTAAGACCGTCCCGTAACTATCTAGGCTGCGTTGTGTTCCATATGGCCCTTCCACCCATGCATTCACCGTGAGGCAAGCATCGGGCTTGGCCGCGTGGTTAAATAGTCTTCTCGTGAGGCCGGTGTGTGATTTCACCACAAGAAAAAAGGTCTGGTTGCCATCTCTTTCGACCTCAATTTCTCGTTCGCGATTCGAAGGATTCTTTTCCGAGAATTCTGTTCTGACCGAGGCTGGGGTGTCTCCACCATTCTCGATACCGTTCCACGCAACCGAAAAAGGGTGAGCTGTCCACAGGCCAACGGACGGTATGGTCAAGTATAGTGATTGACCTGGTCTGTACGTCCATGGCCGTGCAGTCTTCAGAGAGATTTTCACAGCACCGCCGTCCAATGGCTGAATGATGGTGGTGGTCCCTCCTCTGCCAACGCTTCGCCACAACAATGTGAGCAGTCTCCAGCTTCTAGCAACAGCCCAAAGGCAGACGGCGGTGAGAAGCATAGACTGCGCCCAATGTCCGTCCAAATGGAACCAGAGGAATACTACTATCAACAGCACCAATACAAAGTGAAGATGCAGGAAGAATTCATAAGCCAGACTTCTGAAAACCTTGGGACTTTGTATGAGAATTACTGTCATTGCAAGCGCAGCAATCAAGCCATTGTAGATGAAAGGCTGCTGAACTGAGCTTCGAACTCCAGCCCATCCTTGTGCTTCAACCTTGCCCACGAGCCAGCATAAAGTATGAAGAATTGCTTGCAGCGCTGATAGGCGACCGAACCACCTGTGCATCAGGTTGAAAGTATCGTAGGATATGTCCAGTAGCCATATTAAGGGGTTCTTCGCCGTGGCAAGTAGCATGATAGGGATCATGTTTGCCACTGATAGTGTACCGGAACGATCTCGGAGGATGGCCAACGTGTCCCTCTGTGGGCCGCTCCAAGGTATGTTCCAAGTACATGTGAAGACGTTGGTAATAACAACAAGGAAGAGAAATATCGCTTGGAAGCGGGTCGGCAGAGTGCCGAATCTGACATGTCTGGAGAATTTGACCTCCCTAGCTCGACGATAGTTCAGAAGAGGAGCATAAAGGATCTTGCTCTTCATCCATCGCACAGAGGGAGATGTCTCAGAGAAATAGCGTAGTGGTCCTTGATTGTCGGTCATCGATGCAAGGCGCCGAAGATGGGCCATGCTCTTATTGGCCGTGACAAAGATGAAAGCCAGGGCAACGACACCCAACAACGAGTACAGGTATATAGGGCCGATGGATAGATCGAGTTGGTGGCCAGCTATCTGAGCCAGGCTGGGTTTATATGGTGAGCTTGCACCAACCAGTGAAGTCCATATCACAGATACGACTGCCAGATTGAGGGGATGAACCGCGACCATTTTCGGATTTGGTTCCAAAGAGTCGGTGGTCAATGACAAATCAAATAAGAAAGGGGTACATAGACTCCAGTAAATGAATCAATTCAAGCCAGGAGGTTTTGTTTCCCTGTTTGAGAACTGGGCAGCCTGCAGACGAATTCTGAAAACCAGTCGGTTTGACGTGGAGGGGTGGTGAAGGGACTTGATATAGCACTGGGCTCTGGTGACTGGCTGCGTACACTGATAGTCTTAGCTCGAGACCACGAAGTCGAGCCTTCCCTTTAGTTTCCCGTCCCAGTTGTTCGTCCCAGACGCCGAGTTAAAGCTATTGAACGCAGGAGCTTGTTGGGCCTACGTAAGATGATGAAGCCCTTCATGACGAAGAGCTCGAATACTGTTTTTCATGCCAATGCAGAATGGAATGCTTTAGCGCGGACCCACGCGTCCAGACCAGAATCTGCAATAATAATGGCGTTGGACCCTCCTGTTGAAGTCAAGGTTGAACACCGTCCGATATGAAAATTATTCGTCTGGTCGTTACACAAGCATGGATCAAGAGAAGGGTAACCTTACATGGCATGGCCATTCTGGTGAAATGGGACCCATTGGACACGGCGGCGGGCTGTGAGAGTACCGACTGCCCTACCATGTTGTGATGGCATTTTGATCGATCGATAAGCACGAATGCACGGAGCAACAGATAGTGGTAACATGGAGTGAAGACTGCAAAGACTGAAGCTTCACAGGATTGGGGCTAGCCCAGGTTGCCGCGTAGGCATGGCACGGCATGGTGCACAGGGAGTTCCGCCATAGACAGGTACCTCATGCGTGGAGGAGAGACGCAATTCTAATGGTCACTCGCGAGAAGAGAGAGGGCAATCTGGCAGTCATCACGGTTGGGAGTAGATGCCTACCTGTAACCACCAGGAAAGAAATCTTGAAGGATTCGCGTGCAAACGCCAAGCGGATAGCAGAAGCCGTGGGAGGGATATGAACCGGGACCGGGCACGCGGCCAGCCACATCTGAGCCTATCCGATCTCTGGCTGGCCTGATCACAACCTATCTTGCCTGTGTCTCTCCAATCAGCCCAACTTCGGACCTGAGCAAAGGGTGACCTCCAAGAACGATCTAAACCATTTCCAATCCTGAAACGGACGTCTCATCATTTCATCTAGCTAGAATTGCAATTCGTACCGGCCCCTGTACTTCTTCCTCGTTCGTGAGTCGTGAACTCGTAAGTGGCTTTTGCACGTGCATACCTAGGTACAGTGGAGGATTGCGGCTTTCGGCCCCGTTACGCAAGCCTGAAGAACTCTCTGCCCAGCCCCAACTACCATATCAGTCATGGTGACATCCAGATGAATACTAGCCCCAACACTCGGCATCCAAATCATCGGCGATATTCAACTTATCAAGCCGTGTGCTGTTATCGATTGGGAAGCTTCCTTCTATACACACACCGATACACAACAAATCGGGTCCTTCTGCAGGGGCCGTGCGACACAAGCACGGAGCAGGAGCTCTCGCAAGGCATGCCCAGGACCATGCGCACCATGCCACTATGATCGCGGAACCCGTTCCTGCTTGCGTACCCAACTTGTATCAATTCAACAAACTCAACTCATCCTCGGAGTCTTCCTCGTCATAGCGCTTGGCTGAACGGCGACCATTGGGAATACCGTCTTTGAAAGTATTGCCAGGGTGAACATCGAGCGACTTCGGGTCCATCAATCTTGGCTTCTTGTACTCAAAGTCAAACTCGTCATCTCTGTGCACTTCGAAGACATAGAGAGACTTCTTTCGCTTGAGTCCATAGTCCTTGGGTCGAATAGCTTGTTTCTTTGGCAAACGTGAACTCTTGGCAAGGGGCGGGCTTTCACATGCTCCATCCAATTGCTGAATCTTGGTCGTCAATCGCATACCCCGTGTCTTCTTCGGAGTTGTTTCGACCCATTCCAAGAGTTCACGGTCCCATCTATAGCTTTTCCAGTCCTCTGGTGCCATTGGATCAACAGATCGGGGTTGCTTGTTTGAAAAGAATCCTTTATTGCGTTTGCGTGCTTCTGCTTCAATTCGAGATGCCCAAAAACCGGCCGAGATTTCTTGTTGAACCTGGTCCGTGGCATAATCCATAGCTGCCTCCGCACAGACCCTTGCAAGCAGCTTGTGGACCAGCTCATTTTCTGCGCACTGAATTCCCAGGATTTGCATAATTGATGCCATGAATTTCGAACCATCGGCTCTTACTGAAAGCAGGATAGCTACCATGTAACTTTCCATCTCGTTCACCAAGGTGCCATCACTCTCGGACAATATAGCCTCAAAATATGCCAGCAGAGACTTCCTAACATTTCGCCGATAGCAGGCGACAAGGCACATCTCAACAAAGAAGATTTGACCAATGACAAGCTTCTGAGATCGTGATAGTCCCTGGATGTGACACCATTCCATAGATAGCTGAACTTGGGTGCAGATCTTTTCAATCAGATGAGTGGTCCATTCTGTGGGGTCTGAGTAGAACATCCTCACAACCAGACTCAGCCTATTTCCCAGAAAGTCTGAGGGAGGTGTGCCACATATCATGTCCCAATCAAAACGAGCATCTGTACGGATACAATCGGTTCTGTGATGCAGATCTTCCTGCAAGTCTCGGAAAAAGGTGGTTTCGATCAGTTCAGCGGCCGAAACCTGTTGAAGCCTCAGGTAACTCGCATATGCGTTGCGCAGTACATCGAATCGGGCAACATGTTTGATAATCAAGTGGGCATCTGACTCCTGTCGAATCGCCTGAGTAAGCCAGCGGAATTTCATCATTGTTCGCCAGTCGTCGCCCTCGTTGCATTTGTACTCTCCATATGCACCGAAGCCAGGTGAACCGCCTCGTTCAAGAAAAGTCTCATTCCGGCCTGTATCCATGCGGATCAGGGTATCGGTGATTGCTTCCCCGAAGTCTGCCAGCAAGGGACTTCCGAAGGCGGACACCGCAAGACCACGGGCGTCGTATTTATCCATCGTACCTGATTCAATGAGACGTTGCACTGAGGCGATGCCATAGCTTCGAGTCACATCCCTCAAATAAGGCCAGCCTGTGTTGGGGCGGCCAAAATAGTTCTCGAGCTCTTCAAGTTGAGTTCCAATAATATCACACTCGCCATCGTAACCATCTTTCTTTGCGTCACTCTCTTTCTGCTCGTCCACAAGACTTTCACTCAACTTGGCCAGACACATTGACACCAGAGATTTCGCCCCATACTCTCGGGCATCCTGATCAGCGTTTTGTTTCTCGGTAAGAGGCTCGCTCCAAGTACTTGGAAGCCTCGCATCGGAAGTTGCAACCAGGAACTGAACAATTGCAATGTTGCCATATCTGATAATATCCTGACGTTTCGATGTCAACAGAGGGTTTTCCTTTGCTTTGGGATCACCAAGCGGCACATCATAATCCTGCAGCAAGGTGGGCTTGGTGTGACTGCTACTCTTTCTGGCTGCGTTGCTACCATTGCGACCGTCCTTAAGGGCCCCGTCTGGATCAGCCACGCACACAGTCTTGTACATAAGATGCGCACTTGCGCTAGGGGTCCTCAGGCTCAATCTTCCTAGAGGATAACGCTTAACAGCTGGGGTAGTAGGGGCTGCGCTACGCGAGGCGTAGGTTTTCTTCTTCGCGGCTCCTGCCTTGCCTGGACCTGTTGACAACCAATCCGCATCTTGTTCTTTGTCGTTTTGCAAGCCCTTTGTAGAGTCAGACTTCTCTCCCACTTCAGCGACCTTCTCATAAGTTGCTTTGAAAGCGGTGTAGTCCTTGTGCCATTTCTCAAGCTGGCTGACGAACGTCTTGAGCTTTCGCAGAGTTCGGTTGCATCGTGAAGCAGTCCAGTAGGCGGGGGACGGTCGCGGAGGTAGATGATCGGTGACGTCGACTTGAGACATTTTGGAACGATTTGTGATCTTGATCCCAGGAAAATCTCGGCATTTCTCGACGACATATACGACGAGAAATATCAAGCCATCTGATCCAACTTAATTTGGGAACATGATGTAAAGTGAACAACAATTCATGGAAGTGAACGAAAAGTGAGAATCGGATGAGTTGAACATTGTTTTGGTTCTACATCTGGCAATGCACCCGACTCAAGAGCACTAGCGTGACCCGCCGTCATTCTTTCTACAGGATAGGGAGGTTTGCCGACAGCCCTTTTTGGTCTGCATAGCTGAGCCTGAGCGAGACACCAATGGGTTGTGAAAGGAGATAACACGTTGTGACTACGCTTCCCAGGGCATGGAGACCCATTCAAAACGCAAAAGGGTATATATTGTGCTATCTAGTATCAAAGTAAGGTCTTAAATCATAAAGGACCAGGACAAGAGCTTGAACAAGGGAGTACTCAAGCATTAACTTCTGGGAAGTGTTTGCAGCAGATGGGCAGTCTTCCGAAGACTGGGCTCTTGCAACGTCTTCGCATAAAGGTAGTGAGCCATGTGATCGTGAAGGTCGTCATAGGTGTAGTATCCAAAATAGCGGCAGATGTTGACAGCCCTCACCATGAACCAGTCTTCCTCTGCTACTCCTTCTGCACACCAAATTCCAGTAAACATAGCCCAAAGAACAAACCCTGCTTGTGTATCCTGAAACATAGGCAATCTTTTGCCAGGATCACAGGGCTTACACTCAACTGTCCACCCGATCGACGGGCACCAGTACTCCAATGCTGCCCGACTGGATCGTTGTAGCCGTTTGACATTTGATCGTGCGGTTTGGTGTCCAATCATGGTACAGGCGTGGGTCATGAGGATCATCAGACATATTCTCGCATTCTCCGTACATTTGCTGTATAGATCGATAGGTCCGGTGGTATGTTCTGGGGCGAGCTTCAGAAGAGCTCGTAGTACCGATCGTGCTTTCCTGCAGAGCCACTCTGCATCAAAACAGACAGCCAGCGGCGATAGCCAGACTACCTTGGCAATTTCAATACAATCCACAAGGTCAGACACCACTTTGGCAAGTTGACCTGTGAAGGCACCAATCTTCAACGCGAAGCTGAATCGAGAGCCCATCCGAAGATCAAGCGTCGCGGCGAGATCGGCGACTGCATCGTTCAATCCCTCGGGTGCTCTAGGTACAAGTAAACTTGTCGGGCTTGGACATCCAAATTTCAATAACCTCTGTGCCTCTCTCTTCAACATTCCCATCCTCTCTGGTAGCATTGGGCCAGGGTCAAAGTCGTACGGAAGAACTGGGAGGCTGCCTGTCGATAAAGCCAGCTGGTTGTCTACATGAGCTGCCGTTTCTGAGATCCATCGATCAAGATACTCATTCGAGTCCAGTAGCCCATAAAGTTTGCCGACGATCTCGAGATGTCTCCTTGCATCGTCAAAATCTCCATATTGGATTTCGTTCACTATCAAATAAAGCAGATCTAGAATGGTCTGCTTATCCACGATGCCTGACCTCGCACTTGCAACCAGTTCCTTCCGAAGGTGATGTATTGCAATGGTGCGGACCTGTTTCGGGTCTGAAAACGGACTATTGACGCAAAAAACGTGTTTCATTCGGGCAGTCGATGCGGCCATTAAAGAGTACAGGTGGTGTTCTTTGTAGACACTTCGCTGAACCACGGATCGGATGGGAAATCGTGGCATTGTGGCGGCTAGATGTCGTGGTAAGTGCGCTAGTTTGTAGTTGTTACCCGAGTAGGTGTACACCTTCAGTAGATGGTCTAGAACAATCTGCACTTGACTGGTAATTTGAACGCTGGTACTTCCAAATGGATCCACACGATCATAGTCTGCAAGGTTGATCCGATACACAGGTTCTCTGAGGATGAGACTTTCGCCATCTTCCGCAGCCTGCATCTCGACACCCGTCTCCTCGATCAACGCATCCCCACCTGTTTCCTGGTTCGGCGGATTGTGTAGTGGTGGCGATTTAACACTTGAGGCTCCATCTGGCGTTCCTGCTAGACTCGGAGCAGTAGCGGGAGTACCCAACTGACCCGGAGGTGAGTCGGATTGCAGATTTCCCACTGGCGATGAACCAGGCGAGTCTCCATCGCTGCTCGAGCTGGACATCGATAGTTAGAAGCGAACTTAGATTAGACATCAAGCCCAGGCTTGTAGGGTGAGGAATCGGACTTACTGGCCAACGGCCGTTTCTTTGCGATGCCATCCATCCAACGCAATGCGACGCGCAGATGAACTGTTCGTTCGAGCTGACGAAATTCTCTGGGTTTCAACCTTCCGACTGCGAACTTGTTGCGCGTGTCGATTGATGGATCGAGCTATTGCCCCATCGCTCTTGGATAAAGACTTTGACTTTTGAGTTTTATTGACGAAAAGGAAGACCTGGTTGTCATTGCCATCAGGTCGAGCCTTCTTCATTATTTCCCATCGAAGAACGGGATAAGGAAGGCGAGGGGCAAGGCTCAATCATGTGGCGGGAGTGACTTAGCCCCCAAGTTGCAAATAAAGCTTGGAGCCCCGATATCAATTCCAATTGAGCAGGTATTAATTCTTCAGAACTGAAAGATATAGCAAAAACAATCCAAATTTGTTGGTTTGTTTCGCTCTCAAGATTCAAGAAAGGCAGGTGGTCGAGACTGTACGGCAGGTAAGATTCCCGGCTTTTGGTCGAAGGGTTTCAGAGCAACCTACTACCCTAAATTGACGGACAAGCCTGGAAGTTGCCGACACCCTTAGTTTACCTAGGCTTGTTTGGCACCGGTCACGTCAGAAGTGGACGCTACTTGGTCAGTAAACTTAAAGAGGAACAGTTGAGACGACGACCCCAAAGACAGGAGTGGTCCAAAATCCCCGGCGTTGACTGGTTTTGGGATCTAAGCGAACAGGGATTGATGCATGCAATGATCGACCCCGAAGCCGAGCAGATGCACAATGATGACCAACCGCTAAGGGAATCCGAACAATTTGCAGATATGGGCTTAGGAGATATGCATTTATCTGCTAAGACTTTTAGAACAGAGAAGAACCGAGATACAACGGGGAGCAGATGTTGATTAGACCCAGGTCATGATATCGTGGTCACTTAATTAGGAGGGACAATACTCGCAGTGTACTTCTGGCCCTCGGCCCTTCTCTTGAGACGTCGAATGCGAATCACGCATGTCTGTTGCACTTGCTCACGCACGTAGCCTCGAGGCCGTGATCATCAGTATGCCTCTTCCATGAGCCCCATGTATCAAGACGTTCTTATACAAAGCATGCTTATGGCAGGACTTTTGTGGTGTGATATGCCGACTTAAGTATGGTTCAACCAACACCACGGCCGAGGGCTCCTACTTAGACCCCGCCCGAGGCCCACGAAATATTGTGCGTATCTGTAAGCACGACTCACAAGCTTCTTGTGAAGAACAGGGCAACGTCCTGGTGTCAGATCTGACAAACGCGCTGCAAGCAAGGAGACAGAGCGAGCGCGATACTCTGCAGTTGCGATGCAAGCTAGAGAGCCGACGTAAGCGACCTCACTATCGAGGCATTCCATGGTGAGTGTCTACTCGTACTTCAGTACCTAGTGGGTGCCTAGAAGTATCTCACCAAGTGTCACGTACCTAACCCTTAGCTACTTCGTAAGTCCAAAGGCCGAGGGCACCTAGGAAGAAGCTTTGGAGGCGCATTTCTCGCCTCCAATGATCTCCAGGCCACCCGTTACCGTCTCGGGCCAAGCCCCTGCATTGAGAAAATGTGCCACTGTGCAGAAGCGATTGCGCGTGAGTCAGCAAGGTGTTGATTCGTCGTCGAGGTTCAACTGTTGTCAAAACTACAGATCAACCTCCACCGGACAGTCTTCCGTTAGTCCATGACCGACACGTAATACACTTCCTCGGCAAACATTAATCAGGTAAGAGTGTTGGCTATGAGGACCCAAGAACCTTCATCAACTTGAAGGCATGTGCAAACTTCCTGCCAAGCTGAGATTTATTCCAAGCTGAAAGGTGGAACGATACTTCGTACTCGGACGGGCAGCCACAGACACGAAGGCTGAAACATTATGATCAGGTCTACCGAGTGACGGTGAATTGATACGGGAACCTCAATCCCCTAATAATAAAACGCCTCAATGTCTCTGTGTGGCGTCAGTGAGACCTGTTCCAGACTTCCCCGGATACACGGATAGGGGCTACCGACTCAACTGGAGGGGTATCCGTATAATCGTTGGTCTAGGTTCGCAATGTCCGAACGAGAGACTCTCCTCGCGCCTCACTACGCTTTAAGTCTAAGTTCAGGTTCGATGGCGTTCTTTCTTCCAACGGCTGCAGACTGCATGGCGCTCTGACTAAGGGGGGCAAATGCGGCCGGCCGGGTCTTTCCCCTGAGGTCCTGGTAGGTTTGCAAACTCCGCTGGTCCTGTCTGGACTCTCCCAAAGTCCAAAGAGATATGATAGGACAACTGCAATTTCCTGATACGTTCATTACTTCTAATGCTTCGTCGTCATAGTATTATAGAAAAATTGCACGTCTTTGTTGGTAACAGAATTCAACAGCGTCCATTCATGGAAGTCCCAACTGCCAGTATTAGAACCACAAGTGTAAGAACAATCATTCGCCCTTCCCAACGTAATTCCTGTTCTTTCTTGTAACATAAGCCCGTGAAAACGCCCTTGATCGTGATTACAGCACTAGCATATTAAAAGCCATCTTGAGGTTCAACCATAATACCTGGTTCCCCTTCCCCCTCCTGAAATCGGCCTACGACAAATGGACAGGAGAGTCAGGGGACTGTCTAATCTCCTGGACTGATATGTCTGCCATTTTCTTGTCCTCTCTGGCCATTTGGGCGTCCCGAACTTCGACAACCCCCGGTGACGATGTGGATGACTCGCTAGGGCTGCTGAGAACTGGAGTCGATGGCTCGTTCTCAGCGTCGACATGTTGAGTTGTCGCGACAGCAGCTACATCGAGGACCGGCAATGAAGGGACTTCAGCTTTCGTCATAGCAGCGACTGGCTCGGCGACGACCACGGGCTCACCTGCGACAACTGGCTCGGGATCATAAACCCACTCTAGGACTGAATGACACTTTGGATCGTGAGTGGCCTTGAGCTCGCCCTGTCGGAAGCTCTTGAATTTGAGGTTGGTGTCGACGCTGGCAAAGAGATCCTTGAACTCTTCCAATTCGCGGACCTTGCCCTTCATCAGGCTGTACATGACGTTGTCCAATCGCCGGGTCGCAAGTTCGGCGTAGATGGGTGCACTACCGATGGGAGGCATGACGTACTCGATGGCAATTACGCGTGCACCGGGTTTGAGGACTGGTAGAAGAGCTTTGATGATGCGGCGGGCGCCTTGGTCGCACCAGTTGTGGAAGACCATGCGGAACAGGTATAGATCTGCCACTATGGGTTGGGGCTCGAGGAAGGAGTGTGCTTGGAATGAAACAGAGTCATGGGGGAAGTTTGGGTTTTTGGCTGTGACGGCAATGGCAGAGTTGATGACCTTGGGGAGATCCTGAACGATGCACTTCACGCCTGGGGCTTTGCGGACAATGGCTGTGGCGACAGAGCCGAACGAACCTCCACACTGATGAACAACTTAGCAAAGAGTTGCTGAACAGTCAGATCTTTCACTCACATCAACCAATGTCTTTCCCTTTACGGAATCCCAATCATAACACTCCTGAATGGCTTCGTCGCCGGATTGTGCAGCTTGGGCGCGCATATGAGCGGCAAACCGTCGACCTTGGTCGGGGTTCGTCTCGAGATACTCGAAGAGAGGAGCTCCGCGTGCAAGACTGAATCCATCGACTTTCTCTTGTTCGTCATTGGGATCCCGTGTGCATACTTCACCTAATTTGAAAGACGAGGAAGGCAGGTGGTTGAGCATCACCTCCATACCGTTGGCCATCATGGGATCGAGTTGCCAGATGGACGAGTTTGGGCTGTGGGCCACCTCTCCATTTTCGGTTTCTCTCAGATAGTTTGAACATACGGCGGCATTACGGATCAGGTGCTTGAGACGATCCTCTGAAACGCCAACTTTGGTAGACAGGTCGGTGTAAGATATTGAGCCTTCCAAAGGTACTGACTGAGGTACTTCAAGTTGACATAATGCCTGGACGACGCCTGCTTCTGCACTCTGTGGAATGTGTTAGAGAAGATCACAAGATAGAAGAAGTATGATAGCCTTTACACGGTAGTATAAACTCTGCATAGCATCCTTGGGACCCAGGACGAGTTGTTCTAGATGCCTTAGACTAGCGATGAGTTGATTTCGTGCTTGCTCTCCGGCAGCATCCAGCTTGGGAACAGTTGTTCGATTCTTGCTGGCGCATGATGAGAGACTATGAACCTCATTGTCATGCCAGGCCTTGCTGAGTAGTTGTGATTGAATGCTCACTGTGAGCGCGAGGGATTCGATTTGACACATTTTCAGATCAAAGAATTGGATATTATGGTTGTCACGTTCGAGTCTGCTAATGGTGAACCATGCGGGGGTAGGAGGACCCTTTAAATATAGGACGTATCTCGATATTGAAAAGTCTAGACTGCCATACCCACCATGACAGAGGAGAGAGGGTCTGTAAATACCTTCGGCTTCGCAGGGATCTCAGGAACTCTCTGATAACCCACCTAACAATTCATCTGTCCGAGCCTAATGCATCAAGGAGATGCAAGGTTCCGCCAAGTGCGTTGGCAAAATCACCATCAAGAGTTCCAACCGAGAAGGAAATGCCCAGGAAGATGGCACCTCGAGTTCGTAACTTTGTCGTTTGCTCTGCACTGCCCACTTTCCACGGGTGTCAATCGAGCGGGAGGGGAGGGAACAAATTTACCTCGAGTTCGGGCAGCTGAAAGATGCTCCTCTTGAGCTTGGAATAGTGGAAATGACCATCATTGATGAGCCAGCCACCACGGGAATATCCCCGGAGGAAATATGTGTACCAAAGGAACCCAGTATACACAAGTCAATCACCTCATGCTGCATTTGGAAGCAAGGGAAAACCCATGGCACGTTGTGTATAGGCTTCACTAGCGTCCGGATTTGCATTCAAAGTCCCCTGAATGGGCGTGTCCTGCAGTGATAGGCCATGTGGAGACTGAGTTCAATAGGCTGAGGTGGGCTTGGAAGCTTATTGAAGCCGTCATGATTCGTGCAGCACGTCCACACATGGACGAGCTGAATGGGTGACAGAGAGAGCTTTTCAACATAACCGTTGAGTCTCGGAGTGGATTTCTTCTGCGGACACGTAAACATGAATACTCAGCATGTTGACGCGCTCTTCGAGGTCTACCACGACTCGGAACCTGTCCTGCTTTTGTCTCGCATTGTCATGGATGTTGCTACAGCTATATTTCGACAAGCATAATGTACAGGGTGATAGCTCCGGCCAAGATAGAGATCCTGGTAGATAACAATGAATCTGGGGGAGTGGATGTCACTGGACGAAAGCCGTTTTCGGGGCTGGGAGCTTGGCTCTGTTGCGCCCAGGCGGACTTTGAATCTGGCTTGGCGAGGGGCTAGGAAATTACACCCTGAACGCCCTGATGCTAAATCCAGAATCCAGATGTGTTTTGGGTTCGCGAACTCAGTTGGCAACACATCTGGGGAATCATCTGGGGGAGTGCACTGGTTCTAGATCTCAATATTCTCCATCCAGCGCCACGATTGACCCGTGCTCGGCACTATGGTTCAACTCAGTGAGAGCACATGTGACATGAAGTGGCTGTAGGCGCTCGTGTAGGAAGATTGGATGGCGAAACGATAGGGGATTACTCGATCTATCGCGTACGAGGCCGTTCATACGGGGTAGACCATCATCTTTGAATTTGAATCCCCCGAGTTCGCACGTGATGCGCTTTCACTTCAATACTCTAAGGACCCATCCGCAATGATCCTGTACTCTCAGGCTGACAAGACACACACAAGGTCTTGACGTTTCTGGACTCGATCGAAATGACGCAACTCACCAAGGCCACTTCGTGATCGCTTGGCTGTGCCCGAAAGAGAACTGGGAGGGCCATGCCTTGTTTGCCAACCATCTGTGCATGCCTTGCAGTAAGATTGACCTGTGTTGTTCATGCTTGGAGCTCGTCACCATTGCGTCGTTCATATCTAGGCATCCTGGGGGGTTGGAAACATAAAATCTGCATTCCGCCAAGTTGATCACAAGCTCAAAATAGAGTCATCCGACGGGGAACAACTTCAGAAAGACGAGGAGGAAAGGATATATGATTTGTTCAGTGACTAGGCACGAATACAACCTTTATCAGGACCTCAAAACCTCCTCACTTCAGCGTGTTGGTTGATTGAACTCTGCTTGCACTTCAAGGTCTCAATACCTCCCCTTCACTCCAGCCTGTATGCTCAAATCCCCTCAAGAATGGACTGCGGACCCAACACCGACTCAGCAAAAGAGACATCATTGCGATCGTTCAGATGGTACGTGACGGAAGTCGTGCGATCGTAAAACAGCGAATGGTACCGGAATGAGACATCTAGAGATCACCAAATGTGTTCTCGCCGGAGTATCTGAATGATTTGTCAGCATGTGATTGTTATCAGGCTATTGTGGGCAAGGAAACATACGTGATGTAGAGGAAACCATCTTCGTCCTTATGCTCTTCGTAGATGCTGCTCATGAGAGCAGCGGTAGGAGGAAGGACCTCGTCGACGAAGATGAAGATTGCCTTCTCGGGGCTGAGCTTGATACGCTTGCGAATAACATAGACGAATTGACCAACGGTGAGGTCTGCGGGGACGAGGTATTTCTTCTTATCGATGGTAGCGATATCAGACTTCTCTACCTTCTCGCAGATGACCTGTCGAAGGAGTCAGTGTCTGTGATAACATGGAGAGTATTGGGAATGAGGAGCATCTTACAGGAATCCGGTCGGCGTACTTCTGTCGAATGCGTTCGGCTTCTGCCTTGCGCTTCTCGAAAGGATGTTCATCCTTGAACTTGGAACGCATGATTGTGGTATCTAATGGAAGTTGGATGGAGAACTTGATCTGATGGAGACTGACAGGCGGAGTTGAATATCGTGATCTGAAGGAGAATGTTGGTGGATGAATGATGTCGAGGATGGCTGGTTGATCGGTGAGTGAGAGGTTAGGTTAGGTTTGTAACAGGCAGAGAGCAGGCGGCGGCGGCGGCGCAGCCTACGAGTGGCACTTGTGACGCGAGTGCTTGAAAGTAGCTGCCGGAGTAGGAAAAACGTAATGACGTGCCCCGCGTTCCAGCTAAACTGCGGTGACACCTCTATCAAGTGCTGACTGATCGGGTAGTGATGGTCACGGGATCTCTTCAACGTGAGATAGGCAGGTCAAGCGACCCGATAGTGATCCGATGTTTCTTCTCCAACTTCTCGTCAGGCGTCTACAGTTGCAAATCACCGGGGATCGATTAGATTATCTGTAGAAACTCGAATAGGCACGAGGCTCTCATGGATGACCATTTGCAATTAAAACACCTGAACAATGACTCATGTCATGCTGGTGTCACTACGACTCATGGTCTCTGTGGCTGGCTTTGTTTGACTCAGAAGAGCTGTTTGTCACATCGAGTCAATAATGAACATCTCTCTCAAGCTTCGCCCAGCCCATACCGGGTAAGTGATCCCCCAGGCCTTTCACAACTGAATACACAATGATTCAGTCTCTTGCCTCGGAAATCCTCAAGTTATATGATCGATCTCGTCTCAGTGTGAAATTTGGCAGTCATCTCTGTCCTTGTCACCGGCACGTGTTGCGTGGTGTGAGTAGTCGCGTGTTAGTGGGGAAGATTGAATATCCGATGCCGACTGTCTAGCTGCACCCTTCTCCAACTCGTACAGCTTGGTGGACAATTACTCACTTCGTACTTTTCTTCCCAACCGCAATATACTCCCTCTGTATCTAAATTACCATTTGCATGGCATTTTCATTACTCTGGCGACCAGGTCACCCCTGAATTGTAACACCACTCTTGACATTGCACCCACACTCGTTTTTTTCCAGGCGGGGGAATCGCCCTCGTTCCCTGCATCATGTCTATCCCAACCTTTGCAATTCGCTCATGTCGAGCTGTATGCCCTTCGCTTTCGAGTTCAACCATATATAGTCAATCCGGTTCATGTCTTTCACGCTCCTTCTTTTCTTCGAGGTCTTCTAGTGCTACGAGATCAAATACTCTGTCCACCAGCCAGCACCTAAGGTCGAATCCCTACCTCTACCTCTCTGTCGGCATTTTGACCACTGGCGCTATCTTTTACAACATGAGCAATGGCCAGGTTGTGTCGAATGACTCACCACCCGTCCAAGTGGTAACACTGGCCGAGGTTGATGCATTTACCAAGAGCAAGACCAATATCACACGGAAATCTCCGATGCGGTTGCGAATGGAGGCTTTGATTTTAGAGCATCAGAAGCGCATCGTCTTCGCTTTGGAGAATATCGATGGCAATAAATTTCGTCGAGACGAATGGACACGCCCGAATGGAGGTGGTGGCGTTTCTTGTGTCCTTCAGGACTCAAACGTCTTTGAGAAAGCAGGGGTGAACACAAGCATTGTCTATGGAGAGCTACCTCGATCGGCTATCGAAAAGATGCGAGCAGATCACAAATCGTTGGTGAGCTCCGATGTGGAGAAACTTAGCTTTTTCGCAGCTGGCCTTTCTATGGTTCTGCATCCACGCAATCCCATGGCACCAACAGTACACCTCAACTATCGATATTTCGAAACCTCCGACCCCAGGGATCCAGTCAACGCCACAGGCTCTGCAACTCAGAATTGGTGGTTTGGCGGAGGAGCCGATCTGACGCCTTGCTACTTGTTCGAAGACGATGCAAAACACTTCCACCAAACTCTAAAGACTGCTTGTGATAAACACGACAAGGACTACTATCCTCGTTTCAAGAAATGGGCTGATAAATATTTCTATATCTCACACAGAAAAGAAAGTCGTGGCATTGGTGGCATTTTCTTCGATGATCTCGATGCCTCAGCACAGCCAAATTCGAAAAATGCTCAAGAAGACCTTTTCCAATTCGTCACGAGTGGGCTGGAGTCCTTCCTCCCTTCATATCTCCCCATAATCAAGAAGAGGAAAGACATGCCATTTACACCGCAGCAAAAAGAATGGCAACAGATCCGTCGAGGTAGATATGTCGAATTCAATCTAATCGAAGATCGAGGAACCAGCTTCGGCCTCCGAACTCCCAGTGCCAGGATAGAAGCCATTCTGATGAGTTTACCACTCACCGCCCGATGGGAGTATATGCACCCAGTCTGTGGAACCGGGGTCGACATAGATGCTGAAGGTGAGGCTGACTCCGATGTCGAGAAAGAGAAGGAGATGTTGGAGGTACTCAAAAATCCGAGGGAATGGGTCTAAAAAGTCCCACGCTGTCATACTGACCTCATTTGAGGTCGACTGTGTCAACTGAGAAACTCTCAGGATATCGACCCACCACCTCGCCTTGGAAGATGACTGGCACGATACGAGCTGGCACCGCGCATCATCCTGACATACTATTTCAAGTCGCTTGAAATGCTGGTCAGGGACTCATTTCTCCACATGCAGTGAGGCCTGGTCTCCCCGCAATTGAGCCTTGTCTAGGCGAGAATGACCGCTGGCTCGCCGGTAAACTGTGGGGATATAGCCAGGAGGTAGCTACTTGCACTGCAGCGACGCTCGTATTGCTATCGTGTGGCTTGAGAATCACCGAGCTGTCTTCCCATATTGATTGGAAGAAGTCTGGGAGTTGGCAAGAGTCCTTGCTGATAAACTCATCTCTAGAATAGAACCAAAACGCGTCTCGCGACACCTTGTATAACAACCTGATGTCTTCATGTTTCTGAGTGTCTTATCTGTTGTCGGAAAAATAATGGCCAATGCATATGATAGAGGATGACATGTGCATGTACTCATTGCTTTGATCATTGGATCCAAGTGGTCAGTCTACCAGAAACGGTTGACTACCTACCCAAGCACTTAGGTAGTCAGTGTGCGGCCGACCAGCAACTAGGCGTATCGATTCTCCTAGGGTAGTTGTGTGGTAGACCAAAATACCATCTAGTACTCGGTATTGGGTTGGTGTTCGAAGGCCTCCATCCCTCTTCACAGGTGAATCAATTAGGCGCCTTAAGTCATACCGTTCCCGTCAGCATTGCTCACCTAGTACTTAAAAACAGCTTTATTATTACCTACCTAAGTACAAGACAGTCAGCCGAGCCCGTACGAATTCCCCAACCTGACTGCTATCATGCCAAACGTTGACACGGGCTCTATCCCTCAAGGCCTCCAACAAATGCTAACGCCGGAATCAGCCCGTCCCCCACTTTTCTTTATGCTGCACCAAAAATGCGGCCGGCATGATTTGGATGATCTGTTCAAGCGTACTCGGTAGTAACATGGCGAAGCCTTACAATCTCAGAAGATCACCGTCTACAGGAGACTACCAAGTCATACGCTGAAGGTTCCTCTGCGGCTTTGCGGCCTCATCTCAACCTTTCAAAGGGCAGACCGACCGGCAAGATCAAGACAGATAGGCCTCAGCCGCATCTTTGCATAAGTTAAATGCTGTTCTCGTTCAAGATTTGAACGTCCTCATCCGTCTGACAGTAGGACTTCTGGAATCTGGGCATAGGTACCTGGTATCCCGCCAATCGCTCCCACAAGAGTCACCCTGAAGTGGACGGGTTTCAGCGTCTTACCGCCTTTGATCAATAGCTTGCAGGGGGAAGACGCCTGGAAAGTGTTAGCGTGTAGGTCGCTTATCTCACCCTCACCGTTCGAGAGTTCAGCACTAACACAGTTAAAAATGTACTTTCAGCGTCCAAGCCCGGTGAGGCCCATCCCGCCTGCTGCAGGTAGCGGCACATTGACCACTTACCAGTGGCTCAGCCATAATACCGTGGTTAATGGTTACAGTGCACAGTACAGAGAACCTTCAGTGGGCAGTGACCATTGGCCTGAGCCCTCGAGCTGTGGCCGAAAATACTTTGATTTTTGAGGCTCTCCGCCATTCACGGGGCATCGCCCACACCAAGCTGCAGCTAGCCTCTCACTCTTCTACTGCAAATGTCTCGGTCAGCCGAAGGGATTTGGACTCCCATATCCTCGTATCTCTGACCAGGCCCAAGTATGGAAATAGCGGGGTGTCATTTGCGGCGTCGGGCCACTTCACGTGTCAGCATCAGCGCTGCGCTCATGGTCACGATCTTAGCCATATAATGATGGCTCCCCAAGACCTGGAGGCTATGAAGGAGTGTAAAGAGATCACTGTACTGTTCTCTGACACATTCTTGTTCTCTTCATACAAGAATTATGAGGCAAGCTTCTATTTCCGCCCTACTGGGTGCTGCCCTCATTCCAGGTGTCTTTGCTGGTCTCGGCAAATGGGTTGGTGTAAGTTGCTGGCTTCGACAAATATTCGAACCTAGCTAAAAAGTAGTAGGGAGGCGACTGTCCATGGGGTGACAAAACAGCTTCAAACACACATCCAAATGATTATCCCGACACAGGTAAGTTGCTCCTTCATTTGAAGGTTCATGAGGCTGATGCAGCCTTTCAGGGGTTACAAGATATTACGATTTCACCATCTCTCGTGCAACACTAGCACCCGATGGCGTCCAGCAATCGATGATTGTCGTCAATGGCCAGTATCCCGGTCCCTTGATCGAGGCAAATTGGGGTGATTGGTATGTCCTTTCTACGATCATGCTAAGCCTTCTCAGACTGATCACTCCATTGCCAGGATCGAAGTGAATGTTCACAATGAAATCCACGGACCGGACGATCTCACTCTCATGCATTGGCATGGATTGAACCAGCCCGGGACTCAATACTACGACGGCGTTTCAAGTATATCGCAATGTCCAATTGTTCCAGGTGCCAACTTGACCTATCGATTCCGTGCCGACGAGCAAGGAAGTTCTTGGTACCACTCCCATTATTCTGCTCAATACTCCAACGGAGTGGTTGGACCGATCGTAATCCATGGGCCTAATGATGTTAACTACGATGAGGATCTGGGACCAATTCTGTTCTCGGATTGGTTTCACGATTCGTATGAACACCTTGTCGACCTCGTCCTACAGCCAACCAACGGCCCGCCCTTCAGACCTCTTTCAGACTCTAACCTGGTTGGAGGAAAGGGTCAATATCCTTGCGCCAACGTCACGAACGGTGCTGCATGCACAGTCAACCCATATGCTTCATGGGAGGTTGAGCCCGGCAAGACCTACCGTGCCCGTTTTGTCAACACCGGTGCGACCGCGTTCGAGTCGATTTCTCTGGACGGCCATACTTTCACGGTCATTGCAGAAGACTTTGTCCCCGTTCAACCATATCAAACCGACTTCGTGACAATCGGTGTTGGACAGCGAACTGATGTTATTTTCACTGCCAATGCCGGATCAGGGTCGTTCTTCCTACGTGCATTCAACAGCCCTTGCGGAGACACAAATGGTCCTGACGGCAGAGGCATAATCTACTACAAAGGAACAGATCCGTCGGTAACTCCTACAAGTCAGCCCAAGCAAGGGACTCCAAACCCGACCTGTGGAAACAATCCCCTATCCTCATCAGTCCCACAATACGCCATACCAGCCGCAGAGCCCGACCAAACGATCACACTCACGATCGGAGGTAAACCAGACGCGCAAGGAATTTTCCGCTGGTCGTTCAATGACATCAGCTTTGTCGGCGACCTCGACCAACCAGCCCTCTTCGACGCCGTCGCAGGAATCAACCTCCCACCTCAACGCAACGTCTACCTGACGGGCACGGCGCAAACAGTGCGCATCATCGTCATCAACACCCTCCCAGCACCGCACCCGATGCACATCCACGGGCACGACTTCCAAGTCCTCGCCGAAGGCCAGGGGACATGGGACGGTACGATCGTGAACCCATCGAACCCATCGCGGCGCGACGTGCACATGTCGTGGGCGGGCGCGGAAAACGGCGCGACCAACTACCAAGTGATCCAGTACACGCAGGACAACCCGGGGGTGTGGCCGTTCCACTGCCACATCGCATGGCACCTGTCGGCGGGCATGAGCATCCTGCTGCTGGAGCGGCCGGACGAGATCGCCAAGATCGAGATCCCCGCCGCCGTCACCGACACCTGCTCCGCCTACACGGCCTGGCAGGCCGCCAACCCAGCCGTGCCCGTCGACGACGGCCTCCGGAAGCGCGACCTCGCCAAGCGCATGGTGGAGTTCATGAAGGGCCACGCCCACGCCGACAAGCACCACAACAAGCGCGGCTACCGTGGCTTCTCCTTCAAGGACAGAGACACCGGAAGCCTCGGCTCCGGCAGGGTTGAGGATAATCTGGCCCACAAGCGGGACGAGGTCTGAGCGGATATGGCAATGAATGATTTGATGAGATGAGATGCGTTGGGAGTGGAGAGAATACGAGCACGCCGATTTTCACGTGTGTCTTGGTTCTCTGGTGACGACTGGGAGATGGAGAAAGCACGCACGCAGCATAATCGGGGAAGGGGCAAGGCGATAAAAAAACATCGTAAGCAAGCAATACATCAATGGTTGCGTAGAACTACACTCTGGGGGGTTAGAAATTGTAGAGTGCACATGTATCAGAGCTTTAGCGAAACTTGCGGGAAGACCATCGTACGAGTGTTTCTTTACCATTCTTTTTTAGCCCGAATATTATCGTCATTTTAGTATTTCGTCTAAGGCCCCAATAGCCACTTGCCTCCTCTCTGTACACTACCAACCACGAAGTACGATCCCGGGGCTTATATTCTCACACGGGCAGGATGTGAGAGTGAGATGCTTTTTGCTGTCACTGATCGACACCGACTGTCTGACGTGTATCAGGGTAACGTGAGCAAGACGAATTCGTTCCAATTCGGGAGGCGGTGACCTCTTGAAAACTCTCCTGCCCGATAGGCACGCCTGTCCGGCACCTTCCGTTGTTTTTTGGAGCACAAGTTTGATCCCCACAGCACAGAAAGGCTTCTTTGTCCGGTCTCAGCTCAACTCAATTCCCCATGCTTGCTTGTGGACTAGGCTCCACGAGAAGTCACCGAGGCGATTAACTAATGTTCGAGGAAGTGGAATACTCAGACCTTCTTTTTCCCACCCTGGCCCATTTTCAATCTAGCGACCAAAACAAACCCCGCAGATGCAAGTGCCACGCCGCCTGCATAGAAGATCGCAGGGCGAAATGGTGCAATCGACGTAGCTGGATGTTCTTGGGCACCAGAGTTCGAATCTGAAGGCATACCCACACCAGACGCTTCGAGGAGATAGCCCGCAATAGGCACACCAAGGAGATAACCTGCCGTCCAGCCAGTAGCGCCCATGCCCATGGCGACAGCCTGGCTCGTTGTGTCGCCGCGACCGATCGCGGCAGCTGTACTGGCTACGACGACAGGGTAGATGGTGAAGAAAGCGCCATTGGCGAGGCCATTTAGAATGGCGAAGACGAGAAGCGGGCCAAATGAGTCCGACACAGGCCAGATGGCGAGCATACTGACTGCGTTGACAACCATGGCCAGCAGGAACATGTTCACGGGCCCTGTGTAGTCGCTCAACCAGCCGGATGTAAAGCGGCCGACGGCAGTGCAGGCGTTGAAGCTGGCGACGAGACCGGCGCCGGTGGTGGAGCTCAGGCCGACGGATTGGGCCACCAAGGGGAGAAAGTAGGGTGGGACGAACATGCAGAATACCCCAATGGCGCCAGCGAGGAAGATGGCAGTGAAGGAGAGGTGTTGGAACATCGATAGATCGAGGAATGGGGCTTGTCTGATTGGGACACGCTCACGGATGATGCAGGCGGCTGGGACACCCGTAGCCAGAATGCAAAGGCCCAGTACACGGAACGTCCAGTCGATGCCGATGTGTCTGATCATAGCATCAATGGCGATGGAGAGGACTGCAGCACCAATGCCGCCTCCAAGCTTGACGATGCCAGAAGCGAGTCCGATTTTGGCGACAAAGTAGTGTGTTGGGAGGATGTTAGATACCGAGTAGCAGAGACATGCCCCTAGACCCAGAATCACACCAGAGCAACCAAACAAGCCACCAATATTTGTCGTCGTGAAACTCGAACCAACTTCTGCAATGCCGACGGATATGATTCCCAACAATGCGGTCGTTCTTGCTCCAAGCAGCCGGGCCATAGTGACGCCGAACAGACCGAAAGCCACAATACATGCGAGACAAAGTCCGGTGATGAAAGACGCCGTTGATGTTGGCGTCGTTACGAGTTTGGATCGTAGAAGGGCCACTTGAAGGACACCCCAGGAGCCGACGATGCCATTGAACCAGAAGGTCATAATTGCACAGCTCGTGACAACGGCCCAACCATAACCACCCTCGGGTACGGCCGTGGTGACATTTCTCGAGGATTCATCGAAGGACGAGGTCAACTCGACGAAATGACTCCCGGGATCATCTTGATTGTGGCTAAGTGACGGCCATGAACCGGCAGTGCTGGATTGACGGCTCACACGAGTTTCGATCTCTGTAGTCGTTGTTGACATTGCTGTTGCTTTGATGTGGGGGTTAATGTAAGAAAATTCCTGAAGCAATGCAAATTCTTCATTCTCGTGTGCAAGGTAGCCTCCTCTTAGACATGTCTATGAGCGAAACGTAATGAGTCAAAGGGCGTTCCCACGATGGATGAGACGGCACCAGTCGTTGGCACTGACGTCGAACCATGAATGCTGGTGTGGCTATGAGGTACTGGTGACTGTCGGAGTTGACCGCAGCCAATAATGTCGTTGGCAACATTAATGACACCCCCAGAACTGCCCTTATGTCAGTGGAGCATCGGGTCCAAACGCCGAGCAGACCCATATTTCTCAAGAGCCGCCGGAGCTTGAGGTGCGAGTATTTTGTGTAACCCAGGATCTGCGAAAGGCTCACAACATTAGATGTGTCGTGGTAAGGGCGATGTTGTTCATATACGAATCCGACCTTGGTTTCCCTTTCTTGATTTTATCTTTTCTTCAGGGATGCATCGGGGTGTCATAGAATTCATCGCTCGCACCAGTGAAGAACGTATCCATGGCCGTGTCATCTTCCTCGGGTTGTGCCTGCAACATTGGAAATGATAGCCTCCTGCTATCGATCGTGTCTGCAGCCTTCAGGAGCGAACCAACCGCGGATTCAAGAATACCACTGGCGATTTCTAGGAATTCTGCGCTCTTGTTGGAGACTCGCAAGGTCCAACGGTATTCCTGTAGACGTCTCTGGTAAAACTCGGCTTCTTCCTGACTCACTGACGTTACAAAACAAAGTCCCGCAAACGTTCCGATCAATGCAAAGTTGAATTTGGATGCAAAGTACCAGAATGATTGCAAATGTTCTGGCTTGAGACGGTTGAAGAAATCCATCGCACTAATCAATCGTGCTTTGGCTGCTGATCGGCAGATTTGTATCATGTAAGGATCTGTATTGTGCGATAGAGAACGCAAGACTCGTCTGTGAAGGGTAATCTCTGTGGCGAAATAAGCAAGATGAAGGTATCCGACCGAGCTGAGTTTTCCGACTCGTGTATTATCCATACGTAGGGCTTCAGGCATTTCGGAATACCAAGAACGTAGTTTCAATTGTATTGGTTTCGCTTTTTCCAATATCATTTTAGTGGAATCGTAGGAATTTTTGAACTCTGTCTCCGCTCTGAGAGAGTACAATGCATCCAAGACATCGGAAAGCATTTTAGTAAGCGTGATCATGGCACTGAACAATGTTCGTCCTTTCTCAACCTCGGCACTACCATCTTCCTCATCTTCATCGGCTGCACTTTCCGGGAAGTCGCTGCTTATGACCGGCTGCACGGCCCAGTTGGCCGCAGAAATGTGAGGAGGTCGACCATATATTAGAGCCGACCAGGTATCTTGCATGAATAGAGCCCAAGCCAATCGTTTACGAAGTCCACGTTCCCAGGCAGGGACTCTCCAGTTGGAACAGTCCAGGTGTAACCCGAGATCTTGGCCAATGGCCACCAATTGGGCAGTCAACTGCCACGCTTGGTTGCTGTTTGGGCGTTGCAACAACAGCAGCCCAGCTTGCACGGTAGACAGCTTGGCTCTGTGTGATACATCTTGTAATGTACGGTAGGCGATGTCCTCCAGTTCGGCGACGTCAGGCTTGTTCAGCTTCGCCAGTTCTGTACTATACGACCACCAGTTCAAAGCGAGGATATAGACCGCGGCGAGTAGTGGAGGCGAGAATTCCCGATGCGTTCTACTATACTTTTCGAGATAGACCTTTTTGTGTAGGATAGGGAAACTTGGGTGGACGATCCTGAAATAGAGTTTGATCAGAGCTTCACCATGAGGTGCAACTATTCGCTCTATGTTGTCGAGTTCCTCAACCTCTCTGAAATGATTAGGCGAGTCCGCGTCGGCATATTGGTGGAAGAACTCATTTGGGCCAACTTTGCGGAAGGAACCTTGATCAGCAGGGCTCTCCCCCTTGACGTCGTCATAGAGTCGAAGGTCGAGTAGAGCAAAGTCATGCTCATCGGTAGGGCCGATGTATTTTGCATATCGATGGTTTTGCAGACTGGCCATGGTCAGCCGCCCGGAGAAGGTAAGGTAAGGCATAATAATGGAAACGAAATAACCACGTACCCGAGGGTCTTCTTCAACAAAGACTCACCCTGCAAGTTGGCATAATCGTTAATAACTGGACCAGTACGAAGGGACTCGGTGTCGGTAGATTGTGGTCGTGGGGCGTGGCCATTGCCCTCGGAGCCTCTGTTATCTATTTAGCTTGGCTGGAGATTGATAGGAGAAAGTATGAAGGGTGTGGGTGGAAGGCTCACGATCGTCTTTGCCGAGCTAAGGCAGTAGCCGACCCTGCAGTCCCATCGGAGGAGGCAAGGGGGTTCGCAGGTCTCCGCCGCCTGGGAGCTGCATCCTCGATGAAAGTACAGGCCTGTTTGTGAAATTGGCACATTACACAAGTGGAGGTGTCTGGATCGATCTGGCAACGGGTCTTGCGACGACGGCACGAGTCACAAGGGCGATCGTGTCGTACGGGTTGAATGGGGTTTGAGTTGGGCATGGTCATGTCGCCTAGAGGGGCCGTGATACTACCTGGGAGGCCGTCTTTCGTCGTAGGATCGGCTTGGAGGAGACGTGGCACAGTCGAGAGCATTATTGTTTATTACGGGGTGTTCAACAAGAAGCACCCTTTATTGGCGATAGAGGACCGGCATTATCAGTTGAAAGGGAGATTTTGTTTTTCTTTGGCGTTGGGGCAATCGTGCAGAAACAGGCGTCTGGATAAGCTCCCAGTCCCGGGAGATGTGGAAAGCCCTGACACTGACAGATGGGACTTATCGCAGTAGAGTCAGGAGTGAGAGCCAGTTGTCGGTCAGGTAGAGCAGTGCCCATGCGGATGCCCGATTTGATGGATATGGAACCCCGTTAGTAAAACCCAAGCCACCAGGGCCTGAACCTGGTCGACAGCAGCAATTGATTGAGTAAGAATTAACAGGATTCGGCTGAAGACGAGTTAGCTTGCCTTGGAGAAAGATAAGAGGTTGGGGCTCTTATTGGGTCAACAGGCCATCACGTGACAGAATGGTGGGATTGTGGTGGAAATGACCAACCGAGTGCAGGTCTTTATCAAATACTCCGCTTCATATCGATAGATGCCACGCGCCCAAGGAATACAAATTGTAAATGCCAAACAATTTCATGCTTCTCTATCGTTCCAGCCCAATGTCATTGCACCAGCTGGGACCGTCGGTGATGTGATGGACCCAAATACCCACTTGTGATTATCGTCCCCATCCGCTCTGCGTCATCACTTGTCCTCGGCTTCGCTTTGGCGTTGAAACCTACTGGCGATCTGCAACATCTCCGAGTCGGTGCACCGTGCCCCCAGAAAGGTGACGCTGAACGGCAATCGCGGTGTAGCCTCGTCGACAGCCACATATGTTCCACTTGGCACCGCCACCCCGCAGAGATCCAACACGTTGCCAAAATGTGTAAACGTGCCCATTTTGCTGTTCATCTTGATTGGATCCGCCAGCATCGCCTCAATCGTGGGGTGCTCGGGTGCTGTCGGTACCACCAAAACGTCAATGCCCAATTTATCCGCCGACGCGAATTGAGCAGTGGCATTCCGGGTGCACAAAGCCTTCATCTGGAGGTCCCGAAACAGTTGGACCGCCGTACTCTGTCGTGCAACAACTTGTTCAAATAATTCCAGAATGACTGGGTGTAAATGTTGTCGGTTCTTGTCCAGGAAATCGTCAGGTAGGCTTGCCAGTCTCTCGGACACGAACGTGCCTGCGTACAGCAGATCGCCTGCTTGTTGAAACGGTGTCCAGTCAATTGCTGTCAATATCCCACCCATCTGCTGAAGTCTTTGCACTGCCTCGTTGAATAGTTTTCTGAAAGTTGGAGAGCATATCTCAAGAACTTCCGGAGGCGGTATGCCAAAACGAAATGCCGTTCTTTGTGAACCAAGTGAATTGACGTGTCGTTCAAGCGGGAACGTGTCTCGGGCATATCTATCTTTGACGTCGAATTCTTCGCTTACCTGCCACAAGGTTCGAGCATCCCCCACGGTTCGGGCGGTGAACGCTATGCAATCAAGTGACAAGCAAGCAGGTGTTACACCCTCGAATGAGATGAGGCCCCTGGTTGGTTTGTAGCCCACGACACCATTGAACCCAGCTGGCACACGACCAGACCCCGCTGTGTCGGTTGCTAATGAGAACGTTGCCTAAAAAACCGGGTTAGCTAGAGATTCTTTCATCTTGATTTCCACGTGAGTATTACCAAGCCTGCACCAACGCTTACACAGCTTCCGCTACTACTACCACCAGAAATATGCTTGTCGCTGAAAACAGAATGTGTCACACCATAAGGACTCCGGCATCCGCTGAGGCCAGTCGCTAGCTGGTCAAGATTGACCTTGCCCAGATAAATGGCCCCCTGGGACATCACTTTTTGGAAAACCACCGCAGACGTGGTAGCCACATATGCCAGCGGTGGACATGCAGTCGTGGTTTCGATGCCTTGCACATCTATCGAATCCTTGACCGTGAACGGGACACCGAACAGTGGAGGCAACGAGTTTCTGTCTGGATATTGTTCCAGCAGCTTCCGAGCAGACTCGAGGACTGCATCTCGACTTTGGCGCTTGATCCAAACGGCTGGGTCGACTCGGTCGTATTTCTCTATCGTGTCGTACAAAGTATTGACAAGTTCAATCGGCGAGAGACCACTCTTGTACGACTGGTGAAGGTCTGAAATTCCAAGTTTACCATTCCACATCGGTGGGGTCTGAGGCGGAGTGGTTTCCCCATTACTCTCTTTTTTCCAAGGTGACAAAACGTCCAAAACGGGCTGAAGGTCTGCCACGAAGCCAAATAGCCCCTGAGACCAATATATCATGTCCAATGATGCAGTTTTGAACGCTGCATTGTATCCAGCGGTGCTCTCAGTTATCCCACAGCACTCAAACCCCCGATCATTAGCTTCTCTAATGGTGGTGGAAAAGCAGCATTCCGTGGTAACCCCTGAGACAAGTAAATGCGTGATTCCTCGAGCTTTCAGTTTATGCATTATGCCGGTATTCCAAAACGAGCCTTTTCCAGGCTTGTCAATGACGATTTCTGCCGCCAAAGGCTGTAGTTCATCGACAATGTCGTGGCCATATTCGCCTCGAACTAGTAGCCGGCCCATTTCCCCTTTATCGCCAATGACTTTATTGTGCTGAGTGTTTCCTGGCGCCGCCACTTGTCTGACGAGCTTGGATGAAGGGCAATCTGCAAGTGAGGGCACCTGGCCCTCTCTGGTATGGAAGATTTGCATCCCGGCATTTCTACATGCCTCAAGTAAAGACTTGGTTGGTGCTATTGAGGCCTGAACGGCCTCGAGATTTCCTCCTTGGATCTCTCCAAACCCACCAGCTAAGATAAAATCCCTTTGCATGTCTATGACAAGCAGTGCGGTGTTCTGAAGAGGGAAAGAAAAGGGGTATGGCTTAGCCTCAATGGTGAGGAAGCCGTCTTTGGCTTCAGTCATGCCCATGGTGGAAGTTGGTCAATATTGAAATGATGATGATACGGCTTTTACCAGGAAGAGTATAGAAATCCTATTCAGGAGTTTCTGAGGGTGCGAGTTTAGGATGCCACTTCTTTATAATGATCTGGAAATATGGGAATTTCGTACGCCCCAGCCCGTGATGTGTCCGTTCTTTCAGACCAACGACAGAGCCAATTTTGGTCACGTAAGTTCACAAACGCTCAACACCGAAGCATTGCTGAACGTGGAGGGCCATCCCATAGGAAGACGCCCTGTAGCCAATACCGTGCGCGAGAGGAGTGATAGATAAGAGCGACGCCACCGCTAAATCTGAGTGGCCAGAGGGCGTATCGAATACGAGTAATTTTTCACCAGGCGGCGGCCCACAGCTGAAATCGCGGTCGCCCACGGCGAGCGCCCGGCGGCCATACCGTATCACTTGGTATAGTAACGGCCACTGAGGCTCAACTTATCATTGTCAAACCGCCCGCCGGCGAGGCATTGTGGCCGGAGGCCATATCTCCACCATCGCGTCTCTATCAACGTGTATCTTTGGATTTACACGCTGATCAACCTGTCAAGCACCCCAGAACCACTTCCCCAGATTTTCAATGAGATAGACTCTGCTTGATCGGCGGCCTCTGGACAAGGGGCCGTGGTCCCTATCTCCCTGCTAACTCGTGGCACCAGGGTTTATCTGGGTATCTCGTGGACACATGCATTTCGTCTATCTGGAAAAGGAATTCAGCCTCGAGGCCTAACTCCAGGCGAAGCACTTTAGATGGGTGTTCTGACTTGGGCTATATAGACCTTCCACATTTCTCTTGTCTTCATCCAGAGTATTCACAACTTTGGCGGCTCTTGCTCGATTTTCTGATCCCACCAAGTTCCTTCACAGATTTAACCGCTACAATGGTGAACATTTCAGCTGAGCGCTTTTCCCCAAAGCGCTTGTCACCCTCCCACATCAAAGCCAAAGTTGAGCCTCATCTCCACTGGGCCGTTCCTATGGAACAAGGCCAATATAAAGATCCACGTTGGTCAAATCCCGACTTGGATCCCGTCAAACCAGAAGACCGTACTTGGGGTGCCGTGGTATGTTGACCATTATTTCTTCTCCGCTGTTGCTGTTGCTGTTGCTAATGAAGACTCTTTTAGGACTATTGGGTATGCTTCAACCATGGACCTGACATTGAAACGTGCCTAACAATATTCACCAGGCTTACTGGACCAGTGATATGCTCGCACCGCCTCTCGCTTCCACTGTATCGTCAGTCATGAGTCTGGGGTTCACTGCCCGTGAAACGATTCCAATTGTCTTTTGTGGATTTGCAATTTGTTCTGGAGCTCTGACCCTCACTGGAAAGATGGGAGCTCGATACTCCATTCCGTTCCCGGTCTTGGTCCGCTCGATGTTTGGCATGTATGGCAGCTACCCAGTCATTGTTCTTCGGTGAGTGTGAACCCTATTGGAGTTGGCTGTCCTTAGGAACTAACGATTTGTCAGAGCATTCGTGGCAGCCATGTGGACTGCCATCCTTTGCGTTCAAGCTGGTGACTTCCTCAATAATTGCATCACAGCGATTTGGCCAAGTTTTGCAAACTTCCCCAATCACCTGCCAGAGAGTGCTGGTATTACATCCGCAGGTCTTCTCTGCTTCGTAAGTCGATCCATGATACTCGTTAACAGCATTTGCTGATGTCTGTCACCCAGTTTATCTACTGGATCTTCCAGACCATTCTTGCTCTTATGCCCATCAAGAAACTTCGAATTCTGTTCTTGCTCAAGGGTATCATCGTTCCTCCAACCTTCCTCGCATTGTTCCTCTGGGGTGCGATCGTAACAAAAGGAGGAGGTCCACTAGTGACTGGTCATGCAAAGATCACCTCTAGTTATATGAACACGGCATACTCGGCTCTCACAGCTTTGAACGTCATCATTGGGTTGTTCAGCAGCATGGCTGTAAACTTTCCCGATTTCGCTCGCTTCTCAAAGAACAACTTGGCGGGATATAATCAATTTTTTGCCCTTCCGATTATCGGTACCCTTGGTGCTTTGACTCCAATCTTTGTCACTTCCGCGCACAGCTACATTTGGGGGGAGTTCGAGTGGTATATGCCAGCCGTGATTGCAAAGTTCGACTCCCGAGCAGCCAAGTTCTTCACAGCTTTCAGCTTCATGTTGGCGACCATTGGCAATCAGGTAGCTGCCGGTAAGTCTTCATGTCGCCATTCTTCCTTCAAGAGATCATGCTGACTGACTTCCGTCAATTTAGGGACCTATCCCTTCTCCAACGACGTGTCAGGTCTCTATCCAAAGTATCTCAATATCTTCCGAGCGACCTTGATCATATCAGTTTTCTGTGTCGTTTCAAATCCCTGGCAGATCATCAGGAACGCCAGTGGACTGCTCGCATTTCTCTCTGGATACAGTATGTTCATGGGTGCTGTGTGTGGTGTTATGTGTTGTCAATACTACCTCATCCTCAACAAGAAGCTCAACATTCATGAGCTGTATAATGGCCATGGTATCTACCGATATTGGCATGGCGTCAACTGGAGGGCATATGCAGCCTTCTTTGTTGCAGTTGGCCCATTGCTACCAGGCTTCTCCAAGAGTATCGACAATAATCTGGACGTTGGTGGTGCCTGGAAGATCTATACCTTCTCCTGCCTTTATGGCTTTACCATCAGTGGCCTCGTGTATTATCTGATTTGCAAATATGTTTCCGATGTTGGGGTGGCAAAGATCGACGAAGCTGTGTATCCTCCGTCCAAAATGGACATATCTGATGTCGAGGTTGGCATTCCAGACTCCGAGGAAGCATCTCTGCAGGAAAAGGTTGGCGGGGTTGAGGTCAAGGTGGGATCAAAGGATCTGGAAGGTTGAGCAAGCACTATCGGAGGGGATTGTTGAAAGATAATTAGCCGGTGTGCTTTGTGAGAAGATTGAGCCAGGCACTTATTGATGATACCTGAAGGACGCCCCCCTTGGCGGGTCTTGGAAACCAGCTGACAACCACAGAAGGATGATAATTTGAACCAGTTTCATACCGAGTTATGTAGCAAGAGAATGGACTAGTAACCACTATCTGTAGTATTCCTTTTTGGTCCTGGTCACAGTCTCATACTCTGAGTGGGCAGAGCGATCATCATCATGATGGTGATGATGACGGTGCCTCCTCGATTCTCGCTGTGGCGGATAAGGATCTCTCCTATCCTCATACTCATAATCCCTCATGGTCTCTTCGGTATATGATCGTCGTTCATCCTCGTGGTCATAATCACGTAGCCGTGGATCGCTATGCCGAGGTCCATGTCCATGTCCACCTCGAGACCTAGACCTCGACCTAGCTCGCTGGGTCACCCTAGCGCGTTCTTCATAGTCACTTCTTCTTTCATCGTCGTCGTAGTCATCATGGTGGTGCAGATAACGGCCGGCAAGATGCGCCTCGGCGCCGGGCCGTTCGTGGCGGCTCTCGCTGGCATCGTGGCGGCTGATCTGATCCTTGAAGAATCCGACACTGTGGGATCGCCGCACCTTCCAATCCTCTGGAGGCGAATCATTCCTTCCACGCATGGAGCTTCGAAGTCGGGCTGGTGGAGCCACGGTCTCCTCGGGGACGATTTCGGGAACTCTGCCTCGACGACGGTCGCGTGGATCATCATCGATGTCTTCCATGACCTGGACATCTTTGTGGTAGCTCGCGTGACTGATGGTACGGTCTCTGCCACCGGTCCGTGAGGAGTCGTATATGATTACATCGTCGTCTCTCCTGGTTCTCGAGGGAGGCGGCGCATCGTAGTATTTGGTCCGAGGTTGGTAGCCGTAGTCCCGCTCATCGTAGCCTCGTGGGTTGGATAGGTCGACCACGTAAGTCCCATCGTCTCGTCTCTGTGGCCGAAGAACTTCAAATTCGGATCTTGGGTTGGCTGGAGCAAGAACGAGAGCATTGGATCGCTTGACATAGGCCTCGGAATTCCTGTCTCGCCCAACTTCGTAAGTTGTCTTGGTCCTGTTGGCGACTGTGGTGGACTGCTGATGATAACCGCGCGGATCGTCGGATCGACCACTTCTGTCAATCAAAATCCGCTCATCTTGATAGTCACGCGAATACGACTTGTCATGATCATAACCGTAATCATAATCATAGTCCCGTCTCGATCTTCGCGGGGGAGGCTCGTCTTCCACGCGGTCCGAGCCACGATTGCGGCTCGCGTACACAACTTTGTAACTACGATCTTCACCACGTGTCGACATGGTTTCGTGGAACTGAGACTACCAAGTGCAGTTGTGTGACGTGAGCGATGTCGCACTGATTCTGTATATTCACTGGCAGGTCATTGATGGCCATGTGGGCAAGTCAGGCTGGACGTCTGTTTCTCGCCCAGCCTTTTAGGTGAAACGGGTGGGTGGGACAAAATATCTGCACATGCTTTCAAGTTCAGCCCCAGCAGCAGCAGTCCGCTGACGTCATCAGGAATGGTCTGATCAGCAGTTCGACGTGCATCAGGTGCCGTTTTGGGATTGCTGGCACTTGACATTCAGAATATCGCAAAAAAATGCACTTTAGAATCTATAACAACAGATTGCTTGTCAAGGCGGAAACCGAATGACACCCGGTCGTCATTCTTCTTGTGCATCTGATCAACATAAGGACCTCCGGCACATAGCGGGGCAAGGACGACCCCTCCGTAGCCAGTCAAGGCGGCTGAAAAAGAAGTTGAATCCAAGTGCAAGGTTCATGTCGTTCTTCATGATGGGCCATAATCCCAAAGTATGAACATTATTTGTTCTCAGCCTCAGCCTCAGGCTTCAGTTTTGATACGACATTGGCGACTTTGCCCAAACCGAGCTCCATGCCCTTGCCAACACGGGTATCTTCCCTATCCGAGTCACTATAGCTGACATGGTCTTCTCCTCCAGGCCCGCTTGTCTTGACACCTTCATCGTCAGTCTCTTCTGCCCGTTGCAAATCCGTACTCTTTCTGAGCGGCTCGTCGTTGACGCTAGATGCACGACTAATGTTAGCACTCTCGGGGGCAGTTTTCCTCAAGCCAAGTTCCTTTCCAAGTGTATGAGCTCCTTCAGCGACAACTGCTCCCATTGTGAGCGCTGCACCGCCCTGCCGACCACTGTCAACACCATCGGCTGGTCGAGCTTCTTCATTCTCCTCGCCACGCCAGTCGGCAGCTGGCTCTTCGTGGACAGTTTCCCCCTTGGCGGGCTCAGGTATGACGTGCTCTTCATCTTGAGCGTATTTCCAGACAACCTTGAGTCGATCGAGGGCTCTTGTTCCTTTTCTTGCACTGCCTTTTATCCCATCCATGGCATCCCACTCAATAGCGAAAACTCCAGAATCAAAGCCATCATGTCCCCCCTCAAAGTAGGCATTGAACCAAACATGGGCGAGCGCTGTGACCATCGTAAATCCGGTATATGCAGCCTTGTTCCGACGTTCAAAATCGATGTTGATATCACTCGTAGGGAGAATGAGTGGAGTACTGGGTTTGAGAATGACCGTCTGAGCTGCAGGTACCGCCGGCAGACTGGTATTCGATGATTGGGGAGTACCCCCAGCAGGGCTGACCAAGATCTCATCATCTTTTCGAGCCTGGCTATGGCTCACCGGCGGTCTTGATGAGTCGACTTTGGCGTCTTCGATAACGGTCTTCTCCTCTCTCTTGAAAGTATGGAATTGCCGAATTCTTCGACCATTCTCGACGTAGCCTTCAACCGAGACCTTGACACCATCGCGAAGACCCCAAACGTGAACTTCCAATATTTCCACAGGCCGTTCCACGTACTTCTTACCCATCTTGTTGGTCCACCGATCGACATAATCCACCCAGCGAAGTTGACTAGGGATACTGACACCATTGCCAAATCCTGCTCGCATGCGCCGGGCTGTAAATCGTTCAAGGGCGTCCTCTTTTTTCCAGCCTTCCTGGCTAATTAGATAAGAGCAAGCAGTTGTACCACTGCGGCCTTTCCCAGCTTTGCAATGTACAACGGCGACCCTATGCTTTTTGTTCTCGGCCTCGGCATTCGGATCATCCAGTCGCTGGATCCAATTTCTCATGGCAGCCATCAGATTGGGAATAATGGCAAAGGGTGGTGGATGGTGGTCGGGCCAGGGGAAGTGATGTATTCTATTATAAACTTCAGAGTCAGGATATCCTGTCCCTTCGGCGCGGAACTCGAATATCGACCATTCCTCCCCATGTTTTTTGTCTAGGAATTTGACCAGTTGATCTGTTGGGTTTCGGTAGGCTTTCTTTGGCCACACTGAACTGGGTCCGGAAGTCACAACGACTGAAGCGCGGTTAGAACAGAAAGGATATACGCGCAGGAGTAGGGCGTACTGTTGTCCGTCATGTAGCATAAGTCCAGGCCAGCTTCTGGGTGCCTGGCTCGAGGGCCTGCGACAATCTGTCGCAGAATTGAAGCCTGTGGAGGGTCAGTTACCTTGTTAAGACACCTGGAATATGGTTCATACCATCACCGCTGATGTGAATGTCTATTGCTATTATTGTATAGGCATAATTGAGTGTTCAATAATAGAAGCGTATTTACACTCTCGCACTTCCAGTTCGTACGCCAGCTGGCGTGAACTTTCTCAACGTCGCGTCCTTTTGGGAAATGACGTCAACCCGGACATCGAGGAACCCAAACCCCACCATACCATGGCAGTAACTGTACTTCAATACTGCTCAACATCAACAAACACTGACCAAAAGTATCCCCTCTACCTATTGAGGTGGTCTGCAGCTCCGAGTTGTCGTCATGCAAGGTATCACAGCGACAACTTTGACAAGGCTGTGGCTACACGAGCTATCAAAACAGGCTACACCGAATCCCCGACTGCCATATGTCCCGCAAGGCTGAGCAGACAATACCGTCTTCTTTTGGATGAGCTTTCCCAGACCTTGTTGACATGATCACAATAGAATGCAGCACGAGTGAAATCATAGGGTAGTTCGCGCTCAGTCAAATCTTACTTTCGAGGGATGAATTCCTCCTTGCTGTCCGGTCCGCTCAAATGTCTCACAATCAAAAATTCTCGGAACTTTGCTCGACAAGCTTCAAAGGTAAGGTTGCGGACGGAGCGCGTCCTGTGATGATCTTGTATGCCTTTGGAGATGCAAAGTATCAGAATCGAAGCATTCCTTGCTTCTCGTTGTCCTGATGAACGCACAGATATATATGACGGGCTCCCACGATTCAGTGGTAGGTCATCGTTCTGAATCCCAGGAGAGATACTTCTGACCAAAATGGGCCTCATCTCTGTGGTGCTCAACACTTTGGCCCTCACATTCAGTCTCGATCAAATTTTGACCAATGGAGCAAGCACATTGGGCCTCCTGACATCGCCATTACTGCCTAAATTCCTGATCAACAATCCTTTACAGGATGGTTTTCCATGGGGAAATCATGACTGCACCAACACCAATCCCTACAAGCAAGAACTCGATACTGGGGTTACTAGAACATATGACTTCACCATCTCACGTCGTGTTCTCTCACCAGACGGCTATGAAAAGAGCTTAATCTCAGTGAATGGGCAGTTCCCTGGCCCTCTCATTCAGGCTAATTGGGGAGACACAATCGTTGTTAAGGTGACGAATAACATTTCCACCCCATTGGAAGGTACATCTATCCACTGGCATGGATTTCTTCAACACAGCACTCAATGGATGGACGGAACTCCGGGTAAGTACTTGCAAGTCTTTGCATACATACCAGAGCCAATCTCGCTTGATCTCTGCTAATATGCATAGGCTTCACTCAATGCCCTATTGCCCCTGGGAAATCGTTTACTTACAAGTTCAAGGCCGAGTTATATGGAACCACATGGTATCACGCTCATTACTCTTCCCAATACACGGACGGGGTCATCGGACCCATTGTGATATACGGACCAAATCAGAAGAACTATGATTATGACCTCGATGTCGGCCCCATATTACTGTCCGATTACTATCACAACAGCTATGAATCTACTGTCGAAACACTGCTCGCTCCTCGTCCGAAGCTGCCACCCCTTAAACCAGTGAGCGACAACAATCTGATCAACGGAAAGATGAACTTCGACTGTTCAACGGCGGCGGATAAGAGAGTCAAGTGTTCTAACAATGCTGGCTTGTCGAAGTTCAGGTTTCAGACAGGAAAGCGACATCGACTACGACTGATCAATGCTGGAGCTGATGCAAGTCAAAAATTCTCCATGGATGGTCATCAGATGACCGTTATCGAGAACGATTTTGTTGCTGTTCAGGTGAGCCGCTGCATTACTACACATTGGGAACAACACCATTGATGTGAGGTCATAGCCATACAATACTTCTGTAGTCACTCTCGGAGTCGGGCAGAGAACCGACGTTATCGTCACAGGTCTTTCGGACCCTAAGGGTACCTACTGGATTCGAAGCAATGTGACATGTGCCGAAGCCAAACAGCCATATGCATTAGCCGCACTCTACTACCCCGATGCATCGTCCACAGCATTACCTACTTCATTCCCCTTACACACACCCAGCATCAGCTGCGACAACGACGCCTTGGAGAAGACCATTCCCACATACCCCATCGGCCCTAGAAACCCAGACCAGACATACGTCCTTGACCTCACAGCAGGCCAGAACGCGTCAGGGGTATGGCTCTGGACGATGAACAACTTGACCTTCCGGGCCGACCTAAGCCAGCCAGTCCTCTTGCAAGCCAACAAAGGCAACCTCACATTCCCTCCAGCCTGGAACGTGATCAATACGGGCTCCGCCAAATCCTACCGCTTCATCTTCAACAACAACAGCCCACTCCCCCATCCCATGCACTTCCACGGACACAACATGCACATCCTCGCCGTGGGCCGCGGCAAATGGGACGGGAAGACGATCGTACGGCCCGAAAATCCACAGCGTCGAGACGTCCAGATGGTGCCCGAGTTCGGCTACATGGTGTGGCAGGCCAGTGCGGATAACCCCGGCGCATGGGCTTTCCACTGCCACATCGCATGGCACGCGGCGACGGCCCTCACGGTCGACATCCTCGAGCAGCCCGCCAAGATCAAGGGTCTGCAGATTCCGAGTTCTGTCGAGCAGACTTGCGCCGAGTGGCGCGCCGTCGTTGCCACCAGTCAGATCGAGCAGATCGATTCTGGTGTATAGATATATCTGTGAGGAGGAAGTCGGTCTCTTTTGTCTGTTCGGCTTTGATTTCATCTTTCCATTTCCCTTGGGTTTTTGGGGGTTTTTTTTTCCAGGCACTCATCACATAATCCATAGAGCTTTTAAATCCTAATTTTGAAGTTGAGTCCCCATGATCGTTGTCAAAGGGGCCAGCCTGATTGCTTGCGGAAGGATCCTCAGACCCAACTGAACCCGTCCGATGCGTTCACTCCACAAATGATGCATACCTAGGAAGGGTGAGCATTAATGAGACGCCTATGTTAACGTAGAATGTTCGAAGAACGATATCCTCCAGCTGAATGGCACACAGACAAGGGAAGGTGGTCAGCTCGTGAGCATCATCGATTGTTTCAATTGTGGAACTACTCGTATGCTATCATCAATTTCATTGATGGTGTTGGATCCTATGGACAGCGGATCACTAGTTACCTGGTTTGCTGCAAAATAAAGGCTCGATGTTAGCAATCTCATTCCGCTCTAGCCATGATGGATTTGTTCATCTCAAATGCCACTTCCTCGTGAACGCCTTGTTGTCGCTAAATGCAATTCATTCCTCATGATCATGGGGGACTTCCCATGGCAATCAGTTGAATCATGCTTGTTCAACTAACATGCTGATGGACCGCTTCCTTGGGAACGACGCCCTGAGCAACGAAGATGTCAACCAAGCCCTGGAGAGGTTCCATGTCTTTCTTGGGGAGCAAGTCGTAGTACATGGCGACAGTGATGAAGTGGACGAAACAACTGTTCAACTCCAAGTGACGATTGATGTGCCAGAAGGGGCTGTCCCAGTGGCAATGGTAGAGATGAGCATAACAGCGGAACATCTGCTTGATGATACTCTTCACATCCTGGTGATACTGTTGAGGGAATCCAGAAGCTTTACCGATCCAATCGTCTTGACCAGCAGAAAGTGAGGTGAGTGATTGGTTGCTAGGAGGTAGAGCAATGGGAGTGGTTGCACTTGCAGGGTTGGAGCCCATATCACCCGAGGCGTAGGTTGTGGCAGCAATTGTTGGAGGAGGGTCGGTGGGGAAGACATTCTGGTCATGAATCTTGCCGACAATCCATCTTTGAACGCGAACGATGTAAGATGGAGCAGGGATTTTGGCAGGTCGTCCATTCTCGAGCCAGGTGTATGTGAGACTAGAACAGAAGATTTAGTAACAGGACAGTAGCTAAGGCTTGTTGAGACATACCGTCCCGCAGACATTGTTGGACAACTGTGTTCGTTGCACAAAGGCTGACCGGTATTTGTGTCTACCTCTTGTATAACTTGAATCATGCCGGTAAGGAGACGGTTCATTTCCACAACTTGGACATGTTAGCCAGAACAATGATATATGTCAAGTTGAAGACAAAACATACGTTGATGTGCCAGCCATTCACCTAAATCAACATTTTTGGGTTGAGCAGCCAGAGTCAAGAAGTTGCCCTTAACGGAGCACTTTGCGTATTTCTCATTTAGGAACTTCTTAGGCTCATGCTCATTGTATATGTTCTCTTGACTATAGGTAGACGACATTGAGGGCGAGTTGACCAGAGGTGGCAGAGGAGGAGCGTTTTGCTGAATGGGAGACTGGGAACCGTTGTACTGGCCCTTCAAGTTCTGGTTGCTTTTTGTATTGCCTCGAGCAAAACCTTGACGTCTAGATGACAACCCACGATTGTTAGCAGTCTAACTTGGCCCCAGAAGGCGGTGGTACTTGATCTTTCAGTCCATGATTGCTCGCCATGTGTGGCCATTGAAAGGCGGTGCGGCCAAAGATGGGCAGAGGAGCGGGGGGCTTTTGCGGCGAGAACTTACACACTCTGAAAGAAGGTAGCCATGTTGTTGCTCCTCTTCGCTATTGCAGTCGCAGTCACAGTCCGCTGACCACCAGACCTGCGAAGTACAACTTTGTATAATGTGGTTTTGTTCTGGGGAAAGACAAAAGGAGGAATGAGTTGCCAATCGACGGTTTGACGGTCGGACATTGAAACACGAAACACAGGAGTTGGACCTAATTGTGAGGCAACTTAGCCGAGTTGAGTCTCTATCGCCCTCTTATACAGGCAGTTTAGCCGAGAAGGTGCGCTAGCTTGTTCAGGCAATATCAAATCACTAATTCCCAATTGTGAATTCTTGACGATTGACAACTCCAAAGAACAAGACACGTCAATTATCATTACCGCTCACTCTTTCACCACTTATTCCTTCTTTCGCTTTCTTCTTCCCAATGATTTCAACTTTCATCTATCAAATCGTTTGACATCTCCCCTTCAAATCCCTAAAGTACTGTCTTGGATTCTCGTCAACACAGTAAACCTGCCATCATGTCCGCGGAGGTCGATACCCTGCCTCCTAGCGGAGATGTGGACGACAACCTTACCCCGGAGGCTCTGAATGGTGGTGGATCTGAAGATGATGCTGATCTCTTCGGTGATGACGATGACGACGAATTACAAGCAGAGGCCAATGAGTAAGTATTCCGAGTTCCCTTTCCTTCCAATGTCTCAACTAATGAACTTCAATTAGACTCAATCGAAAGCTCGATGACGAGGAACTCGACTCTGGAGATGATGAGGGACGAACAGACCGCATCGAACCGACGATCGAAGACGAGCATGAAGCCGACGACGAACAGAAACAAATCCGAATGTTGCAAGTCGATCTGGCAAGAATTAAACCACCAGAGGGTGACGACCTGTTCTTCCTCAACATGCCCCCTTTCCTTGGTGTCAAGCACAAATCTTTCCAACCATCCACCTACGAATCTCCCACCGTTCCGCACGAAGCCCGCAATCCAAACAATTTAGAAAACGCAGCCAACACCAGCAAATTCTCCCCTTTCTCGACCGCTTCCACCACCATGTTCTGGCGGCGTGATCCCAAGAACTCTGAACTCATCCAGTCCAACTCCCGCCTTGTGCGCTGGTCCGACGGTAGCATAACACTGCAGATCGCCTCACAACCCAAAGACCACTACCGAGTCTCCACAAACCCACTCCGTCAAGGCTGGCCCAAGAAGCAAAGCGCAGGAGCCACCCAAGACTACGACCCGACGAAAGACACACACAACTACCTCGCCGCGCCACACGCCGTGGTCGGAGTCGACCTACAGATCGTGCAACCCTTCGACGCGGCGATCAAGATCCAGCCGACAGGCGACTACGTCGACGAATCCGTACTAAAACTCCAACAATCCCTCGCGGCCACCACAGAACAACACGACCCGATTGCCACCCTGCGCTCGATGCGCGTGGACCCCGAGCTCGCGAAGCGCGAAGCCGAGAAATTCGAAAAAGACCGCGTCAAGGCCAACCGCAAGGTGGAAGCAGCACAGGAACGGCTGGTGTCACGACGAGACCGCGTCATCGGGCGAGCAGGGATGGGGGGGCGGCTTGGCGGGGCGGGGCTCAGCATCGCGGGCCTCGAAGACCAAGACGGCATGCCCGGGGCGCGCGGCAGCACCAAGGCGAAAGCGGCCAAGCGGCGCAAGACGAACCGGCGCGGCGAGATCTACTCGGACGACGAGGACGAGGACAACCACCGCGGGCGCGGCGCCGACGAATACGACCGTGGCGACGACTTCCTCGCGGACTCGGACGAGGAGCCAGAGACCTACGACGACGATGGCGACGAGGACGGCGAGGCCGAGGCCGACGTCGACGATCCGGACGTCGATGACCTCGAGATCGAGGGCCGCGACACAGTCGTCAATTCGCGCACGAGAGGCGGCACGGGCAGGGACAGGGGCTCGACGCCAAAGCGCCCGGCGAGCGCTGATGAGGATGACGATCCCCTGCCACAGGGCAGTCCGCAGAGAGGCAAGAGGCGGCGGTTCATTGCGGATGACGATGACGACGACGACGAGTGATCATGGAAGGCATCCATGGCGTTGTGGGGAAGGAACCCTTTCCTTCTACACGCAATTCGGCATCGTTGGAGCTCACACCTTCCTCCATCCATCCATCCATCCATCCATCCATCCATCTGTGTCTTGTTTGCAACCGTGGCATATGTGTGGCACCCATCCATGCCCCCCGTGATCTGGCGCCTTATCTACGAAGAAGCGATAGATAGATATGTACCCAGAAGAGGCAAAAGATCTAACTTGATCCAGTCGCCCAACTCTTTATCTAGTCTTACTGTGTATTCCATTCATGAAGCAACACCCAAAGCATGGACATTGAGTGCATGACCGAAATCGATCTTAACATTCAGAGAAGAATCAGGTTGCAAAGTTCGCAATATTCATAATGATACACTATCTCAATCATATGAAGCCAGTTTCTATCTATGTCTGAGGATAGCCTTTTAGCTTGGTCCGGGTTTGCTTCTTCCGGCATCCTTGTTGCAACTTCCCGATTCAAAGCAGTCATCATCCTTATGATCAGCAACGTTCAAAGCCATCCGTCCATTTCCCACGTCTCGTGCCGCACATAATAACATTACAGCATGAACAGAAGATACTGGCCACCAAGAGAACGCGACATGGAGTATCTTCATTCAACCACAAAACACCAAGGGAGAACCCCGCAAAGTTCACCACAGCCACTGAGTTTCCTTTCAGCTCAACAGATTTCTCAAACTCGGACTTGCACTTGCACCAGTTACATCCTTCTTCTCATCTCTGGCCGGGATCGCACTAGCAGGAGTGATTGGTCTCTGAGTAGGGCTTGGTACGGCTAGGGGACCACCAAATCTTGATGTGTTCCCCATTTCCACGCTTGCTTGTCTAGAGTGAGGACGTCCAGCTTGCTCTGCCTGCTGCGCAATTTGCACTAGGGATTGTGACGAGGATGATTGTCGCACAAGTGATGGCGGAGGTGGTGGGGGTGGGGGCGGTGCAGGTTGGCTGTATATTCTCTGATTCGACGATTGTGGCATCGTGTATCCATTGATCGGCGAACCAATTCCGCTTTGACGAGGAGGCTCTGGAGGATATGATGGGCGTGCGAGAATATTTTGTGGCCCCATACCTAGCCTAGGCGAAGGCATTGGAGGACGCTCCACCCCAAATCGTGGAGGGGACGGGTATCGCGGCGGATGGGAAGGTGAAGCAGTGGCCGGGATGGCATGATGAGAAACTGGATGCCCATACGGTCCTGGTGGCGGTGAGTGCTGAACTAAATGACTATTGCCATGTCCTCCTGGAGCATGTGGTGGTGGTGGCGGCGGTGCGCCTCCATATGGTGGTGCGGGTTGAGAATGAGGTGGTCGTCCGTAAGGCTGGTTGTACTCATGTTGTGGTGGTGGGGGTGGAGGTGGAGGAGGTCGATACAATGGAGAATGTCCATACATGCCACCCACAGGTGGAGACTGGTGATTTGCAGGGCGCATAGAGGCTGAAGACCAATGCGGTGGTGGTGGGGGAGGGGCATGCTGCCATGATGGAGGATGAGGAGCAGCGGGAAGAGGACCAGGCTGTGGAGGAGGAATTGAGGCACCATTTGGATGAGGATGTGGTGATACATCGAGTGATGGGCGACCATGGGGATAAGGGGCAGTTACTGGTGGAGGTGGAAACGAAGGTGGCGGGTATGGAAAGACCTCTTGAACAGGTTCGATCGAGCGCGTCTCACGTCGTTTGATCTGAGAAGGTGATGCCGGCGGTTCTCGCTTCAAGACATGGCATTTGTGGCACTGATACAGTGTAACACCTTTGTCATCTGCCACGGAGCTCACTGCAGGACCATCAACTGGCTCTGCTTTGACGATGCCATTCGTCATGAAGGTATCGTGAGATCCATTGCCGGCTCCGTAAGCTGCGTCTGCTGGTACCCCATTTGTTGTTGGCGGAGACCGTGATGTCGTGCTGGTATCCGTCTGAACTGCCCACCATCTCGGACTGACATTGACCAAACATGTACAGCATTTACGAAGGCCACTAGATTTGTTGCCACTTGATGTTGCAGTCCTTGGTTCATTCGACATATCATCGAGAGCCCTGGGAGACTCCACCATAGGCGAAGAGCGACGGCTGTGCCCTGCTGTCCTTTCACCTTGTGGGCCAGAAGTACTGGTACCATTGACGAGAGAAGGACGACTTGGAGCGGATTGAACCGGGAGTGCTGCATTCGTTATGTTGGTGGTGAACTGGGCGGCACGCCGAACTGTTCCAGTGGTTGAAGTATCTACTTGTTTGTAGGTATGCGCAAAAAGTTGCATAGCAGTCAAGCCGGCTTCGGTTGGTTCGAGCATGTTGTGCACATAAGTTGTTGGCTGATGTGTTGGACACCAGATAGCAGCAGTAACAATACCACTCTCGTTCTCGAACTTCATGACGTTAACAGCATCCCGCCGGCTGCTCTTCACGGGTGCCACATCAAAGCCAAAGAGGTACTCTGCTTGATGCGCACAACCCACATGAAAGTAAGAGTTGCAGTTCGCTTGGTGACATTTGACAGTTGGAAGGCCGCTGGTTTTGCAAAGCTTGCAGGGTGGCTCAAATCGTTCGGTGGGGATGAACCCAACACCCTCGGCTTCGTCAAGTAAGTCTGCATTGCCAAATTTCATCTCCTTGGTCCAAATCGCACAAGTGACATGGACCCAATTGTTCCAAGCCGTCCTTTTGAGAGCCTCCCGTGGGTTTACAGGTCGACCTGCAGCCTCTTGTTCCATTCGCCAACGGCGACTAGCCTCTTGAATGATCTCGCGTTCTATGCGCTCTTTCTCGCGGTCACGGTCGGTTTTTTTCTTATGTGTGGCTCTCAAGGGCTCCATAAGCTCTTGCTGGGTGTATTTGACAGGGCAGAGGACACACTCGTAAGTCGTGGAAACTTGTAAATTGTGATCGTTCCTGCACATGTCACAAAACCAGGGGTTCGTGTTGGCTTTTGAGCTGATTCCGTAACAAGCACCATGGACATGCAATCTGCAATCTCGGCACTTGAGCAGTTTTTGGCCTGGTACATCAATCACATGACAGACTGCGCATGGATGAATCTTGACTTTAGGCGGATCAGGTTCAATAGGAGGAGGTTCAACAGGTTTCTCTGGAACGACTTTCTTCTTGTCCAGCACGACGTCCGGGGTCGATTGAGCGTTAGTATCTCGGTCGGCCTTGGCTTTCTTCTTGGGCGGCTCATTGGGTTCGATAATATTGGCAGGCACTTCTAGTCCTGCCTTGTTTACCTCATCCACCGCACGGGGTGGGATAGGATCACCAGACATCTGATGTGCCTCAAGTATAAGTCGAAGGAGCTCTTCGTCCACTTTCCGTTTGGCTGCTCTGCTTCCAGATGAAGCAATCTTTTTGGAGACCTCTTCGATGTCTTCATACTGAACCGCGTATTTCCGCCACAAATAAGCACATCTTCCGCAAAGTGCCAAAGTCAGCCATTGGCTTTTGTCTTTGCTGTTCTTGGCTGATTGATCTCTGGGTACAAGGGTGCCAGGAGCGGTCTGTGGAGCTCGTCGCCATTGCCTAGAGTGGCGAGTTGCGCAAAACTTGCATTCGAAGCCACGCTTTTTCTGTGATGCTTTTTCGTCGTCAAAGGCTGAGTCGTCATAGTCGTGAGCCACATCATCCAACAATTTGGGGGCATTGCCTTCTTTATCTGCACGTTTGGATTCCTTCTTTGATCGACGTCCTTCAAACGCGCCCCAGATCTGTTTCCCACGATCGGTCTTTTTCCACATGTAGTAAAACCGAACAATTCTGGACTCTTTGACACTGCTTCCCACGTGGCGAGAGACTGCGTGAAGTTCACTTCCATATTTGGCAACTCCTTCTTCGAACCTTTTAATTTCCTCTCGGTTCAAATCCGGTTGTTTGAGGTCTGCTCTCACAGACAAGCCTTTCATAGCTTGCAAGGATTTTTCCACGTCGTAATTATTTTCTTGTAACTTTTCAACAGCTTTGGTCAGAAAGTCGACCGATGAATCGAGTAGGTTGTACTGTTCAGCAATTGGTTTGACTCGCTGCATATATTCGTCCACAAGCTTCTCTGCATCCATTGGAGGCTTGCCATCATCATCATCACCTCCCCTTTCGGACCGAGATTCTGGCATCTTGAAGGTGAGATGGGCAGTGTGCTCCTTCTTCCCTTTTATCTCAACTGGATCATCAAAACCACGAGCGATGTAGCCAGGAGGCTCGTCGATAACCCATTTCGGCCGCTTAAGGCGCTGGTCTCTGTCGGTATCAGTTCCGGTGTCCTTGGAAGATTTGCCACCCTTGAGATTGGGGTGCTTATATTTTTTCTTGATCTCTGCAGGCTTAACCAGTTCCACAGGTCGGCCATGCCATATACCGACGTTAGCCTGATGGCGAGGGCCAAGTCGTGAGCTTGCACGGGGATATATGCGATCATCATAATCCAAAGCATCCTCGGCACGCGAATGAACGCCCAAGTAACGCCACTGCCATAAATTTGCTTGCGCAATTTGTGCAGGCGTAGGTTCTGGATGTGGCTCTGGAGCAGCGCTACTCTCACGGGTGTCTTGATGCTTTGGACCACTATCGTCCTCATCCTCGTCCATTGGGTCATCGTCGTCCCCATGCGCAGCTTCGGACCCAGCAGGAGTATTTCTGTAGTCCATTTTCATCTCCTGTGCCCTGCTGCAGGCAGCACAGGCCCACGCGAAGCCTCGAGCAGGCTTCTTCAGTAAGGGTGGCCTGACACACTGCATGTGATATGTTTTCTTGCATACAGCACAATCCACCGAGTCGTGATTACTCGCGAATTGTTCGCATTTGGTGCATTTTTTGCTCTCGCTAGTCAGTTCGCGACCACGGCCGACCTCGACTAGAACGAACTTCCATCTTTGATCTAGTACCGTCTTGACTCGTTGTGGGACATTGACAACTTTGCGAACGGGTATCACCTCATAATAGCGGTGCATGTAACGATCGTAAAGTTTGTCAAACCAGAATGAATCTTGCTGGCATCGATATTCGTCCACATTGGGAATATCCGACAAATGCTGAATGTTACACTTTCCACGAATTGAGGTGAGAGGGCAGGTATCGGAATGCATGGAAGCGAAGACAACCCGTGTATCTTGCACACGACGGAGTATGTCTTTTGGGCGATAGTACCAGTTGACTCGCATCGCGTCAATGGGGAGTTCCGGATCGTTTTTCTGATGAAGAAACTCCATGATCCGCGCAAGATAATATGGTTCTCCTGGTGGTTCGCATACAAAGTAGACATGGTCTGACACGGTCAGAATGGAGAATCAGAGGGGAGATGCAGGATGAATTTATCTTACCATTTGCCTGAACGACTGTGCCATCGTCCGCGATCAGCTGCTTCTTCGAGTTGAGTCTACGTCCACAATTCACAAAACTCATCATGTTTGTCTCCACATAGCCTTTGAAAGGGATTGATGCAGTGTTCCGCAATCGCGAGCCTACGGCAGTGGAATGTGCAGCTACCGTGTGGTTGCTACCCGGTTGTTTCCTTTTCTTCGATGGCGCAGGCGCCGGAGTCGAAGCGGGGGTATGTGTTGTAGAGGATGCAGCCGGGAGACTGTCACTCACGGATTGATCGACCTGGGAATTGACCACGGCAGGAGTGGGAGGGGCAGCTTGGTTCTCGTTTGCTGCAGTAGACGTTCTCTTACTTGAGCGCTGAGGCTTACTCAAAGCCTCCAACTCTACGTCAAGATCCTTATCCTCAGCATAATTGATCCGACCTCCGGTCCGATTCCTGGAACGCGTCCCATAACTTGTTGGGCCAGTACCATTCGTTTCATGGTGATCGGTCGGAGGGTGTTGTGAAGAAGAGGACGCGGTAGCAGTCATGGGCTGCGACTGTGGCGGCTCAATATTCTGCGCACTTTCGGGTGCAGGAGAGACATCCATGCTATCTAAAGGTGTGCTTGGCGGTGCATCTTCGAGGGACTGCACTTGTGAGGCAGGTTGTTGATTGGGAATGGATTCCGATGGCACACTCGCGACTGGGCCATTGTCTGAAGCTGACATGACGAGTCGTGAATGAAGGGGTGCTGGGGAGGAAGTTTGTGGTGGCTCGAATCATTGCATGTCTAGTCCGCTCGGAGGAATAGGTGGCCACCACAAATGTGAGGCGAGGGATATCTGGATAGGAAAATTCGATTGAAGATAATAAGTATAATATGATGTGTGGAGGAAAGGTGTGAAGTGGAAAGGCAACGGTCGAATGCCCTTTGGATTGTGAAGAGGACGCGAAATTGCACGTCAAGAGAGGTGGGTGAGGCGTGGAGGGTCGATATATGGAAGTATACGTCTAAGCAGGGAGCCCGCGAAGTTTAGCGCCTTGACAAATATGGGCCGGTGATGGGGGATGGTTGAAGCGACGCAAAGTGGGGACCAAGAGATATGATTCATGCGTGACACCAGACAAGGCAAGGTGATTGTTAGGAGAGAAGAATAGACAGGAGGAGAGGCTGAGAAGGCTGAGGAGAGAGAATGTGAAGGAGGAAGAGAAGAGAAGAAAGAGCCAAGGAGGGTAAGAAGGATGGATGGACATCAAGATGGGGGAAGGACAAAGCACAAGGCAGTTAGTCCGGATTGGACTGGCATCGGCAGAAGGAAGAATGGGTTGGAAGAAGCGTGACAGGACAGGGCTCAAGGGCCGGGAGGGTGCCGAGATATCGTGAGTCTAACAGGACATGATCAAACCTACAAGGACGAGTACGGGGCCGTGAATCCGTGATATTGTCACATTACTACTTGAAGAATTATGGAGACCTGGAGACCTGGCCGTGCCTGACGGGTGAAGAGACGCGGGTCAATGCTGAGGACGATGAGTTACGTTACAAAAGGATGGGAAGGGAGTCGTAGTTGGTGTGCATAGATGGGAACGCGGAAACAGAAAGAATGCGAACTTGAAATGCGAAGTGTGAAATGTGAACTTGAATGATGAACGGGATGGCGGAGGAAATGGCGAAGAGAAGCCCTGGCAGAGAAAAAGGGCAGAAGTGTGAGGTGGACAAATAAGAAGTTGGCAGGGAATGCGGATAGGGTTCACCATAGAGTCGGAGTAACAGTGGAGACCTGCAAGGCGAGCCTGAGTCTAAAGAACTAAAACACCTGAAGGCTCTCGGGTGTGCCCATTGCCCATTGCCCACTTACCACTTACCACTTACCACTACCCAATTCACTAACCACCTCCAGGCAGGCAGGTACCCTAACAGATGACTGACGTGGCGGCAACAAGTACGGAGGCTCCCTCCCAGGGGCCATCATGGGACATGGCTATGACCACTGCAGTCGTTTGACCCGAAGTGAACAGCAACCACACTGACGTTGGCTCCTGTTCCCAGTGCCCATCGCAGTTGGCGGCGGGGATTTCTTCCTTGGGTTTCAAGTGAAAGGCTGTCGGCTTCGGTATTTGGTGGGTGGTCGACCTGAAACCACAGTTTTCGCCCGCGTAAAACTCCCAAACGGTATTTTTGTCCTTGTTGGGAATCCCAATTGATGGCTGATCAGTTGGGCGTCCTCCAGAGTATTACTTAGGTATCATTACATGTAATCTCGTGGTCACTGGACCGACGTGATTGATGAGAGGAGGTTGTGAAAGACTGGCGAGCTGGGCTTTGAACCCTGCCTCTTCTCGCCCCACACGATCTGTTAGTGTCAAGCGGGCTTGGCGGCACTTGATCAGCTTCGCCCTCAAATTCAACCACATCTCTCTGCCAGCAAAGCACGTCGCAGTGGTGGCCAACCACCCTCGCTCTCGTGACATTTAGTTGCAGTCAAGTTCCTGTTTCGAATGTCTCGTAAGGGTCGTAGTCATATCACCACCAGAGAACTCGAGCACTTTCAAGTGGTCTCGACTTTGCGCCAACGGAGTTCCGCACATTCTTGCTTCACCATCTTGCAACCTCACAGCGAACAATGGTTACCAGCCTCCAGAAGTCTACCTCGTACCCATGTTATTTGATACGCTGAACCATGCTACAGGTCCAACGTTCACAATGTCTGGCCATGGCCCCCACCAGTTCTCCTTCTCCTTGCACGGTGACCCGAAAAAAATTCATTCATGTGCGATCATATGATCGCAAACAGTCCAACACGATTATTGATCTTGTTAGGAATTGAAGCATTCATCATTGCACAGCTGATTTCTCAAGGTCATCGCGCGGCCGTCTACACTCATCGGGTGCCCGCCTCGAATGTGAACTTGAACCCAAAGTCCGGCGGGCTTGGCAGTCCCAAATTTCTGGCAGGAGGCGCCCGGGTGGATCCGCGTTTGCGCCATGGGATTGGTTAATTTCTCTAGCGCGCTTTCTCACGTGTCGTGCTGCCTGCAAACTTGAAGTGGCGTCAACTGTGGCCCGCATCAAACTTCCCCAATTCTGACCAGGCGCGATTGACAACTTGAACATCATCCATGTTCAACGCCCAGGTACTTTCAGCTTTTTGGTTGTGCGAGTTGGATACAATCTGCTCGTGTCCTCGGTTTTTGTAATTTACCCGTGATCAATGATCAATCCTTCCACTGCATTCTTCGGTCCGTTGTCGGAGTTGGGGTTGACAAGTCTAGCTAGCACCACTGGTTATGGCAGCGGGGTGGCAGAACATAGCGAACACACACTATGGCCAATCAACATCACTTGACCTCGCTCGGCACCAAACATCTGCTCTGGCAGGTACAAAACGACAAGGCGACGGAACTGTGAGGATCGATTCAGCCCGTCAACCTCTCGTTCCTGTATTTCATGGGACGATATCTGGTGACCAGCCAGTTTCGGCCCATTCTCGGGAGTACTACAAGACACGCTTAAAAGCAAGTCGCATCCATGCTGCCAATGACAGCAACGATAATAAGCAGAGCCTTGGGAGGCCTCCAGTCTCCTTACCTCCACATATACCATCTACGCCAGGGCCAACTCAGAATCCTTTGCTCACACTTCGTCACCCGAGGTACGGGCTCCCTATCAAATTGGTCGATAACTTTGAAGCATGCGGAGTGCGCTCGATTTATCCATGGCAATCATCCTGCCTTCTTGGGAGAGGACTCTTGACGGGTGAGCAAAACCTGGTTTACACTGCACCAACTGGTGGTGGCAAGTCACTGGTAGCTGATGTTCTCCTCCTCAAAAAGATCATTGAGAACCCAGGAAAGAAAGCCATTCTCGTGCTGCCATATGTAGCACTTGTGCAAGAAAAGCTGAAATGGTTGCGATCCTTGGTGGATGGCGTCACCAAGAACACCGAAGAGTCACCCCATCTTGTCCACCATCCGACATGGCAGCAAAGCAGCAATCTGATCCGTGTCGTTGGATACTTTGGGGGAAGTAAATCTACTGTCAATTGGGCTGATTGCGATGTTGCGGTTTGTACCATCGAAAAGGCCAACTCTTTGGTCAACAACTCAATCGAGGAAGGTAAAGATGGCGAGATTGGTGTCCTTGTTTTGGATGAACTGCACATGCTCAATGATGAGCATCGTGGCTACATCATGGAGCTGGTAGCAACGAAGCTGCTATCCATTGGCTCCAATGTACAAATTATTGGCATGAGCGCCACTCTACCAAATCCTGAGCTCTTGGCCGACTGGCTCAGAGCAAAATTTTACATTGCAAAATACCGACCCATTCCGATCGAAGAGCACCTAGTGTATGAGAATGGCATATACTCGACATCAAATGCCGACGACTTTTGCCGCACAGCCAGTCAACTAACGACACGCGGTCTCACTCCCACTCCCAGACCTCAGCCTTCCCGAACCATTGAGTCATCCGTACATAAACAACTGGAAAGCCCTGTGTTGAACGCTGTTGTAGCCCTTGCGGTAGAGACAGCATCTAGTGGGCATGGGGCTCTCGTATTCTGCAGCAGTAGGGCGGGAGTAGAGAGAATGGCAATATTGATCAGCGACGCCATGCCAACAACAAACATTGCGGCCGATATTTGGGACAAGAGGCAAGATGTCCTTGCTTCATTACGTGCCCTTCCTGCAGGCTTCGAGGCCACGTTCTCACAAACGATCCTGCATGGGGTCGGGTTCCACCACGCCGGTCTCACGGTCGAAGAACGTGCCATGGTAGCCGAAGCATATGACACAGGCATTCTCAAGGTTATGGTTGCCACATGCAGTCTTGCGGCCGGCATCAATTTGCCCGCCCGCAGGGTAATTCTGAGCGGAGCGCGAATGGGTCGAGATCTGGTCGGACCTGCCATGCTCCGGCAAATGCGAGGTCGCGCTGGTCGAAAGGGCAAAGATGAAGTTGGTGAAACCTACCTTTGTTGCCTGAAATCGGAATTGGAAGATGTGGCAGAACTCCTCCAGGCAGAAATCCCACCAGTTGTAAGTTGTCTAATACCTGAGAAGCGTGGGATATCGAGAGCTCTTCTGGAGATCATCGGCATTCGAATGGTGTCGAGTCGAGAAGCGCTTGATCAACATGTTCATTCGTCTCTTCTCTGGCATACCACAGCTCATGACGTGGTGAACAAAATGGTCGACGCCTCAATCGAGGAGCTCATCAGTCAACGACTAATTCAAAGAACAGAATTCGAGAATTGTTTAGAACCAACCAAATTGGGTACGGCTGTGGTGGCTAGCGGTCTCACACCGGAAGACGGGGTTTTCGTCCATTCGGAGCTAACAAGAGCTCTCCAATCACTGGTCATGGATGGTGACTTGCACATCTTCTACCTTTTCACACCTGTACAGACTACAGGTCTCAGTGACATCTCGTGGTTGACATTTCGGAATCAACTCGAAGCCCTTGATGAAAGTGGCTTGAGAGCTCTTGGTCTGGTTGGTATCAAACCTGCATTTGTCAATCGTCTCGTTAATAGTGGTGCGGAGCTAAAAGAAGGTACGGCGGAGGAAATTCGGGTTGCCCGAGTCTATCGTCGCGCGTATGCAGCATTTCAGCTGCGAGATCTTTGCAATGAGGCCACTATCCACGATGTCAGTCTCAAATACAGCGTTCCAAGGGGCCAAGTTCAGAATCTGTCCCAGACATGTCACGGATTTGCAGCAGGCATGATCAAATTCTGCGAGCGGATGCAATGGGGTATGCTGGGAGCCGTGCTAGAACACATGTTGGACCGCCTTCGGGCAGGAGCTCGCGCGGATCTGCTTGAGATGGCCCAAGTTGCCTTTGTGAAGAGTCGCATGGCGAGGATATTCTGGGAGAACGGATTTAAGAGTGTAAGGGCCCTGAGCGAAGCAGATCCTCAGAGTCTGGTTCCTGTCATGATGCAAGCCCAGGTCCGCAAATTGCGATTACAGGGTGCGGCTGCTGAGAAGCTCAATGCCAAGCTCGTGGTGAAGGCGGGCATTATTGTCCAGAGTGCGAGTCGGCTCTGGGAAAGACAACAGATGGTGCAGTGGGAGGAGGAGTAGTGAAGTTTGAGTACAGTACCATTTGACGAAGCGGGCAATCACTTCTTTAGCGGTTGGAAAATAACAATGACGCTATGTTCTGGTTAGTCAGTCAGCAAGGTCTTTGACCAACCACAACTCCATAATCAGTGCCTTGCATGATTGATCGTAGTAAGTGTAGACGCATTTCGAGCATTGGAGGGGACCCGCAGCGCAGCTAGGCTGCAGACGATGTTCAAAACGGATCTGATTATAGCATGGACGGGTGCTGACTCTTGTCTCGCAGTAGGTAGGTAGATTCCAAGGTCTCTCAGAGACGGTCTGCATATGTACCTCAACTCTAGAGACGACGGTTGATCTTTTAGACACGCTTCAATCACCCACATGGCGGTCGACTGCTGCATCGGGCTGACAAAGGTGGCTTTCGACGGGGTTGAGTCGCTCTCTTAGGTAGTCAGAGCAGGCGTAGAACACGTCCTCAACCCCATTCACGACCTTGTAATCGAGAACCAAGAGGATATTTTCGAAGGAGCATCCGAGGTTTTTTGCATGCATCAGCAAGTGGAGCTTACAAACAGTACAGGTGAAGATTCCGCACTCGGCCAGCGGGGTGATGGTCATCATTGGTTGATCACCGACAGCTTCTTCTGTGGGAGGGGCAACTGGGGAGCTTTGCTTGTGCAATCTTGTGTCAGCTTTTCATAAGCGACTTGACGGCGGCGTTGCTCTCGTCCCCCGTCGTACCGGGGTATCCCTGTCGTTCATGTTGTCATACTCCCGTTTCGAGCTCACCAGGGTTCTAATCGCCCTGAGGATCCTACAGTTTATTTGTTGTTTTACAAAGAGCTTGGTAAACTCACCTGGGCTGCTCGGAGCTGCTCCTGGTACACTGCCTACCGGCACTCCGCCGAATAGAGGCCCCTGGCCACACCAGCGTCTGTTGCTTGGGCCATGATATGGTAATGCTGCATAATTCAAACAGCTCCGAGTCTGAGAAGCTTTGGCTTTCCTGTGCCTGGGCGTTTACACGGCCGAGAAACTCCAATCAATTATGCCCCTCTTGTGGACACAGCTGGTTCAGACGAGGGGCATTACACGTCCCTGTCTTCGTGCCAGGTAAAGATCTGTACGAGGATGGTACCGATGTGGTAGGTTTGAGCCCTTCAGATAGGTCATCATGTACAGGTATTTACCTGTGCCGCTCCAGTCTGCCAGTATCCACCCCTCGATCGTGAAGCCATGGTCACCGTGGCTGCCGTGGGTACAACCGCTTGTGTCAAAGGACTCGGGGCAGTCTTCCAATTTAGCCACATGCTGGCTTCCAGAAATCACATCAGTACATAAGGGTCTCTGGTCTCCCACTTCATTGACCACTTCTGATCTCTCTCCATCTTTCTGTTTGCAGTTTCACACAACCGATCAAATCCTCAACACTGAAAACACAGTCGAATCTTGACAGATAGACATCATGGTCAAGGTTGCAATCATCTATGTATGTCGCTTCATTCCTTCCATAGACGTCGCTGCGACAGATCCCATCGCGACCAGAAACACTATACTGACTCGGTGGCTTTGTTAGTACTCGACCTGGGGTCATGTCGGCAAGCTGGCAGCTGCTGAGAAGAAGGGTATCGAGGCCGCTGGTGGCACAGTCGATGTTTACCAGTATGCTCCCACCCGCTGTCCAAGAATGAACCATCCCGTTGTGCAAATCTAACCGATTCCCTCCCAAACAGAATCAAGGAGACCCTCCCCGCCGAAGTCCTGAAGAAGATGTACGCTCCCGAGCAAGACACCTCCATTCCCTTTGCAACCCCGGAGACCATGACGCAATACGATGCCTTCCTCTTCGGCATTCCCACCCGTTACGCCAACTACAGTGCCCAGTGGAAGACCTTCATTGATCACCTCGGTGGCCTCTGGCAATCCGGTGCTCTCTTTGGCAAGTACTTTGGTCTGTTCGTCTCCACTGGTACCGCCGGTGGTGGTCAGGAAGCCACAGCTCTCCAGGCTCTCAGCTCTTGGGTGCATCAAGGCATGATCTACGTTCCTTTGGGCTACGCAAAGACCTTCTCCATCCTAGCCGATCTCACCGAGGTCCGTGGCGGTAGCCCCTGGGGTGCTGGCACCTTTTCCGGTGCCGATGGATCCAGACAACCTACTCCCAAGGAACTCGAGTTGGCTGAGATCCAGGGCAAGACCTTCTACGAGCTCGTCAGCAAAGTCAACTTCGCGTGACTAGATGGCGGTGAGAAGAAGAGCGCTGCCACCACTGCCACGACGGGAGAGACAGCAACAGCCAAGCCGGCTGCAACGACAGAGACACCCGCGGCGAAAAAAGAAACAACCACATCTACTCCGGCTGCTACGCAAGCAGACGACAAGGAGCCGGAAAGCGGGCCTTGTGGCCTGCCCAAGAACTGCGTCATTCTCTAGTGGCGGAGCGAGCTTGATTGAATGCCAGCGTGGAAGCAAAGAAAAGTGACACATTGATACGGTAACTAGTATCACACAAGCAGAAAATGTTCCAAAGAGACCGACCAGCCTTAAGTCGGTCCTCGGAGAAAAGATGAATTCCAAATACCCTTTTTAGGCATGAATACACATTATTGAATGACATCAAAATAAAAAACATTCTCTTTCCAGTGGCGGTCGTGGGGATTAAACAGATTTAATGGTATAGGTGGTGTTGATGCTGGAAGGTTTCAAAAAAAAAAATAGTAGGCACTGTATGTTGACATCGTTCAGTGAGCCTGGTGAGAAGAACAGTGTATCAATAGTCTTCTTGGGCTATCGAAGTACGAGAGAAGAGTAGGAAGTTCAAGGGCTGGTGGGTTCCATGACACATAGGGTATCCATATCGATGTTGAACAGTAAAATCATATGGGCACATCGCTACATAGCTGCATAGCTGCATAACCACCACGATCATAAACCTTCTCCTCCTCCTTCTTCTTCTTCCTCCTCTTGATCTACTAGCAACACCCTCACACCCCATCATTAAAGCTCCACCCTCGGCACAGGCGTATCAAGACTCATGACGACGCGCCGCCCGTTCTCGACGATGCGGAGGCACAGGAAATCCTCGGCGCCCTGTTCCTGCATCGCCCGGTGGTGGCACTTCTCCAGCTCCGCCAAGTCCATGCCCGCGGTGTAACCCTTCTGCAGGTCCGTGGAGAAGCGCTTGGGGAACTCGCCTGTCCACTCGTCCTGCTCGTGCCACTGCTTCTGCCGTCTTTCGAACGTCGTCAGCACCGCCAGCAGCGTTACTGGTGAGCTGAGGCAGTTGGGCGAGATGCGCCGGTTCGGGTCGGCGTCGGGCGGTTGGGGGATGGGCGCGTCGCCGAAGACGTGCGCCCGGATCAGGTTGTGGCCGAATGTGCGCCAGGAGAGCTCTTCGAGGACGGTCATCGAGGTGTCATTGTCGCTGATTTTACGGCTAGGGCCGGAGCACGAGGCGGCGGGGTCGGAGCCGAAGCCCCTTTTGAGCTCTTGCGCTGTGGCTTTTCGCACTCGGTGCCAGTGGTCTGCTATGACGTTGATCAAGACGCTGCTTAGCATGACGTTCTGGGAGCCCGATTGGAACTTCTGTGGGCACACCCCGCAGTATAGACTGGCTTTGGTGGTGCGGTGCGCGCCTAGTAGCGTGTCTACCGTACCACTGGAGACTGGGAATGCGGAGAGGGTGGAGAGTGTAGAGAGTGTGAGGTACGAGTTCGGTAGGCAGGGGCATTCTGGGACAGAAGGTAGATTCAAGAGTGTGGAAGGGTCGGCATCTGGATCATATGGAACAGATGGGTATTCAGGATTGGTGGGGTCGAAAGAGATATGGTGCTCCTGTCTCTGGCGGTCTTGCATGGGCATTGGTAGTGCAGACATCTCTGAGAAATCCGGCCATAGGGAGACATCGGTAGGGTACGATATATTTGTGCTCGGAATGCCGTCTGGAGGAGTTCGCGGTTGATCGTCGGAGGGGGTTCGAGAGCTGCCAGTGGCACTGGTCTGCGATGAAGAGGTATCGGGAAACGAGTTGGGTGTGGTCTTATGCTTCTGATTGCTGGCCCGTTTTATAGTCTGTGCCAGAGGGCCAGGGCAGATGTTCTCGAAGTCCGATCTTTCGGAGAATCTGGCAGTCAATTCTGGATCGATGGCAGGATCGGGTTGCAACTGAACCAAGGGAGAAGGAGACTTTGCTCGGCTCTGGTCTACTATTGCAGTATCATCGTGGTCTGTCTTCTGTCTCTTCCGTGGACGGCCCATCTGTTTCTGAATGGAGTAATGGCAAGTAAGGTGTTGTTTGGTGCACCGACCGCAGCCAGCGGGCTCACCGGAGCATTTCAATTTGCGCTTTCCTGCAAGGAATCGAGGTCAAAAGAAGAAGATTCGGAATGAGAATATTAGGATGGGCATACTACACTCATCACACGCAGCATGCCTTTTTGTTGTTGGATCTGGGTCAAAGGCAGCATCGTACGCGGGGATTTCATTGCCCTGCAACTCGGAGGTCAAGTCATTGGTAGCGAATTGCTTTGCCATGGGATAACTGCCGTAGATTTCGATAAGTTCCGAGGCTCGCTCAGACATGGATGTCATGGTTTAAGCAGAATATATATAATGCAGTGTGTTCAGGGAGCGAGAGCGTGAAAATGAGGGCCACCAAGCAATGGCAGTACATGTATCTGAATAACCCACGATTTGCTAGTTACCTAGTGCACGCTTGTGTTAGAACGAGCAGTGGCACGTTGACATGACAGGCCTCTCTTGATGCAAGCCAAGGGCTGGAGGCCTTAGATCGAGAAAAAGAGCAAGTTTGAGAACCGCTGATGGACTGCTTGAACGGAGATAGGACGGCCGAAGGACGTAGAGTCACTCGAGGCCAGCACGTGATTCTGCCCTGGAGGGGAAGCGCTGACATAATGTGAAGGCTGTTCATTATTGGCGGAATCACTGGCGCAGCCGGACTATCCAAAATAATTCTCCGACTCTGACCCTCAATAAAATTCCCAGAAAATTTCCCCAATTCCATTCTACCATTGAACGCACCCAACCACCCAGGCAAAATACAGACCATGGCAGGCGCAAAGAAGCGTAAGGCTGTCACTAAAGATGTCGAGGAGGACGCCGCGGTCGTCTCGGGCGATGAGTTCGACTTTGGTAACCTGGATGGTACTCTTTCTGACAGCGACTTGGGGAGCGGTGGCAGCGAAAGCGACATTGATAGCGAGGCTGAAGAAGATGCTGATTCCATTGCAAGCAACGAAAGCCAACCCGATGACGATGATATCCTTAAGCCTCGTCAAGACAGAATCAACGGTCGAGTGAACATTGCTGTCGATAACAAACCGGTGTCCAACTTGGTAGAAGAATCTGACGATGACGAGCCGAACTACAAAATTGTGAAGGACGCAAATGGGAATGAGAGATACGTTTACGATGAGATTGATCCGGGAGATGACTCGGATTATTCAGTAGCAGGTGATGAAGCAAATACCATAGGGGACATACCACTTTCTTTCTACGACTCCTACCCCCATATCGGATACAATATCAATGGGAAGAAAATCATGAGGCCAGCAAAAGGACAAGCTCTTGATGCTCTGTTGGACAGTATCGATGTACCCAAGGGCTGGACCGGTCTGACCGACCCTTCTACCGGCAAACCTCTCGAGCTTTCACAGGAAGAGCTACAACTGCTGCGAAAGATTCAGATGAATGAAATGCCTGTTGATGGGTATGATCCTTACGAGCCGACTGTTGAGTGGTTCACAAGCAAGTTGGAAACAATGCCACTAAGTGCAGCCCCTGAGCCCAAGAGACGATTTGTTCCATCAAAACATGAGGCCAAGCGTGTCATGAAAATCGTCCGGGCAATAAGAGAAGGACGAATTTTACCCTTCAAACCACCCCAAGACGAGGAGGAAGTGGAGGAAGATGATCAGAACTACGATATCTGGGCTGATGAACAGCCTCGACCGGATCATGCCATGCATATGCCAGCTCCTAAACTTCCACCTCCTGGGTTTGATGAGAGCTATCATCCACCACCAGAGTACCTCCCTGACAAGAAGGAAAAAGAGGCATGGGAGAATGCTGATGAGGAGGATAGAGAGAAAGATTTCTTGCCTGCTGATCACGCAGCACTGAGAAAGGTGCCTGGGTATGACAGGTTTGTCAAGGAAAAATTTGACCGTTGTCTCGATCTTTACCTTGCCCCCCGAGTCCGACGCACCAAACTCAACATCGATCCAGAATCTTTGCTACCAAAACTTCCAAATCCTGATGAATTGCGCCCCTTTCCCACTCACGAAGCCGGACGCTTCCATGGTCACAAGGGTCGAGTGCGTTCACTCGCCATTGATCCTTCTGGGCAGTATCTGGCAACTGGAGGAGATGACGGTACAGTGCGAGTGTGGACCATGGAACCACAGCGCGAGATTTGGTCTGTGGAGCTTGGCTCTGATAGCGTCGTCAACGCGGTGCGATGGCGACCTGGTAAAGACACTCCGATCCTGGCCTTTTGTGCTGGTGACGATGTATACCTGAGTATTCCCAAACTTGGTGTTGAAAGCAGCCCCGAGGCCAATGCTGCACAGGATGTTCTGGATGCTGGTTGGGGTTATGCTGCATCTGAGATTGCCGCCCCAACATCCACTAGCATCAAATGGAGCAGGCCATCAATTGCACAACGTGATAAAGGTGTTGCAATCATCATACATCTCGGACATACTCCAAAGACGCTATCCTTCCACTCGGGTGGGAACCACTTCGTCACAATATGCTCTGCAACAACTGTGCCTGCCTCGCAAGCTATTGCAATCCACACGATATCCAAGCATCAAACACAACTCCCATTTCGGAAAAGAATTCGTGGTGGTGGTGCTCCTCAGGTTGCTCACTTCCATCCAAGCAGGCCGTTACTGTTTGTTGCCAATCAGCGAATCATTCGTGCATACGATTTGTCAAAACAATCCTTGTTGAAGATCATTCAGCCCGGTGCTCGATGGATCAGCAGCTTTGATGTGCATCCCACTAGTGCGTCAACTGCAGGTTCAGACAATCTCATTGTTGGTTCATATGATCGCAGACTTTTGTGGATGGATCTTGATCTATCTCCTCGCCCTTATAAGACACTTCGCTTCCACGATAAGGCGATCAGGTCGGTGCGATTCCACCCAGCCACCAACAGATATCCTCTGTTCGCAGACGGTAGTGATGATGGTAGCATCCAGATTTTCCATGGGCAAGTAACCAGCGATATGATGAGCAGCGCACAGATTGTACCACTCAAAGTTCTGCGAGGTCACAAAGTAACTGAAGGCTTAGGAGTGCTGGAGCTTGATTGGCATCCTCAACATCCATGGCTGGTCAGTGCAGGCGGTGATGGAATTTGTAGATTATGGGTGCCTTAGGCACAGTAGCTGTGACCAAACAATCTACACATTAAAACTTGCTTTGCATTTTTCAGTAGCAATGTCCGACTACGAAATAATTTAAAGGAAGAGTACATATCATAACGTATGTGCTTTAAGAATTACATATTGAAAACGCTCCGGGAAACATTTCCGACGCGAATTTGCGCCCCAGGTAAAGTCACGTGTTAGCGCGTACCTCTGGCACTAAATCACGACACGCTCGTGACGCGTTGCTCTGTCGAACTGCACTACATTCTACCACTCATGTACTTCACATCGAGCTTTTGAATTGCGCAAGTCTAATTCTGTTGATATGCCTGCGTAAGAGATACACTGCTCCAGCCCGCATTCATTGGGAACATTTACTGATCATGATCCAGGCCGGGAGATCAACACAAGCCGAATGGCACCGCCACCTCCAATCCTTTCGAGGAGACAAAAATGAGGATTACCGAATATACCGCGCAAGAAATTGCCACCCTACAGAGCCGTCTCGACAAGCAACTAGGTCCTGAATATATCTCTGCTCGGGCAGGGCCTGGAGGCTCGAAGGTACACTACTTAGCTGCTGAAAAGGCCATCAGTTTAGCAAATGAAGTATTTGGCTTCAATGGCTGGAGCAGCTCGATTCAAAACATCCAGATTGATTTTGTGGACGAAAACTCTCAGACTGGGAAGATTACTCTCGGGCTATCAGTCATTGTTCGAATCACCTTGAAAGATGGCACCTATCACGAAGATATAGGGTATGGTCAGATTGAGAACTGCAAAGGAAAAGCAGCTGCATTTGAGAAGGCGAAGAAGGAGGGAACAACAGACGCGTTGAAGCGAACGTTGAGGAACTTCGGGAACGTTCTTGGGAATTGTATTTATGATAAGAGTTATCTCGCGAAAGTCACAAAGATCAAGGTTGGTGCCTCACGATGGGATCCAGACTCACTGCACCGACATGCAGATTTCGCGCCTAAGAAAGAGGAAGGTTTCAAGACAGAGCAGCCAGCCCAAATGATCAAAGAACACTCGACTGAATTTGATGACAGTTTCGATTTAGCAGACTTTGATGAAGCAGACTTTGGAAGTGTCGATTTTGGTCACCCAGATGAGGTCAGTCTCTCGTCTGACTCGAATGGTTCAAGGCCAGGGCCATCTCATGGACCATCAGAACGGATGCTTCCACCAGTAAGAGGAGATATGACAACACCTTCGAAGCCACCAGTTGTTGGGCGGGATCTTGCTCGCGTGCCAGCCTCGAGGCCGGTACAACCTGGAGGTACTGGATCAGTCATGGTTCGCCAACCTCTACCTGGGCAGCGGAACCCTACTGCTCAACCTCTCCCTGGCAAACAATCGCTGCCTTCTGAACCACGACCACATCCAGAGACTATCTCTCGATCTGCATCACCAAGTATTGCTCCTTCGAATCTTGCTGCTCCATTAGCTGGACAAGGTCAGTCGACTGCCTCTGCTAGCCGGTCTGCTGCTTTCTACTCAGCTCGAGCCGCGACCAATATCGACGCCAACAATAACATCATCCCAACGGCTGCAAATGCTGTTCCCAAATTCGATCCTCGCAGTGAAAGCCCTTCGATCCGAAAGACTTCCGGAGTTGATCACAACAAATCTGTACCGCTGAAGAGAGATTTGACGGCGGATACGACCCCGCATACAACACAGATAATCAATCCACAGTTCGACCCTCTTAGACGCGTTGGTGCCCTTGGGAATGGAGGACAGCCTCAAATAAGTCGAGGACCGAGCACATCGGCTTATCGACCACCTACCAGACGTGGCCCAGAATCAAATAGCGGATCTCCCATAACAGGAGTTGGTGCCGGAGGCGTCGATCGAGTACTACAATCGGTCAAACGACCGCCTCTCGGTGATGTGAGCAATGTACAGCACAGTGTGACGGCAGTCACCACGGACGGGGTTGATGCAAAGAGACAAAAGTTAGTGGAGTCCGAACATTTCAAGGACCAGGAAGAGGTGAACAACGCCAAACCCACTGATCAGCGAACATGAGGATTTAAAAAAATTCGGTGGGCGGAAGTAGACGCGGCAGCATTCGGTGTTTCTGGTTCGCGGGTTATAAACTTCTGTGGCATTTGTTTCTGAGCGGTGTCGCACATTCAAGTTCCAGACCTCACGCTAGACTTTGCGATTTTCGCTTCACGACTGTATGACTGACTACGATATCCAATAAGAATTCGACTGTTCTATCCCCATCCCCATACTGGGTTGGACCTATACCAGTGGTCTCTGTATCCGATCGAGCTCAGGTACATCACGTTGCCACAGAATTCCCCTCCTATTCAATGCCGCGAGCACCTAACCTGCTGAAAGATGCTATCTAAAAGACTGCACAGCCTACCCAGCAGCAGGTTGTGAGAAATATCCGCTGAAATTATAGTCGACCCTCAGTTCTCCACGCGGTCCTGGGACCACCCTGATCTTGCAATCCACGGCTCGTGCAGCACACTGACCGACATTCCCAGCATCCCCAGCATCTGCTATCCATCCTACAACATCACCTCGACAGGTCTCGGCATCATGCTCGCCAGCTACATGATTTCCTTGACGGCCTCCGTTATGCATTGGTCCCGGAGATCGAACACGTCAACGAGGTGCTCGAAGCGATGGTGGAGGTCCACGGGCCGTAGTTGCTTTACACACATGATACGGACAATTTCTCAGGAAGATGCTGGAATCTCGATGAGTTTTAGACTTTGAGTTGGGCGAGTCCGTCAGTTGGGATGAGGAAGGCTTGCATCCCCGCGGTCTCCAGGCCGGAGAAGGACGTGGTCATGAGCGGTGAGAGAACGATTTCCACGAGTGCGTTGGAGAGTGGTGTTCGTGGTGCGATGCAGGTTTTGTTAGAGTTGGGGCTTGTGGAGGAGGCAAAGGAGGTGATTGAGAAGTGGATGGCGAGGTGCATTCATGTCCTGGCCTGGAAGTATAGGAGGATTATTTCAACGCCCCATTCTTCGGGTGGTGCCATGGAAGCATATGCCCGTCCCACTGGGCCAGATGAAGACAGAATCATATCAAGAATATTCCATTTGCAGATAGTATGGCTATGCTCGCTATCTTCGTAATTGAGATAACTCTATGTCTCATAACCCCCAACCCGTGGCGGCTGAGAACTCCCAAAAGCAAGCATCAAGTCATCGCTTCGTCAGCATTTTCTCACCCATCCTCCGACTCCTACACATGAATCATGGTTGCAGACGATGGACGAAATCGGTAGAGACAGCTGGCATGTGTTCATCGCGATTCACTTGCAGGTATGTATTGTTGCCTGCTCAGCACTCCTCCAAGCCAGTCCATTTGTTCAAGTCCTGCTTTCGCCTCCAAAACCCGCGACCGCTGCCGTTCCGGAATCCTCATTTAGTGATCTCTTCCAATTTCCTCTTGAGGGCGTTGACTGTCGGATCTGTCGCGCTTTCAGCCACGGGCTGAGTTGCCCCGTCGCCTGGAAGGCCGAAAAGTCGCTCCACGCTTTTCAGAAGATCATCCACCCACCACGCCGCATCAACAGGGTCTCCGGCGTTTGAGAGTCTGTAGACACCTTCTGATAGGATCGCTCTCAGATGAAAGTACGAGATCACCCCGTTATGGGCCTCTAACAGAGACTTGAGCTTCGTAATCCGGGCTGGCGTCATATGTCTCACCTGCGGCCACAGAGTCTTGACCTCATCAACCACCATGGAACTGTGACTGGCGTTGAATTCGACGACCGATTTCTCGACGAATGCAAGTAGTCCTCTGTTCGTTGGTGGAGGGCGATATTTGAGATCCGCTTCCATCTTATCCACTAGATATTCAATTGCCTTTCGGAACGCCTTCTTGTAAGGGCGCTGAAGTGCTGCAATGTCGTCAAGTATGCCGGCACTTAATGCTCGATTGTCGTCAATTTTTCCAGTACTTGAGGCTCGGGTATCTTCAGCTGTTCCAGCATTTACTGCTTGATCTTTGTCAATTTTTCCAGCGCTTGAGGCTCGGGTATCGTCAGTTGTTCCACCACTGAATGCTTGATCTTTGTCAATTTTTCCAGCGCTTGAGGCTCGGGTATCGTCAATTGTTCCACTACTGAATGCTTGATCTTTGTCAATTTTTCCAGCACTTGAGGCTCGGGTATCGTCAGTTGTACCAGCACTTAATGCTTGATTGTCGTCCATTTTTTCAGCACTTGAGGCTCGGGTGTCGTCAGATATCTTGGGTTCTTCGACTTCGTCGCTCGAAACTGCCTGTTCGCTCCCCGCAAGAATCCTATCGCTGGTTATGTTCGATACCCATTCATATCGCCGGCCTGTAAGCGTGGCATTTGCGCCCGGACGACGTTCCCTTCTGAACTCGTGGCGAAAAAAGATTTCGCTTCTTGCGATAGTGTATGGTGTGCAAAGACCATTGCGAGGAAATAGGAGGACATAGAAAGCCGGGTCCACCTCTCTATGCATCATCTCAACCACGACAAAGGCAACCTTGTTCTTTCCAGAGAGAATATCTTTGCGGTCAGGCCGCTCTGTTCCCACCTTACTTGGTGAATGCATGCTGAACCAAGATGGGGATTTGGAGTATCGAAACACACCAATGCCATGTTTAGCGTAACCGACAATTAAGTAGCGTGAGGTGTTCTCGGGCAGAGGTTGCGTGCTGTCGGCTTCTTCGTCTGTCAAATCAAATGACTGTCGGAATGCAGAATCCGCAGTATCTCCATTGTTCACAGTGGTAGAGATATCGATAGCAGTTGTCCACTGCAGAGGTTTCTTGCTAGGTATCGATTTGGCATTGATTTGTTGATACATGTGCTCGCCCTTGCAGACGTCCTTAAGAGCCCACCCAGCAAGGTTGAAAGCTAAGTCTCGGATCTGCATCTCTCCGGTTGATGTCTCCGTGGAAGATTGGTGCTTGGAAGTTGGGTTTGTGGGACCCTCTCGATTTGATGACATGATGAGTAGATAGTTGATTGTACTTTGCTATGTTCAAGGAGAACGGCGGAGTTCAAGGAGAATTGAGCTAGCTATAAGGGTGAACTCTCTGGTATTGAAATGGCTCAGATTGAGGATATGCAACAAGACGAGAAAGGTTTTCCGAAGGCAAAAGAAATCAACAGATTCTGGGGTGACCGGTAATGATAGAGGTGAAGTGACGAAAAGAAGTAAGGCGATGCTCACGTTTTCGGAATCAACTTGTGACTTCAACTCGGTTCAGTATTCAATCTCACTTGTTTCTTCCTACATCTCTTGTCAGTATAATGGCATCGATTCCCCACTGTAATTGCTCCTCAAACTCTTGCCTACCTATTTCCTGTGCCAGTCGCCCAAGTCGACTAGCCATTCGAATACCTCAATCGACCTTCCACCGTCGTAGCTTGCTGCTCAACTGGTAAGATGTATGAGTAGGAATGCGACGAAGGCGAAAGATAGACTGGAGGAACTCTTTCGGGGCGAAAGGGTGAATAGCATTGCCATTGAATTGTTCAAAAGCGTTTTTTCCATCCGTCCTATCACCATGTGATCGACTTCCTCGGCAGTCAACTTGGAAAGACAATGTAGCAACAGCCATGTCACTTTACCAACTGAGAGGAGCGTTGATGCAGCGAGAACGTTAACTATTGTCATAAGCTCGACTTGTCTGAATGGCGGGCGAGCATGACCTGAGGGCTCGCGTAACGCCGCAGCAACAACATGGTTAAAAAGACTGCTGGAAGTTTCACGATATGAAAATAGGACACCAGGAACCCCCACTATGCAACATAATGAAACGATGAAATTATCAAGCCTTGTAAAATGTTGATGAGTCCACCTCAAAAGCAAGTGCCCGGATTTGGCCATCCGATTGGTAGGCGAACAACGTCATAGCAGGCGCGACATCAGAACCGGGGACACAAGAAAAATAACACTTGTTACTCGTAATCTTCAAATTTCGATATCGCATTTCAAGAGACAGCCCCAGTTGGAAACCTCAGGTCACTGGTCCACCTGTTACTAGCCTGGGTCGCCAATGTCACTTAATTGCGCACTTCCACTTCTGTGGACTTCTCTTCATTTATGAGAGGTTCAAATCCGTGCAATGGCACTACCGCTTGCGCAAGCCATAGACGACTCTAATGTGCACAAGAAACACTCAACAGACCGGGGAAATGGGCTGTTCGCAACCCACGATCTCCATGTCAAGTCACAGGTAGTATTTGTGGCAAGGCCACTACTGATGGTTCTTGATACTGCACAACTGAGATCCCACTGCGATTATTGCTTCAAGTCTCCCGAAGACAATTCTGCCGCGCCGGAAACAGTCGAGACTGGCACCCTGAAGAGATGTACTGGCTGTAACATACTCAGATTCTGCAATCGTGTATGTATGATCTTTTCTATCAGAGATCATCTCAATTAATGCTGACAGGGAGATAGCAATGCCAACGGCACGCTTGGTCTCAGTACCACAAGTTCGAGTGTAAGGTATATGCAGCCCAGCCTCGTCCATTGCCGACCCTCAATCGAGGAGTATTACGACTATTGAAACAGCATGAAGCTGGGCTTCTTCCAAGCGGAGAATGGGATGATCTTCACACACTTGAAGACCACTACGAGAAAATCTTGCAAGCAGGTGGGAAGAAGTGGCAAGATCTTGTACTCATGTCAAAAAAGATCCAGAAGGACTCTGGAGGCAAGCGGGGTCTGGAAATAATCTTGCGGCTTGTGTGTCTGGTGAGATTTCAATGCTGCATCTCGGAGGCACTATTCTTACCGCGTTCTCCAGATCGTTGTCAACTCATTCACACTGACCAGTCCAACTTTTGACCCGATAGGTCTTATCTTCCATCCAAAGTCAGCACTGTTCAACCACGCTTGCAATCCTAACGCGTTCGTTCGCTTCGACATATCTCCCAAAGCCGATTCCGGGGATTTTCCACCTTACGGAAGCATTTCCGTGCACACCCTTAGGCCAGTGTCGAAGGACGAAGAACTTACCATATCGTACATCGACACGACAAGTCCCCGGTTCACACGCCAACAAGAACTAAAAGACCGATATTTCTTCGATTGCTCCTGCGATTTGTGTTCTCAAGGCTCTACCCCTATTCTGGACGGGTACGGGCTCGGCGACAACGCGGCTGGTCAACAAGACCCAGGACGGCAGCAACATTTGCTGAAGATCCAAGCTTCGGCGGAACAATATCTCGAGTGGGTCAAAGGAACGCCAGGAATGGAACATGAGCATGTCGCTGGTATCAAGGACGCCATGCGCGAGTTGGCAGACACCCATACCTGGGGGCTCCATCGATATCCGTGGCCACAACTACGGAAGCTATTCTTCCTCGGCCTCCTGGGATTGGGTGATTTTGAAGCTGCATTTCTGCAGTGCGCAATACTCCTCACGAGAGTGTACCCAATTACCGTTGCCGAGAAGCATCATCCACTCCGTCTGGTGGAAACGTGGACACTGTTCACAATGTGCCGCGCCCTTTTGGCGACCCGCACGAGCAACGGGAAGGGAAAAGACGTTGAACCACTGGCAACGCTGAGCTGTGCTGCACTGCACGAGTTACAGGGTCTTCTTGACATTGGTGGTCGAGTTGATGGCCAGTTTGAACGCCTTGTGGACGAAGCATTACGTTCCGTGCAAAGCCAGCCATATGTTTGGGGGATCTATGAACAGAGAGTTCAAAGCTCAATTTCTGCTTGGGCATGGTTGAAGCAAACGGTCGATGATTATCTCATGGAAGAAGAGGGACTGCAGGTTAGAGAACTTAACAACACTAACCCAGTCAAATAAATGGTTCTTCACCTTGCTATTTCGCAGGGGATTATATCACTAGTTCCCTCTTACGTGAAGTACTCAGTACCTCGTACGGGGGATTTATGAATAACGGTGTTAGCTCGGAGGAGCCTTCTCACCTCCGAGTACAATACCTCGTACTTGGGTACCTAGGTACGAGTAGGTACTCATTTGATCCGGAGTAAGTGTCCGACGCAAGCTTGGTCAGGAGTCAGACTAACCTTCCATGCCCCCAAAAAGGGAACGGTTGGGGCTATGCTGGACAAACCAGGGGCTTGAGGATCCTTAGCTGCCGAGGCAATGGCCCCCGGAGTGGGAAGTCTGCGGAGCTTAAGCTAGCTCACCCATTATTGAGGGCAAGGTTCCTCTGGAAGCTGGTGCCTGAAACATAATGTGACATCCCTCTCTCATTGATCAGCCTTGTGGACTGACGTCGTAAGCTCTACCTCACGAAGTTGATGCTATTCATTCCCCCTCCTCATCTAACCTCGTGTTCACATATACATCTCTCAAGCTCAATTCGACAATGGCATCATCAAAGCAACACGGCAACAGCTCTGGGAGAGCCCCAGGCGTCGCGGAGACATTCTTTGGTAATTCACACGGTCAGCGTGTCAACACTGACGCACTCATCCTCGAAACCATCGAGAACAAGCACCCAGGAATTCCCGTTACCATTGTCCCACAGTTCAATACAAACCTCAGAGGATACGCCGGGGCTGGTCTGGCTTCCATCCATGCGATTGAATCCACAGCCAGTGCCAAAGTTGCCCCCAAGGACTTGAAGTGGACGGTATTCATCCCACCAGCCAGACGCCTCGATGGAGGTGCCGGTTTTGTAGCCGAGGAGACCTTTTTCGAGAGCTACATGTACAAATGGAATGGATTTGAGTTTCTTGTCTACTTCGTTGACGGACGTGATGGCTCCGGGCCCTACCCCACTGTTCAGAATCAATATGTTCTAGGCGACAAGGCAGCGGTGCTCACGCTAGTTGAGACGGTTGGCCGGTGGCAGTCCCAGCTTCACGACGAGATCTGGGTCTTCAATCAGGGTTTCTGGGACAAGGATCCCTTTTTGTACCAGAGCATTTTGAAGTCGGAGTGGAGGGATGTCATCCTAGACAAGAGCATGAAAGAAGATCTGGTCGATACGGTCGAGCGATTCTATGATTCTCAAGATCAGTATGAACGCCTCCGTGTGCCATGGAAGCGAGGCATCATCTTTCATGGCCCGCCAGGGAACGGAAAGACTATATCTATCAAGGCTACCATGCACACACTGTACAAGCGATCGCCTCCAATCCCGACACTGTACGTGAAGACACTGGTCAGCTTCATGCCACCAGAGTACAGCATTGAGAGCGTGTTTCGCAAAGCCCGACAGGAAGCACCCTGTTATTTAGTGTTCGAAGATCTCGACAGTCTCGTCACCGACGAGGTCCGCAGTTTTTTCCTCAATGCGATCGACGGACTGGCCGAGAACAACGGCATTCTCATGGTCGGCAGCACGAATCACTTGGAGCGTTTGGACCCAGGAATCTCGAAGCGCCCCTCGAGGTTTGACAGGAAGTACCTTTTCTCGAATCCGAATCTCGAGCAACGCGTCAAATACTGCCACTACTGGCAAACCAAATTGAAGGACAGCAAGGAGATCGAATTCCCTGATGAGATTTGCGATGCCGCCGCGAAGATCACAGATGGGTTCTCCTTCGCTTACATCCAGGAAGCGTTTGTCACAGCACTCCTTGATATCGCTAGGTCGTCTGACCAAGACCGAGCATCAGCTGTGGATGCCGTCGAGGAAATGCGCCAGGAATGGGACCTGCTCGATATCGAGGACAGTACACCCGTCAAGAGTGTTGAGAAGGACCACAGGGACTTGGATGACTACATTCTCTGGAGGAAATTAAAGTATGAAGTCGAACAACTGCGGAAACAGATTGGCGATGGGAAGGAGGAAGAATGATCAAGCACATGCAGCAAACTCGCTTTCCTGCCGGCGTTCATGACATTTGTCTCTCATTCATTAGTTGTTTTCGTGTAGCATAATCTGCTTGGGACTCATCGTAAGCACTTGGGTGCTCAGCAAGAAATCAAGCGTTTTATCGAGAAAATTCGACCTGCCAAGTTCGTGTCCGATGCCCATATGTGACGCTGTGGCGAAAGTTGGAGTATGAATGAAACCCTCCTCACAGGTTTGAGCGAACATAACCCCGGATTATGACTCAATACATCTGTATGTTGAACAACCATGATATATGAAATCTGAGGTGGAAGGCTTCTTCACTCCCCTCCCCAGCACACCAACAGCATCTACTTTATTTCACTCTCCTTCCGCCAAAACAATACTCACCAAACATTATCCACCACCAACATGACTGAACTACAGATAACATCCACGCTTGCACTAAAATCCGGGCACCAGATCCCGATCCTGGGCTTCGGCACATGCGCGAGCGCGACATGTACTCAATCAGCGGTTGCAGCGATCAGGAACTCATACATCCACCTTGACACGGCACAGATATACCAAAACGAGGCTGAGACGGGCGCCGCCATCGCCGAGAGCCAGATGGAGCATTCGAAGCTCTTCGTGTGCTCCAAGCTATGGGAAGACATGTACACGCGCGAGGGGGCGCTGGCGGGCGTCGAGGGCAGTCTGAAGAAACTCGGCCTGCAGAGCATCGACCTGTATCTCCTGCACACGCCGCGGCCGGGGCGCCGGGCGCGCACGCAGGCGTGGCTCGGCCTGCAGGATGCGGTGGAGAAGGGGCTCGTCAGGAGTATCGGCGTGTCCAACTGGGCGCCCAAGCATATCGAGCAGTTGATCGCCGAGGACGGCGTATATATCCATCCCGCGGTCGATCAGGTGGAGCTGCATCCTTGGAACCAGCAGAGGGAGATCGTCGAGTACTGCCGTTCCAAGAATGTCGTCGTCGTGGCATATTCACCGCTTACGCAGGGTCAACGGTTGAATGACGAGACGATTGTGAAATTGGCTCGGAAGTATGGTAAGACGCCGGCGCAGATTGTCTTGCGCTGGGGCATACAGAAAGGCTTTGTGGTGATACCGAAGAGTGATAAGGAGGCAAGAATCATCGAGAACAAGCAGATTTTTGGTTGGGAAATCTCGAATGAAGACATTGCCACGATTAATTCGTTGGACGAAGGACAGAAAGCAAATCTGGGAGAGTGGGACCCTCATGCTTGGGATTGATTAACAATACATAAAATCCAATCTTGACATGAGAATGACCGTCATCACTGCCTCCCTCCGAGTCATATTCTACAAGCCCTGCTTCACTTGATAAAACGTCTATCGCCTTGAGGTGCTGCCAAAGCCCGTACTCTCGTGTCTTGCACTCGAGGAACTCGAACCAGAGTCCGAGGAGCGAGGCGTAGATGGTCCAGCATAGCTTGAGCCGCCTCCTCCACCGCCGCCGCCGCGGCCGAACCAGCCTCCTCCGGTATCTGGTATGGGGGGTTGTGCTTGAGTCCTTGTCTCGTTTCCTGCTCTGCCCGCCATGTAGCCGGCACCAGCCCCGGTGGCTGCACCTGTCCAGAAGCCGGGTCTCCATCCTTCCTGCTGAGTTCTTGTAGACGATGACGGTGTTGATCGCGGTGCCGAGGACCATGTGGCTTTCTTTGGACGGGCCGAATATGGTGGAGGGGCATCGGTAGGTGGATGATCGTCACCACCTCCCCATCCGCCACCGCCGCCGCCGCCGCCTCCTCCTCTCGGCCGTGGTGTTGTTCCTCGGCGGGACTCATCGCGCCAGGATCTGTAACAGCTGCGTATGATGATGAAAAGCACACCCGCAAATAAGGCCATGAAGAAATAATCGATCAAGGTCTCGGCTGCTTTGCTCAGACTATTCTTGCTGCCTCCGGATCCCGGACCAATTTGTGAACCATACTTAGCCTCACCGTTGTCTGTCAATAGTAGCCTGTACTCAACGCCACAGCTCCCAGATAGCACGTAAGGGTCGTCACTGCTGAGGTAGCCTTCACACGAGACGTCGGTGGCACCAAGTTTGAAATCCTCGGGAAGTGAGGCTTTGCAGCTCCATTGTATGTTGTTCTCGTCATAGTCGGCACCTTCATTCGTACAACGCATCGTGTCCACCGCATATAGTTTGCAGATATTGGCCGGCCCTACACATTGCAACTGAGGAACCGGCTTCACACGGCGGGACGCAGTCTGCTTTCCCGCTCGAACGGTGAGGGCCGAGACCTTGGAAAGAAGGACGGCATTTTTAGGGACCTTCTTGGGATTGGTGACTTTGGCACTCATAGCAAGATCGGTGAAGAGGCCAGTCAGACTGAGGAGGGTGAGTGCATAGAAGGAGAATTGCACCATGGTGGCGGTTGATTGGGGGGTGACAGCAGTGAGCTGTGTAGCTGTCGCGACCTATGTCATTGTGAAGAATAGAAATGATATACGGCTATGTCTGGACTTGCATAAATAGGCATCAACTTGCCATCACAAAAGACACAGTGGCCAGAAGACAATGATGAAGAAAAAGGTATGTTGCTGAATTCCTTGTTTTCAAGGTTGCCTATTCGTGTTCCTGAATCAGTAACTTCGAGTTTCAAGTCGAGGGGCGATAAACCCCGCACTTACTTATCAAGTTAATTCGTGCCGCTGCTAGTGCCTAAGCCCCTGTAAACCTTCCTAAGCTTAGGTCAATGCTGCCTGGGTACTCCCTAGCCCGAGGCGCCCTCTGCTTAAAGGTGTCCCGGTGGTACTTTGTAGCTAGTTAGTTAGCGCTTGGGGGCGGGACTACCTACAGTAACCCAGATATTAGGCTTCCATTCCAGACAATCTTCATTCAAGACAACAAGGACGATGTTGTGATCTTGAGTAGTTCCCTAACTAACGTTGATTCATTTCAGCGGCTCTCACGCGGCGAATTTCATACACCGTTCGGGTCCCACGAAACAATCAAGGTTAGTATTGCAAGCGGTTGGATCAACAGCAAGCAACGCAGTGGATCGTACAGCACAACACACCTGGAAGTTGAATCTGAATCACCACCAAGTGATAAAGCTTGGACAGCATGGTCCAAAACCCCAAACAGCTTGATTGACTTGTAAGAAGCGATGCGTCAAATGTGATGAAGCGCGACCGGCCTTCAAATGGTGCATCATAGCGGGTCAACTGTGTGGAGGCTATCAACTGGGGTTGATTTCTTCGACTCCTGCTCAAGTTCCGCTCTCGACAGTCCTCTGCAACACTACCATCAGGTTTCAGTGCTGCACAGCAAGAATGGCAAGCTTACGCCCTCTACAGTGGCAAGGTCTTATCTGCCGTTGGCGGAGCATTCGACATAGACTTGAGGCGTGATCTCTTGCTCCAAATCGCCAAGGGAAGGTATGCGACATGCCTCGGACGACCAGAAGTCTATTGGATTTATTTTGGAGGGTGCCTTTTTGGCCTCACTCTATCTTGCTGGGCTGAGACGTCGGCAGCCGGATATCAAGCGCAGATAATTAACGCTCATGCACCAGACTACTGCCAAAGAGGGCCTGTGGTGCACGAATGAGGCTATTTGTGTCGTCACACGAGTCTGGACATTGAAGAAGGCCGTTCTGCGATTCCCTCTCAAAATAACTTGAGTTATGATCCGACCGTTAGCCCTCCTTTGTTTTACGAGGTTTCATGCGAGGTCAAGTATCGCAAACCAGAATACCTCTTCGTGGATGTGACATACTTCCTACATGATAAACGCGCTCCCACGCTCTGGCGAACTTTCAATGAGACTTTGCTCATTGAAGGTTGATAACCTTCATGACTGGACCATCCCAATATGATTTGCTATCTGCACGAGGTACAGATGTTTCACTGATGAATTTCGCTCATGCCCTGACTGGAGCCTTTGCTATCAAGCAATGCTAGCGAGTGTTCAAGAACTGTGGACAGGGCATTTGTGCATTACTCATTACCACACTAGTCAAAATTGCGCGGCCAATTGGTGACTACGCTGAGCTCAGGTCATTCTCGTAGACGAGTGTCCCACATACCAGCATTTGATCAGGAAACCGAGCTTGGCGGGATGTCCTGATATGTCTGAGCTCATCCTTGGTACGCATGCCAGAAGATGGGTGATTACTACTTCTGCAAGCACTCGTCCGCCCTTTCTATCGTACTAACTTTGTTGGTCCTCCTGCGAGCGACTGCTAGGGCGACTACACCCGTTACCGGTGTGGCGCCTCGCCAGCAGTGGCTGCGCGCTGGATCACCGCTGCATATGGGGCACAAGGCTATGCTGAATATCAAATGAGCATCTCGCACTGTTATCTCGATAAAGGGGGGCATTATGTGGCCGTCACGTACCATCCAAAATGGCATCAATCAAATCCGGCGCCCATGTTATCTGGTTGACAAGATTGTACCACGAGATAGGCTGGGATCACAAAGCACTCGAAAGGAAAGGAGCAATATGTGTTCATATGGAAAGCCTCGATCATAAACGCCGTGGTAAGTCTTACAAAAAGGTCGGTTCCTATCCTAAAACTCCTTTCCCCCACCGCAAGTGATATGGCTATCTGCTCAACTTGGCTATTTGATCTGCTTGTCCACGGCTTAGTCTTGCTGTCGAAATTGTTTTTCGATGGTATTGGCCCTTCCAAAGCTATTGGCCTAAGGCCCATCATCCATGCACAACTTCATCTGGCGTACTGTCAGCCACTCGGTCTGTTCTTCCAGCGTTGGGAAAGTTTCCATCCAACAACGACTTCCAATAAGCTGTCAAGGTCATCAGCAACCAATTGAGGACGCTGACAGCTTCATATCATGAAACAGCTGTTTCACTCGACGTTCGATCTCCCCATGAATCCGACCCGGCCTCCAGCTTCTACCACAGCCCTTCCATTTTCAACATTAGAGTACACGAAGTTAACGGCGACACTAGACCGTGTCGCCAGCGTCTCCACACTGTTTATGGCTGTATCCATGCTCCGACCGGAGGACAAAATCAATCCGGCAGAGTCGGTAGAGCAACATCTGCCCGAGCTCTTGAACATATCCACCTCGGAGACAGTACCATTTTAGATTGATTGGACCACTATCGCCGTGGAGTCATTATTTTCTCAAATTAGCGGCCTCCCGGCTACAAGTGAGTCAAGAGATCTTCCGGAGAAGGCTAGATGCTAACGTCTGGCAGTTGGAACAGGTGCAATTCCCTTCGTCCCTGGGCTCATAGAACAGCTTGGTCTGCCTCCTCTGGATCAAGACTCATTCGGTGGATACTCTCCAGATGTCCCTGCATGTACATGGCAAGATAAGCGAGTAACTGCCAAAGCTTTCTGTCCAGCTGTTCCGTCTTTCGATCTCGGGGACAACCTGGGACAGCAACCGCGAGTCTACAATTAGTTCACATCTCCAGTGTATTCCAATCTAGCCTACGATACTGAAGCCGCGAATGGGAAGACATACTCCCAATATCTTGAAGATGCTATCTATCAGAAAGCCCAAATCCACGATACATCTGTTGACCTTCCGAGAAATCAGGGCGTTGGCTTCATCCCAGAGGAACCAGGCTGGTGGGCCACTTTTCTCGGATAAGAGGCAAGGTAAGTGTCAGCATGAATGCAGATAGAGTTTAAGCATTCATTGATTGGCCTGGCAGTTCTGGCGGGATGTATTCTACCAAGAATGACCTTCTATCGTTTGGAGTGTCGATCCTGTCATCCAAGTTAGTCAACCCGGAAAAGATAAGGGCTTGGTTAAAATCAAGAGCCTTGCCATCGCGTCTGGTCTTTCTGTTGGGCTCACGTGGAGATGGTACACGGGTCGAATCTCACCTCCGACGGAAATGATATTCAGTTTTATCTGATAACAGGAAATCAAGGGGACTTCAGCAATGTTCTCGTCCTCTCGTCCCTGACGGTGATCAAGTCGTTGCGCTGAACCTTGCCGGCGGACCGGACAGCAGCTTTCCAACTAGGCCTGGAGGTTATACTCTCGACTTCTGTCAAAGCCTTTATTCCTGCATTGGACTAGGCAATCAAACAAGAGGCTTCCCTGCAGTACTCAGGGACGTTCATTGCCGGTTCAGACTCTCGCATACAGCTGTCCGTTGACGACGGGGGTCTCTTGGTCTCAAACTTTTCGGCCAACGGAGTTGACGTTGCGGCCGGTATTACCGCTATTGTTGGTGCAGCGGCAGCATCAATGAGCCCATATCCGACAGGGCTTGTATCAGGACACGAGTCCTCATGGCGTGCGGTCTGTTCAACCTTGGTCTGATGAGGAACTTGCGGAGTTCGACTCTCGGTTGTTCTTCGCCCAAGTTGGTTGTCAAACGTGGTTTGCCATTGACGAGCAGACGTACGGGCACCCAACGGGCTCGAGAGGTTAGATCACTTCGCTATTCCAACAAGCGAAAATGGGCAGGCGGTTGCCGTCGATCCGAAAGCGTAGAAGGTCAAGTTGACACGGGAGAACTAGTCGATTTCCAAGGTCTGGGGGATGTGGGTTAAGTATTCATGTCAATTTATTCTGAGCCGCGCATCCGTGATAGCATACTAGTTACACCTGAGACCCATGTGAGACCATTGGCCAAATCCGGTATTTTTTCAAGCCTATGGCTGAACGCCAATCTGGGAATTTTACGACCTATTTCCAAACTAAGAAATCTTGGTAAGAAGATTTCCCCTCTGTGCCCCTCTTCCTTCTGAACGACTAACGAGCTACGGCGACTGTTTATTGCTTGTGCAGAGAAAGATGTGAAGTGGATTGGTCGAGGTTCAACTTTGAAGCTAGCAGTGCCTGTACCTGATCAGCTTCGCTCCCTCGCGGCAGGCCCTGCGTGGCCCCCGGCTGGGGGTTCCCCAACAGGATCGGAACCTCAATCCCTCAAGCACAGGCCTTGCTCACGATGATGTGACAAGGAACTTCGGAACCCTTTCATCAGTCTTCACCGAAGACTACCCTCAACAGCCAGATCCCTGAAAAGGAAAGCTAGCGCTTATGTAACGCACAACATTTGGTGGGAGCCCGAAGTGGTACTTTACACCGTCCAAGTAAAGCCTTCGAGAGGGGCATCTTTTCCATCCATTTATCAGTCTATCACAGACGCTCCGTCATTGCCTTTGCGAATACCAATGTCGTCGCTAAACCTTGGTTCTATATCAATGCGATGAGTCCGCCAGTACAGTTCTCATTTGTTCCGAGTTACCAAGCAGGCGAGTCTTCGCGTGACAAAGGGCTGCGACTGTCGACTGTGAGGTCTCATGCATCTTTGATCACTCATCAAAGAATCAGATCCAAAAGCCACAGATCGCCCCGCTCGAATGCAGAGAACCCGGCATCAGCAGAGGTTGGCAAAGCAGGGGCAACTGTTCAACCTACCCTTCCTATCCGGGTGACTCGACTGAGCTCGCCACCACTTTCGCCTGAAGACCAAGAAAACCCAGGAACGGCGCAAGAACAGCTCCCGATAGAGAAATGGCGATCACTAAACAACAATTGCGAGTACCCTCTGAGTCCTCCCGAGTCGCCAGATCCGGAAAACTACAACGATGGCGGGGAACTGGCAGTCGTCACATGCGATACCAACAAACAAGAGGAGCCAACATATCTGATAGGTAACCACTACATGCAGTCAGATGTACTTGATCACAACCATAGGATACCTTTTCAAGCCCAGACTCTCTCAATCTCGGATTTCTTGTCTGGGTTCCGAACCGATCCATTCCACTGTATCCCTGCTAGCGTCGATAGCCGAGTGGCGTCGACAGTCGATTTCTATACTCAGCATCTGAGTCCTGGCAACGATGCGGTATGCTATATATTCGATGTTTTGAATATATACGCTTTCTTTCTGGACACACTCTCCGTGTCGCATTTCTACGACGCGGGAATGAGTGTCATTCAAGGATTGCACGATAACATTCGAAACCCGAGTTCCCCTGTTTCGATGCAGGTCCTGGTCCATCGAGGAAAAGCAATGACAAAACTCAGACAGCGCATTCTTAGAGACGCAAGCAATGTGGACGATAGTACCCTTATCGCGATGGTCTTCATGGCTATTCTAGAGCGATCCCTTCGCAATATCAAAGCACATGAGCTACACAAGAAGAGTCTTGGAATGATCGTATCTGCAAGAGGTGGACTGAATAGTTTCAAGGATGGGTCATTGGCGAAAGCGTGTATGTTGCAATTCGATACCTTATGGTCATTGGATTTAGGCCAAACTATGTTCCCTGGCGAACGCCGCCCCCATAAACCTGAGGTGCCCAAACATCCCTACTCTGCGGAGTTGCGTGAAATCCTCAGCACATTCCCTCCAGGTTTTGAGAGTCTGGCATTCGAGAGTGCGCTGACATACGACTTATTCCCCGTGGTTTATCGAGCGTCTCACCTCTCACGTCTGAAGCCGAGCGGTATTCGTGACCTACTATCAAACAAGCGAAGATGGGGCTGTAAGTACAACGACTTCGCGGAGGCATGTCCTGCTTTAGCAATTTCTGGGCTCGAAGGATCCTTACTGGAAAAGTTGATATGTACTGCCATCTTGTGCTTCTCGTATACGGGATTCGGTTCGAAAACTTCTGCAAGCGCAGTACGTGGGTCAAGGGGCGAGCTGACTACGAAACTACATCTTTATGAACCCAACTCCATTGCAAAGCTGGACTGCCTGATGTGGATGTATGTTGTGGCAATTGATGCTTGGAAGATCGGGTCTCAACTCCACCCTGATGGCATTCTTCTTTTGGTGAAGTTGCAAGAGGCATTTCCGATCATGAGAGATGTCAATACAGCTATCGCCAAAGCCAAAATGTTTCTCTGGACCAACATACTTGAAGAATCCGTGCGGTCTTACTGGAAGGATCTCATATCAATTGGCTAGGGTAATCCATCTCCCCTGGAACGAAAAGTCTACTGGGTTCGTGGAATTTCTGAGCAGCCAAATATGTCCAGGAACGATGTTGGAATAAGCAAGCACATTTGAGCCAACAAGGAAGCCGCACCTTCCTCGCCACACCAAGGTGGTGACCTAGAAGGAAATGGTGTTCCGTGAGAATAAAGGCACCTGCCAGGGTCACAAGTCTCAGGCCAGCTGCTAGGAAAGAAGGTGCAAGGAAAGTGACAATCAAACCTTCAATATTATGGGCATTTATAGGCTCACACTACCTACCTCACAGAGTATCGGCCTCATCGTCTCAAACTTTCACCGATTACTCAGTATGCCTTCTATACTCCTACCCCCAGAACATATCACATTATGGCGATTGGATTCTTCCTTCAACACGACGAAAAGCATCGAGGAAGTGATAACGGAGCTCAACCGTCAGTACTAGGAGTTCATCGCCCCAGACCACGAATTCAGCTTGCTATTTGATCCGGCAGCAGCAACGAACAGACATGAAATGACTCGTTATCATGATTTAACAAACCCCCTCCTTTGCCTTTATGAAGCAAAGAATGACTTTAGGGAAGACTTTCTGGAACAGTGGATCGGCTTCACCGTAAGTTGGGCCGGGTGAAACTCGCTCTTTCACTAAATGGTGTTCTAGAGAATACTTTGGGATACCCAGCCGGTCACTTGGCCACCCTTCATGCTTACTCAACCATGTTCCGGCCTAGTCCTGGGAGCTATTGAGATTGATATGCGCTGTGAGAGCCCCGATCGCGGGTCAATCAATGATGTCGTAGAGGACGTCGGGGCGGTATTGAGATGCATATTGGCAATGTGGCTCAGGAGGAAAGAACCGGGACCGAACCTTGTTGTCTGTCATGCTGATCGCTGTAAGGAATGGGTCGATACTATTCACGGTTGCTGGGCCCAGGTACGTCGGTGGACCGGGCCTTGAAAGATTGGTAAGAATCTACTGATCCCTGTTTTTCTCTAGACTTCACGTCATCGTCTACGCGCTGTTCACGTCAACGAGCTGAGCAGCGACGGATGGGACGTACACAATGGTCGTCACGATGTCATTGTGGTATCGCACGAGTTTCTGCTGTCGAGTCTGGCATCATTTGGAGAGCTGCTCACCAAGATGCAAGAATCCGTCAATGCTGACGACATGGCAAAGGCCAGAGGCCTGTTAGGGATAATGGCCCTTGATTCGAAGATCCTTTCTAATTGTCATTCGATGTCCCATCTTCGACCGTGGAAGTGTGTATTCTTCGAGCAGATCCCTCAGACTTCGGCGGACTATTCGGAAATCAATGCGGCGATTTCACTGTTGGAGAAACGTGCTACAGTTGAAATTACTGGGGTCAGACACAATGGATGAATTTGTTGGAGGTCCCTTGAAGAAGCCGACTATTGAGAATGGAGTTGCTTTACCAGCTCGTGTAGCCTCCATCAACGATCTGGAAAGGGGCATGTCAGCAAGCATCAGCAGATATGGATTGCGGTGAGCAAGACATACAATATCTGAGCCATTCAGGTAGGAGCTTGCATCGCTTGCCATCCAAACAATGGTTCCTCTTAGTTCACGTGGCTCTCCCATTCTTCCCATCGGAATGTTCTTCTCCCACATGCCCACGAGCTCCTTTCCCTCATTTTTAAGCAATCCTCTTATCAAGTCTGTTCCCATATACCCAGGACTGAGACTATTGACTCTGATGCCCATGGGACCCCACTCCGTGGCCAAACTCTTGGACAGCATCTGGATAGCCCCTTTGGAAGCGTTGTAGGCCGCCTGTTTCTGTGGTCTGACACAGATGGTGGCAGACATGCTTGCAATCAGAATGATGGAGCCCTTGACATTATGTTGCAGCATATGCTTGCCAGCTTCACGAGCAAACAACCAGCTTCCATCGACATTGATGTCCATCATCTTCCGCCATCGAGCATACTCATAGTTCTCGGCCTCGACATTATCCACGATTCCAGCCGCCGTGACCAGGACGTCGACGTTTCCAAAATCCTTGACGACCTGAGACCAGGTGCGCTTCACGTCTGACTCGACTGTGGCATTGCATTCATACGCGCGAAGTCGGGGTACTGGAGAATCGGGGAAAGCGGATTGTACCTCGGAAGCAATGGACGCGATGGAGGACTCGGCGTCTTTCTGTGACAGGTCGACACACGCCCCTTGAGCACCGGACAGCGCAAAGGCGGTGAGGAATTCTTTCCCCAGACCGCGAGCGGAGCCTGTCACTACACAAGTCTTGCCTTCCAAGGAGAATGAGGGTAGAGTACGAAGGTTGCGCTGCTGGGGAGGATATAGAAGCGAGTGGCGGAGAATGGTGCGTGAGGCAAGAGATGAACGCAGAGAGGAGAGGGAAAGCATTGTTGCAAGCTCCCTCAGCTTGGGCCCTACCAGGATCCCAGCAGGTAGACACTGGCGAGGAGTTCTGAGAAAAGAGAAAGAGGTACGAGCTGAGGTGCCAGTGTCTCGCCTACCTCGATCGCTCTCTGCATTTAAATATAACCAAACCAACTTACCCCACCTGCCTTGGGTTCTCAGGTCCTTTGCAAGACACGTGTGGTCATGAATCAGCGCTGTGCTCGGGCCATCTTGACCCGTATGACCTCAATTCGCTTGATGCGTGAAGCGAAATGGGTAACGCAGCGGCCCGTATGCTTGAAAGACAAAACCCTTTGGAAAAGCAAAGGCAAACTCGGGTTTCTACAACGAGTATGCATATCCTGAAAGAAGTGACATTGCGGGGTTGAGTTGGGTGTTGCTTGGAGGAGGGATAGGCTGCTCCTAGGCTGCTCCTAGGCTGCCCCTCCTCCCAGCCTTCAGCCCTTTCGGCCCCAGTTAACCGTCTAACGTTAGTGAAAGGAACTTACCTAACTAACGAGGGATAGGCGTCGTACAGGGATGGTACCGGTTGACGACTCGTTCCTTCACCACCCTGGCTTGCATCTGCAGCTCTAATGCAAAGCTTCAGGTAGAGAAAGTTGGGGGCCGCACACCCAAAAGGCACGAGTATTGGAGTGTCAAGCAACCAATTGGTGGGTTTCAGATCAAAGGAGCTGGCCCAGAGAACCAGCCCAATTTTATCTTGGAAAGGCTGGCTGCGTTATTCTACGATCTCTCGTGCGCCGTCTCTTGTTCTTCCTTTCCTCCTCCTCCCTCGCTCAATGCCACCCCAAGGACATTCGAATCATTTTCGCTTCGAAATCTGCCAAAATGTCCTCAATGCTAGAGGTTCGCGATAGTCGCCGTTCTCGATCCAAATCTCCTGGCGGGAGAGATCGAGATCGTTCAAGGTCCCATTCACGCGACGCACGAGGGGATGACGACCGGCGAGATCGCGATCGGAGTAGCGACAGACGAGAACGTGATCGAAGCAGCGACCGCCGAGAGCGTGACAGAAGCAGCGACCGCAGGCGGTCTAGTAAATACTCCGGCTCCGACGACGACAACGAGGACGACCGCAAGTACAAAGACCAAAGATCAAGCAAAAACTCGTACTATGCAGAGGAGGAGGATGACCGTCGCAAGAAGGACAAGAGCTCGCGAGGCTACGAGGATCATAGTGAAGATGACAGATACCGCTCCTCCAAGTCAGGCAAGGACTCTCGCAGGCGAGATCGTTCAGATTCAGAAGATGAGAAGGACAGGAGACGTGGTGGATCCAAGAAAGACAGCAAGAAACCATCTGACAGCGATTCTGACCGTCGCAAGTCGAGCAGAAAACATCGCGATGATTCAGACAGTGGCTCTGAAGACGATCGCCGTAAATACTCCAATGGTCGGACCTCGAGCTATTCCCAGCAGCCAACATATGGCTACGCCCCGCCTGCTGCCCCCGCCCCTCCTGGCTATACGGACTCCCGATCCAACAGCTATGCGCCTCCTGGGGCATTCCCAACCAGCTCTGGTCCACCTCAAGCACAAAGGACCCCTTCTTACAGCGGAAATGGTGGTCCAGAATACGCAAAGGTTGAGCAATACAAGTACGCACAACCCGACCCCAATATCAGCTATAAATACAAGGACAGCAGTGGTGGCGGGTATTCTACTTCTGGTCAGCCGCCAGTGAGTGAACGGAGGCCAGAGTATGAGCGTTCACGGCCTTCAGATTCGGACAGAAAGAAGGAGAAGAAATCTTCTGACGACCGTTATGAAACGCGCGAGCCGCGCGAGAAGAAATATTATGACGATGATAAAGACCACAGACGAGACAGCAGATATGATGACGACAAATATGGCAACTCTACAGACAATGTGACGAAAAAACTATCCAAAATGGCTGTTGCTGGTGGCCTTGGTGCTGCCACACTGGGCGTTGCAAGCCAGATTTCCAAAGATGGTGGGAAACCGCCAGCCTCGCCTTTACTGGAAGCATACAAAGGAACGTACCAGTCCATTTCGCCCATGCCTACAGCTTTGGTTCTTGCAAATCACAGAGACGACTCGGATCTGTCTGATCTCGATATTGGGAGGGATGATAGTGACGATGATATCAAAAGGAAAATTCGCAAGCTTGAGCGTGAAAAAGCCGAGTATGAAAGCTCGCGAGGGAAAGACAGGGACAGGCCACGTCGGGATGATGGCTATGAGACCAGAGAACCGCGCTCAAGCGGAGGCCTGGAAACTCGTGAACCAAGATCTCGGCGTCTGTCCAATCTTGACACAAGTCTTGAAGTTCGCGAGCCAGGTGGCACTCGAGACAGATCTCGCGACAGGCGCCCCAATAGCGAAATCTTCTCCCCGACCACACCGTCTGGAAAGAAGAAGGTCTCGTTCTATGACCCTACATCAGATGCAGTGCGTATCGCAAAAGCCCTACAGGGCACAGGTCCTGCAGATGCCCGTCCGCTGCTGCAGATTCTTCCCGATCTCACTACTGACGAATTATTTGCTTTGCGTGCGGAGTACAAGAATCAAGCCAAAGTATCAGGTCAGGGCATCAACATCGCAAAGCACATCAAGATGCGCATCCCAGGCAATCTCGGCAAAGCATGCTATGCAACTGCCCTTGGACGATGGGAGAGCGAAGCCTACTGGGCCAACAGTTGGTATCAAGGAGGAGCCAGCCGCCGTGAGCTGCTGATTGAGTCACTCATGGGTCGTAGCAACCACGACATCAAAGAGATCAAGAATTGCTTCAAGGACAAGAAGTACGGCGACGACCTGGAGAGGTGCGTTCGTACTGAGCTCAAGGCCGACAAATTCCGCACCGCGATCCTGCTAGCACTCGAGGAGCGACGTATGCCCGAATCAACTCCTCTCGATATCCGCCTCGTCAAGAATGACGTGCAAGATCTCCACTACGCGCTGACTTCTCAGGGAGGTGAAAGTGACATGATCAAAATCATCGTGCTCCGCAGCGACACGCATCTCCGAGAAGTCCTGCGAATCTTCGAGGGCACCTACGGTATCCATTTTGCACGCGCCATGATCAGCAAATCTCGCAACCTCGTTGGTGAGACACTCGCCCACATCCTTAATGGTGCGCTGAATCGTCCCATGCGTGATGCATTATTACTACACCAGGCCATCAGTGAGACTGCTCCCGGCAAGGAACGAACCGAGCTGCTCATCTCACGGCTTGTTCGCCTACATTGGGAGCCCAAACACCTCGAACGGGTGAAGCATGTGTACCAAGAGAGATATCGCATAAGCGTGCGGGAAGCAATCAGAAGGGAGGTTTTGCCTGGTATGAAGACCCCAGAGGGCAAGATGTGTGCGGATTTCTGTGTCGAGCTGGTGGATTCCGCGTAATCAATCTAGTTTCAGGAATTGATCTATTTACCATTCACCTCTGTGCGATACATGTGTTGACTTGAGCTTGCTTTCACTCGGGAGTGTGACGAATATTCAGAGAGTCCGACTGAGTTCTGACTTGACATTACCGCCCTGTCAATCACTCCTTGATGATCGTTTCTCGCTAGTACTTTCCCAAGCCCATCAAGTAGTGTTAAGGACAGACGATCGATGCGCTGGTTACATCTTGGAGGATGAGACTCTGAGCATCTTCTAATTGCAATAAGATATATGTGTATAATACCCCAGCACATTAAGTCGGCGCTTGGTGTCACTAATAGGGAGATACCGGTTCGCATCCTCATGTACAGTGTGGTCATAGAAAGGCAGTGGTACATAAGCAAGGAGTTTTTATGTAGAATCATTGAAAGCCAGGACCGGCGCAGTGAACTGGTAAAGCGGCGACGCGGTGTCCACTCAAATAAAGTCTTGGCATCTATCTGAGCTCCCTTGCCTGCAGCAAATCACAGGTCGTCCAATGCCTTTCAGGTCGCTGGTTACTTACAGTCGAAGTCGTCCACAAACATCTGCTCAACACTCCTCTACTCTTAAATCCAGTGCACGATCGATATAGCTGCGACATTTCGAACCGGAGGGCTCAACGATTTGAAGCAAAGCCATCGCGAGGGTCGCTGGAACCCCCGCGCAATCACTTCGGTCACTCCAGTCTTCCTTCTCACTTGACACCACTACAATATGCCTACTCCCGAGTCCGCGTCCTTCCTGGCGAAGAAGCCAACGGTTCCGCCCACGTTTGAAGGCGTTGACTTCACAGACAATGAGGCTGTCGCCAACGCCAGAGATGCAATCATCAGAGAACAATGGGTTAAGTCGATGATGACAAGACTGGTCGGCCAGGAGATGGGTACGTTTGACTTCCTGTGATGTTGATATGGAGAGGGATATGTTCAATGGAGAAAGCGGGTGCGCTTGGTTGTCTCGCTACCCTGGTTCGGTTCCTCTCGAAGAACTCGATCAATCGCAAGCAACAACTCGCGAATCACGAAAAGCAAGCGTCGCCAGTACACGGTCACTAACAAGTTATCTTGATAGGAAAATGCTACGCACGCGAAGGCGTGAATCACCTAGAGAAGTGCGGTAAATACAGAGGTGTGTACTCGAATTCCGTTCTCAGGTAAAAGCCCAACGTCAAGCCCGGAAACTAACCACTTTACACCCTCAGACCGATACATCCAACTTCTGAAAGAGAACAAGGAGAAGGGCTACAGAGGAAGACAGCAGAACTACGTTCCCGGCGTCGATGGCCCCTCGGGCGGTCCAGAAGTCCTCACAGACTATCCCACCGCACAGCAGGCAAAGGGCATCAAGGGCTCAGATCTCCGGCCTGGCAATACCACCGGACACGGGGGTGATGTGCTTTATTGATTCGGGAGACGGGGGCGACATTGCTGGTCCGGTTTCGTGAAGCTGCGGCCAAATAGCCATGAAGACATCCACACTTATTTGTAAATACTGTACTCTTTGGTAGCCTGCTGTTATATGACGGCAGCTGCCCCAAACAACAATGGAAGTTTTAAAAAAACCCAGGCGATGAACATGATCTAGATCTACATGCCTGTAGGTTGCAGAATGACCGGGTCAGATATCCCGTGACAATAGTGACAAAAGATGGAATGCGGACGATTCGATTCGTGTGCCCCCTGTGTACGGAACATACTGCCTCTTTCAAGCAAGAAGACCATCGAATGCAATTTCGTGCTACCAAAGCGGTGTGGTGTATCGAGCCCGACACGGAAATAAGAACATGAACTGCGCCGGATTGCCTTGTCGTGGTGTCTTGCTCTAACTAGGTAGGGTTGTGTGATTCGTATCCAGGGCCTCGAGTTTCAGGCCGGGCCAAGTCTTCTATCAGCCTGGCGTGCGTCGGATCGTGTGCTTCGAAATATCGCCGAGATGTGGGGACTTCAGGAGATGGCGCCATATCCGACTAGTCAAGGTACGTATGTGCGTTCTGTGGGTGCTTGTTGATGATGATGTACCAGTTGTATTTTATGAGGGACAGAATTTGATAGCTGGGTACCTAGGTATGTACATAGTCTAATGATATGTGCTTTATTGATAGAAATCCCAGTAGCAGAACTAGTGCGCTCGTTGTAGACTTTGGGAGTATTCACACATACGTGAAGGAGCACTATTCTCGTCGATCAGGCTCAGAGCATTATTTTACCATACTTAGTACCAATTCAAATGATAGAGGAAGAAGGTGAGTGTAGATGACTTTTTGACAATTTTGATGAGGAGTATGACACCGATATCAGAGCCAATAAATACTGGTATCCAGCGACATAGCTTAAGAGACTCAGAGGGCGGAGGTATGCCCCACTCAGTGAATTGGTATTTCGTTTCCAATCATCTCTTAAACCTTCCTCAGTTTCGCGTCAAAAGTAAACACCACACGCTGCCCGTAGTCTATCGAATTCATTGTGTCGATATGTTTAGAGCGATGGCTTCTTCGCGGCGAAGTCGGCGAGCGCCTGCATGAGTGGAGGGCTCAAGGCATCGTAGGATTCCAAGCCGAGGGACTTGAATTTCGAGCGAACCTCGTCCAACTTGTCCTCGGGGAAGCCGTGTTCTGCAATCGAGGACACGAATCCCGCGAACTGGGGTTCTTGCCAACCCTTCTGGTCGCTCAATTCGACGTGGACGAAGTCAAGTCCCTTGAACGCGTGGTCCTTCTCGATGCGTCCGTACAAATGTGCCCCGCAATCCTTGCACGCGTGGCGCAGAATAGTTGCGTCCTTGTTCACAACCTGGAGCTTGTCGCCATTTGCAGTCACCGACACTTTGTCGACGGGGATAACAGAGACAATCGAGAAGAGAGCTCCCTTAGGCTTCCAGCACGCGCTGCACCCGCAGGCATGGTTATGTAATACATTACTAGCCAGCGTGACTTCAACCGGCTTATCTTTGCAGAGGCAGTGAAGCTTGCCACCGGAGAAGTTCTCGTTGCCCTTGGAAAAGCCGTTGTCGATAGCAGGATGGAGAGAGTAAGACATCGTGGAAAGTGAGGTGATTTGGAACGTTTGGTCTTTGAGAGTGAGATGAGTTGATTTTGAAATAAGTTGGGTCAAGCTGTCAGGTCTGCTGTGTTTGTTAGGTTGAAAAACTTACCAGACGAGGGCATTCATCTCGTTTTAAACCCCTGGCAGACTTCAAGCACTCCGCCGACTGTGACAATAGGACAGAAGAACAGCACGTCAAGAGGGGTAACCCTTGGTAAAACTTATTGAGGAGACGTGCAAACTCTCTGCCCGCCTGCCCGATACGATCCCTGGTTATCCTCCGACAGCATTTTCACACCTGTCGGCAGTTGATGTCATATTCCGTTGCCCGTTCCTGGAGTGAGGAAGGAGACGCAGGTGGAGCATGAGTTGCAGCCAATAGACCCGGTGGGCGCGCGAGGCGACACATCTTGGTTGCAGAGAGAAGTTGAACTCTCGTGAGAATCTGACCGCAGTCCATCGGTGTTCGGAAAAGGGACAGTCACCTCATTTGTTGTTGTCGTCGATGATGTCCCGAATGGGAGTGCTTCGACGAGGTGGGGAAGGTGAGGAGAGAAGTTTCCCTTGTCGGTGGGGGGCAAAGGGACCAGCCAGGCGGAACAAACCGTATAGGATGCGAACCTGAACTCCATCTGATGTGCTTTGGAACTCCAGAACGGGCATATTATTCCCCTGTAGACTCAATAATTGGCCCATACCCCTCACCTTGCTATACAAGAGATTCAAGGATGCTAAGGCTATATCCAGGTGTTTAGCACTCTGATCTAAAGCCAGAAGTAATATTGTGTCCTAGAAGGGTAGTTTCTTCCGAACCAAGCGGCCCATGACAGTGTGTGATGTAAGATAGGCTCAAGAAAGCGTACTTGCCCAGGCTAGACCTACTTATGTCGTGTTAAGTCTTGTTGCTGCTCATGTTCGGCGTCAGTTCTTCATCAATGCGAGAGTTGTTGGATGAAGGCAGGTCCCTGGGAAGAATCCTGGAGGAATTGACACGTAAATGCGACCACAATGGAGCTAGTGTACGGTTGCAAAATTCATTTCAGGCGGGAAAGTAGTAGTACAGGGTACCAATCGTATAAGGCCGGTGCTGGCGAACTCTTTAGAGATGATGCTGAAGTTCTAAGGCCGACAGCAGCGCTTAAATGGTCGAGAGTAAGCCGGTTGCAGGCTGGAGCACGATCCTTATTCATGGTCGTAGGGCAAAGACAGGGCGTTTTTGGGTCTAGAAAGGGCCCAAAAGATAAGAAGGTGATCTGCTCGAGAGCAACAAAATCTTAAGGATGTGAACAGAAGTAGATCACAGTACTGATGTGAACATGATGAGCACCAACCTCATCCGGGTCAGATGGCGAGGGAAGACGCGACAGTGTCAACCTCAGCCACGGGACACTGAAAGCAGCAAGATTCAGCCCGAAGGGTCATGAGCCACAGACGCAGACACAGCCACAGCCTTCATCTACCAAGGTTTGCTGTTCCGCCAAGTTTGACGTCGTTGATGAGCAGTATTGTAATCTTGGGAAGGTTGATGAGGAATGGAAAGACATTGTTCTTCAAATCTATACCGTTCTCTTCATACTATCGGGTGTTGAGTCATGCCGTTCCCCTTCGTGGTTTCCACCACATCAAGCATCTCCTTCCATTCAATTGTGACATCCACCACTCATCCTTCTTTCCCATCAGCAACCTCAGCACAAAGAGCCATCCTCCGAGCAGCTTTAAAGGATCATAAGCGACTCTCTCCCAGTGACCAAGCAACAAATCTCAATAGCCTACTCTCCACCATTCAGAACTATCTCCGATATCTTCTCGCACTTGACCTTGCCTTAAGTGGACGCCCCATTGTCGGCGAGGAAGTGGATGTGGCCTTGGTAAAAGAACTTGAAGTCGAGTGGCGCCCAACGCTTATCTCAAGTGCTATTCCGGGACGTGAGAATGATCGCGTCAAAGGTAAAGGCCTCGACTACGAGATCTATTTTGTTCATCATACCCTAGCACTCATTCAAAACCTGCTTGCCCGACAATCACTACTGGGGCTTTATGCAACCGCCGTCCCCAGCACGGAGCAAAGAACAGCTTTGATCCAAAGCGCAACCAGATCTCTCAAAACTGCTCATGCCATTCACACCTACCTTGTTCAGCGAGCAAGCTCATCGAGCGAGGGACCGCCGGCCTTCCCACCGAATGCCATTGACATATCGTTATCTGTCCAATCAGCCTTACAACATCTCACACACGCAGAATTCAATCTACTTTGCGTTTTGAAAGACGACCCTTACCCCGCTCTACTGGTGCAATCCCGCAACAAGGATGATAAGGAGTGGATGATCAAGGCTCCCGAGATACCTAAAGTCCGTGCGCAGGTATTGACAAGACTATGTATAGGAGCTGCGGAGCATGCAACGGCGGCGAGTGCTTCACTAAAAGTGGAAGGATCCAAGGTCTCCAAAGATTTCACAGAGTACTGTGATGGCATCCGAAGGGCGTCCCGCGCTAAAGCTTGCCGCTTCCAGGCACTGGACGAAGACCTTGCAGGGAAGACCGGTACAGGAATTGCATGGCTAAGAGCCGCGTTGAATGAACTTGGATTCGAGGTAGGAAAAAATGGTTCAAAGTCTTCAGGCCTGGGTAAGCTCAAAGCTTCCTGGACCGAAAAGAGGGAGGACAAACGCATCGAGAGAGGAAGCGCAAACTGGGGCTTGGATGGTGGAAAATTTGAGGAAGGACGGATTCTGGAATTTCTTGAACGCAGAATGACAAAGGAGAACGACACCATCAATGTTCAAATCATCCCAGAGTGGAAGCCTCTGCTCGCAACTCTCCCAAGCGGAATGAATATGCCAATCAACGAAAAGTGGCACCCTTCGCTGTTGGAAGAAGATGAACTTGCTGCGATGAGAGCACCTCCTGAGGCTAATGATTTAGTCGATGCTGGGAGCTCTGATGAGGAAGGCGGACCCAAACAGCCAGTTGGGGCTTTCCCAGGCACGCATCAGGATTATGGTGCCCAAGACAGAGGTTATTATTGATACCCGAGTTTAGCGAAAGGAATGCTGCATTTGACAAATTCCCATAACTGGCGGGGCCAACTTTGTCACTTGTTCCGTCACATCAGACACATCCTAAACCGGGAAATGCCATCCTCCGTACGTGTGAAAGAGGATATCACGCCTACTTCGTACGATATACTTGTGGCTGAGCCTCAGGGCGGGGCGTGCCCGAAGATCCGAGATCCGAACCCCCAGAATCCAAGCCTGGTCAGCTGACTTGGCCTCTCACCAATCGTGCACTAAAGCCCCCTTTTCTCCTCTTTTTCGTTTCATATCAAGTTTCAAACCCACGTTCGTCTCCGCCACCAAGAACAATCATTGCCAATCATCCTGTCCGGCTGAAAAGAACACCAACCGATGGTTTTCGCAATCGCGCGTAGCCTGCTGTTTCTCTTGGATCAGCAATCCCTATGGCCTGATCAACAACCACCCAGCAATGCTCGCAGACTTAAGCGTCTGGACAGAGTTCACTCGCGTGTGTGTTGCCATACCTAGTCGTTGACAAATGTGTTGATGAAATGCTGTCCAAGGCCAGGGACAGGCTAAGACATCATGTGTCCCATGGAACGCCTCCAGGCTAGTTGATACCGCCCTGGTAAGATGGTGAGTCGAGAACCTGGTGTTTGCTCCTGCCAATGACACTGCCCTTGAGTCTCGCAGCTTGCCCTTTCCCTCATTTCCTTCGATCTCACCTCTGATCATCACTGCTACAGCTCACTCTCGCTCTTTGTCTCTCGTTTCAGCATCAGTGACAGCGTTTGTGTCTGCTTTTTCTGGGATGGGCAGAAATCCAGAATAAGTACTCAATCTTTGATCATGACCTCCGTTCTAGTGCTTACCCTCATTGTGTCTATATTGTCGGGATCGAGCTCTGCGTTACCTGCGGGCGCGGCAATATCCAGTCTCCCAAAGACCAAACTTTCCCAGATTCCTGTTGCATCTAGCGATCTGCCTCAGAGCACCGCAGAGACGGCGCATGAGGTCTCGTTGACACGTACCACCATCAGAGAGGAGCAGATACAGGATTCGATAAAGGCTTTTTTGTCAAGACATTTTACACCAAACAATGTGCGACGGCGCATTTCTTGGGATCAGAATGCCGAGAAAAGAAGCTCGCCGGCAGCTCGCGGTCGTTTCTTCGCTCGACGTAGCGAGCACAACAGGAGGGCAGCATCCCCAGAGCCTTCGGCTGATAACAATCCATTCGTGTCCACGAATTCGAACAACACCTTCATTTCAAATACAAATAATATCACCATATCCCTGAATGACTCAACACGGACCGTTAGTCCTGCAGATCGTGATCCTGGAGATCTTACCGTTGCAGATCAAACTGGGGGCAGCTATTCGAACAGCATACCCAACCCTTTCTTGAATACAAATGTAATACCAACTCTGGGTCCTTTGCCAATTCTGTCCACTCTCACTGGGCTATTTTTCACGGGCACTACTCCAATTCCTAATCCATTCTCCAGTACGGCAGCGGCAACGACGGGGACTGCGACCACAACGGTAGAGGTCTTCACAACCGAATCAGCTCCTGGAATTCAGACCCTGCCACCTGTGACCGCGTCAGGAGAGCCTACAGCGGCCGAAACTATCAGCGGATTTCAGTCATTACCACCCACGACGGCAATCTCAACCCCTGTGGGAGAAGGAGGTGACATTGAGCCGGTCACCGCACCGGTCACTGTCTCAGAGGAAGCTGCCCCAGCGCCGACAGTGGCCTCCTCGGCGACGACAAGTATAGTCACCGATTTGGAAGGCGATGAACCCCCACCTCCACCACAACAACAATCAGCGCCTCCACCTCCACCTCCCCCAGCACCACAAGAGCAACCGCCTCCCCTTCCAGTAATCGTGACGGTAGCGCCTGAAGCAACTGCACCCACTACCGCTGTAGCTGCAGCCGCAACTTCACAGGCACCGCAGGAGCCGCCACCGCCATTTTCAGCAGCTCCACCATCTCTGCCATCTTCACCTCCCGAACCGGCGCCCCAACAACCACCACCAGCGCAACCCCCAGCGACGACACTTCCCGTTATCGTGACAGTGGCACCCGAAGCAGCACCTCCACCGGCAGAAAGACCAGCGGCGCCAACGGCCACAGAACCAGCATCAACAGGAAGACCTGGGCCTCCAGCACGCCCTGAGTCTTCCGCAGCACCGCCGTCGCAAGATAGACCGGAACCTCCAGTACGCCCCGAGTCTTCCACAGCACCGCCGTCGCAAGAAAGACCAGGACCTACCGCACGTCCTCAGCCCTCGAACGAACCAAATTCGCAAGACAGACCAGATTCCCCGCCCGGTCCTTCGCGCCCGGGAGACTCTCAAGGCCCGGCAGGAGGAGGAGGAGGAGGTCCACCAGGTCAAAGCAGACCAGGCCCTCCTTCCGGCCAAGGGGGGCCAGGGGGACCAGGTACCCCGTGAGAGCAAGTGGGACTCGAGCAACACCACAACCAAAAAGAATCCAAGCGTTCGTGACCAGCGGGCCTGGGAGCCAGGCGCAAGTATTTCCCAACTTGGAGGTAAGAAGCTGAGGAGGGGAGCTGAAGGGATTGAGAATGTGATTGGACTATGAATTTCACGAATTTTGTTTGTTCTCTACCCACCTACTGAAACTTCCGGACTTTTCATCACGCATGCATGCACGAATGCTCATGTACTTTATGTGCTATGACCACGGCTACTATCACCACAGCGATAGAACAAAAATCATCGGGATCGGGAACGGGGAGGGCGGGGGACGATGGCGTATACAATCTGGGATTTGTCCATTGTGGTATATCTGACTAGGTACTCTGTAAGCCTACGCTTATCGCTGTGTGTATATGTATATTAAACTGTAATCGTAACATCGAAAATGAAATGGAATATATGTCTATATGATAGATCACATGAGAAAGCCTCCTAACTTGGACGATTTTGGTGATGATTATCTGTGTTACGTATGATGGAATGTATACCTAGGTAATTAGTTGTAAGTTATCGTCCACACTTTTCGCCAACTGGGCATACACAACACCTGAGCAGCGGTGATTGATTTTGCAATTTTGATTTTTTCATACAATATACACACAATACATCTCTTTGACCACCAGTGAGTGTCCACCGCATTTTTCGCCCCTGCCCTCCGCCTGCCTGCCGTCATCACATCCAGCGCCTGCTAGCCATTGGTGTGTCTTAGGTAGGGAAGACCATGTCAGTTACATACAGTACAATATATACAGAGTTGTCTTGGATACGGAGATAGTCACACAGATACCTAGGGATCCCTCGTAGGTAGACACCCACGCTGGGTAAAACAAAGTTTCATCAGCCACCACCGATTCCCCGTCGTCCAGCTCCGTCTCGTGATTGTCATCCGTCGAGTCCTTGCTTGCAGCCCAGACCGCGTCGCCGGCGGCCCAGAAAAAGATCACTGTCGCTGGTGCAGGTTCTGGGATCGCGTCGTGTGATGGTGGAGAGGCGGACGAAAAGAGACAGCTGAGATAGGTATACAAGAGATGAAAGTTCATGTCGCGTCTCATGATAGGAGATTGCTGATAGGTATCGAATGAGAGAGAAAGATGCTGCATGAGTCGAGTGGCCGATAGGAAGGAATGCGATGTGGGAAGCATATAGCCGCTTCATGTTGCTCCTCCCCTATTCACTCCAGACCACATGATCTCTAAGTCCCTTCCTCGTTACCGCACTGACGCGTGACACTTGCCTCAAGCAAGATTCCTAATGTCACCTGATCACTTACAAAACCTCACCCACAATCTTCGCTGCTTCTTTGTATGTCGCCAGAAGCTTCTCGCACTTTTCGCGCTCCTTCTTGATACCATCATCCTCATATAGGAGATCTCCGAATAAGTCTTCTTTGTACAGCTCACTCACAAGTCGATTTTGCACCTCGTCTCGTGAATGGTTGACCAACAAGTGCATGATAGCCTTGGGGACTTGATCCGCAATGGTCTCTCGCACAATATTAAAGTAGTTGCTGATCAAGCGGCGGATCAACTCTGTTTCGAGCGCCTCACGGTCTGTAAGTGCAGGCTCAGCGGCTTGTTCGGGCTGCAATTGCGATGTTAGTGTAATCCCGTCAGATTCACGTAGAAATATGCTTACAAATAATGAAGTCGATTCTCCACCATATTCTGACGGAGCTGGAGCGTAGTCATCATTCATGGGCGGAGGGTAGGCGGGTGATCGCTCCGCGAAACTTCCTCTTTCCATTCTTCGTATACTTTGAGAGAAGCTGGGATCTGCACTGTGGCTGGGATGTCGTAGACCAGAAGTACCATTGGTTGATGCCGCAGGAATGCCTCCGGAAGTCAACCCTCCGTCCTTACCAAAGAAATAATTCAGGAATGAATCCCTAGCGGCACCAGCGCCTTGAGCTGCAGAAATACTGCCAATCCCATTCTCACGATCTCTCGCCACAGCAGGAGACATGCTTCGGCTCAAGGCGGGGTGTTTCCGTGTAGCCAAAGTTGTAGGCTTGTCTTCTTGCTCCGCTTCATCGTCATCCGGTGTAGCAACGCCATTCGCGCCAAGCTGCTTCTGTCGTTGTTTCTCTCGTTTTCTTCTCTCCTCGGCCTGGGCGGCCTTCTTGTCTTTCTCATTCTTGCTCGCAATTACTGATGACATTGCAGCTGCTGCACCTAGGAAGTTGGGATGATTGGTATTGATGTAGGCGCGTTGGATGGCGATCAAGGACTCGACGTAAGTTGATGCCGGTCCTAATCGTTCTCTTAATAGGTCTGAGACGACTTCTATCAGTTTACCCTGCAATCTGGGGAATCTTGACAGTTCTGTCGAGCCACAAGTATGACAGATCTTGATAAGCTCTTCATATACGAGCTCAACGCAGCGTTGGCTGGGAATTTCCAACAGCTTGATCTGAGGCTTGACAAGTAGATCAAATGCCAGTTCAGGGACGAAAAGACTTGGTCGTGGACCCGTCGAATTTCGGATTGCTGTACGGATATCGAGGACGGAAAGGTTATGCGTAGGGTCGATGGTTTCAAGGGAGTTTCCGAAGACAGAGTTGAAGATGTAGTATATCCGAGCGCCTCCACAAAGTTCTTTGGTGGAGATTTCTGAAGAAGTACCATCGATGGAGGAGATGAAGGAGGTCGCGAATCGGGTCATTAATTGTAGGATCAAGGAACCACGATGCTCCTTGCCACTGAATTGTTTGCTGCCATAACTCGCAAGTTCTTGTTGTGTTTGGCCCATGAGGGTGTTTAGGCGTGCCTTGATGTCTGGTAGTCTATCGCGGATATGTCCCATCAGAGTTGTATTCAAAGTCTTCGCTAAGTACTGTGTGCCGCATCTTGTTGCCATATTTCTGTATGCTGGGTGATGTCTAAAGAATTCCGCCTCGGATTTGAGAGCATCGGACATGGGTTTCTGGGTTTGGATATCTTGCTGAGATCGATTGACGACACCGATGAAACCCAGTTTGAGTGGGTAGACGCGTCCTGAGAGAATATCAAGAGCATTTGTTCCATGGTCCATCAGATCCAATTTTGTTAGGACACCAATAGTCCTTCTTCCCATGGGATCAACATGGCGCGCGAGCTTCAGTGCTTCGGAATTGACAATGTCAACATTGGCGGGGGAAACAGCCAGGACAATGCTGTTAGGTTTGGCGATATATTCGGAGATGAGGGTTCTAGTTTGCTTCTCAATGTCGCCGGGCTGGTCTCCGATCGGGACCTTGGTCAGCCCAGGGAGATCGACAAGAGTCAGGTTCAAGACGTGTGGGGAGTATATCTTGAGATTGATAGGTTGTCTGTTGATTCCTTTATTATTTCCAGCTATTCTGGCCGTCTCATTTTCGATTTCGGCTCGGACTTGATTGAAGTCGGTAAATTTGCGACTGGGGATGTGATGAAACTCGGCCCATTCTCCATGCTCAGCGACACTAGCGGCAGAATGAGGGACGTGAACCTCGTCACCGCTATTTGAATCATCATCGAGGGGGATATTGATCAATTGTAAGATGAGTGGTCGGCGAGTGACGATGCCACTACCTCGGGGAAGAAAGTCCCTTCCAACAATATTTTCCAGCACGGAAGATTTTCCCGAGGATTGAGAGCCAACGACGACTATCTGAGGAAGATCGAGGGAATCATTGCCAATTGTGTTGAAGACCAGATCTTGAAGTTTATTGACGGTGCGCAGAAGGTCATCACCGAGGGTTGTCATTGTCGACGATGACCGTGGCCAGTTTGCAGAATGGGAGTTTGACGTTTCAGGACCTGGGGCAAAAGTTGGCAGCGCGGCCCAGGAAGTGCAGGCGGTGGTTGTTGTGTTGACTTAAGCAGGGATGGTAGTCAGGCCTATTAGCTGAAGGATACAGAAGGACGAGAATATACAAAGGAGAAGCGAAAAAGGTGGTTGTGGTGGTTGTTGTTGAGCTAGAGAGTGATATGCAGGCACATGCCCAGGTGTTTACATGGAGGAAATAGAGGAGCACCAACCTTGGCTGCGAACTAGAGAAGAGGCGCGGGCGGTGGTTTTGGTCTGACCGCGGGATAGTGATGGTGGTGGGCTAAGACCCACTAAGACTTTGAGAGTATTTGTGTCTGACGGGCACATCGGGGCAGTCGCCACTCTCAGGCTTCCGCAACGGTTGCACTTGGTAGTGTACTCGTACTTTGGGCGTGACGTCGTTGGCTTCATCCTCATTCTCCTCTCGTGTTTTCCCAACCCCGGCCACTGCAGCTTGGATGCATCAAGCTCAGACTGGGAAAGCAAAGGCGGGGGAGGTGCAAAGATATGACATGATCCGAATTAAGCAGAAAATATATCTATCCCTCCTTCCTCCTAGCAGTTCAATAATAACACTCGTATCATCTTCTCAGCTCCTACCACCCTCAGGCTACCTAGGTAGCTGTGCAAGTTCAGACTTCACCTGTCCATCATGGTGAGGTTCTTCTTGTCAATGATTGTTGGCATATCAACTGTTGGCAGTGTCTACACTTTACCAACTGACCCTGGCCACCAAATCTATCTCGAGGCTGAATCCTCTATCGCTGCCTCAATCCGTGACATTCTGATTGACAACAAAGTCATCGGAGACGTCCTAGACGACTTCAATCCCGATTATTACCTGGACATCTCATATCCCAAATTTCATGAATCAGTTCGCCTAGGAAACGATATTCCCGTCAAATCAGTATCAGACCGCCCAGCCTTCATCTTCCAGCCCCTGACTCCCTTAAAACCTCCCACGCCGCGTATAAAAGACACCGAAGATGTCTTCACACTCATCTTAACTGATCCTGATGCAAAATCACGCGACAAGCCCAAATGGTCCGAGATGTGTCACTGGATCATCACCAATTTGACTGATCACACCCGAGAACCACCCCCATTTTTGGAGCCGAGTGGGTTTCCAAGTCTGAAATATGGCGAGGTCGAGAAGTATCTTCCACCAGGACCCCCGCCAAAAACTGGCCCGCATCGATATGTCTTCGTGCTCTTAAGAGGGCATTCGACACATGTGGAAGCTCCCAAGGACAGAAAACATTGGGGCTATGGAAAGGTCCGTCATGGCGTCAGAGATTGGGCCGCAGAGAACAATTTGACAGTCGTGGGAGCCAATTTCTTCTTCGCTCAAAACGTAAAGCAATAAGCATGGATTGCAAAAAAGTTTGGTGATTGTCCGTTTATGTCGCTCTGGATGAGTGCCCAAAAGTCGAATTTCCATTAGCTTCCATCAGCAGTCTTAGCTCAGTCAGACTCTTTGAAACTGTTTCAATGGCCTCCTTTCCTCTCTGAACTTGCTTGTGGATGGTGGCCTCGGCTGCAACGTCTGCTGCATTGGCTGAAAACAGCCACGGTTCAATCCGTTGTGTTATTTCGTCCTCCACCACGATCTTCTCATTAGACTTGCTGCCAAATACTGAGCTAGCATGTCGAAATCGTCCAGATTTTGCTAGCATAGGGAAGGCTTGGAGCAGCTGGCTCTCGTCACTAAGTCGTTCAATCATTCGCACCACGCTCGAGATCTCATTGAACAACTGCTCTTCGGTGAGTGCAGAGTGTTTCTGGATCATAGTATTGTGCATCATGGCAGGCACAAGATTCTGCTCAATGAATACAAGGGTGTTGTCGCTCGAGCCCGTATTCCGTTGTTCGAGAGTAGAGTCCTGTTCAGTACTCGAGGGAACGACTTGATTCTCTGAGTGGAAGTCCGGAACTTGGACCCTCAGTGCTGACACGTTTGAGAGCAATCGTTTGCGTGCCTCTAGATATCGATCGTACTCTGCATCCGTTTGATGTCCAATTTCCGTATTATCGGACCTGGCTCCTTGGTAATCCAATTGCCCCTGGCCAGGTGAGTTGATAACATCGTCCTGACAGTTCTCTAGACTCTCTTCTAGCCAGACGGTCAACTCGTTCCGTGTGGCCGACAGAGCAGATAGTCGTTGCTGCACAGAGTTTTGGGCCAATTGCCTTGGGTGGCACTTCAACTTCTTCAAAACCGCTGCTTGTCGACCGGCTTCATGTCGATCCTGAATTAAAGCGATTTCCAGGCGTTTCACCTGTGACTGGACTGAATTCACAAGTTCCATAATATGACCGCTTCCATATTCCAGAGACTCAAAATTAATGTCTGGCACATGCTGCTCGACATCAGTCTCCAAACTCAACGAGCCGCGGGATAACCTCAGAGCCTCAAATTCATCCTTTAAGCCGACAAGTCCTCCATGCTGCTTCTGTAGTCGAGCCACTTGTAGATGTTTCTGCAGTAAGCTTGTATGCTTCACATCCTCTACGGCGCTGGATTCGGCATTCACGCCCACGATAATATCCATATCAGTCTGTTGAACTCGTTGCAGCGCTTGAGCACAACGCCGCTGGGCCACAACATTCGCCCTCAGAGCTTCGAGATACTCTCCACGAACTCCTCCCAGCTGGTTCTCCATCACAGCCTCGCACTTTCCCTCTCTGATCATATTCACTCGTCGTACCAAATATGCATCGTCATCTCCCTCAAGATTTGCTGTTTCTTCAGTGGTTGATAGGGAGTTGTGATTCATTACTGTCAAGCCTTTGGGGAAGCCTGATTTCTCATTCACGTAAGGCATCCTGGATGTGATCAGTCTCTTTCAAGTACTGTCCGGCCTGGACAACCTACGTATTTGTTGGCCGCTGAGTTATCCGTCGTTATGATCGTGGGACTGTTGCACGACCATCAAGATGCTGTGCCTCTTAGTGACTGTCCCTTACGCGCAACACATCTTTTTCGCACATCTGGATCCATTACCGATAGCTCATACCCCACACATTAGTATTAGGATTAAGATTGATTTATATGTCTGGGGCTCACAAGACTCTTGAGAAGTGAATATCTTTCATGGCTCCAACCCTGTTAGCCCGGGTGGGTGCCCAGTGGCAGCCAATCAGCGCTACAGCCTCGTCCTTCCACGCCACAAGGCTGGGACTAGTGACACGTGATCTTGGCCAAACTCCATCTGCACCTTGGTCCAGCTTGTGAACTTGCCGTTCACAACTCGTATGATCGTTGCTATTGCATTGAGTTTTGGTGGTGGAGGGGCTGGAGGAGATGTCCAAAATATCGTTTCTACGCTCGTCGACAGGACCAATCTCGATTCGTCGATTTTCATCATTCCCATCTCGACCTGCAGCCCAATCGTCCCAGTCCCTGGACTTCGGTGCAATTGATGCAAAATGGCAGCAGAGATGGGCAAAGCAACCGAAACCTCATGCTTCCATGCAGGGACAACAGAGCTCTTACGTTCTTCCCATGTTTGCGTACCCTTCCGGATCCCTTCATATGGGTCATCTTCGTGTGTACACGATATCCGATGTCCTTGCTCGATATCGACGCATGAAAGGTGAACATGTCCTTCACCCAACTGGATGGGATGCATTTGGATTGCCTGCCGAGAACGCTGCGATTGAGCGTGGTATCGATCCTGCGGTTTGGACACAGGAGAATATCACCAAGATGAAGGCACAACTAAAGAGCATGAACACACAATTTGATTGGGATGCAGTAGGTCAAGAGACTGGATTTTATGTATATAGAACTGATACCGTGGGTAGGAAATATCAACATGTTCACCATCTTTCTACAAGCATACACAGAGCATCTTTTTGAGGCTATATCAGAGAGGTCTGGCATATCAAGCTGAGGCGCTGGTGAACTATGATCCTGTTGACAAGACCGTTCTTGCGAATGAACAGGTAAAATTCACCCCACTCATACCTGCCCTTCTGTATCTGACGAAACACTCTCCAGGTTGATAGCAACGGAAGGTCATGGCGGTCCGGAGCACTGGTACAGCAGATTACCCTCCGACAATGGTTCTTCCGAATCACCGCCTTTAAAGAAGCTCTCTTAGAAGACCTATGGTATCTTTCCGAAGTGGGAGAATGGCCGGATCGAGTTGTCACTCAACAGCGCAATTGGATTGGCCGCTCCGTTGGTGCACGAATCCAGTTTACTCTGGCCGACCGCGAAGGCCAATCTACTCCTGTTCGCGTCTTCACAACTCGCCCAGATACTCTCTTCGGTGTCAAATTCATTACCTTGTCTATGACTCACCCCCTTGTCAAGCAGCTTGCACCGACTACTCCGGGATTGCAAGAGTTTCTCGATAGACGGGCATCCTTTGCACCTGACTCCAAGGAAGGCTTTGAGCTTCCCCTATCTGCAATCAATCCTTTGTCAGAAATAACTGGCACTTCGTCCGATATGTTGCCTGTATTCACTGCTCCATATGTCTTGGAGAACTACGGAGAAGGTGCTGTTATGGGGGTTCCAGCTCACGACTCGCGAGATTTGGGTTTCTGGAAGACCCAACGAAAATTAGCACCAGTCCCGATTGTTGTTACTCCCACCAATCCCAAAGAGCGGCATACCAATCTGCACATCGCCGACCTTCCATCAGCATACACAGGGCATGGTGCCCTAACAGAGCTATGCGGCCATTACTCTGGCCTACTCAGCGAAGAGGCAGGAGCGAGGATCATTCAAGACTTGAATAAAAAAGGACTGGCGGAGCCATTCGAAACATGGAAACTTCGTGATTGGCTTATCAGCAGACAACGCTATTGGGGAACTCCTATCCCGATCATTCATTGTTCGAGTTGTGGCACTGTATCAGTCCCCGAAAAAGACCTCCCAGTGGAATTGCCTAAGCTCGATTCCTCTATCCGAGGCCAAACAGGCAACCCATTGGACAAAATCGATGATTGGGTCAATTGTCAGTGTCCGAAATGCAGTGGTCCTGCCAAAAGAGAGACCGATACAATGGACACCTTCGTGGATTCATCGTGGTACTTCATGCGCTTCTTAGATTCCTCGAATGAGGTTGAACCATTCTCATCTAAATCAACCGAAGGTATGGGATCAGTCGACTTGTATGTTGGAGGAGTGGAACATGCGATCTTGCACCTACTCTATGCACGTTTCATTTATAAATTTCTCAACAGTGAGGGACTTGTATCTAACGGTGAAGGTTACGCCGAGCCATTCAGGAGGCTGATTGCTCAAGGTATGGTGCACGGGAAGACAGTTTCAGATCCAGACACTGGGAGGTTCCTTCTACCGCACGAAATCGAGCTGGGCGGAGATCTTCCAACCATCAAAGCAACGGGTAAACCGCCCAATGTGACATGGGAGAAGATGTCTAAGAGCAAGTATAACGGAGTGGATCCATCCACCTGCATTGAGAAATACGGTGCCGACGCACTAAGAGCTCACATCCTATTTGCAGCGCCGGTCAGCGAAGTGCTGCAGTGGGACGAAGAGAAGATTGTGGGGATACAACGGTGGTTTGGCCGTGTGCACCGTTTAGTGAACGACCTCGCAGCTTCATCAGGAGGGTTAGTGTCTGCCAGCTCAACAAGCGAGGTGGACGTCGGCAATCTTTCAGAAGCTGACGCGACAGTACTGCTGCATGCGCATTGCACTAGCAAGACAATTACTGAGACCTTCTCGGAGAATGTCTACAGCCTAAACACAGCCATATCCGACCTGATCAAGTTGACCAACGCACTGCATGAGAGTGGAGTGCAATCGCTCTCACCACCAACCGCCCATATCACTATCACAGCACTTCTCAAGATGATGGCACCCGTCGCCCCAGCATTCGCAGAGGAATGCTGGGAGAGGATTAACCTGTGCACCTCCACTGAGGGGAGAACCGCTGAGAGCATTTTCAGCACCTCGTGGCCAAGCGACATCCTGTCGGATGAGCAAGAAGAAACCTTGCGAAGTCGACGGCAGGCCATGGTCTGTGCCGTGCAAATCAACGGCAAACTGCGCTTTACGATCAATGTAAGGCCTCCAACTACAGGCGAAAGCGAAGACAACAAGGCAAAGCGAGAGGCCGAGATTATCAATGCCATCCGTGCGACCGCTGAAGGCCGTCTGTGGCTGACTGAAAAGAACGACTGGGAGAAGAGGAAGAGAGTCGTCGTTGTGCGTGACGGAAAGGTGGTCAATTTTGTCTTTTGATGTGGCTTGCCTTGTATAAAAGTTCTTGTCTACGAAAAGGAGAAGTGGGTCCACGTGATTAGGGGGTGGCAGTGACGGATTGTACAATTATACCACCTTGTATATTCAATGTAATGAGTACTCCATTCCATCTTATTCCAGCAGCGGTCCTTGCTAGCATCGGACTCAATTTTGCAGCCAAGCCAGGTATTGCTCGTGGGTCACGGTTCCCTGAATCAACCTAGAATTGCCAGCAGCCATATTTGTATTGAAGGAGATCTTCTGTCCTTCAGGTGCCCGGGCAAATGCTGCTCCCTCCGGTACTACCTGCAATGCGCGCGCTGCATCCGTCACTTGGCCGAGCCCAAAACTATATCCTGCTTCGCTGGACGCGTGAGAGAATGTGGAAGCTGTCGAAGCCGAAGCTACAGGTGAAACTGTGGACGATTGCTGTTGTGGGTTCTCTTGCTTGGTCAAAAATGTCCCTACCGGTGGTTGGGTCGCCGTATCCTTCGAGAGGGTGTTGGACATATTGGGTATCTCGATATCTTTCAGAGCCGCCGGGTGTTGCTCCGGGGTTTGAGGTGGTGTGAGACCATTCGCCATGGATCTGTTAGGCACAGGGGTGCCGCTCATTGCAAACCGGATATCTGACGACGGCGTGGCCGATACCACCTCTAGATTTGTTATCAGGAAATCAAGGTCGCCGATTAAAATTCCGAATTTTTGTTTGTCGCGTATCGCCCAGATGGTCGACCGCCGGAAAAGAGATGCTCTACAAGATCGAACAGGTAAAAGGAGGTGTTTGATCTTCCAAATATTCGACTCCAGGGTCGAGCCTTGGCAGGTTGGTGAAAAGCCGTGGTTGACACTGTGAACGCTCCTTGACTTGCGGGGTTCCAACCTATATTTATCTCTTAAGATGTCTGCATTCCCAAAAATGTCAACAATTCCCTGCAAACTTGATCCGATCACCTTATCGTGGCCAATCCATTTCTGGTGTAGCCGGGTTTTCTCGTATTCCAGGTGTCGATCGGCACAAAGTTCCAGGTGTGACTGCCCCCAGTTGTCCAGGCGGGACTTCAGGAGAGATAGCTTTAGGCATGCCAGGTTGTAATCTGATTCGTAGTCTCTGCTCAATTCGAAGTATTCCAGGCACTCAACGCATGTTGTGAATAGTGAGGCTAACGCGACTGTCCCAAGTGCAAGTCCGACAGCTTCTGCCATGGAAGATGTGTCAGGCAGGGAAGGATGAAGGCCATGAGTGATTTCATCAAAGTTGGACCTCAAGTTTCGACAGCGAAGTTGCAGATGCTTGACTTCTAGTACGGAGCATGCTTAGCAACACTGCCACGCTTTGCACTCTGCTTGCTTTAGATTTGACCGGTGGAGTTGTGGTACTCTGGGATTTGCGAGGGTGTCCAAGGGTGCCCGGGGTGTCAGTGGTCGAGATGCGAGAAGGCAAATGGTACAGCATGTGCCCACATTTGATTGGACTGCGCTGAATCGCTAGGCAACCTCTGAGCACTCTTCCTGCAACCAGGTTCCAATGGGGCACTGAAGGCGATAGCAGCCAGCCGCATCCTTCAAATACCGCCCTTCTGGTGTTGGTCACGCTGCAAGGCATTGTGCAACTGCGCAGGGCTGAGACTGTAGAGTGATTCGAAAACTTCAATTACTCTTCGAACCAAGTAGCGACATCGTTCTCGGCAAACCGGCATGTCGATGTGGCAAGTGCTGGTTGCACAGACGCAAATACGACTGGTGACGAGAGGGTAGCAGGAGGGCTGCCGTTGGTGCCATATGCCACAGAGCGATCATCGCAGCAACCTGAACATCTCCTTCAGCATTGGTGAACGCAATCATAGCATCACTCAAGCCGATGGTAACTCTCGTCCGTTCCAGGGCCAAACCTTCCCTGCAGCACCAAGTGCGATGACCCGTACCCGAGAGGGATCCAGTGAAGGCTCAGGATCAGGTATGGAAGATGAACCACAATGCTAGCGACGAATATCCCGGCTAACAAGGTCTTTTCGCGCGTCAAGTAGCCAGAACACCGGGAGAGGCATTCCCGACGGGCGCGATCACCAATGGACGGTCCCCTTACGGAACTGAACTTGAGCAGAAGCACGCTGAATTGGCTGAACAGGCTGTAACATTTCAGGTGGAGGTCACAACGCGGCCGGGGAAAAAAGGCGAGAAGTCGTCTGAAGTCGATGAAACGTGTGAGCCCGATGAGAAACACTACGGCGATGCCCGAAAGTGTAATTTCCGAGTGGGCGAACTTTACAGGATCTGGCATCCCTACAACATCGATGTACACCTCAATACCTTCTTGGTAGAGAAGATCATTGGGACCAGTATGTCTTGCCTTAAACTCGAGCATCGCTCTCCTGTCGAGGTGGATCGGAAATTCGAATCCACACATGTGAAGCTCAGGGTCGAGAGCTACGTCTCAGGCTCATACAACCATCGGCGATCATCCAGCCGTTTGCGTGCCAGGCAGCAGCAAGAAGGGCTGGAGCCACAAGAGTTTACCATGGCTACAGTTTATATGGGAAAGCAGCAGCGTATGAAAGACGACTGCTACATTGATGTTACCGGGTCCTGGAACATTGACTGGCAATCAGAGTACTACCGGTTCGTCTATTGTGGCGAGCTTGAGAGAGACTCGATTCTAAACATTCAGGAAATACATGAGGACTGGAGAAGCGGGTCAAAGTGATGGAACTTGATTGTTGCGCTTGGCCCAAGGTCAAATATCTCAAATGACTACCAGGTAGATAGACACCCAGACGTTCCCAGCTTAGGAACCCAGGTATGTTTCTACCAAGGTATCTAAAGGGGGAATCACTGTCTCTTATGTATAAAGATCCATATCATGAAAGAAAGCTACATACCTACCCCGGGCGAAGGTACCTTGAGTAGGTAATTACTGTACGGAAATAATTTTCAATGCCTTCAATGAAGGCGTTCCAACTTCGTCCTCAACATCAGGGCATTAAATATTGCCTCCGGGGAGGTATGAAAAGCCGCCGATGTTTATCCGGCCGCAAATTCCCCAAATGTCAAGCCCTGGGTACTATTGAACGCTCAATATTTCTCATCATATCATGAAGCCTCTTAACAGGCCCGTAGGCCTCATTTACTGGGGCCATAGTCCTCGTACGAGATCGCACCTCCATCAGCGTCGCTTCTTTGCTGCGGTGGCGGATGCTCACCGGTAAACCCTCTCCCTCATACACCTTTGCATACTCTGGCGCAGGCACTAACCCACCACAGGCCGTACGATGTGGTCGTCATCGGCGGTGGCCATGCGGGCACCGAAGCGAGTGCTGCCGCCGCCAGATCTGGTGCTCGAACAGCACTCGTCACTCCCTCGTTGTCGAATCTCGGGGTTTGTTCCTGTAATCCTAGTCTCGGTGGCATAGGCAAGGGAACAATGATCCGCGAGATCGATGCTTTGGATGGCGTCGCTGGCCGAATCACTGACAAGGCGGGAATACAATTTCGAATGTTGAATCGAAGGAAAGGACCTGCGGTCTGGGGACCAAGAGCGCAGATTGATCGAGATCTGTACAAGAGATATATGCGGGAAGAGATACTCTCTACGCCGAATCTGAGTGTTCTTGAGGGCAAAGTGGGAGATATAATAGTCTCGAAGGACAACATAGGGCCTGAAGACAATGTCTCGCAGGGCAGCATCACCGGTGTCCGCCTCGAGGATGGGCAGATCATTCCCACGTCGCAGGTGGTGATCACGACAGGCACGTTTTTGGGCGGAGAGATTCACATCGGCATGGAGGCGTATCCATCAGGACGGATGGGTGAAGCGGCAACATTTGGACTCAGCAAGTCCTTACGAAGTGCGGGATTCACATTGGGAAGATTGAAAACTGGAACACCACCACGTTTGGACCGAGACACCATCGACTTTCGCCGTCTCGAGATCCAGCCTGGAGACTCTCCACCACATCCCTTCTCGTATCTCAACGACACTGTGGATATCGGGGACGAGGGCCAATTGAATTGCTGGTTGACCTACACGAACCCTGCATCGCACGACATCATCCGTGCGAATCTCGACAAAACGATACATATTCGAGAGACAGTGAGAGGTCCTCGATATTGTCCATCATTAGAATCCAAGATTATCAAATTCGCGCATAAATCAAGACATCAGATTTGGCTGGAGCCAGAAGGAATGGAACCTAACAATGTTATTTACCCAAATGGCATGAGCATGACGGTGCCCGCAGATGCACAATATGCCATGCTGAAAACAATCGTTGGGCTCGAGAATGTCAAGATGCTCCAAGCCGGCTATGGGGTAGAATACGACTACATCGACCCGCGGAACTTGTTTGCCACTCTGGAAACCAAACTTATCAAAGGTCTGTTCCTTGCAGGTCAAATCAATGGTACTACAGGATACGAGGAAGCAGCCGCCCAGGGAATCGTGGCCGGAATTAATGCTGGCCTGGCAGCGCAGGGTAAAGAGCCATTCACACTTTCTCGCGCGGATGCCTTCATCGGCATTCTCATCGATGATCTAATCACGAAAGGTGTTTCAGAGCCATATCGAATGTTCACCAGTCGTAGCGAGTACCGCTTGAGCTGCAGATCAGACAACGCAGATTTGAGATTGACTGAAAAGGGTCGCAGCGCTGGCATTGTGGGGGATAAGCGCTGGAACCACTTCACAACCATCCGCAGCGAGATGGTCGACTTGCAGAAGAAACTCGAAGAGATCAAACTGTCGAGTCAAGGATGGCAGAAGCTGGGAGTGAATGTCCGAACTGATTCGACACTGCGAAGTGCGTTCGAAGTCCTTCGGATGCAGGATTCGGACGTCGATAGCATTGCCAGAGTTACGCCTGAACTGGCGGGCACCACATCCAATTACTCCGTCACAATCAAAAGACGCGTGGAGATTGAGAGCCGCTATGCACCCTACGTTAGCAGGCAGCAGAAAACAGCGGATTCATTCATACGGGAAGAGGAGCTTTCGTTGCCCGTCGGTCTTGACTATGACAGAATCTATGGGCTGAGTATTGCCGAGAAGGAGACTCTGAAACTCGTCCGGCCCACGAGCATCGGTATGGCGAGACGAGTCGAGGGTGTGACGCCTAGTGGAGCGTTGAGATTGCTTCACCATGTTCGCCGAGGCACAAATACGATGGCCAGCGCTTCCGAATCAACGGCTCCTGGAGACGAACTATTGAATGCTGAACGAGAAGAAGCCGAGGGGGCGATTGGTGCTGTGGGTGGTACTTGATTGCCATCTTCCCCATACGAACATGCGAAAGATCCAAAAAGTTTCACAGAAGGAAAGGAGAAATCCCCCACAAGAGTTACTGAACCACAAAACAACAAATTGATAGTCGAGAGGAAGCTCAGATGAGCGTCCTTATCCCTGTTATGAAGGACAGAATGCACTACCAAGTTTCTGTTTCTGCTGAGCAACTCAAACACAAAGTATAGGCATGGCACACCTACCAACCACAGCTGACAATGCCATACCACGTATGATTGTCAGAAGGTATGTCCCGATGTACCCTCCCTACGGACGGGTATTCGTGAGTTCACTACGCTTGAACAACTATTGAGCGTGATTTTACGAGGTGACTCTCCTCGTGGAATCATATGGAGACCTTGTTTGGGTTCTTTAAGCTCAGGCCGCTGAAGGCATGTACTGACGCTGTGAAGGGCATTCGAGAGGAGGATGTTGGTATCTACCCAGCTGGTCCCTGTTCGTCTCATGATATACTCCCTTGTCATAGCGATTGGCATTGACGGGACTGAGCAAGCCTGAGCAACTACTAAAAGCTCGTCTACTCTCGTTATCTGTATATGTATAATATGTAACAATGCAATAAAACCTATTACAAGGAGATAAACCTGTGAATTTTGAGCCTGCGCATTCTTCATATCACGTGCTGGGCATTTATCTGTCTCAGCACGCTGAGTCATCCATCAACGCGTCGAGAACCCCTGACGTAACGTACCGAGCATCCCAAATAAGCGAACTCAGGCACCTCACGCGAGCTTCAAGCAGGAGTAGTGGCATCAAGCACAGCGATATTGAAGTTCTCGATCAATTTTGAATCATTACCATTAGTAGTTTACAACACCTCTCTCTTAACATACGCGCCCTTTGCAGTCTTTATTTTTCTTCAGCTAAAGGAACTCTTTAAGGACAGGGGTTTTCAAAGATTTCGAGACCAAACAAACTGGGGAGAAAGGGACTTAACAAAAAGAGGATGCAATGTCGATGATGATGGGCTCCAGCGCCCAGACACAGTTCGTCGGTATGAGAATACGGCATGGCTGCTGCTCTGCATTGAGACCATCGAGCTCACCGCTACCGCGATCAAGACATACGAGAACTTTGATGACTTCGCTACTGGCCCAGCGGCAAGGACCATCGTTGGAGAGCATGAATGGCTTGCATTCGATATCAGACTCTACGGGAAGAAGTCGACCTTCCATGTGGACTGGAATCAGTCCCTTGGCGAAATCGGTGGCGCCAGGGCTGATGTTGGCTTCCTGGGGCTTGAGTCGCTGCTTTTCACGGCTCGCGATGACCAGGGCTAGCACCAGACATAGCCTCAGATATGCCTCGACGGAATCGAAACCCGAGTTGGCAGAGGGAGTAGAGGAGAAAAGGTACGTTCTTGATCGACTCACGTTCACGGGCATTTATGACACTTCCCTCACCTGGATTGAGAAATCTCCTTCCTATCTCCCTTCCGTACCACCATAGTATACCACAATTACCGCTAACAGCAAAAACAGCACAACGACGTCCAAGATCCTACAAAAACTCCCCAAGCTGCCCAGTCCGACCAGACACGAAAACATCTACACACTGCCCAACTTCCTCACCTTCACACGGCTCCTGGCCGCCCCAGCGGTAGGATACTGCATCCTGCACTCACAGCCGGTGGCGGCGATCGCACTGTTCTTCTACGCGGGGGTGACGGACGCGGTCGACGGGTATCTGGCGCGGAAGTACCACTCGGAGACGGTGGTCGGGACGGTGATCGACCCGATGGCGGACAAAGCGCTGATGACCATCACGGTGGTGTGCCTGACGATCGAATCGATCCTGCCACTGTGGCTGAGCGTGGTGATCCTCGGGCGCGACGTCGCCCTCGCCATCTCCGCCATCTACTTCCGCTGGATCAGCCTGCCGCCCCCCAAGACTTTCGCCCGCTACTGGGACTTCAGCCTGCCGAGCGCCGAGGTGCGTCCCACGGAGATCAGTAAGATCAACACGCTGCTGCAGCTGTTGCTCGTCGGGAATGCCATGTTGTTGCCCGTGTTGCCGGAGGCGTTGGTTGTCGCGGGGAACTTAACCGGGGTGTTTGAGGGCTGGTGTTATTTGGTCGCCGGCACGACGCTGTGGAGCGGTTTGAGTTATGTGGGGAATCGGGATGCCGTCAAGATCTTGAGCCGTGAGGAGGGTGAGGAGAGGAAGCGGAAGTTGGTGGAAGGCGCGGCCAAAGGCTGAGCGATCGATGGATTGAGGCACCGTGGGTAAATCGTGTGCGTGGGAGTTGGATCGCCCGCAAGGTATAGCAAAAGAACTGGGACGATACAGTTGTACATTATTTCTTACAAGGCTCCTGCGTAAGCAGAAGTCCGTGTCGAAGATACTGGGTGGTGTAAAAGACTGCTGCAATCATCATAAATGAGCCTTGAAAGTAACACTATCAAAAATGTTCATAGATTCTCCATCGGTGTTCATTAATTCATTCTTGATCAGAGAAACGATTAGTAGTCTCCTGTTCTAGATTGGTATAGCCATCATGGCTTCCCTGATCTCTGGTGGTAGAGGGAATAGTCATGGGATTAAACATCATGTTGACTTCTATCAAAAATGGTATTCTGGCCGAAGTCTTCACCTTCCAACGGCTCTACCTAGCCGACCTTGAGCTGTAGCAGGTGCTTGATCCGGCCAAGAACCCACCGCGTCATCGACCTCTTGAAGGAATATTTCCGAATTTACGACATTAGTCCCTCCAAGGACAACTCGCACTCCAGGGACTGATGCATTAACTTGTGTCACGATCCGAGCCTCTTCATAAGTGACACCACCGACCATGAAGATAATAATATCTTGCGGCTTGTCCCTTGTATGTCCCATTCCCTCGAGGAATGGATACTGCAATTCTTTCAGACGACCTTTAATGAGATTTTGTAGGGTCAACTCCAATCGTGGAGAATGCTGAGTATAGACATTTTCAACACCCTTCAAGTTGAGATTCCTGCGGAAGTTTGAAAAGGGAGAGCTGGCAGCATCGAAAGCAAAGAGGTCACTGAAACCACCTCCAACTGGGGCAGGTTGTAGTGAATGATGATAGGCAAGCACTTTAGGGATAATGGAGAGTTTGTTGGGACTAATATCCGCGACAGTAGTGAGCAGGTCGAGAAGCACAGGAAGAGCATTGTTTTGATTTCGTTCATAGCGGATGGCGTATAAAGCGACGAGCCGAATCTTGTTGTCGGGGGTTATAGATGGGTTTTGGATGTGCTTCTGTAAGGTTTTCAGGTCATTGGCATGATTATCATTACAGACCAGACTCTGTTCAAGTTCCGAAACATCCAGTAGTTGATCAGCTGAGACACGCCGACTTAGTTCGCTGACAAGGGTGACATGTTTGGAGACATTTCCGGATAATTTGCGGAATTCAGGATAGTCCTCGACGAAACGCTTCATATCAGCAATGCTCTCTATTTGAGCGTTGGATTTTGTGCGGGATTGATATTGATCAACATATTCCTTGATATTGCCTCCAAGATCACCGAAATTTTGGTACATATTCTTTTTGAAGAAAGGGTCCTGATCTTGACTGAGAACAATCTCTCTTAGTTCCGGTCTTATATCCGGTACCACAGATAGGTCTACGCGACCATTGTGGATGCCTAAAAGTTCATGAACTTGAGCTTGGTACGTCCACTGAGTGAGAAGAGGAGTTATAGGGTCGTCGCGTCGGTCGAGGATCAAGAGGATTGGAGGGGTGTCGGTTTTTCGAAAACCAAACAACTGTTCTTCTTGAGTGATCTGATAACGTACTTCTGTGGCCAGCTTTTTGGCCATAAGGCTGTTCTTCTCGTACCGTATCAGAGGATTCTTCTTGAGAGACAGGAGTAAGGCAATGACACCTTCGGTAGTCCTCTGAAGGGCGTCAGTGTTCCAGATATCAGGGCTGTGACTCCATAAGCGTTGGGTCGGGAAGCCTAGATTCAGGGTCATCAGGTCAGGGTTGACAACGATGTAATCGGCAAAATATTCCTGAACAGCCTTGACGACTTCATGATCATCTGCCTCGGCCAGTCTTTCCAGAGTGGACTTCTTTATAATGTTGGAGAAGTATAATTGGTATTCCCCATACTTTGGATCTCGGAGTTCATCAATGAGGAATTGAATAGAATCGGGTGAAGGACGAACAAAGACTAGACATCGGAGGTGACGCATTCGCTCACGGGATGACTCGAGTCTTTCAACGAGGAAGACGTCATGTTTCAAGAGAGCAGACTGGGTGATGGCAGTCGAGACGATTGAGACAGTGGCAGAGTCGAGGAGTAAGATCTTGAGCTTTTGACTCTGGGATGAAGCTGCACCTTCACCTACGCCAGCTATCTTGGAGACGTAATTCTGGACGGCTGAGGCTACATCCATGGTCTCAGTGGGATCGCGCAGGGTAGGCTCAAGATGAGCAAGGCGTTCAATTCATTGCGTGGAGGGAGACGAGAGGGTGACAGTGAGAGACAGGGTGGTCTGGTCGTGCAACAGGCGACACTCGAAATAAGTGTGGGCGAGAGTTTTGGGGAATAAGAGTCGATAGAAGTAGGGATTGTTGAGTATCAAGTGTCAGGACATGTCGCGGTGAGCGCACTGCAGGTGCACAATTGATGTTAGTGTTGGTGTTGTTGATGTTGTTGTAGGGAGGCACCCAGATAGCACCGCAGGACGAGCGGTGCATGGTCGTGCCTTCTCCATACAAAAAGTGGCATCTCCGCACGTTCCTTCCTCAGCCTATTTCATCATCGACCACCACCTCGTCACCCACTGGCATGTGGACGACCACCCACAGCTTCTTTCACCCTTTCCTTCTTCTCACTTCCTTTCCTTCTCTACAGCCTCTCTTCAGCGCCCTTGGAGCGTCTGAAGTCTGTTCAAGATGATTCCCGGAATCGATTATCGTATGTGGGGTCCCACCCATCGAGTAGTATCCCACTAACACCACCAACCCAGCATTTCAGTATGTCGCCAAAGCCATAGGAGCATCTACCGACGAGATCAAGTTGATATTCAGCTTTCTCATGAGCTATCCGCTTGCTGGCCTTCTCAAGCGTATTCCTGATCAAAAACCTAACCAGAAGAATATTTTCATCGTCGCGGTCAGTCTCTTTTATTTCATTGGCCTCTTCGATCTCTATGATGGCCTTCGCACCTTTCTTTATAGTGCAGTTGGTACATATGCCATTGCCTACTATGTTGATGGGAGTCTGATGCCTTGGATCGTGTTTTTCTACCTGGTAAGATTCATCCACCATTGACCGCCACTCGGCTTTCCCAAGAGTATTGTACTAACCTCAATTCTAAAGATGGCCTATATGTCTTGGTCCCACATCGTCCGCCAGCGCCTCAACGATCCCTCTGTTGTGGACATCACGGGGGGTCAAATGATCCTGGTCATCAAGCTGAGCTCATTTGCTTGGAATGTTCACGACGGCCGTCTCAAGCCCGACCTGATGACCGACAGCCAGAAAGATCGGGCCATCTATGAAATGCCCGATTTCTTGGATTATGCTGGCTACGTCTTTTTCTTTCCCTCAGTCTGGACCGGCCCTGCCTTTGATTATGTCGACTACAAACGCTGGTTGCAAACAACCATGTTCGAAATTCCTGAAGGTTCAAAAGCACCCCCCACTCGATCAAACAGGCGTATTCCTCGCTCAGGTACGCCTGCCACAAAGAAAGCCATCATTGGCTTGCTCTGGATCGGTCTCTATGTCCAATTCTCCGGCTTATACACCACCAACCTACTCCTTTCCGACGATTATTTGAAGTACTCATTTTTCCGTCGTGTTTGGCTGCTATACATGCTTGGTTTCACTTCCCGCCTGAAATACTACGGTGTATGGACATTGACCGAAGGAGCTTGTATTCTCTCCGGATTGGGTTATAATGGTCTCGACCCCAAGACAGGCAAAGCATTGTGGAACCGACTCGAGAACGTCAATGCTTGGGAGATCGAAACTGCCCAGAATTCGAGAGCGTATCTGGATGGCTGGAACAAAAACACCAACAAATGGCTCCGAAATTATGTTTATCTGCGTGTCACACCAAAGGGAAAGAAACCTGGCTTCCGCGCCACTCTTGCCACTTTTATCACTTCAGCTTTCTGGCACGGCTTCTACCCAGGATATTACCTCACATTCCTGATGGGAGCTTTCATTCAGACTGTCGCGAAGAATTTCCGTCGCTATGTTCGCCCCTTCTTCCTCGTTCCCGACGGTTCAAAACCAACAAAGTACAAAATCTACTATGATATTGCCAGCTATGTCATTACTCAACTAGCCTTTTGCTTCACCACAGCTCCCTTCGTTATTCTGGGGTTCACCGACAGTCTAGTTGTCTGGGCCAGGGTCTACTTTTATGCCATTGTCGGTATCATTGTTTCTGTGGCTTTCTTCTCCTCCCCTGCCAAGAAGATTCTCGTCAAGAAGCTCGACAAACGGAACCACCCCCACGTTCGGAAGACTTTGTCTCAAGAAACAAATTATCCACCAAGTCTTGGACTCCCCAGCGATCCCGGAAGGGAGATCGATGAGGCCATTGACGAGATCAAACAAGAAGTTGATGCCCGGCGTAGGCGTGGCAGTACCGTCACAATGCCATCTGGTGAGGGCCTCAAACGAGCCATTGAGCAAAAAATCGGGCGAAAATTGGAATTTGGTTCCGGTCCTGGTCAAACACTAGTCGATGCCAAAGCTGAAAGCATTGCCAGCGGTGCCTCTACTGCTGGAGCAAAGGCAAGAAAACAACAAAGTGATATCGCAGGTGCTGGCATCACTCCAAATCTGAATCCTGATCAAATCCTGAAAGGAAGGAATGCTATCAACAAGTGAAAGCTATCACCAATCGGAGGTATAGTCGCTTGGACTTTGATGAAGTCAATGACACGGGGTGTGTTCTGGTCTTGAACCCCAGCTGGTCGATCTTTGGCGTCGACACTGAGAACCGACTGCTTGGTGTACATGTAATAATACCTGCACCCACCTGGTCAAATCGCCGGGCAGACTGAATTCAAAAGACGAATTTAGTCTTTGGCAACAAGCGGAATTGAGAGAGGGCCGACCCGAACCCACTTCCATGATATGGGGTCAAGGTTGCCTGGTGGACCCGAAGCTTGTCGCAACATAAGTTGCACGACGGGTCATCCAAGTGATGGAAGTCAATGCCTTCCAGTGCACATGTGGACAGGAACGCACGACGAAATTTTATGGGCGATTTGATGCGAGACTGTGATGAGAAATGTCTTATGAGAAATTAGATCAATGTCAGCAGCAAGTCTCCGACCAACAAATTTGCTCCGATATCTTCGCTCAATCACTTTGGTGGTTCTACTTGGGTTTCTCTATGGATGTCGGTCTTGGCCGTCATTGAACTTACTGCCATCACGTATACCACAGCGCTAATAGCGTCACCCTCCATACATCAATCTCTCAGACGGGGTGATTTCGATGTGACTCGTGCCTCTGCGATAGATAGTTGCCCATGATTTTCCCACCAAGCTACGAAAATGACAATCTACCTCCGCCCTCGTCACACAAAGGGGCGAAAGCAGGTGAGAATTCTCTAAGACCCAAAGGTAAAGGATGGTCACGACCTACCTTGCTCCTCACCTTTTCTTTACACAGCTTGACGACGGCACAAGACTCTCCTGTCCTGCCCTGCCCTGCGCGGTGTGATGTGATGTGGCATTGATGAGATACCCCACATCCATTCTTCGACTCAACCATGTCTGGATTCCTGCAGGGGTCATCCCAATTCTTTTGCTGCGCGTGCAAGCCCCAACGAGCCATCGGCAATTATGCATGCGCACGGCGTCTTCCTGCTCCTTCCTCCTTTTGTCATTCCTGATGTCCTTTTCTCTTTTGGTTCTTTTTCCTGGATTCTGGGTCTGTCTGTCCGCCCCTTTTCTTTTAGTCGATCGTCTACTCGGTTCCGTCGGAGCCGGATCGCTGTGCGTAACGTCGATCCTGGGTAGATGGATGGTGGTTGAAGAGGGGAAACAAGATATTGACGAATGAGGGTAATGGGGTATTCGTGTGTCTTCGTCTTCGTCTTCGTCTTCGTCTGCGGCTGTGTCTTGTAGCGAGTGGTCTACATCGAACAACGCACACCGCACACTGCACATCGCAGAGTGCAGAGTGCATAGCGCGTCGTCAGTCAATGATTCATCATGTGCGCCTGTGGCGTGCCCGCTTCATCACCATCCAAGTACAACTGCGGTGTCGTGTAAACGGACAGCTCTGCGTGGGTTTTTCCAAGGGAGACTGGTCCGAAGCTCTATTCCAATAACAATGGGCAGCACAGAGATGAAGTCCTTTCGTGACGTGCTGTATTGACGCCACACGGTTTCTTTTTCCTCCCTGCATAGCATCCAGGGATGGTCTCTGCATGCTGCACTCGGCGTTTTCTGGCCTGACTTGACGGGCACTGCTCGCAGAGATTTCGACTTCCAGCCTTCGAGAGCGTTAGCTTTCTAGGCCCGATCGGAACCGGATCGCCATCGTATAGTGTATATTGTATAAATCGGTGACCTATTGTACGATCGACGGGATGCGCAGATTCGTATTGGAACAGGAACCTAGTAGTACAGCCCTAAGGAGACATGTGTGTTGGGCAGTTAGTGACTCGACCAGCTCTCTTAAGAGCGCGGCTGGGATTTTGGGAGGAAGGTCTCGGTAAAGAGTCCGGCGTATTGTTGAATTTTGATGGCAAGGAAGGGATCAGAGCAACGGCCTAGTCGCAGAGGTGCATGTTTTTTGGATCCTTCAAGCATAGAGCCTACAGCCTACAAGTAGGACCAAATGTTTGGAGGCAAAAAGGCAAGTCTCTTTCAGAAGCAAGACGAGCAGATTGATTCTTCCTAACTTCGTATCGAGGAATGAGAGCAATCAGAAGCGAGCGCTTATTGGGACTCCGGACGAGATGAGTTGGTGATGAGGTCCAAGAGTGTTTTTGTTGCAGATTGGTTCACGAGGTGACTTGGGTGCGCACTGCACTGCCATTTGTTGAGCCGGACCCTGGAAGTTAACTCCTGGCGACCTGCTTTGAACAGGCAGGCGAATCCTTGCCTGCCAGTACGGAAAGCAACCGGCGGGGGACTGTGGAATCTAGGGGCCCGGAGAGATTTAGCTGTTGGGCCTGGTGAAGACTTGGAGGTACAGGAAAACACGGGCTATCAGTTCCACGGGAGTCAAGAGGGTTTAGAATAAAGTCATCTTCCCATGTCTCTTTCTCCCTCGATCAATCATCATGATCCACTGGAGTACTCCGTTAGGAACTACATACGTGACGGATGCAATAATGATAATCAATCCTACCGCTCTTTCTTCGTCCGTGCACGTGGTTTGGCGGACACGGCAATCCGAATTTTCGGAAGGGTCGCAATTTCCGATCACTTGATCATGGTGTTCACTTGAAAGGAGCACGTTGCATTCTCCCGGTGTTGATCCTTGTGCAGAATCATTTGGTAGTATCACTGCATGGACATAGATCAGCCACGGCTGGTTTCCGGAGAGTAGGGCACACATGGCTAGAAGTGCCTTTTGTCGACGGCATATTTGACTGAGTGAGCACGAAACAATCCGAGGGTTGAGGAATAGACCACATTAGACATACTTCGACATGTATCTGCTTACAGGCAGTGTAATTGGGGACAAGTGCTGACATGGAGAGGCAATCGATCTTTCCTCCACCCCTGGGATGCCAACTCGGGATCAGCTCGTATTTATCATTTTCATGCATTGTTTGTTCATGCAAGAGGCTCTAAGAGGGGTGCTGGGCCAAGTCTCACAGAGTGCGGGGAGCATGTGCGGAAGCAGGAAACTTCACATCTTGAATCTCCGCGGGGGTTCGGTAGACTTTCCACCAGAGTCAATCGTTTACCCGTCCTCGCAATGCGAGATAGTGTTTTCTGTTTTGCATAGGGCTGAAGGAAGCTTTGGAATTGTCTGTGAAGGTTACGCAGTGGGTTTTTCGAGATGGTGGTGTGATTACCCGGTCATTGCCCAGAAGCGAACGGCGCTCCGAAAGTCAATGTATCTCAGAAAAGGGCCCAAGCGAAGTATATCTGGACCCAAAATAATCTGAGTTTGGGCGACACTCTTGCGTGATGAACTTTGTCGGATGTCTTCCTCCGCAAAGTTTCGTTGTTGATCTGGAAGTCTATTTCGAGGTCGTCTGTTGATCGTGTTCGTCGCCAGTTTGTGTCAAAGTGCAAAAAAAGAGCTGAATGGACGCGTGTTGTTGGATTTTGGGCCATGGGTCGTGAATTGATTTTACTGATGTAATTGATTTAATTGATTTACTGGTTGAAGGGCCGTGATATGCGGGACGAAAGTCAAAGACACCCATTCTCGTATTCTGACCGAAAAGCTGGAAAACCTAAACCATCAGGGGTAGCAGAAGATGGGGAGCGATCTATCCGGGTCATTCTTGCTTTCTGCAGTGTGATGGATGCTTAGCGATGATGCGTGTGGAAGACCGCACTCCATGAACCTTCCACATTACTAGGTGAATGAATCTGTGGCTGAAATCGAATATCAGTGATCATGCCCATGTTCAGGAGCTAAGAGCCCACACGAATCGATCTGGTGCCTCGTAAAGAGTTACATCCCACTCAACGGGTGTTGGGGAATTCTCGTATCCGCTCACCAGAGGAGCTCTGTGTAACCATGAGTGTCCGTGCCTACTTGACCCATGTCTTTCTTCTGTTTCTCGGGCACTTCTCAGCGAGCCAGAATCATTGAATAACCATACTAACACGGAGTACCTCGTGCGGCGTTTTCCCAGCATAGACCAAGAACCCCATAGAGAAGGGAAGTTTGTGGTTATTTTGTTCATTTGAAGGCAATTCATCCTGCCTAGTATGCCGACAAAGGTGTGGAATAGGACATCCCTTACTTTCCTTGGGATATATCCAGATCATCGTTTGGTTAGGATAGGTGTGAATTCCACGGGCCGTCGAACCGCAGTTTCGGGCTGTGTGGGAGAACCCCGAGCTCATCGAATCCGATTGATGAATGGTGCCTGGAGGGCTTGCCACCGAGACCCCAAAATTCCAAGGTAGAGCCCCGTGAGTCTGCAAAGTGTGGAGGACTGTCCCCATCTGACCCATGTGGAGTCAACAACCAACGCCGAAAACGTGTCTCCTTGGCTCTGAGATTTATGACATCTGCCGGTGGGATGTAAGGATGAAAGATAGAGCGATGCTGCTGGGATGGTAGCCCATGTCCCTGGTCCAGCTGACTTGCACCCTCGCTCGAATGCTAGCGTCAATTTTTGGACGAAGATTCACCTGGCACTACGGGCACGGATGCATATTTGAATGTTTCATCCTTGTGGACACGGATTTCGCGAGCTGCAGATTGACAAAGCCAGCCTTAAACCGTTCACAGTGTGATCAGCCAATAGATACATCGACTGGCTGCTTGATGCAGATCCAGCATATCCTCGAGCCCTCGCGTCGAGAGAAACCGGAGGTCTGCTCTGGTCTTTGTGGGTATATCGTACTTAGATATTTCGCGAATGGGCGTGCTTCGAAGCTAGCAGATGGTGGACTCGGGGACAATCGACTTCGTGATCGAAATTACGCCGACAGCTCATGACCGACACACAAGGACCCAGCATCTGGGAATCCCCGGACCAGGACTACGGTCCCGCTGCACGGCCTTCCGCACGCGATATTTGGCACTATCGAAAACATGCTCCACCAGAAGACAATCTAAGAACCCGGCAGGTCGTGACTGCAACCCACTTGATTGATTTCTATCAGGGTTTATTTCCAATGTAGTTCCGTCAATGCGTTGTGACCTTGACTCACCTCGCAGAGTGGCCATCAATTCTCAAGATTGTCCTGTGCATTGAAGTATTTGTAGCTGCCAGAAATGTAGAGTTGCAATCCTTGCAGAGGGTTCCAAAGGTTTCGTCATGCCAGAGTCCGAGCCCAATCCGTAGAAGCTGCATAGGTTGTGGCAAAGTCCAAGTACTATGAACGGAAGCTGAGGGCCAGTTAGTGCTTGGAAGAATGTCGTGGGCACTGAGTTCAAAACTACTTTAGTTCCGATCTTTGCCGAAAGTTCAATCTTGATTTTCGGTATTGGGTAAAGCAGATTGCGTAGAGGACCCCCGTAGGCTGGTCACCTCAAACGGATGTGTGATAGCCTGACATGACTCGACAGATCCTTTCCCAGACCAATCTATTGGCAGCCTCGGTTGAGCGACTTCAGATAAGCGTATAAACCTATTGTGACATAAACAGGACATTAGTAACAGGCTTCAAGCTGACCCCTGCACGATTCTTGTTCACCCATGATCTTGCACAACGATCGTGCCCGATAAATTCGAGAACGCAACGGGTCTTTTGAGAACGTGACAGATCGGCAACGGACGCTTGTCAGGTAGAGTCGACCCACCCAGGCGATATCGCGCACGGCCTCTGTCGTGTCAGCAAGGGTATGGTGGAGACTTTTATCGATTGGCATGGTCAGAATAAAGCTCCCCAGTAACTTGGCATTGCGGGTAGTGCGCATTAACTAGCGCTGTGTAACCTAAGTATGGGCGACGTTATTGGATAGGAGACTTCATGATCTAGCATAATTTCTGTGCTCAGTCATGAATATGAATACACTCGGTAGGGACGACAACATAGGAACCAGTACAGCAAGAGTCGCTGGAACGCTTACCTTATAGAAGACAATCTTTGTACATCTTAAGATGTCATTCGCGCATTCTACCTAGTCTCTGACCGTGGCAGGGTTAATTCTCGAACGTCATTGAAGGACCATTTCGCGCGGAGCTCGACAAGGGTCAAACGGCCGTGATCAAAAACTCAGGCAGCATATCATGCACTAAATATGAGGCCAGAGCAGGGACCGTGAAAGAAAACCGCAAGGGGGTCCATGTCGCGGCATTTGAGACAACTGTCGTGCCCGCATGGATGCAAAATGGGCCCTTCACTTCTCGGATTTGATATGCCATGCAGGACGGAAAGTACCGTCAACGCATAGACTTCAACATCTGGATAGCCTTGGAGGAAAGCATGACATGCTATAGTGTACCCTGGAAACGATCCGAATTCGACGAGACCACGAGATTTGGCCCAGGTGGTGATCCGAGAACCAATGCATAAATACGCGTACCTTCTTGTTAGCTGTACCGCTGCTGGCCATGCCCTTCGAGGAAGTGTAATCTGACTCTGCCTGAAACACGCCGTTACAAGGCTCTCCGCATAGGCGCAGCATAGCTTCAATTGTTGTCTGCACTAGCCCAATCCTTGTCGGGCTGGTAGCACATGAATGGTATGTACTCAAGGGATCGGCAGCAGCATGGAGTCAAGACGAGACCACCAGAGGTAAGCTCAAGTCCTTCAACAAGTCTGCTGCGGTCGGCACACCCGATATACTGGTAGGTTTCATGGCTCATAGTCAGTCGCTCACGGCCTGGAGCCTCAACTTGGGCAAAAACAGGTCTTGATGTCTGTTGATTTCCTGCAGGATGCAAGCGTCCCAAGATGGCCAGGATTGTGGACATCGAAACTGCGCGCACCGGGCGTGGCCAGCATCACGCCAGGAAAATCAATGTCTGTCGATGTCTATGAAGATTGAAAAAAGAGGTAGTAAAGCGATTGGTTGAGCTCAGAAATGTTGTGTCAAAGCTCGTGCTCCAGGGTTGTCGATGATGCACGCATCCAAATCGGGATCCATACCCCAATAAATTATTGTAGTGGATCACGTGGTCTCACGGGCTTTACGAATACTAGTTTTCGATGGCGTGTGAAAGACGCTCAATCTCACGTATGTACCTAGATAAGTGCTAGTGTACGCTCCAAAGATGAAACAGCAGGGTCCTCGTGTGCACAGAGTAAGAATGTGCAAGTAGACCCGATGTATATCACTACCTGTTCTGTTGATCCGAGTTTACCTCCAACCACCACAACACCATTTCGTACAAATGTCCCGCTGTTCTGCAACGACATATGGAGCTGCCACTGCCAGTCGTAAGAGTGGATTCCTGAAGCGAATGTCAGTCCAGCTTCAGGGATCTAAGCCACCATGCTCTTTCTAAAAGAAATAATAATGACCACAATTCATGCCGATCCGTTTTCGCTAGTAATCAGTGCTTCCCCCAACCATTTTTGCTGATCGTATCCATTTCTGATGCTGGATTGTTCATTGACAGCTAAATCACAATCCCCGTCCCCAAAACATCTCGTATTCACAATGAGAAGGCCAATTGTCCATTCTCTCAATCTTCCGCACCACCCCTACTACCGATGCCCAATCGTATTACCTAGGTAGTCAAATCCGTAACAATGAAAGGTACTGTAACATTGAATGAACGCAGCCATTCTGACCATTCCCCAAATCCGCATCGCCAGATTACGCGAGGAAGCGCTGGGTCCAAATCGTGGCCCATGCAATGCTCTCCAACATGAGGCTCCAGCGTGCTGGTCTCGATGATTGCCCAGTAGCACACTTTGACTGGTCCGTGCTGGATGTGCGAGCTTCACTAATTCGCATTCAGGGGGGTGATGAAGTGCTGAACACTCATTTGCCTAGTTCGGCCCCGGATGTCAGAAAGCGCTCATATCAATTCGGACCGCATAGATGAGAAGTCCCAAAGCTTGTGCACGAACACGCAGTGATCGCCGAAACCATGAGGATGAATATGAGTTGCTTCGGAAGGATGCTCGTCCAGGCGCTTTGACTTACTGTTGTGGATGATTTTGTCCCTGCCACTGTCCCAACTGTCCAGGCTGGGAGTATTGCGACGATCCCATGGGTTGTCCAGCACCGTCGGGATAATAGCCTGGCCTTGAGCCGTGGTAAAGATGAGATGGCTGTTGGCTGGATTCCCTACGGTCCTCATATTTGACCTGTGTGGGAGAAGGTTGACTCTGTCGCGTATGATCCATGTTTGGTTGACTGGAGTTCACTGGGTAGTGATTGGCGCGATATGGCACGTTGTTCCGTGAGTCGATGGAAACGGGGCTGAGGTTATCAATAGGTCGTTGCATGCTCATTGGAGGATACATGCCCGCTTGGGTTTGGCCTCTGTCTGGAACCATGGATGGCATGGATGTAGGCGTTGGTGGAATTGGCTTTGACGATGGAGGGATCGAGTTGTTGAGAGATTCATAGCTTCGGCTGTATGAGGCTTGATCATATTGGCTGTATTCATTGCGGCTTGGTTGAATGTGCGAGGCCGGGACGGGCGAAGGCATGTAGGAACCTCCAATCGATGGCACACCTATGGAGTACGGTGCTCCGCTTGGGGGCTGTTGCTGCGTCATCGGTTGATAGTTTGGAGGCATGTAGTATGGTTGCTGTTGCTTGTAGTCTTGAATGTAGGCTTGATTGTTGACTCGATAGCCATATGGTGAAGGGCCTGCATCAACCTCGTCCACATCCTCAATTGGCGACCGGAAGCTTTGCTTGGAAGTAAGTTCGGCTCGAGGTCGAATATACTGGAGATTGTCCGTCTGTGAAGGTGTTCGGAGATTGTTCTGGATAACATCGTTGACGTTGTAGTAGCTGACCAGATGGTGCGTCACGCCTTGTACAGTGACACTCATCGTCTTCTTGACCAAACCATCCTGCTTGAAGCCGTACGAGTCAATTAGCGATCCAATTAGTTGTCTTTCAACTTCAGTTGCTGCTCGCTCCCCACCACCGTAGGCTGATGATTGACTTCCACCGTCGGAGAAGGAAGCGGCCTCGGGTCTGGCATAAGGCTCTCCAGGTCGGCTGGGCCGTCGCTGTTGCTTTTTCATCGCCCGCTTTTTCTCGCCGGGTGGGAACGGTTTATCCAGCTCACGATAGACCAGAAAGTTTCCGAGTATGCGACTAGGACTCCAGGTGACACCGTCCGTCCATCTCTTGATGCCAGAGGCATTCTCCTCATAGATGAAGATGCAACCACTCCTGATCAGGCTGTTACGTTCTCGGTCATGTGGTCGTCGTGGAACATGTGAGAGATGGCCTTGCAGACATGCTTCGAACAGAACTAGAGCGTCTTGAGTCGTAGCTACATGACCGTGAAAGGTCGGCTGAAGTGCCGCTCCGCCGGTTGACATGATGTTAGGTAAGAAATGATGATCTGCAGTCGGTTACACAGACCAGACGGAGCCTTACGGGAGAGTTTCGTGCTTGCGAGACTCTAATCCTAAGCGAAACTCTGAAGAGAATGAGAGTTTACGCACATCAAGGTTGAAAGGTGCTGAGATATGTAAGGCCGATAACAAAGTTGAGTTGAGGAAGATTTAGAGTCGAGCTGGGGAAGGACAGACAATATACAAGCAAATAGGTTGGTTGGTTGGTTGGTTGGTTGTGGTTCTTTTCCCGGGTCTGTGCAGTATTGGGCTCAGACCAAAGACTAGATCGAGGAGAGCAGTGGATGTGACAGGGTGCTGATTCGAGATTGCCAGAAATGTACAGTAGGATCACTCCCTCGTAGATCTGTGGTGGAAAGGAGAGCCACAGGAATTAATGTTTATGCACGAGCCTATGGAGGTGCAGTTGATAGCAGTGAAGTCGACCAAGTAAATAATAAGTCGTTGTTTGCGGTCAAATGACACTTGAGAAGAGTATCTGGGACAAGGTTGTTGATCTGTGGGAGTTTGAGTTTTGACAAAGCGTTTGAGTGGGCAATAGCGCCCGGGCAGAATTAATTGTCCTCAAAGTTCGACCAGTGCGGCAAAGAAATGCTGGAGGCGTCCTGAGGGGTGATCGTTGGTTGATTTGGACACCTGAGTTCATCGGCCGTGGCAAGTGCTTGTCGCTCCACCCAGCGATTTGCTTTGCGCTGCAGAAGCCAATTTATGGGGAAAGGCCCAGAGACAGCCAGGCAAAAGAGTAAATTAGTGCCAGAGGTGACTTTTGGTTTGAAGTGGGCTCCTGTTGGTTGTGCAACTTAATCCAGGAGCACTTGGTTATCTGAATACACAATCCTTGGCTTTCAAGATGAGGGTTGATTGTTGGGCAGATAACAGATGTAATGCAGCGAAGCACACGGCGATTGTGTGTTTTTATGAAAGGCCGCAACGCGAATTAATAGTCAAGCCAGCTACTTTAGGCAAGCGGAAACTCAGAGGAGGCGTGTGTCAATTGGGTCTCCAATACTTTCGGCGGAGTGGACCAGGTAATCTGTAGTCGTAATGATTGCTGAAGACTTGCATTAAAAAATCGGCAGTGCTTGAGCCTTCAACAGCTGGTTAGGTGCTCCGTGAGTAGGGTAGGGATGGTCCCCAGTCGGTTACCCGTGAGGGAGCAATATCCGTAGAGACACTCCGTCCCTGTGTAGCGAGGTGGTGAAATCAGCTGGCGCGAAACAGCTCGCGGTGAAATAGCTTGCAGTTCAACACTGGGGGTCAGTTCGCTCAAACCGGCGCCAGGGCTCTGTCGCATGCCAAATGAAGAGCTTGGGGGTGGCTGTTCGTGAGGAATGCCCTGGATCAAGCAGACCAATGATGTGCAAAACAAGAGGGTAGTCCTGCCTCGTAAGGGCCAAACAGCGGCCAAAGTCAATTGCAAACTCTCTGTGAAAGGCGACAAGGTTCATAAGCGATAGACTTTCGGAAGCCTTCTGGGGGGGGACAGCTTTCCTGTTGACCTGAAAGACTCCGGCGGGGGTGGGTTGATAGAGTTTGAGGATGACGAACAGGAGGCAGGAAGTGCCTAGTGGTAACTCTGTTCCCCATCAGCTGGGGTTGCCGTCAAGGAGAGAGGTCTCATCGGCATCGGCATTTGAGAGACACCAGCATGGACGGGAGGAAGCTGAGGCAGACTTACCTTGGATGTGTCGTCTACGGGTGTGAAAGAAGCGGTGTCTCCGTGTCGAGAGTCAAGAATCGAGAGTCGAGTCTGAAATCCGTGGTTACTGAAACGATTGCGTAGTCCCGCGGTGATGAGAAGATGCTACTCCGTACACTGTCCACAGAATGTCCGCAGTAGGTTAGACGGAAGAAGTGGGCAAGATCTGACGGAAGGTCCTTATTGCGGATAACCACGAGCGCCAGCCTGTGGTTCTTCGTAGTGGGAGGGGTTTCCACGGGAGAACCATACGGCGGAATTTGTGGAACTCCCAACACCTTGCCTGGTCACTTGCCCCGGCAGTGGCACACCTCACCTGCAGCGATTCACCGCGGCGTAATGTTGTAGACGGTTGGGTCCGATGGATAGTGAGTCTGGCTATCCGTACTGGTTTGCAGCTTGAGTGGAAAACAGCGATCGTGACTACCTACTCGTAGGCAGCTAAAAGTTGAAGCCTTGGTTAGTGGCAACTACAACGGAGCAGTAACCTGAGTTTCTCGTAGACCCGATGCTGCTGCCCAGTGTGTGCGTGTCAGGCTCGTAAGGCGACGTATGGATACACTTACTCGTACGGAGGATAAGTTTACGGGTCCCGGGGCATCGCCAGGGCCCTTAGACCTGGGCTTGGGCTTGGGCTTGGGCATGGGCATGCATGGACCTACTCTGGGCAGGCACGGCTAAGGCTCTGGGGCCCACCGAGCAAACCCCGACTCCATTGTCATTACGGAGTACGGATACTTCAAGCTCAAGTTGGTCCCGTCGAGTGACCCACTAGTCAGTAGTGGCTTGCTTGACTATGCCACTCGAAACCATTTGGCAGGGCTGCCAGTGGGAGGCAGAGACAGATCGGGGAAGGGAACGCTCAAACTTGAACGAAGGGTAGGTAGTATCCGTATGCACGAGTCCACGTAAATGGTCCGTATCTGTATCCGTAATCAATACGGAGGCTAGTCTAGTCTGCCTAGTGTGCCCGCAGAGCCAGCGGGCTGGATTTGAGGCTTGGGTCATGATATCCGACACGATTAAAGCAGTGCAATTGGCATTGGCACTGGCATTGGCATGAGAAAATTAGCGAACCTGCATGATGGAAAGCTCGTGCAAATCCACCGATGCGACAACGGGGGCATCCGTAGATAGTCCACGACTTCGTACTACTCCGTACTGGATTATTATCAAAGCTGCGCGTTTCCACTCCCATGACCAATGACTCGTTGCTTCTTCCAAATCATCCCGAGTTCAAGAACCACTCGGACTAACGCATGTCATTTATACAAAGGTCGTCGGATGGTGGTTTTCGATGAGAAGCGGATACAAAACACCAACGCTCCACTCCCCTGGCCTCAAAATCGGTATTTCAGGATAATATCAGGTGCACCTCGTTGTGGAGGTGTAGGAAGCGTAGGTCAAACGCGTGTCGCATCAATTTCGTGCTCTCAGCCCCACGGTGACCATAGTCGTCAAGCAGCGATGGCGGTAGTCGAGTTCGCGTTCGCCACGATGCATGGGTCAGTCGGCCAAGGAACAAGCCACACTCCAGGCTTGTCGTACAAGAACCATCACGACCATCATTTCAGAAGAAGCAGATCGTCATTATTCTTCGGGGTTGCCCTCCCTCGTCCGGGGAATTGAGTCCAAGGACCGAAACTTTGAGGGTGGAATATCTACAGATACCATGTTACTACTATAGAAATACTGGTCTCAGGGATCGACGTGAAGTCTAGAAATTGAAGGCCACACAACTCTGGAACTTTGGCTGAGGCGTTTCGTGGATGGGCGACTGCCATTTACATCTGGCGTTATTCGTGCTTCGACCCTGGCAATGCCACCGATAAACCCGAACATGCAGTAGAGGTTCTATTGGGGATTGGGGATTGGGCATTTACAAGTAGCCCTGGAGCGAGCTCCGCACAACAGTCGTCATTCTTTGCTCAAGAACATATCTAGCTTGCCTGATCGCATGATGGTATGATCCATAATCACCGTAAAAGGAATCCGTCTTGATTTTGGTTGAAAGCGAACGTGTTTCCCATCATCATGAGCAATTCCGACCGGTAGATGCAGCATCGGGTTGACACTGGCTCACATGTATAAATTTCATGTCAAAGATACGCTAATGCATCGAAATTTGTAGCTAATCCGGATAGCTTCAATGATAACCGCCGATCAATGTCCAGGAAGAAAAACTCTGTTCTCAATCGCCCCTCGGTCCAGACTCATTACTGTCAGGGGGTACTGCAACATTAGACGAATCATCGGTTGTGCTGATGAGTCTCCCTGAGAGGAGCTTGAAATGATAGACATTAGAAAGGGTCGATCACAACGATATTTCATGTCCCCTCCATGCAGACGGATGCACGATGCAACGTCTTCCTCCGCAGCATTCCGTTCTCTTTGCAATTGCCATTCATCAGAGCTTTCTTCAAGACTCCATCATGGTGCAAAAGCGTCATGTCATAGGTCGACATTGTTTTGTTTCCTCAACCGGTGATGGCCGAAGGCTTGTTACGTAACGCGTAGGAGGCAGCATGTCACGACCGTGAGTGGCTCCCCGCGGTCCTCGTACTTGTAGTGTAGAAGTACCTTCGCACATCATGTCAGGAGAGCGCAAGACCGACATTTGGGTCGACGACATTTTTGACCTTGATACCACAAATTCTGACCCAAAGCCCACCAATCCACTGAGGCTGGGAGAACCTGAACGGAAAACACTGCCAAAGCATCGGAACACAAGGCGGAATAGCGGATCAACGGCTTTTGTTGGACCATGGTGACTAGCATTAGCGCCAGAGGGAACAGACGATTTTTGAAATTCACTGACTCAGTATCTAAGGAACTGTTGTCCAATCCCTGTGCCTCGGTTGTATGGACTGCCTACCAAGTATTCCGATTAAATCGGACCATCAGTCTGGAACAAAAAGTGGCGTACGAAGACAGGTGGTCTGTGGATCGTGCGCGTGTTCTCAATTTTGGCCGGTCATCCTTTGGTACTTGGTAGCTACTCATCACCCGTACGACGTAACTCGCACGTTGACAGTGACACCAATGGAGCTGAACATGGCCCAAGGCCCAAGGGACATGCGTGACCCAAGCGAATGGTTCGGGATCTTGGACCCTGCTGTCCACCATCGCACTAGGGTGAACTAAAAAAGGTGAGAGGATTCCCAGAGAATGGGAAAGTCAAGGGACCCATTTGGTCCTGGTCGTGGGCTGTGCTTGTGAAGATAATTTCATGAGTGGCGTCAGAGACTGTCAGTCTTTGCTAGTTTGGTTCTCGGCGGCGGACAGTCGGGTGCGCTGCAACACTGAATGTGGCCACAAACCAAGTCCAAGTCCAAGTTCTCGATCGCTGCATGGGAGAAAGATGCAGTGAGCACGGAGCACTATCAGAATATGCTGTTACCATCACGAGGTCCACATGCAGAATGCACCCCTGTAATACAGGTCGTGAACAACGCGAACTGTACGCTAAGTTCAATCACTCCCTGATCCCCGGGACACGCTAAATCGCTTCAAGACATTGAATGAGGTTATCATCTCCGTACTCCGCTTGTGATGGATACAAAGATACCTCACAAACCAAAGATGCCTAGTGAAGCCCTCCCTGGCACCTGCCCTTATAGGTGTGTTTTAACAAATGGCTCGTCGCCAACGCATGGTTTTGCCGTCCATGGTATGTATCCGTGCCTGCCTAATAGCCTGCCTAGTCTGTGTAGCGCTTGTCAACTATCGACTCGACAGATGTTCGTCAGATTGTTGCAGTCCGCTGTGCTTCAAGAGGTACGTATCTAAGACCAAGCAGGGGCAGGAGCGAACCTAGAAAGACCTCAGAGTCACTCACGAGTCACGAGTCACGAGTGTTCGAATAGGAAGGTGACGAGGAGAATTGCGGCTCATGCTGCAACTCACAAGGCCATTGATTTCGACGAGCTTCAAGCCTCACCCGCCGCTGTCTGTTGTATAATGCAATGAGAACGTTTTTTATGATCAGAGTTTCAGGGCAACTGCGAGTACCTCGTATCTCCCAATTGGCAACGCGAAACTGCTGCACTGTAAATCCAGCTTCTACGAATACACGTACAATGCGAGACTCTAATCGTAAAGATACTTTGCGAGTAAGCTTCGCCATACACTACCAAGTACTACTCGTACTATCGAAGCATTCCCTCCAGGATTCCCCGCAAAACAGTAGATTCGAGTGCGCAGATCTCCCTCGTATCATACAAAGTAAGAACTTTTACGGCAGCACCCCCGAAACCCAACCAGCAACTGGTCAAGAGAACCCCCCTCTCCTAGGTTGGATCTTCGAGGTACCTAGGGATCTAATAAGGGGCTGGTTGTGCTGCTGACATGTACCAAGCACCGAGTACCCAGCCCAAACACAGCAACACCTTCCTCGAGATACACATCATCATGTACCTACTCATTCCCGCCCATTTACTTCACGACTTCTCGGGACCCTAGGCTTTCGAACGGGATCATTCGTAGGCACATGTCATGGCCCTACGTCGACTCTGGAGGCACCGCTGCGTTCAACAAATGTACATCAATGCTTGTAGGACACAAAGTACGGCAAACGGCGCATCTCATGTCAAGTAAATGGCTCATGTTGCGGTTCTCGAAACGCGGTCAACTAACACCAGGAACGGCGCACTCGGTGCTACTACTACTTCCCATGAGTAATCATCATGGCTAGGTACCCCTCCAGGCTTTCGCGTCCAGGGCACAGGTTGCTGAAGTCTATGAGCGACTTCGTAATAGATTTTGCGGGCCGAACAAGCTTTATCTCGCCTTAGTGGGGTTGGATTCAAGCTCTCCGCCCGCGGCATGCCTAACTACAAACCACCATTCAGGCTGGTTCAACCCACTCCCAAGGATGGAATGGCCAAAAAGCAGTCTATCCTAGACTCCTAGGTACGTGCCCAATAAACTTTTGATCTTCAAGAAGCAACTTCAGACGCTAGGGTAACTTTTGCGCCTACTTGCTTCCAGCCAGGCTGTGAGGCTACACCCCACCTCGAAAGGGCACACGCATGCGCATGATAGGTAGGCACCCAAGGAAGCAGTGAACGATCAACAAAGGCACCATGATCCCAGTTAATACATGTGCAACTACGACTACCAAGGACTGACTCATGCATGATCATTGAAACATCAAGCTCCAACACAGGAGTAACTCCTTGTCTGAACACCTTGCCACAGACAGGTTCGAGTCTCCAGCGAGCATGAATAAACAATCATGCTTCCACGTGGTTATTCAGAATGTACCTGTTGTACGAATACAAGCATCATTGAGCCCAAGCCATCGTTGCATCCCGTTGTATCCGTACGAAGTGCTTTGAAGACCAGGGAAGCACGACTTGTGTGGAAATCAAACGCTGCACCTGTCCATCTGACAGTATCCACAGCATTAGGGAAGCGACCTGTCATGTCCAGCCGGTAGGTCACTTGTACAGCCAACCCCTGGTACATATTGAGAAAGAGGATCTCAATTCCGTGGATAGTGATTGAACGACAGTCGACCGGGTCCGATCGATGGGCGAGCTAGGCCCGCCAACTCTGGGACTACTGCCACCCTAGCTAGCCGGGTATCTCACTATCAATTTTTAGCGCTTCTTCTTCATTTCTTCAATGCGCACTGCCGATGTCTAACAACGATCTGGAACCGACTCCCATTCAATAATTGCCGCAAAAGACATGCCTCCTGTCTCCGCCCAGTGACATACTCTAACTACCGTGTCGCAGCGCCCCTCCCCACCACCCTCAGGGCTTCCAAAACGGTTTGTCCACTAATGAGCACCCTCCGTTCCCGCTGCTTCAGCTCCCCTGGCTTTACGGAATACGCAGGAGGATTAATCGAGCTGAAGCGACCCCACTACGGTTCCAACTGCCATTGATTCGTCCCCAAAAAACTTTGCCACAGTCACTACGCTACATCTGTCCACCGCGTAATGTCTTCCGAGAATAGCCACGGCTTCTTTCCCTCGAAACTTTCGCATGGGTACTTCATTGGGACTGGGACGACCCTACCCAACGCGAGGATGCCATGGTCGACTTCACCACCACCATCATCATTATCGCTCTCCATGACGGATGACTTCATATCCTGACCTGGAGACTCTTCTTTTTCGACAGGTACAATGACCCCACATTCCCAGTTGCGACAGTTCAACTTAGGAGACTTGGTCGTCTTGTCCTGAACAAGTCGACCCCTGCAGGAACATAAGACATTAGTTACTGCGTTGGTCCAGACGATGGTGTCACTCGCCGCTTGGCCTTCAAAAAATGTCATGTGAATGAAACACTGCGACACAGACCGGACACTGGGCGTGCGCACACATTATTGAGGCTGGAACAGGATCGGCAAGATAGAACTCACCAGGCACTTTCTGATAGATTTGCACTTCCAACATACACCCATCCAATGTAGGCTTTGCTCGTTCCTTGTTTGACCAGAGGGGCTGGATATTTGACGAACATGAGCTGCCAGAAAGTTAGAATTAGGTTGCGGTGACCACTGCACACTCGCTCCCTCTGTGTGCGAATGCACTAGTGGGACAGCTCTTTTCTCGACATACCTTATTGTGCATCAGACAGCCACGCCGAACAGAGACGCAATCTCGCATATTTTGCCTTGGGAATTTTGCATTCTGCCAGTACTTGTCAGAAAAGCACACTGTCCCTGCGGCCGCCGGTCCACCGATTGATGCTTTGACTGTATCGTCACTGGGGAAGGTGAATTGAAAGTTTTCACGCCATGTTCGTGTCAGTGACATCGATGTTGACGCTGCCGCAGGTGTCGATCCAGAGGCGCGGAGAGAGGCGTCTTGCTTCTGGAGGGACCCGTGTCGAGCGTTCGACGCTCTAGCCGTAGTGCCGGTGCGATGTCGATACTCTGCCAAACCACTGTCACCCTGCACGGCCAAATACATGGCACTGAGAAACCCGTCGTTTAGACTGCCCACCGATGATGACACGAAGTTGACTTCGGGCTCATTGTTGTTGTTGTCGCGACTGACCAGGCCCATTTGTGACACCGCGCGGCCCAGGCCACAATAGCCAGTCGCGTCCCAGCGCTCACCTCCGTGCATGCCCCCGATAGTGTGAACGAAGCCATACTGTGCAGTACTGCGGAAGTCAAAGTTCTCGAGCTTGGAGATGACATCCTCTGGCACCGTCTGTGCTTGCAGAAATGTGACGAGAGATTTTTGGAATGCAGTCTTCTGATGTGTTCCAGCCGCGGTCGCCGCAGCAGAACATGTGTCTCGCTTCACCGGTAGGTCGATGAGAAAGACCGTGTTTTCCATGACACCGCCGACACCCCAGTCACTGCCAGTCAAGTTTGCAGTCGGCACCACGATTCGACACCGAGGCCCTTGCTCCCAGCTCACGGTGTCGCCCTTTAGTCCGTCCGGCGGCGTCCCACCAACAGAAGAAGCCGGCATGCTCATCGCCATCGCCATTTCCATGGGATTGGCGTCGTAGAACAGGAGCATCAGCTTGCTGTGCATGCAGTTGATGATGGAATCCATAGGTGGGAAGCACAGTCGCACATTATTGATGTTCCCAAAGTCCTCACGTAGCGCGTCTCGCTGGCCCGGCCATTTGGCGTGCATCACGAATTGGAACTTGGTCTTTGCGGTCGCGAAGTGCGGCAGCAGCCAGTCGAAGTCCCAGATGAAGCTCGAGAGCAGGCAGCTGGTCAAAGAGTCTTTAGGACCGATCAGTTGTGGAAATGATATCGTGTTCGTCGTCGGGAACCCTTCCACGAAGGTCTGGAATACCTTGCCTGCAGGGAAATATTTGGCGTTGGGTGATGTGATTGTGGCTGCTCGTCGTGACTCGACTGCGGTGTGAGGTTTGACCTGAGAAGGTAGTGACTTCATAGCAGGTGCTGATGCTGCTCTTGTGTCCATTTGTTGAGCAGATTCGCGTGGCTGTGACCGGGATATCTCTCTTGCTTGAGGCTTCTTGTTGTCAGTTGAACGACCGTGTAGCAGAGAACCCCCATCATTGAGTCTTCCTCGCTTCAGTGGTGGAGGAGACAGACTAATCGTCTTAGACTGTTCTCGTTCACGCCTGGCAAGCACTCGTCCTCTCATATCATCCGACGATGTCGAGTTCGGCTCAGCCTCTTCGTGCTTTCGCTTCAGTCGCTGCAAGCGTTCAGCCTCCATTGCCTGCCGGTTTAGTGTCAAGAGATTAAACGCTGTGGGGCCAGATGAGGTAGATGCTGATGCCGGTGCTTTCTGTGTGCGAATTGCCACCGGTAAATGTGACACCGCTCGCTCGCTGTCCGCTTCCGCTACGGTCGAGCTGACTTGTTTGGAATGTTCATTTCCCTCATGAATCGAATCCTCCAAGACACGCTGAGCACGCATCTTCAAAAGCAGCTCGTCTCGCTTTTGCTTCTTCTTCTGCTTGGCTTCATCTTCTCGGCGAGGTGGGCTTGGGCTAATTCTTATGGTGCTGCTTGGAATCGTGGTGGGCATTGCCTTGGTTGGTCGAGATGATTCTTGCAAGGACAAGGCTATGGCGGCTCTGAGCTCCTCTGCCTCATCAGAATCCATACCCTCCATCATATCTCTCTCAGAGGATTCGTCGTCTGCTGTTGTCGGAGTGATCGATTCCGAATCGGATATTATTATGTCGCCTGCCAGTGGGGGAGGTGAACATGATTGTGGTATTGGTTGGTAAGCTATCCAGACTGGAAGTCTACCGTCACTCCCGTCACGGACAAGGACAGGTCCACCAAAGTTGGATAGGTTGGGGTAGAGTGGTGGAGGATCGCCTGGTCCCAGGATAATCTCGCCATAATCTGGTGGGGTGAGGTTGAGTCTGGCTGGTGCTGGAGGCGGAGTCGTTGCTCTCCTGGAAGGTCTGGCGTTATCACTCGGTCTGCCTGCGCTCTCTGTACGGTTGGCCATCGTGCCTTCATATTCCCGATGAGCTGTTGCCTGTGATGAGTCGTTTCGGGTGCTCAGATTGACTGTGTGGGTGTTTGGCTTTTGGCTCAGGATGAGGTCGCTGACAACGACTTCATCATCTTCGTCTAGCAGGATTGGGTCCTTGGTGGACGATCCTTGATGTGCATGTGTGGGTTCTTTATCTACAGGTGGGCAAGTTAGAAACTCATTTACGAGAATGTCCTCGTTAGAGAAGGAAAGAAAGTACCTTGAGTGCGCAGATGGGAAGATCCTGGGCGTGTGCGCAACACCGGGCGACTGTCCAAGTCGTCGTCCGCGGTCAGATCGACAAAGTCGCCAGCCATGGTGGACAAGTGAGAATTATCCTCACTGCGCGCGATCGATACCGTGGAGGACAGATGAGTCTGCCGCGTGATGAGCCAAGATTGCCGAGACGCGAGAAGCGCAGATGAATTGTTGAGCAGCTGGAGATGAATGATCCAGTTCGATGCCTGGTGGGATATGCTCTGTTGGTAATGGGAAAGAAGAGGAAGACTTGTGACAAAGTCTTGATCGTGGAAGTCGTTGTTGTTTGGAGCGTTATTCACAGGCAGAGGGGTCACGAGGCTGCGCAGACGCAAATTTGCACACAGACGCGTCGGAAAACTTGCTATTTTCTTGCTGAATGGACTAGAAGTGAAGGTAGTGATCTTGCTGATGTTAACACCACGGAGAGTGAATGTACACATGCAGAGTAACGTTCGTTGGTGGTGGTGGTGATGATGGTGCTGCCACACTTGCACTCTTTAAGGAGAAGTAATTGATGCTCCACCAAGGCTGTACAGCACCTGCTGGGATGGTTCTCAAAGGCACACGCTTACACTGTTGCTTGATGTCGTTTGTCTGAAACAAGTATCTCTCGCTTTCTGGTGTGTTTCTTGTCTCGATCAAAGCGGTCGCTTTGTGTATTCTGCGGAATGCTGCATACAAAGGCTGGGACTGAAAGCACTGGACTCATCAAAATTCTGCATAAACAAATGGTCTCTGCTCTCTCCGAGAGCACCCACGTTAATGTCTGATGAAAGATACCTGCTTTTGAACGCTCGTCCTGATCACTAAATCACACCGGACGACAATGCTCTTGACTAAATCTCAGGTTGCTGATAAACTACCGTCCTAGCATCAGTGATGTGTCAACCCGCTTTCAGATGGATTGTGAGGGATAGCAAAGCCTCAAGATCACTGCAGACTCGATGGTCGCTGTGATCAAGGTGCTCGTCTTGATCAAGGGAGGACAACCAACTTGTGGGACCGTCGATCATGAACAAGCAGTGGCAGTCAAAACAAACGTAGCCTTTGTTACATCATTGGCAAAAGTGGTCAGACATCAACATCTGATGGATCTGTTTGTCTACTATTCGGCAGATAAAGGTCTTTGCAAGACTCCTGAGAGGCTTCGACGCTTCCCAGGCTGAGACATCAGATATCCAATGCTGACAACCGCAAGTTGAAAGAAATGGAAGTCAGAGAGGGTTGCCTATTTCGGGTCCCACAGACGTTCCATTCCCGCCAGTAAGAGACGACGCCCGGAGCACCAATTAGGCCCCTCGGGCCTCAGGTAAGCACCCGGGGTCCCGTCTAGCGCCTATCACTCATGGGCACGGCAAAGCTGCCAATCTGGGTTCAAACAGGGGCCAGGGCTTGGAGTGTTTCTTCACAAATTCGATCCATTGTTAGGTACGATACAGAAGCGCCACTGAACAAACGGTAAACGCCTCTCATGGTCACAGTTTTGCGGACATCGAGCCCATCACTTCGGTCATCTCGCCTCCAAACAATGAGAAGGAACTTGATGCAATTTGAGACTTGATTCTTAAAGGAACACTTGAGTGTGAACCTTTTTCATTTTGATATTCTGCTCTAAGCATCAAACCTAAGCGGTGCTAGAAAACCAACTCCAAATTTGGGATGCCAACATCCAATATCTCAAGCAAGCCCTGGTCAGATACCGCTCACAGTGGTCCTTGGAACCGTCTACCAAGGACTGGATTTCCCATCGTAGGCATTTGGAACTTTGTTCTCCCACCCAGGAACACGGATATTCAAGAACTTTCCACTCGACTCGATGCCGTTCTCTTGGATGATTCTCACGACCTCCTTGACTCCTACGTCGACTTCCAAATCCGCCATTTGACTGCCTAGGTCCGTCTTCAACCACTGTGTTTCCCAATCACGGTTAGCATAGTTATTCACATTCTTTTCAATTCAACCCAAATAGGTTGATGATGGAACCCAAGAACTTACACCTGGAGAGACCGCGAGGAACGTGACACCTTGCTGAGCAAAGTCCTGCGCATACTGTACAGTCAACATATTCAGCGCCGCTTTGGTGATCTTGTACGCCGGGGTAGGTGCGAATTTGTAGTTTGCAGCCAGGGCCATGGAACCCATCGTGGTCGATCTAGCAAGCAAAGTCTATGTGTCAGCACACCTTGGATTCAAAATATCTGGTCTTGCACCGGCTGTGACTAATGTTTGGACAGCAGGAAGAACAGGGGGAAAAGAAGCCGGAATTTGTTCACAGCAATCACACATACATATTGATGACCTTCTTCAGCTTCGATTTCTGGACCAGCGGCAGCAGTGCGACCGTGGTGTTGTGCACGGCCTCGACATTGACCTCGAAAGTCTCGCGCAGATCCGTCATCGCCGCCGTGCCGCCGGGCGTGTAACCCATGACACCGGCGTTGTTGACAAGCACGTCGAGCCCCTTGTCCCCGAGCCTGGCCTCGAGTTGTGGCACTGCAGCTGCAATGCCGGCCTTGTCGGTGATGGGCAGCAGGATATGTGCGATCTTACCGTCGGAGGCATCGATGACTTGCTGCAGGCCAGCCGAGGGTTCCTTGGTCCGCGTGGCTGCGAACACGATGGATACTTGGTCTGCTGGCAGCTTGCCCAACTGCTTGACGAGCTCAAGGCCAATGCCTCGACTTGCTCCGGTGACGAGGTAGGATGCCATGGTCAGGGTGGTAGTATTCTTTCTGACTTTCGTCTTTATTTTTGTGAGGATTGGAAGGCTTGATTGGTAGGTAGGCTGTGAGTGAAACTTCCAAGTTGAGCTTGAGCAATGCCCAACCTTGAGACATGCACTACTTACTGCCCTTTATATAACCCTTTCAATCCATCTCAAGACCCATACACTCTACCACGGCAACGTCGTTCATTACCAATCCCACATCTCATATCTCGGTCTGAACGACTGGGCAACAAAAAATTACCCGATGCGGTAATCCACTGACGTTTGTTTCTAGGCCCCCAATTAAACTTTAAATGCAGCGACATGCCTTCCGCTCTGCGTCCTCGTTCTCAAGATACCATTTCTACTCTGCCTTGACCGCGGTTGGTAAAGTACATGAGACTAGTACTGAGCAGATTCGTTCGTGGTCGACACTGCAGCCCTCGCGAGGTGGTATCTCGATTGAGGCCGGAAGTTGCGTCGCTGGATTGACCCGTCTGTGGGGCAGGGCTGGAATTGGGATTGACTAAAGGTGACCCATGGCATGATCCAGGCCCCCAATAACAGAGTCAATGCCTGTGTGCTACAGTGTTTCACTACTGAGCAATGAACGATGTTTGATTTTCAGTCTGCACTGGGGTCTCTCTGTGAAAGCAACTACTCGTACAGGTGTCTTTGGGTGGGAAGCAGGGTTGGATCATCAGATCATGGAGTGTGATGAGTTTGAGAACAAAGTATTTCGTTTCTGTGCCGCGAAGGCCGTAGACGTAGACATTGGTGTGATGAAGGCATCACGGCTGCCTAGCTAGCTTGCTCGAGGTCTGATTAAAAGGTAAGTAGGCAATCGTAGAATTGTCAGTACGCCTTCAGCAGACTGATGCATTGATCCATCATTGCTGCCATCCGCGCCGCAATCCTTGCTTGCCCATGAAATCCACTTTTTGTTATGACTCTGGCAAGGAGCGCAACTGTCCATCCATCCGGCTCCAGTACTCAAACGACATTTCCAACCTCACGATGAAGGTGAGATTCTGATATCACCCCCTGAACAAGTTCCATTGTCACTTCGACCATTTTGTCGGAATAGCCTCCAATTCTGCCCATGCTTTTCCCCTTCAACGGGCACTTTCAATGTATTCGGCGCTGGGTTTCTCGTACTTGGCGCAGAAAATCCTTCCACTGTTTCGGGACAACCAAGTGCTGAATTTGCTGAGTTCGGATTTCAAGCGCGAGACTGACTCGGTGTCCATGTTGGTCTGGGCGATCATCTCGGGGAGATTGACTTCATGTAATGTTAGTAGTTGTTATATATTGCGGAAAAGTGTAATGAACTTACTGATCATGCGAGTCAAGTGTTCTGCGCCATAGCAGTCACCAGGACCTTTGCCATCCCACTCTTTGTACTTACCTGACTCCCACAACTTGCGCACCTATGTCATGGTTAGTTGGCCTTCGAGGACGGTTGCGCGTCTCTGATCTTTTCTCAAACTCACTTCATTCAGTTGGGGACGCTCAAAGCGATACAACAAGATCTTTCCAATAGACTTCTCAAAATAGACCTTCAGTCCAGTGCAGAATTCTTCCAAAATATCCGCTTCAACCGAGCCGAGTCTTCGATTGGTCTTCTCTTCGTTGAAGTACTCATCGAGGATGAAATTGGCCGGTGCTTGGCTGGGTAGGGGGACCAGGAGCATGGATTTGGTCACATTCTCCCAGTCGTCGACGAGAAGGTTCTTGAGGTGGTCAGGGACCGAAATCCGGATAGAGGGACGGTTGTGGTAGTTCTCTTCCTGTGCAGATGGGTCTGTGTAAGTACTTTTATTCTCTCTATCATAAATGAAATTTCCATCACGATCAAAGAGCTGGGTTCGGCCAAGCTGTTTGGCATTGCGCTTGCGATTTCCCTTCTTTTCGACATCACGTCCCTTGCCATAGGTTGGTTTGGGTCGAAGATTCTTAGGAACTTCAGTGTCGGGCCCAAGATTGAGATGTGCTGTGTCAGTATTCAGATTCATTTTTCTGGCAGCCTCGGTGATGCTGTCCTCAAACAGGCTTCTGGCTGTTTGGGACGACAAAAGCTTGAAGCTGCACTCGTAGCCAGCGTGACGGCACCAAAAGCACTCCGGCTTCGCTCTGTTACATTTGACTCCCATTGTAGAACATGTGGTGCAGGGACCTTGGTCTTCTACTGGTTTTTCCACAGCCATGGAGGTGGAGGTGTTGCCGCCACGAGGATTGTTGCCGCTGACAGACAATTGAGTCGAATCTGCCAAAGGAGAGGGTACAGAGAAGGTAGAATTACTCGGAGTCAATCTTGATCTTGTTGATGAGGAGATTGAGGTCGAGCTTTCGGCTTCACCGGTATTGCTCGACTCGGCTGTCTGACTGTTCTTAGATCTGCGAGTACGGGGAAGAGCGATACGACGAGGGAATTCTCCATCCTCATGTCTACTTCCAGTTGTAAATCTTGCATTCGATATTGCTTGCGCTGGTGCCATAATTGACTTCTCAGCCTCGTTGAGATCGGCAGTGGAGGGAATGTTGCGCCAGGTTTTAGCGCCTGATTCGCGTGTGGAGCTTCGACGAGTGACTTCGCCTTGCTCAAGTTGACTCTTCTGTTCAAACAAAGTATGGTCGGCAGGGAGTTTGTCCTGAATAGCACGGTTCTGGTTAATGAGAACTGAGAATGGCATCTTTGCCAGAATTCGTGGATGAATTTCAGCCATCAGTCGATCTGGAATTTCCAAAAGAGCCCTCGTGCCCCATTTGACCAATGTGTCGCCATCATCGCGATTCAGTTGTTGGATGAGTCGTTTTGGGAACTTCAGGGCATCAAAGGGGCCACCACTGCCTGGGGGATCAATTACATGAGGGTCCTCATCAACACCGGCAGTTACGATGCCTGAGTTCAGATCATCATCTCGGGTCCCACCACCTGCCTCCTTGAGTTCTTCTTCCATGGCTTGTTTCTCCTGAACTGTAGTACCACCCATGAGTGAAGCAAAATGGTGCTTAGGTCGCTCCCGTGCCGTAGCCTTGCTGAAGTGTTCGGGTTCGTCAGGTGGGGCTGGGCGATCAAGGATTTGTTGGATAGATTCGTTCTTCATCTGATCTTGTCTCTGTGGAGTCCAGAAGGCGTCGTCCCGCTTGATGGGATCCATGTTGGGAGTGCCAACACGTCTCCTCTTCGACATGGGATAGTTGCAAGGCTTCTTCAGAAGAAAGAGAGGTGATACAGAATGAATATCTAGGAGAGACAGAGAATATTGCGGGATAACTCAGTCCTGTCTGTGGAGTGGTGATGAATGAAGTAGGGTAGATCGTAGCCTCCTCGCCGTCGCTCTTATTGTCCAACGCCAAGATTCATGTTCAATGATTGTCTTGTTCATCCAAGAGTCCAGAGATATAATTCCGCGGGATTCTGTGATTAAAGGGTCCACTTATACCGTCCTTCAGAGCATTTGGGCAGGGGGAACGTAGGAAATACCACTAACCTTCTCAATATCATTGTCCCGAACTCGCTTTGAGCCTCTTCCACCTCCAGCTGGTATGGATGAAGTCCGCTCCTCGCTACCTCTCCCAGACCCCATTTCGGAATCCTGACCACGTCGAGTCTTGCCCATAGGTTTGGCCACCGGTTTCTGAGCGCTTTGAGCGTTTTGAGCAAGAAGTTCTCGTCGGAGATTTGCAGCCAACTCGCGATTGTCGTCTGTAAGTTTGCGCAGGCGATCTTGTGGTACCCAGTCGTCCCAACTATTCGAAAAGTGTTAGCATATGACCTGCAGGCACGAAAGCGACAGAAGTTTGAAGTAATGACGAGGCTGGTGCTGTGTGGTTGTTCACCACCATCGGCATGGACTGAAAGTATCTGATGAAAGGGGCAATGGTTGTTCATCTGTACACATTGATAGTGCAAAAGACGTGCACAGTTGAAGATGATGAATATGCTAAAGACCGCTGCGGAAGCGAGGTGCTACTGGATGGCCACGACTGCAGCCATTCTCATAGGTTCTCCGGATGAGTTGTTTAACCAAAGACGGGAATTGTGATGTAAGTTCAGAGGTCCTTCAGGTTTGTGGACAAGAACGATGAACTCGCTCAGATTGTAGGCTATGGTTCATGAACAGGGAGAACTTACGTGTTCTTCCATCCTTTGTAGTGGACACGGTACTCAGAGGCACTCGTCTTGTCCTTGGGATCCTGCCGCCTCACTTCAAGAACCTTGGCCTCATACAGAAGCTCACCGTGAAAGCAAAGCGCTTTCTCGTCCTTCTGGTACATTGGCTTGCTTTCCGCTGAGGGCGGAGCCATGTTTGCGATGTGAGAGGTGTGAACAAGAGAGAAGAAAGTTGACAGCCTGGTTATCGCTTCGCGACCTGAACAAAGGAGACTTAATTGGGTTAGGATTGGGCAAGGATGGATCTTTCAGGGGCAAAAAAACCTCGCTGAACGCCAATGCGAGAACAGAGAGGAAGTGCGCGGAAAAGAAGAATATGAAGGATGGTAATGTGGGAATGGGAAGTTGTGAGTTGAGCGAGTGAGAATTGATTCAAATCAAATTGTCTAGCAAGATCGACTTTCGTGAAGCGTTCTTCACGCTTCCCCAGCCTTGTTCGCTTATTGGCAGTGGACAAACACGCTAAGCCCCTTTCAAACACCATTTACCACGACACGTCGATTTTGTTCATCACATTCACAGCAGCAAGAGACGAGAAGGATTTGAAGACCGTGTCATTTGGCGTCTTTCATCATATTGATCCGTTAGAGACGCGTCAAGCTGGGTGTTGAAAGAATCTTGGCCAGGAGAAGCAGAGTTCTCCCAGGAGACAACAACCACGACCCCTTGGAGCGAGGCTCTTGAGCAACGACCTGGAGCACAGAGAAGCATCCCTTGATCATCTCGATTGAGGTTTGGGCATTGGACTCAGCGTGTCTCATTTCCCAAAAATCCCCAAAATGACCTCTCTCCATCCCTCCCAGCCGGATGAGATGCAAATCTTGACTTCATATCTACTACATCCAAGCCCTCTATCCACGATTCTCCCATATGCCCGTTTCCAATCTCTGATTCCAAAGTCGTCTTTGTCTCACTCTACAGAACTCAAGCGGCTATATCGCGACCTCCAATTCCAGCGAGACATAACCATCGATGATGTCCGAAGACGAATTGAGACTGAATGTCGACGCAGCGTTGCCCTCCAAGCCAAGCTGACAAGGAACATCAGACGAGAGACTGGCAGCAAGCGAAAGCGAGACGATGACGACGAGGGTGATCACCTTCCTCAAGATGTGGACTCGGATTCCGACCCTGATCGGTCAATCAAGCTCGACAGCGCTCTACACGGGCCGCTGGGTAGTACTCTACAAACGCAAACCAAACAGCACAACCATAGCAGTACATCCTTACTTTCCTCGCTTGCGGCAGCGACAGCGGATCTCACTTCGGAAATAACTTCGCTCGAAGCTGAGCTCAGCGGACTGAGACAAGTCTGTGAGGAGCGAGTGGGTGGATTGAGTGATCTGAGATATGGCAGGTTCAGCAACAGTGCAGCTACGGGTGAAAGCATCGAAAAAGAGGTGACAGATGGCCTGGAAGCGTTGAAACGAGAGCTTAACAAGGCTGCTGGAGACTGAGAAGAAGGCGATATTGTTCGAGTGGATCACTATGGAACCCATCTTCCATCCATGCGCATAAATGTCAAAACATTCAATACAGTTGTTCATTCAGATTCAGAGCAGAATGGAAACAATGGTCCTTCTAAGTCAACAAGGGGTCTCTTGATCAAGTTGTTGTAAGCGTTAAATGGGCCTGTGGGGGCCAGGCCGCCGCCTACTGACGCTTATAAGCAGTTGTACCCCTCAAGCCCGACGTGACGTGACCTCGCTTTTGGAGAAGCAACCACCACCTACCTCACTCCAAAAGCCACCGCAGTGAGAAGAATCCGATATTCCAACCACCTGTTCTTTTTACTAATTCAAGATTCAATAACAACACATCTGAACCCGAAGTAACCAAAACACCATGGTCACAACCTCGGGCTTCTCGCATGCACCCGTCACCCGCTTCGTGATCCTCCTCTCCATCTCCACAAGCATCCTCTCGTCCATCCTCGACCTCAAACACTACCTCCCCATCCGCCCGACACCCCACCTATGGCCCTACGTGCAGTTCTCGCGCATCTTAACATTTCAAACTGCATACACATCGTCGACGGAACTCCTGTTCTCGACGGCCCTGCTCTACCAGTTCCGCGTGCTCGAGCGCCTGTGGGGGAGCCGCAAGTACGCGAGTTTCCTGTTCGTGTGTTTCTGGCTGAATGTCTTGATCCTGCCGACGCTGGTCACGGTGCTGAAACTGGGGTCGCTGGGCATCTACAATTACCTGCCCAGCGGCTTGACCGCTGTCGTCTATGCTTGTCTCAGTGCGTGGGCAGACGAGGTGCCGCAGTTGTACCGCTACAAGATCATTACGGCTGCTAGTCCGGGGCCCGGCGGGCGTGGTGGAAGAGATGCGGTTGCAAATGACGAGGGAGAAGACTCTGGGGCCAGCAGTAGTCACCTCGGTGCTGCGGCTGGAGGACGGGCGCGGCAGCTTTCCGGTATCGTGCTGAGCGACAAGTCTACGACGTATCTCATCGCTGCGCAGGTGGCGTTGAGCCAGTTCCCATATCAGCTGCTTCCCGCCGCGGTGGGTTGGACGATCGGCACGGCTTGGATGGGCGAGCTGCTCCCTGGTGGGCTGGGCAGATGGAGAGTGCCGAACTGGGTGGTGGGAGAAACCAGCAATAGCAAAGAGAGAGGTCAGTTCGAGGGCTTGCGGCGTCGTCTTGAGGAGGAAGGCAGTTCCGCAGACGGTATGAGGAACGTCAGTGATAGTGTTGGTGCTGCTGCGGCGACAACCAGCCAAGGGAATTCGCGGCGGCGCTTTGGTGGGCAAATCCTAGGGTATTTCACCGGTTCTTGACAGGAGCTGGAGAGCACTGGTGGGAGATAGATGGGTTCTGTGATTTCATCACTAGGAGCGTTGCTTGGACATTAATGATAAAATGAGCATTGTATAGAAATAACGGACTCGAAGAGCCTCCATTGCATGTCAATATTAAACCTTTTTAATTGTTTGCATTCTACCATAGCGCTCTATTTGAAGAAAGAAGAGTCAGATCCTATTACTACAAGCTTGAATCGATCGAACCTGGTGTTGCCAGAAATCGCTGTAAGGCCTCGTCTTCACGAGTAAAGGGACGGCGACTCATCGAGTTGTGATCATGAAAGTGGAAAAGAGGCCAGAGTAAAGCAAGATGTTTCCGGGAATGGAGGCACGCGTCAGCCAGTTCTCATGATGGGTTGTATCACAATTGCTTCGACTGGAAGATGGTCGTGCTCCCCCACACTGGGCCCTCAGTCAGCTAGGTCTCTGCATTATCGACTCAGAGCACAGTCCCATAGAGCCTCTGTGGTTGTATTTTAAGTGTCTCTGTCCTCAACCTTCGGCGCTGGCGTGACTTGTCTGCTCCTCAAAGGCCTGCTTATACCTCGCAACAGCATTGGCCAGACTCTTGATGATTGGACCGAGGAGATGTCGCACGACTTTCCCACCTCCGCGTATCTGACGATGGTCGATCCTGTGTCTCTTTCCGGTTTTCCTAAACCTCTCTTCGATCGCTCTCTCCTGGGATTTGATGTGTGCCTGACGCTCCTTCTCGGCGTCCTGAGCGATGACGTTGATACGGTCGAGGGCCCGGTTGAGACTGTCGACCAGCGAGGATACTTCGTTGGCGCGCGATGCGTCGCCTGACAGAAATGCGTTCCAAAATTGGCGCAAGAATTCAATGGTTGTGGCGTGCGTGAGCGTTAGACGGTCATAGATCGCTGTACTGAGGCCTGATGCTTCGGGGATCTCGGATGTTTGGTCGCGGTGCGCTTGAACAAGGGAGAGAATATGATTCATAGCTATCGATGAGCCGGTTTCAGCTTGGGAATCTTCATTATCTTGCATTTCTTCATCTTCGCCCTCAAAAGGGTCGATCGGAATAACGCCCGTTCCTGGCTGTGGAAAATGGGAGGAGATGTCCTTGTGGACCTCCTTGATAGCTTTGGAGGGGTCGATGTTGCGGAAAGGATTGAGGTCTGTGGTGGCTTCACCATTTTGCCGATCACGATTTTCCCCAAAGAAACGGCTTTGATCACGGATATTCAAGATGATACGTTGTTGTTCGGGGTCGCCTTCAAGGTCCCGCAAGCGAAGTCGGTCGTATTCAGCCTCGGTCATCCCAATTGGAGCAGAGGCATCGACATCTGATGGACGGACAGTGGCCATAAGCTTTTCAGAAAGGGCGTTCAACTTGCGTATTATCGGTGCTTTGTCAAGAACTGTGGCGCGCAGTTCGTTGTCGGGCCTATTTCCCTGCCGCCGGCTGTGATTTTCCTCATTGCCTTCTAAATCGATGAATTTGGGAATATGTAGCTCGGAAGATGTGGGCCGAAGTCCTGTCAATTCTGGATGGTTCAGAAATTCTTCCGTATCCAGATATTTGTCTCTAGATTCTCTAGCTGGATCAAATTTCAAGCCCCGTAGTTTCATGAAGAGCTGACTTTGGAAGAAGCGCGACCAGAACTCCGTTTCCGACTTACACTTGTCGGGGACAACCTCGTCGTAGATAATGCGCATGACAGGATACTGTTCGAATATAGCACGAACATGATCTCCCGTAAGACTGAGCTTGGTGCCTCCATCCTCACGGCGTAGTTCGGAGAAAACGTTATATTTGCCCCTTCCCTGGCTTTGAGCAATCGCGTGTGCCCTGAGCAATTGAACTCGAGAGGACCAGAATTGAGCTGTGAATTGCATGTTGGATATCGTTTCTGGCTTCAAACTCAGAGCTTCCATGAAGGTTCGCTGCAATTCGGGATCTTGCTGCATGAGAGATTGTTGTAATTTGACATCCGACTTTAAGCGCTCATCGTCCTCCCATGAATTCGCAGTCTTAGTTCCGCCTGCAACGGCGTGCGCTATGGTCATAGCAGCGGACTGACCGCCAGTCGTTTCGGCAGTTGCATTTTGTGCGGCTTTTTGGGCCTGGATCACATTGGCAAGGGCGTCCTTGATTGAATTTGCTTCGCTTCGAGGGTCGCTTCGTGAGGTGAAGGTGAAAACATGTGCTGCTGCCTCAGATTGACCTGGATCTTGAGCAAAGATTTTCAGCATCACTTTCGCACTAGATTCTGGAGTCTGCTGTAGATTGGTCACGTTTACTGCTGATATCACCAGGGTAGGAGCCGAGTCGGGGGGTTGCGCCGGACTCCATGAAACCGATTTTCTATCTTTTGAAATGGCCAAGACGCCCGCCTGCTTTTTATAGGAGGCTTCACCGCTGGGTGGTGCCATGATCACTTGGATTTGATGATAGAAAGACAAAGGAAGGAAATCGGACTCGCCGGTACGACGGCTCGAACGAATTCAATCACAAGGAGGTGAGTTTGCATTGCGCTTGCTTCTTGTCCAGTGGGAATATCTGTCTCCTTCGAGGTCCATCAAGTCTATCTGTGATTCATCTCCCCAGTTCGAACTTTCAGAGTGTGGTGAACGGTCGTAATGCTGAAGCTCTGAGCCCCGCTGTTGGTTGTGGACTTTGATGTCACAAAATCGATCAACATAAACTTTGAGTTGGATCTTGAGAATAGGCACGAGCGCCAAGACAGTGACATGTGCAGTGGCTGCCTCCTTTGCGTTAAATCTATGACGCTGCTCTTATTTCTCTCGTTCGCTATTGCTGGTTCAGAGTAAGCGCCATGAGCCTCTTATGACCCCTAACTTAGCTTACCTACCATTCGAATTTCTAGGTATGGCTATGCCTAAGTGGCTTACCTGGCTGCTGCTTTTTTAAGTACAGTCGATTAGATTGCACCTCTTCTCTTTACCTACCGAATTAGGTGACTGGCGCCTACAAGTGCCTCCACAATGATCCCACCAAAATGCTTTGCTGAATGCAACGATAAGAAGATAACTTCTGCTCAGCACTGCAAGTTGTGTGGCATGCTGGAATTGCAGCTGAGTAAAATTCTACAATGTCCGGCCTTCCTCACTACGCGAATTGGGTAAATGGCAAATACTCGTCACCCACTTCAGATCATATAATAGTATCCAACCCGGCGACGGAGGAGTCTATCGCCACTGTCGATGCCACATCTCAGGAGGCTGTCAACTCCATTATCAAGGAGTCGTTGTCGAACTTTCGCAATGGCACTTGGTCTATAGCCGATGCCACAATCCGATTCAATGTCCTTGTCAAGGCAGCTGCTCTTCTGCGATCTCGCATGGAAGAGTTCGTTAGCCTCGAAGTCAGTCAAACAGGTCGACCAGTGCAGGAGATGAAAGCACAGTTGGCTCGCATTCCTGAATGGCTAGAATACTTTGCGAGTCTGTCCCGTACATACGAAGGGAGTGTAACTCCATTCAAGGGACCGGTGATTAACACATTGACAAGAAGCCCTATTGGCGTGGTTGCGCAAATCACTCCATGGAATCATCCACTACTGATAGCAATAAAAAAGATCGGCGTGGCTCTTGCAGCAGGTAATACTGTTGTGGTCAAGCCATCGGAACTCGCGCCTATAAGTGTACTCAAATTGGGTGAGTTATTCAAAGAAGCCGGTCTTCCTGATGGAACTTTACAGATCATCTCGGGGTACGGACGCGACACGGGCAAGTTTCTATGTCAGAATCCGTCCCTCGCGCGTATTGACTTGACTGGTGGTTTGCTCACTTATAAGGCTATCGCGCCTATTGCAAGTCAAAACATGATCCCGATCACGGCGGAACTGGGAGGGAAAGCTCCAGTGTGTATCTTCCCCAATATGGAAGTCACTGAGGCAGTCCGAGCTGCACTCTTCGCAAGTTTCATCGCCAGTGGACAAACATGTGTTACGGGGAGCCGGCTACTCGTCCATGCAGATATTTATGACGAATTCGTCCTGGAAATGGTCAAACGCACCACGGCTCTCAGATTGGGCGATCCCACCGATCCTACAACCCAGATCGGAGCTGTCATCAACCAAGCGGCCGTCGACCGCTGTGCAGCATTTGTCTCCCACGCAGTTGAGGAAGGTGGGAAGCTCCTGTGTGGCGGCGACTCTCCAGACCGTAAAGGATTCTTCTTCAAGCCCACACTGATAGAGACCGACGGGAAGTCCAACCTATTCTGCAACGAAGTGTTTGGGCCGGTCATCGCAGTGGTGAAGTGTGCTTCCGAGGAGGAAATCATTGAACTTGCAAACGGGACAAGTTTTGCACTCGGAGCCTCGGTCTGGACGCGCGACTTCGCACAGGCGCATCGAGTGGCGGAGCAGATCGATGCAGGCATTCTGTGGATCAACGGTCACCATTTGAACGATCCGTCTTCGCCCTGGGGCGGATTTAGGGAGAGTGGAATGGGGAAGGAGAACGGGAGGGAGGCGTATGAGAGCTATACTAAAGTCAAAAGCACCGTTATCAATTATGGTGTGCCGCCGGCTTGGTTTGATGCTCCGGGAGAGCAGGCGAGGTATGGATAGATTTGGATCATTATATACAGAGATCACGATAGCAGTGCGGCATAGATTTTGAGAGATGATTTGAGGTTTGTTGGTACATTATGTTCTATCGCCTGTATTATTACATCATAGTCAACCCGGGCATGCACTTGGAACTCCTTTTTCATCAGCTTCTCGTGCTGATAGCATCATGTGCCCGCATCATATTGAGGCTGGTTTATCCTTGATGATTCGTGCAGGAGGTTTGGTATGGTTGTAAGCGCGCTATGCTCAATGGAGAGTATGAGCATGCTGCGCTCAGAGGCAGAAAGATGCGCATACAGCGTCAGCAACTCCCAGAAGTTGTGATTGGTTCGTCGCATCCGCTATTAAATCGAATGATTCGGTAAGTGCTGGTATTCATTTCGCTTGTAAATGTTTCGGTGGTCACGCAGAAAGCCGGCAGTAATGGAACCTGTGCCCGCAGACACCTCTGATGCTCGCGACGCTTTCTTGGGATACAATAACTCAATCTTAAGGTCGTTCTTGTTCCATATCTTTTCCTTCATTAGGACTTGGCTGTGTGGTATCTGCAATTGGGCGCCTGTTTCGCTTCTCCCTCCGGCGAGAAGGTTGACCGTGTTGCGACGGAATACGATTGCTTGGTAATTTCAATTTCCACTCCTCTGGTGTTTCTTGCTCCTCGGCCTGGGGCCGATTGGGATTGATTTGCCAGTCCAGCTCATCTTCATATTCTTGCGGGTTGTTCTCCTTCCATTCTTTCAAGAAAGCTAGCCCGCTATATCGATCGATTTTATATGCCTCGCCGGTTTTCTGATCTTCCCTTACTCGTCCAGGATCTCTGATCTCTAGACTGACGAAGGGCGTCAGCTAGTAGTTGGCCAAAGACGTCAGTGTTTGCTCTCCGCGGTACAGATGATCAAGTAGAAACTCACCTTGAAATCCGTGAAGTCGGGTACTACATAATGGCGTGTCTTGCGGTAATCTATTATGTATCCTCCATATTCGGTGTGCGAACCCATGGCGCCAGTTCGCGAACCACGATAAAAACCTCCCGCGACTTGTTTGGTGGTAAAGCGCAGCCGCGCATGGAGTTGGGGAGAGGGTCTGACCATCTCGGGGTGATACAGCGATGAGTCTCGATGATCTTCGAGAGATTGATTCGACGTCCGCCGTAGTGTCGAAGGTACAACGCTCGGAGTTGGTTGCTTTGACTTCCTCGACCACAGGATGAACTTGAACCTTGAAGTCCGCTTTCGCATTCCATTACTGATGATTGGGTTTGCACGTGATTAATGCACTCGGCGGAACTCCGGGCCAAAAAGTTTAGGAATTCTGTTCCCCACCTGCGATTTCGATAAAATAAATTGAAACAATCCTGGCCGTCTTAGTTGCCACGAGAAAAGTCGAATCTATAATCCGGTCTACAACCGATCGACCATGCCACGACAAGCACACGGCCGCTCGCTATACACGGCTAAACCTACTAAACCCGTGAAACGCAAAGCCAAGAATCGTGGACTAAACGCTCTAGAGATCGCGGAGGAAGAGAACCTTGATCGAGTCAAACTCCCGCAGCATCGCTTGGGAGAGGTCGATGATGATTCCGACGAGCCTAGAACAAGAGAAGACATCGATGGTCGGTCCTCAAAAAGACGGAAGGTCAACACAAATAACGAAGACGACTCCGCCGATGGGGGTTCAGACCTCGAAGGCAGCCGTTGGCATGTCGGGGTAGACGATGAAGATGAGGACAGTGACATTCTTAGCGACGATGCTTTTGGACAAAGTGATGAAGAGAAGTTTGCAGATTTCACATTTCGTGGCAGTTCAAATACAATTTCGAAACCCAAAAAGGGCGCAAGGCCTCGGGAAGTGGACTTGAACGAGAATAACGACGACGGGCAGAGTCCTGATAACGAGGAGGAAGAAGAAACCGACGATGATTTAGGTGAAGAAGCCGTCGACCTTGCCACTGCGTGGGACATGGACGATCAGGACGAGGCAGAAGACGTACAACAGCAGAATCGAAAGAGGAAGGACTTGCTACACGACGAAGAGTCTGAAATGGGAGAGGATGATTCCGAGGACGATTCTTCTGAGGATGATCAATCTGAGCAGCTCTCCGTATCTGAGGATGAGGGTGACCACTCTCGACTCCAAAATTTCGTGGAAGGACTATCCGGCATATCTGCTCCGACGGAAGTGAAAGCTGGCCTTCCTAAGAAGACTCTGCATGGTATACCGTCGCAATTCGGATTAAGTACATCCAAGCTCTCAGCTACGGACCTCTTGCAATACATCAAAGACCCTCGCCAAAGGCAGTCGCTCAAAATCCTACAAAACAATGAAGGCACAGTCAACGAGAGTTCCAGAGGCGGAATCCCTGGGAAAGTGGCCCCACCACTCGCCAAACGACAACAAGACCGTCTTGACAGATCGGCTGCCTACGACGAGACAAAGAAAGAACTGAGCAAATGGATTGAGACGGTCAAAGAAAATCGACGGGCTGAACATTTGTCTTTTCCACTGGAGGACCCTACCGCCGCAGGTGTGTTGAACAAGAAGCAGCTTTCATCGACATCCCAAACACAACCGATGACTGCGTTGGAGTCAACTATACAGGCGATTATGCAAGAGAGTGGTCTCCTTTCAACAGAGAGTACTACAGCTGATGGCCAAGTTCAAGCGTATGAGGAATTGCAGGAGAAGAAGATGCCACTTGAGGAAGTACAAGCTCGTCGCGCAGAGCTTCGCCGAACAAGAGACCTGATGTTTCGCGAGGAGATTCGAGCGCGGCGAATCAAGAAGATCAAAAGCAAAGCTTACCGCCGTGTTCATCGCAAAGAACGAGAAAAGATGAATCTTGAAGACAGAGCTCGTTTGGAAGCCGCAGGCATGATCAATTCGGATGAGGATAGAGATAAAAATGACCGCCGAAGAGCAGAAGAGCGTATGGGTGCCCGACACCGAGAGAGCAAATGGGCCAAAAGTGTCAAGGTTACTGGCAGAGCAACCTGGGACGACGAGGCGAGGCATGGTGTAAACGATCTTGCAAAGCGAGATGAAGAACTTCGAAGACGTATTGAAGGCAAGGTGGGCAATGAATCCGATGGTGACGATTCTGAACCAGACGATTCGGCAGAATTCTCCGACACGGATGATGAGAGGAATCATCTGCAAGCGAAGCTTCATGCATTGGAGGGAGAAGATCGTGATACGCCTCACTCTCGGCTGAACTCCATGGCGTTCATGCAAAAGGCTGAGGCTGCGAGGAAGGCTGCCAACGATGAAGAAATACGCAAGGCCAAGCAAGAACTGCGTAGCGAGGATTTTGAGTCATTCGACGAGTCGAGTGCAGAGAATGAAGATTCCCGGGGACGTCAAAAGTTTGGGTCGAAGGCCAATGCTGGGCAACTGATAACCCAAGGGATTGCTCAGAAAAGTGAATTTGAGGAGCGCGCATCCGATGAAGAACTCGACCAATCTGATAATCAGGACCATACAGCCACGACGAAACCCCAATCTTCATGTACAGCACAACCTAGGCCAAAGGCGGACAAGATAGAGCTGCGCACTAAGGCAACTACCTCGAAGCAACCAGAGAAGCTCAATACAGTGTCCACAAGCAACTCGAATGCCGGGGCAGTGACCAAAGGCCCCTCAGCACAGCAGAAGAGCAAAACCGTTCCCGAAGTTTCGCTAGCAGATTACACTAGTCCCTCGGGATCAGAGGCGGAAGACGACACGGTTGCTCTCGCACAAGACATTTTCGCTGGGCCAGATGAGCTTGTCCAAGAATTTGAGAAGGAGAAAAAAGAAACTGTGGTCGATGAAGGGGATCGGGTGATTGACAACACGCTACCTGGATGGGGAAGTTGGACGGGCGACGGTATCAGCAAGAAAGCACAGAAGCGGGCCAAAGGAAAGTTGTTGACGACGATCAAAGGAGTCGCAGAGGATAAACGAAGAGATACGAAACTAGAACGAGTCATCATCAACGAGAAGCGGGTTAAGAAGAACGACAAGTATCGAGCAAGCGAACTCCCTCATCCATTTGAGTCACGACAACAATACGAACGATCGCTTCGATTGCCCTTGGGCCCTGAGTGGACGACGAAGAGCACGTTCCAGGATGCCACCAAGCCACGCGTACTGATGAAACAGGGCGTTATCAGACCCATGAGCCGTCCAGTTGCATGAGCTTTGCGCAATCTGTTGCTAAGGCGAGAAGTTTAAGATTGGCGAAAAGCGGAGTGGCGTCTCTTGTGAACTCTGTTTGCTGACTAGGATCACAGCTCACGCACTTTGGAGCTAGACACGTTCGTTGATGACAGGTGTCTGGCGTTGCTTGGAGAGGGAGCATGGTGATGAGGATTAGCTAGTTACGGTGCAAGATGACGAGAACCGATGTGCTCAAAAGACAGTTATGACAAGACTTCATAAGAATATCTCTCTTCACAATAGTCCCTCGTAAATACTCCATGTGTTGTTTAGAAACCGAAATTGAACTTTCAGCCTCGCATAGCCACTAGCGCGATCGGAGACTTACCGAGACTCATGACGCGTCTTGATTGGTGACCTGGACGACATTAAGAGCGGGAGTATTTCCCGGAACAGATTATCCGAGCGGGCCGTGTAAACACACTGAAGTTCTAACCTCTGACCCTCGATCAACACTGCACTTGTGTGTTGCCCGCCTGTTCACGTCGTGTCACCCTGTCTCTCAAAATACCACACTAGCATGTGAATGCTAATCCAAAAATTGGTCGACAATATTTGCCCCTCAAACCCCATCTCTTTGAGGGTGTAAGGGTTGACCAAAGCTTGAACTAGCCCAGTTCTTCCATCTCAAAGGTGAGCGGATCGGAAGGTATGATGGACCATTGTGCTCACCATGAGACTGCATTTGCACCTGCACCTGCAGTGCCTCATTATATGGCAAACATGCAGAAGGCATGCAATGGAAACCCCTCCGTTAGGAAAGATCAAGTCACCATACCTGATCATGGCATGCCACCATCTCATTTCGCATCGCTTCTCGCTTTCCAGTGGCATTTATCAACCTCCTATTCAACCTGCAAGACCTACAGAAGTCTCATCCTCGTATCATGAGCCAAGCATTCCTCATCATACTTTTCTTAGTTTCTATCTCTAAACGCCTCCCTCGGCCCTTGATTCCTGGTCTGAACGCCTCAACCCGTGCTTCCCGTACCGAAAGCTCGAGCCCCTCTCAACAACGAACTCACTGATCATCCAGACTGCCGTGCATGTTTGTCACCGGGTCCAAAGGCTTTGTTCTGGTATGCTCCACTACTCCACCTTCTTGATTCGGTACTATGTTGTCGCGGTCAACCATCCCTTCCCTCTGCCGAGGCTGTTCCTGAATACATCATTGCCTGTTCATATACTTCGCACTGCCAGAGCGTCGAACTCAATATTGATCTCTACACTCGTTCGGTCATTCGTCCATCCTAGACCTCACCGAAACTCACCTTTGGCGGAACTCCCAGAAGCACCGAGTTCCAACGAAGAACATATCCAGAAACACTACCACTCCAAAGCCATTGCTCGCTTTTCTAGCCGTTGTTCTGTGACTCAAGACCCCTTGAGTTACCAATCAATTCCGAACACTAAGCCATTCCCTTCCCCTTAGAATGCAGAAAAGATGGACTCCGATCTTGCTGACCATAACACAGGCTTACTTTGCCGGAGCATTTCCTGCCCCTCAATTTTTCGGTCAGTCAGGGAATCCTCCAGATCCTGGTTGTGACACTCCTCACAACGTTGATCCAAATCATTCACTGACATCTATCATCCAATCTTCAGGCGCAAACGGTGCTGCTGCTTTCACTCACGGCCCTCCACAAGAGAACTCATATCCTCAAGGCAACCCTTTCCAAGGCCCTGGGTCAGATCCTGCTAATCAACCGAATCAACCTGATATCGCCTCTTCTTGGCCGGCGCAGGCCCCCTCACAATGGGGCGATTCTTCGTCTCCTCAAGGATCTAGCACTGGGCAAGCATTTGGGCCACCACTTCCCACTGAGTGGCCTTCCACACCCCCTGCTGCCCCGAATGGTGACCATGGGACCAGTCCTGGTGGCGGCCCTGGGGGTGCTCCTGGTTGGAATAATAACATGGGAGATAATAACCACGAGACGTCGGCATTCCAATGGAGCTCTGAAACTACCTTCGTCGACCCGAACCTTAGCCTTCAAACAGTGACGATGACCAATGTGCCAACGTCACAGTCCCCAACTATAACATCCGCATCTCAAAACTTTCCTGACACCACCGGATCCCTAAATCCCACCCTTGAGACAGAAGGAAATCCTGCCTCTCTGCCATTCCCTACTGGTCAACCAACAGTCTCATCTGCAACCCTGTCGCCGCTGGATAGCTCAGTTCCATTTGGCACTGCAACCGGGACTGGACCGCAAAGTACAGTAACCGAGACTATTACTTTGCCATTGACGACCTTTGAAACTGTGGTATTCACCCAGACTGTGACAAGCATACCAGTTGAGACTACTGCTGTGATTACCGCCGTCACCGTTTTCAACACGACGATAACATCTGACGGAAGTGTTATTTCCACTTCAACAGTTGGACCAGTTGTGATAACCACAACAGGGACTGCCCTAATCGAAACCACTTTGACCGCTTCCTCAACGATAACTGGAACGGTAGCCACCACATTGACAACCGATAATCTGCCAACAAACTTGCCAAGTGCTACAGCAAGCTGCGTCCTGAGTTTGGGTTGTTATGGGCAAGACATCTTTCAGCCTGTTGCGGTTGGATCACCGCCAAACAATATTGGACAACGTGGTGGTCACCCAGTCCCGCGCCTAGGGATAAATCTGGACGGAGGACCTATCGAGACAAATAAATTCTACCAAAACTTTGTTCTAGGTAGTCAAGGTTCTCCTGGTTTCGTCTTACCATACACTTTAAGATGGAGTCAGGGTAGCGGAAATGCACAAAGCTGGGGTATGGCGATCTCGCATATTGACGACAATCAGAAGTCTTTCGGTGCCCCAAATCCCAGCATTGCCGGTTCACCAAATGCTTTTTACATCAATCCACTAGGAATCGAGTCAATCATACTCTCCGCCGCAGAATTCGGTACATCTACAGTGTTGACAGCGGATTCTTTGGAGGTCTTTTCTGCCAATATCCACCTTCAACCATCTGCAGGCTCAACATCTGTCCTGACTTTACCCCTGGTTCAAGGGATGGGGTTCATCACAGGTCAATACGTTAATCTCCAACCAGCCATTCAAAGCAGTGTTTTCTTCAGAAGTATTGCTTCTGCAGCTTCACCCAAGCCGGGTGTTTTCAAGTGGAAAGTCACGCTTGAAGATGGTAAAATTTGGTTGCTATATGCGGTTGCTACCAATGGTATTTCCCCAAACCTTCAACTCATTACGAGTACCTTGCTTCAAGGAATCCCGAACTGGTATGGTGATATTCAGGTTGCCAAACTACCCGATGCAAGTTTCGAATCCATTTACGATAATGCCGTCGGGGCCTATCCAACATCTGGAACCATTGGTGGTTACGCTCATAACTCTACAGCTCAGTACAGTTTCACTTGGAACAAGGGAGGAGCCTACGCCTCGATCACAAGCCTTCTCATGTTCGCTCTACCTCATCATGTTGAATCATTCGAGTCTGACACATTGGGTAACGTCACAAACCTGGTACTTGATACACTTACGAAAGGGGTGGCTACTGCGGTGGTTGCAGATTATTGGGTACTTGAGGAGAAGAATCTTCCTACGTCCCTTTCTTTTGCACCTTGGAGACCAGATGGTGATACACAAATCACGACGACTCTTTCTCCTTCAACTATCTCTGCCATTCAGAGTGTTGCAGCCATCGAAGCTTCGCAAAACATGTCCGCACAATCAAACCTGAACAGCATGTACTATAGCGGAAAGGCACTCAGCAAATTTGCAACATTATGCTTTACAATGCACGATTTGACTGAGCAACAGGATCTTGCTAAAGCTGCCCTGTTGGAACTTGAGAGCGCCTTTGAAGTCTTTTCCAACAATCAGCAGGAATTCCCTCTGTTATATGACACTGACTGGAAGGGAATAGTATCATCCGCCAGCTATGTCACTGGGGATGCTGGTGTCGATTTCGGCAACTCGTATTATAATGACCACCATTTTCACTGGGGTTATTTCATTCACGCTGCTGCTGTCATTGGATACCTGGATCCGACATGGCTCACAGCGAACAAAGATTGGGTCAATGCCCTGGTTCGTGACGTGGCCAATCCCAGCTCTCTCGATCAATACTTTCCGGTCTTCAGATCTTTCGATTTTTTCCAAGGACATTCTTGGGCAAAAGGATTGTTCGAAAGTGGAGATGGAAAAGACGAAGAATCCTCGTCTGAAGATGCCATGTTTGCGTACGCATTGAAAATGTGGGGAAAGACAATTGGTGATGCTTCGATGGAAGCCCGTGGCAATTTGATGCTTTCCTTACTGGCTCGAAGCTTGCACAACTACTTCTTGATGGATAGCGATAATGCCAATCAACCATCGTCATTCATCAACAACAAGGTCACTGGTATTCTTTTCGAAAACAAGGCAGATCATGCTACGTACTTTGGCGCTGATTTGTCATATATCCAAGGGTAAAATGGAATCCTCCTCTACCCCAATGACCAAGTTACTGACTGATCTAGTATTCACATGATCCCGATGATGCCCTTTTCAACCATGACCAGAAGCCGTAAGTCATACCGGAGAACAGACAATTGCAAGTCCAAACTAACTTTGCTGCAGGGAAATTTGTACTAGAGGAGTGGAACCTCTTCTTCGCCGATGGTGCAGCTAGACCGGTCAACGATGTCGAAGGTGGATGGAGAGGTAAGATCTTTGTAGATTGGGGATTCATGGTATTTGAACTGACGGATGAGATAGGTCTAATAATGGCTAATCTAGCCATCATTAACCCTCAAGCAGCGTTCAACTTTTTCTCACAGCCAAACTTCAACATGGGACTGATAGATGGTGGAGCGACTCTGACATGGTATATGGCAATGAGTGCCATGCTTGGAGGGTCGACATGAGATCACGCGTAGTAAGGTAATGACTAACGACATAGGTTTTGATTTTAGCATAGCGACGGAACATAGATGCGATCGGATCGCGAACGACAGTAGAAGGGTCAAATCAACTGACTGGCAAACGGGACCAGATTATTGGCGTCAAAATGGGTCTGGTTCATCAGTCTTCTGGGTTTTGAAGGGTAGCGATATCAGTGTACGACTAGTTTTCAGGCATGCGGGTGGCATCAGGCAATCTATGGGATATGACCATTGTTCATCAATTTCCCATGAGTATATTCGACGTCCACGTCGTGGAATGTAAGAGAACCACTACCGTAAACTAACCACTTGCAGACGAGAGCAGCACGTGGAATGGAGACGAATTTAATTCATGTTTTGATCAGAGACTAGACTTTTCCGAGGCTGCTCGGGGTCATTTATATTTTGTTCTGTTTTGGGCACACGCTATCCTAGATATTTATACAGGGGGATCGAAGCAGCATCATATTACAGGCAGGCACTGGGTCAACCGAACAGTAAATCCGTCTGTCTACTGCCCTCTTTGAGTGTGGGCACCGCGGCTTTATATATCTTGTCGTGCGCACGGCCGTCCGTCCAGCTGAAGGTGATACCACGCTCAGCCTTCTCGGCTGCATGTGCCAGCGGGGTCTGCACCAGTACGGCGCGAGAGAGTCGTCGCTTCATGTATCGCCGCGTGAACCTGGCGCGGGCGTTGGGATGTCCTCCGAAACCGCTGGTGCTGCCCCTGCCGGTGCTGGCGGTGGTACTGGGACAGGGAATGCCGCTGCTGCTTCGCCATTGTGGTCCTGTAATCAGGAGCTGGGATGTGGTTCTCATGGCTGGGTCGAGTTCGATTTCGTTGGGGAATGCGCGCTTCGTTCTGGGTGAAGTGGTCGTGGTGCCGAGTGGACGGCGGGTCGGAATTTCTGGGAAAGGTACCTCCCCGGTCACCATGGCTAGGAGTTCGGCGTATTCCTTCGCTGGGAGGGGTGGGAGAACAGCCCGTGTGTTCTGCAGATACCACTTGTGCAACTTATTGGTCTTGCGGCGGGCTGAGAGCGGTTTCCCCCAGATGTTTGTCTCTGGGACGTTCGATGACAGTAGCTGCTTGACCTTGGGCGACTTATTGCGCGGCATCAGATCCTGCTCTCGCGCCTGGCTCGCGATCAAAGCCTCCATCTGATTCGGCGGTTTCCAGTGCGGCGAACGTTTTGCTTCGCGGGGCTCCGGGGCGCAATATTCAGGTGGAGGATTTCTGCCTAGGGGTAGGAGGATAGGTGAGTTGAAAGAGTGCAGGAGCTCGTAGCGTCGTCGCCCAATCCGGCCGTATGTCATGCGCAGGATCTTCTCAAAGCACTTCATGTCGCCTTGATTGGCGCGCACAAGGAGCGAGTTGAATTGTCGGCCGCGGTAGAGGAGTGCGGTCTGTTTCTGCAGTGTCAGGATCTTGCCATTGCTGAATTTGTGGGTTGCCGGGAGGACAGCGTTGAGGGTCGGGTAGCGGCGTTGTTGCCCATCATTTTTGGGGGCGTGGTGGTGGCGATGGAAGGATTGTTTAATGAAGCCGTGGATATATTTGCGGCATGGTGCCAGGGGGAGATAGCTGGCTTCGCGGAGGAGAGAGCGGTAGAGATGAATGGGGTTGGTTTGCGTCATGCCATCTCCAGAAGGAGGGGAGTTTTGTCGACGGACGTCGAGATGGGAGAAGGATGGTGAGGGTACGAAAGTAAAGAATAGAGGTCACGTGGGTGAAGTGAAGATTCAAAGTGCCAAGAAAAACGCGAAACGCGCCTTCCTTGGAAAGTGGGGAGAGCAAAGGCAAGTGCGAGGCAAGTGCAAGTGAAATGGCAAAGGTCCTAGTCCATCGCGAAGCACGACACCTCAGATCCCAGTCGTTCACCACGCAGAAACACGGTCCGTGTGAGTTTGGTGTGTGAATATTATTGAATGGGCCATCATCATTTTGTCAAACTGCATCTCGTCCGACACTGCGTCAGTGGTCGCTGCCAGTGCAGCTGAACAACTGCCTCACTCTTCCTCTTCACCTTCTCTGAAGCGCGATTCCACTCATTTCTGCCGAGCCCTCTTTCCATCCCAAGGTCAATCAGTCTAGACCCCGTCCATTGTTCCTCCAACCCGACACTCAGCATTACTTCTCTACCTTTCAGCCCTGTCCGCAGACTCATTACTGTCGCATTTCAACGGTCTTCACTCCTCCGGCGCATCTCTTCTACCGCCCCATTGTCGCTGCTCTGCGCGATAACCTCCTATCTCGCTTTGCATGCCCCCCCTAAGCCAGCCATCCCCGACCGCGCGCCATTGCGCCCGAACATGTCTTGACTAACGAACCTACATTATCTACGATACTGCGATACTAATGATGGCGTCCGGTGGCATTCAACAAGCTATGTTTCCGCAGCCACCCTCCTTTCCTCAACATGCCCACTCCAATTCTCTAAACAACTCTTTTCAGCAAGCCCCTCCTTTGGGAACCTATGAAGCTCAATCCATTCCCCCCAATATTGCTCCTACACCTCCCTTACCTCGACCTGGCTCTCAACACCAACAGCAACCACAAATGGTCTATAGTATTAATGGCGGCGCGCCTATGACTAACGGAAATCCCATGATGCAAGCTCCCAATCCGTATGCTGGATATCCGGATCAGCATGCCTATGCACAGCCCAATTTCCACAGCAATGCAGTTAAACCTCCACAAATCTACACTGCTGTTTATTCGAATGTATCGGTTTTCGAAATGGAGGTTAATGGAATCGCTGTCATGCGACGTCGTGCTGACTCATGGTTAAATGCGACCCAGATCTTGAAAGTTGCTGGTGTCGATAAGGGCAAACGGACAAAGGTTCTCGAGAAAGAAATTACCGGCGAACATGAGAAAGTTCAAGGTGGCTATGGAAAATATCAAGGCACTTGGGTTAACTATCACCGTGGTCGCGAGTTTGCCCGGCAATACGGCGTTGAGCAGTTGCTCCTCCCTCTGTTTGACTATGAAATTGCCTCTGATGGTAGCGTCGGCCTCAATCATGGCATTGAAACCCCTACTAAAGAACAGGCTATGGCTGCACAGAGAAAACGCATGTACACTGGTGATGGACGGCCACAAAGTCAATCTGCTGGAGGTACCTTTTTCAAGAATATGTCTAATACTGCCGCCAATGCCATTCATGCACTCAACCGGACTCGCCTTGACTCGCCTGGTCAGCTGGATGGACGCCGCTCAGCTGGGCCTCGGAGACAATCTCAATCCTTCTACGGGCAGGATCCCATTTACGGCCAGGGAGCAAGTCAACAGAGCATGCAAAGCATGACTTCACAAGATAGTTTCGGAACCAATGGTGGAATAATGAGCCAGAACGCAAGTTTCGCCGATTTTCCTCCTACAGACGCGCAAGAACCCCCTCGCAAACGAATCCGACCATCTCCTCAAACATCGTTCCTGGGTAACCCCTATGATGGGTCCATGGATCTTACGCTTCAAGAAGGTACCCCTACTGAGCACGCATCATTCTTTTCTCAACCAGGTCAATCTTTCCTAATGACTTCCGATATTCCTTACGGCATCGAGCCACTGCCTCCTGTGTCAGGGCCTTTAGAAGAACAGAAGAAAGAACTTTTGTTAGATCTATTCATCGATGCCTCAAGAACGGATTTTGAAGACCATCCAGCCTTTCTTCGTCTGAGTGGTGAAGAATTCGAGCTTCCTATTGACGGGTCGTGCAATACTGCGTTACATTGGGCTGCTACCCTGGCTAGAATTGCCTTGGTGAAGAAATTGATCGAAAGAGGCTTCAACATGAGGCGTGCAAACAGCGGTGGTGAGACAGCATTAATTGCGGCCTGTCAAGCGCGCAATAACCTGGATCGAAGCTCATTTCCGCAATTGCTCGAACTTCTAAGTCCCAGCATCGAAGTCCGAGATGGTCGAGGGAGAACCCTTTTACATCATATTGCCGTTTCATCTGCTATGAAGGGGAGAGCTGCTGTGGGCAAGTATTACCTCGAATCACTGCTAGAACATGTTGTTCGACAAGGCACATCGGCGCAAGCCTCAATGTCTTTCGATGGAATGACGGGAGCAAATGGCTCATCTCAACCCGAACCGATGACACTGGCCAAATTTATGAGTGAGATCGTCAATGCACAAGACAAAGCAGGTGATACCGCGTTGAATTTGGCAGCACGAACCAGCACAACCTCGATCATTGCTCAACTGGTCGAAGTCGGTGCGGATCCCAATATAGTCAACCGAGGTGGCCTCGCCCCATCAGACTTTGGAGTCGGCACTCATTCCAATGGAGAAGTGCACGATCACAGCATGATACAATTTGATCCCTCGGTCCCCACCAATAACTCTTCACAAAAATCATGTGAGGAGGCGCAAGAGGGGCTCATGATCTGTAAGATAGCACCCAGCGTGGCAGGAATGAGACTAACCTTGGCAGCAATCCGGGAAATCTTATCTCAGTCCGAAGCCGACTTTACCGCCGAGATGAAGGAGAAGAGAGAAGTTCTCGACAAAACGAATGCAGCGCTCAAAGAGTCTGGTAATTCGTTGGCGGAAGAAAGACGGCGCCTCGAAGAAGTGCGAAGTACGGTAAGAGAAAAAGAAGAACTAGAGCAAAAAATCAACAATTTGCGGCAAGCCACGTTCAAGCTACGATCAGAAATGCAATCTGGCGAAACGCCGGTGACGCTTCAAAATGATGTGCAGGTGGGAGAGGCTGATAAAGGACTCGACCTCGACGGCCAGCTTCCCTTGGTAGCACAATTATTCCCATCAGAGATGGATGACCCCAGCAACATGGCTTTGACGCAGGATCAAGCCAATTTCCTGGCCAGTCTGGAGCGAGCAGAGGTCTTGTCTGGGCGGACCCAGGTTTATCAACAACACAATCAGCAACTCGAGTCGACGGCGAAAACGCTGAAGGCGCGAAGTGGAGAATTGGAAGAACGATACAAGCAAATTGTAAGTTTATGTACCGGCGCCAGCGAGAGTCAAGTGGATGAACTGCTGGACGGACTGGTGCAAGCGGTCATCAGTGAGCAGAAGGATAACAATCTGGAGCTGGGGAAAGTACGAAATTTCCTTCGAATGGTGCAGGGATCGGGGAATTAAAGGTGCCATTGCCAACGGATTGGCATTGTGTGATCGACAAGATGGCGCGCATAATATCACGATCGGGTCTGGTTGCGGAGCATTATGGAAGTCACACGTGGAACAATTGAGATGAGATCTTCATGGTTGATGTGTTAGTGATTAGTGACTACTGAGTACTGGCCATGTCAATGTTTACGGCTAAATATGCCCTGGTCTTGGTGGACAGCTGATAAGATTGAACATGAGTTGCCAGTTATATGAAATGCCAATTCAAGTAACCCAGTTTGCTGGAGATTGCGATGAGCTATCGCTAGGTAACCTGGCACCCACCCACCTAGGTAGTCATGAACCACTGGTGGGCAAATTGCCTACCGACTGACTGGACTGTGGCCACTGGAACAAATGTGTTGCTTGCGCGTATGAAGATTGTGGTCGGGTCAGGGTCCACCAGCCTCGTTGGAAATAGATCAATGAGCCTCGTGAGATCCGCGCGGGTACAGAGAAGGTCTATGTATATGTATTCATTGTTCTCTGGATCATCTGAAGCTTTGATTGCAGAGACCACCAGGTCCAATTGTTACAATGGCTCGGCGGCAGAGTGGTTTGACAATGGCCGCTGAACCACTGACCAGGAGGTCGTTGAAACCAGGGAGGCAACCATGGCCAATGATTTTGACGCGACGACCAAACTTGGCAGGACCGAAGTTTGAGGTTTGCGACCCCTCGGCAGGGGCGGGCGACGAATGGATAAGGAGCGCCTCGGTCTGTTGGTTCGGGGTTAGAAGGCCCTAAGAGCGATAGGCGGCCAAAGGGGGGCACGGGGGGTACCTTGGATATTCGCTGGGCGGCAGCGATAGGCTTGCGCATGCCTGCTGCAGCCACACGGCTACGTGCATGTTTCCGTGTCAAAATGCTTGAAACGGGTGGCCCAGGCCCAATCACGGCGGCTGGTGACGGTTGAGGCTCCTACCCCCTGCTTCCTAAGCTTCTGGTCTCCCCACATCAAGTGTATCAGAATGGTCGGGAAAGCGTCTCCTTGTTACATTCAAGTTCTGCATTCTTTGGCACCACACTTTCAACTTCTCCTTGTACCGACGCTGAATACCCTATTTGCTAGACTCGCTCCGAGGACCCATCCTCAGCGATTCGCTGTGCCATTTTTTGTTTCCATTCCGCTCGAGCTTGAGCCAACTACCGATGCCACTTACGACTCCCTTCTCTCCATTTGGTGGTGGTATTCGTACGTCCTTTCTCTGTTCCTTCTCTTGCGTGATGTTTCAATGCAAGTCGACGATCCACTCTGGTGCTTAATCCACGGTTAGAATCGCCTCCCTCTCCTATCTGTTCTCTTGTAGTTGCTCTGCTCAGACCACCCTGGTGGTAGTCCCGCCCGGTCTATGCATCACCCTACCCACCGGCCATGGTAGGACACACACCACAGCCATGGACCCATGGACCATGTGTCAAACCTCCTTGGCCACTGGGGTTCCCATACACAAAATGTTTTATAGTAGATGCCCACTGGCCCAGCCCTTCTGTCAGTCTCAGCACTCAGACCATACTGTCCATAGCACAGGCCTTCTTTCACTCTTTCACTCTTTCATCATCTTCAACACGCCCGGGGCAGGTACCTCTCTCACCCTTCCTCTCCCTCCCTCTACACATTCATTTGGTTTCGCTGGCCGTGCCTACCACATTCCTTCTCCGAGCAGCGCTTGGTCTGTCAAACCGGTCTCGACGACCCTTTCGAACCCTCTCCCCATCTTCCAGAGCATTCAGGAAAGATTTTCATTTCCAACCGTCGCTATAAAACTCAACATCCAACATGCATTTCACGACATATATCGCACCGGCATTGCTGGTGCTGTCCGAGATGGCTTCGGCCAAAGCCATCATTCACTTGCCCAACGCCATTCGAAGGAGGGATTACTCGCACGAAGTAAAGAAGGTCGCAGATAAACTACTTCGTCGCGCCACTGTAGGCACCGACGTTAACCTTCAACCTCAAAGTTTCAATGGCCTCCTCCCATTATCCGAACCCGACTCAGCATTGAACCAATCCATCGCAACAGCATGCTTGAATTCCTTGCAGTCCGTCACTGGTGTTGAAAACGACGCCGGACTGACCGCATGTTATAACATTCTCCAGTACGATCCTAAATTGGGCGCCTTTATGGCAGATCTGCGACTTTACCAGGCATTCCAACCAAAGGGGGCCTTTGCCAACATTACCGTCAGCGATATTCAAATCGGTGTCAAGTATCCCTCATCGACCAGATTCCAGTCTGTACCCAAATCCAACGCCAAAAAGCGAGATCTTGAAGAACGTCAATCAACCTCGACCAACAGCAGTATGACCGAGATTGAACAATACCTCCTCATGGGATCCTTCTTGACCCATTTGGATATCAAGAAGCTTAACAACACCCAACTCATGTCACTGATGTTGCCCGAAATCCAGCTCAACACTGCCGAGTCTCAAAAGGCAGTATCAGCAAACATGACCTCTGGTGAGGGTGCATGGTTTGTCATTGGAGAGTTCAGTTCAGATTTCGATGAGAAACTGGTTACTCCTGCAGCAGCCAAGAATGCCATTGAAGTTGCTCTCCCTTTCATCCTCCCGGGAGTGACTCTCGGCATCTTCCCCACTGGATTGATCATCACCATGGCATGGACCGGTCTTTTCTTCCTAGCTTACGGACTGGGAACGTTTGGTCGCATCAGGTATAGAGATGCCTATCGAAAGAGAATGGCCGCTTCAGCCGGCCGAACCGGAAAAAGAATATAGAAAAGGCACCAAAAAAACAAAGAATTAAAAAAAGCCAAAGCAGGAATAAATATCAAAGTCGCAATGACAAAGCAAATCTGGGGTCCACCTTTTTTGGAAACTGTTCTTTTAACATATATTCTCCGGCTTCTTATCAGATACCCTCGTTCACAAAGCCGTGTTGTCTTTGCTGTTTTTTGAGCCTTTCCCTTCCTTTGGCCCCCAGATGGCTTGCTTGCAGTGTGGAATCGAATGAGAGTGTATATTTGTATCAATAGCGGCTTTGGACAGGAGTATCCGAAGGGAAGAAGCAGAACTCGATTGAACTGAACGAAGACAGAGAGAATTGAAGACACGTGACCAACGACGATTTTTTGAACAACCAGATTTTTTGCCTCTTCTCTCTCTCTCCTCTTTTTCGCGAGTGAACCTCTGAAAAGCTTCTCCGCTTTTTCCAACGCCCAACGCGAAACCTGATTGAGCCCATGGTGAATAAATCCTCGCCACCCCTACACTCTGAAGTTTCGACGTGATTCGCTACAATTTACTAATTGCGGTTGAGTGACTCCCACAATTGAACCTCGAAACGTTGACCTACGTGTTGATGACAGGCCTAAGATGAGTCTCGCAGTCCTTTGAGTTGTGCATCATTAGGTGGGATTCTGTCGATTTTGGAGCTACGGTCTTGTCGCGCGACTTATATTCAATTCACTGCATCCTACTATCACGTGCCCACGATTTGGCATGAACTTTTTGCTCGCTTGGTGCTTAGGTAGGAGGGACTTTACCAGGTGATATTCAAGGGTCCTGTAAGCCTCAGGTCGAGTCTGCTTGCTTCCACTTCACAGGGGACTAGGCTCGCCATCGGCAAATTTGTAGCGACAGACATTTCGCGGTGGATTCCTCCAGATTGCAAGGAAGTGAGTCTGGGGACTAACGAAGCACGGATTTTAGCACTTCCTGTCTACCTGGCCCTGCTCTATCGCAAGGATGGAACATTTATTCCCGTATCCCAAGATGGGTTCATCTTTCCTAGAGGTTCTGCATGATCCTCTTACCCGCAAGCTACTCGGCTTCGATGCTATTCACGCCGAGAAGACTCCGTTCATCAGTGGCGTCACCTCGAGATTGAAGTTTCTTCTCAACGATGCAACAAATCATCTCTCTTTTCTCAAGATCGGCTATACGGCTCTCGAGGCATTCTTGCAAGCAAATTGCACTGGTCCGCCGCTTGACTTCAACCCGGAAGAATCTATCTTCCCAGAAACATACTGGGAAGGTGGTCTCAAACCGCTCAAGGACGAGATCTTCCAGTATCTCGCTGTTGACGGTAGCGGGCCATATTCACTGACTCCACACATTGAATTGTTTTGGCTGGCCAAGGTAGTCGCTTCGAACAACACGCTGGCAGAAGCAGGCTTCAACGGTCGTCGAGCCCGTCTTAGAGTCAACTTCTGGCATCAAAAGCTCCTTTCGGAAGAATCTCCATCCCTTCGCAGTACTCTATACTCGGATGCCGAAGTCCTCGAACATCAACTCTCATCACGATTGGCATATGGCGGTGCAGCGGCAGAAGAACACTTTGTCGAGTTCCTCGTTGAACGAGCCGTCGTCAGAACTCACTACGGTGATGATCAACTCGCCAGGGTCGACCTGGCTCAAGCAGCAACCACAAGACAATTCCAATTCGCCTTGTCTGGCGCTCTGGGCAAGCGTACAAAATTCCAAAATCGTGATATCACTCAATTGGTCGTCCTCGCAAAGAGCAGAGATCACGAGCCAGAGCCTTATAGCAGTCGAAAGTCCAGTAGGGCGGAAGGCATGGATTCAAGAAAAGCCAGCGCCGTCGATTTGTCCACGCCTACAGGTTCACGTTACCCATCAAGACCGAAGAGTCCAATCCCGCCCACAAGCCCTACGCCCACCTCGACCGGGTTCCCTTTCCGCTCGGCAACGCCCACGCGGCCGCCGACTGATCATCACGAACATCTCTCTCCACTGGCCAATCCCCCTACACAGCCGGAGAACCTTCTTCTGAATGACGATACCCTCCTCGAGCGAATCCATTTCAAGCAGACATTGGCACCAGTTTCTTCCGACAACATGACTCAAGTCATATCCTCAGAATCAGGTCTTCCACCACAGCTAGCGGCGCTCGACCCAGCCAACCAGCCCATTCTATTTCCGATGGACAGCATCATCCTCCTAGCGACGGCAAGCAGTATCTCAAATACCTCACCAATTGATGGCCTCATAAGAGAAGAAACCCTTCCCTACGCCACGAGAGTCCTCGATGGTGGATCGAGTAATTGGCAAGTCTACACGCAGGCACTGCTCGTTCGAAGTCGAATCGAGGGGTACAAGTCCCGGACGATGGAGAGAGGGTTGCTCCAGCTTCAAGCCGTAGTCGATCAGGTCATCGCCGAAACATCCGAACAGACTCACCCTCCCGGATCTCAATCCGTATCTGCTCCATCGGTTACAGAACCTACCTCAAACCCTTCATCGACAACAGCAACAGCAAGTACATTCCTCCCGAAAGCACCCGCATCCGAGTCCGCGTCTGTGGCTGAGCGACTCAGGTACGTCTACCAGCTTTCGCCTCCACTGAGATGGGAACTTGAAGCCGAGCTTGCCGCGCGTTGGACACACATGGGTGGGCTCAAAACGGCGCTCGAGATCTACGAACGCCTGCAGATGCACGCTGAAGTTGCACTGTGTCTCGCCGCGACCGATCGCGAAGGCGAAGCCACCAAAATCCTGAAATCGATTCTCTTCGAAGACATGGACATTCCCGAAAACCAAGGAAATACCACCCACGATCCTCAATCTCCAACCCTCAAGCTCCGCACATCCCCACCACCCACCGACGCGCCCCGCCTGCTCTGCATCCTCGGCGACATCACAACACACGCCGCATACTACGACCTCGCATGGACCGCTTCCGGGAATCGATACGCACGGGCGCAGCGCTCCCTCGGCCGACAATACAGCAAGAAGCGCGACTTCGCGGCCGCGGCGCACGCATATACGCTTGCGCTAGGCGTTTCACAGATCGACCGCGGCAGCTGGTTCGCGCTCGGCTGCGTGCAGCTCGAGCTGGAGGCGTGGCAGGGGGCGGTGGAAAGCTTCACACGCTGCGTGCAGCTCGACGACGACGACGGCGAGTCCTGGAGTAATATGGCGGTGGCGTTGTTGAAGTTGCCGTTTGTCCCTCCGCAGGAGAAAGGGGATACTGAGGCGGTTGGCGTTCATGCTGAACAGAGGCATGACCACGACGATGAAGCCATCGAAGACGAAGATGAATCGTTCGACCCACTCACGGCAACAAAACAGCAGCAGCGCGAACGCCGACAGCAGCAGGGACCATACGCGAATGTATTCTCGGCGCTGCGTGCCCTGCGGCGGGCGGCGACCCTCAAGCGCGACGATGCCCGTGTCTGGGACAATTACCTGACGGTCGCGGCGTCGATTCCGCCCAGCGCAGGCACACCGTGGAGTGAGATCATCCAGGCCATGGGCCGGGTGATTGAGCTGCGCGGTAAACGAGACGGTGAGGGCTGTATCGATCTCGCCATCTACAAGGTACTGGTCGAATATATCACGAACGGGTACGAATATCCGGTCACCGACGAGAGCGGTGCTGGTGCTTCCGGCGATGGTGATAGTGAATCCTCTACCGAGGAAGCGGCCCAAAAAGACACCTCCATAAAACCTGCCGAGCAGCTCCAGACATCATCATCATCATCAGAAACAACCACCCCCCAACCAACGCGCCTGCCGCACCTGCCCGCCTCCCTCCTCACAATGACCGACACACTGATCCTCCCGCTCGCAACCTCGTCCCCGGACCTATACACCACGCTCTCGACGCTCTCAACCTGGCGCAACCGACCATCCCTCTCGCTGACGCAAGCCGAAACCTCGTGGCGCCTGTATCTCACGCAGACGTCGCCGGCCGAGGACTTCACGACCGTCAGCCAGCCGCAGTGGGACGGCGTCGTCGACAAGACCATTTGGCTGATGCAGCGCTATCGCCAGCTGGGGCCGCGGCAGCGCGAACGCACCGGTGGACTCGTCGAGGAGAAATGGCGCTTCAAGGCCCGCACTGCCGCGAGACGGGTCTTGGGGAGGGGGAAGGGTGTTTGGGAGGGGAGTCAGGGTTGGGAGAGGTTGAGTGTCGAGCTGGATGGGTTGAAGGGGGAGGAGTAGGGGATGGAATGAATTGTAATTCAGTGAATAATGTGCGGGTGGAGGGTTTATCGCTTGATGAATGGGGGGACGCCCTTGACATCGGATTCCGAGGTTGTTGATGTTGCATGTATGCCATTCATGGATTCCAGGAAGCAAAAGGACTTACAGCACTGTATGTCACGGCGTATCACTACCTAGGTAATACTTCGAAAAGTTCCAAGATAATTTTTATACTGCAGCGTTATGAGCGATGATGACTACCGCATATGACTAACTAAACCTCTTGCTGCTGCCATATTTCACACCAGAGATTCAACCGCGCACCTCTAGCTTCCGCTTCAACCAGCCACAAAAGCTCTCAAAGGCAACTGCTTCTCGTCCTTGGAGCCACCGGATCTGGATCTTTATCTCGTTCACGTCCTTTCGAGCGTTTTTAAACACCGAGATTTTCGCGACTAGACCTGGCTCCTCTTCATCGTCTTCGTCGTCTTCGTCGTCATCATGGTCCTTCATCTCCAGGTCCTCATCCTCGTTCTTATGTTGCTTCACGTGCTGGATTTGTTTCTTCCTCCTCGCCTTCCGACTCCAGACATCCCCAGCCTGACTCAACAGCATACCGACACGTTGTGATTGCTGGAATCTCCATCTCAGGTCTAAGTTCCCCACTTCTTCATTTATCTTCGCGGCAATCTCGTCTGCATCGCCCTGGAGCTCGAGGTCGAATTCCGTCGAGACCGGCAGGAATTTCTTCTCAACACCACTGACACCACTAATACCTCTGGCAACCGCCAGGCTGGGTCGAAGGTTCATCCAACTCCAAGCCACACACCATCGTCTCGTTTTCTGCCCCTGGATGAATTCCGATACAGCGTAATTTGTGCACCCTTGCTCCTTTAGTTTCTCAACGATGGAGGCTATGCTTGAGAGTTTGCCCAGCATGCTGCTGAACCATTGTATTCGAGATTTCATGTTCGGGGCTGTAGACTCATGTACTAGTCGAGAAACAAAGGCGACTTCTCCACCAGGTGTGATCATCTCGACTGGAGCACCTGTACAACTCGAATTCGGTGGTCGAGACTTTTGCTTTGCAGACAGTGCCATTGATGCGGCCGATTCATAGAACGGAGGGTTAGTCATAAGGAAATCGATTCTAAACCACGTTAGAACAGATTTGACTTTAAGTGGACCATAAGTTCATACCTGTCAAAACGTTCGAGCTCGCTGGAAGGAATGAGAGTTTTTCCTTCTTGATCTGTGTCAATCAATCTGATTCGCGACTGTAAATCATTTGCAGAAATATTATTCAGCGCAAATGATCGATTCTTGTCGTCAATTTCTGTTGCTAGAAAAAGCCAATTTGCACGCTGTCGGCAGCTGAGAAGAGGATAGATGCAAGACGATCCTGTGCCACTTTGTGTCGAATGTTAGCTTCACTCATTCATGAGATTGGAGGCTTCCAACCATGGGAAACGCTTAGGGCATGGGTGTTGAGGACGACATACATGTCAATCCCAATCACTCGACGATCCGAGTCACCTCCATGGCGATAGTCTGGAGCAGTGGTGTCTATCAAACGCTGAATGAAGAGGACATAGTTGAGTCTTCGAGGCAATCAGCAAGAGATAGACCTAGTCTCTCGGGCAAGCATACCGATTAGGTACCTGCATATTGTAGCATCAGAAAACTTTATATCTTCAAGGATCAAGATCATCGCCTACCGGTGGACATAACCTGTCCTCTGGTAGTTCAATGCTGAGATTGAAGTCGCGATGGAGAAGTGACTTGGTCAGTTGTCTGGGCGCAAGAGATGGCGAGTCAGACGAGCGCTGTTCAATGCAACACGGAAAGAGGGATCTTGGCCCACATACCGTACGCTTTCTGGATCAGAGAAGTCCAATTGGCGGTTCTGCTTTAACCTGATGAGATGGGAAAATCAGATGAGCCTGGAGTTCCAAACGAGGAAGATGCTGAGAGAGGGAGTTGACCCTAGACTCTCTTTTACGAAATTAGGGGCCCGCAAACCTCTTTGCAAATTGTGGGTATTGTAGTGCTAGGGTGGTGAAGTCAACTTCATATTTGTACATGTCTTCTGGCGCGGGCATGGTGTCAGTTGTAAATCCTTGTCAAGGGTGTTCAGGGAATATGGGATCGGTTGGGATACGCTCATGGGTGACCACATGGGAGAAAAATAGGCTCTGGAGTTTGTAGAGACTCTGATATTTTCTAATGCCGATTGAGGTTCCTTCCCTTGTAGTGCAGAAATCAAGGTGGAAGCCCCAATCGATTCACAATGCTGGATCGGAATCGATAACCAATGATGCGAATAGGAAAAACGAATGTCACTATGCCAAATTAGTCAAACATGCAAGGCCGCTTTTATTTGTGCACAGAATCGCCCGGATAAATACATCCAGCATTCCGGAGTTAAACTTCAAGTGCCAGCATGCCTCGTAATTATTGCTTTGCTCCCTACTATCGATCAGCAGTACCGCGATATCTATAACTCACAAAGGCTCGAACGGCACGCTATACAATATCTATGACGATGAAGTTAGAAACTCCTCGTATTCGAGCCGAATATCCTAGGGTCAAGCCTTATATTTAAGGTTGAATGAACGGTTGAGGCTTCCTATGACGCAACTTTCTGGGGGAGCAACGTGGGGATATCCATCGGGTGCCCGCTGATATCAACCATGTTCCCTTCAAAAATTAATGTTCAGGTGATCGCCGTCAGCACCGGCTATTGAACATCCAACCATATCACACAGAAACCGTGTGAATCAGTAGGAATAGCAAGGATCTCCGCCCGGGTTCTGCTCCCAAACAACTCATATCCACCATGCCGTCACAGAGGTTGAGAATGGGGTGTCAGGTCATGGATGCGCTGAATGCGCACAAATATCTTCCTAGATAGCTACCCAGATTTCCTCAGATTCTTGCAACATTGGAACCAGATGCTTTGCATGCCATACTAGTCATCATGGACAAAATCGGCAAAAATAACATCGTACACAAGCTTCAAAAGCGAAAGCTTTTGATTGCTATCAATTGCTTAGCAGGGTTGTCCATATTCTTCTTTGGCTATGACCAAGGTAAGTGGGCCACACCAAGCTTTTCGAACTCGGGGCGTAACTGATGGGATTCTCTGCCAGGAATGATGGCTGGTGTCAACAATGCCCCTGATTATTATCGTTTGATGAACTTCGGTCACACAGACCCGGAAACTGGTGCCGTCGTGGTGGACAACTCGATTCTCCAAGGCGGCATAGTGGCTGTTTACTATCTTGGAACCCTGGTGGGTGCCCTTGCGGGTGGCAGTTTTGCAGATCGCTATGGACGCATCAAGACCATTGCCCTGGGATCAGCTTGGGCCATATTCGGAGCAACATTGCAATGTTCGGCCCAGAACCATTCCTGGATGATATGTGCTCGGTTGATAAACGGCTTTGGTAAGTGAAGGGAACTTGCCGAACAGGGCATGAGAGTCGTGGCTGATAGACCTCTCACAGGAACTGGTCTCCTGAACTGTGTTGTCCCAGTTTATGCAACAGAAACAGCGGAACACACCTCTCGAGGTCAATTCGTCGCCATAGAATTCACGTTGAATATCTTCGGAGTGGTTGTTGCGTATTGGCTCGAGTACGCCTGCACCTACTACGGCAATGGCGAGTCCGAGTTCGTATGGCGATTTCCGATCGCTTTTCAGATCGCGCCATTGATCCTCTTGTTCTGCGTCTGCTGGCAGTTTCCTGAGTCACCTAGATGGCTTACCAAGGTTGGTCGTGGTGACGAAGCTCGATACATTTTGGGGAGGCTCCGTGGAGAAGAAGACGGCAGGGCTGAGGATGAGTACCAAGACATCTGTGGAATCGCTGAACTTGAGCGCGCGACGGCCAGTAGACAGCATTACTACAAGATGTTGTTCGGTATCGATTCCGGTAAATTACATACCGGTCGGAGAGTTCAACTTGTGGTCTGGCTACAGGTGAGTACAACTATCTCAGCGGAATTTTCAGCTTGAAAAAGAAAGAATCTCATATTTGAGCCGATAGATCGCCCAAGAATGGATCGGTATAGCTGGAGTAACAATCTACTCGCCCACCATCTTCAGGATTGCTGGGATCGCAAACAAGGACTCTCAATGGATTGCTGGGCTCAACACAATAACATATATGCTAGCGACGTTGGTATGTGTGTTCACTCTCGATCGAATTGGTCGGCGCTGGACCTTGTACTGGGGCTCGATCGGACAGGCGGTCACCCTGTTTCTTGCGGGAGGACTCTCAAATGTGGCCAAGCAGGGTGGAAACAATGCCACACAATCTGGTAACGCGGCTGTCGCAATGGTATTCTTGTTCACCATGATCTTTGGTGCGACCTGGTTGACGGTAAAGTCTAAAGGATATATCCAGGCGTTTCGTTCTTGCTGACTAGAACCTCACAGGTGCCGTGGCTCTATCCCGCTGAGATCTTTCCCCTGGAGGTAAGTTATTTCAAATCTCCTTACTTTCATTCCATATCCAACTCTACTCACTCATACCACCGTCCTACTTACCTCTACTCACTTTTAATTCTCTTTAACATAACTCTCCTCACTTTTGTCTCATTTTGATATAACTCTACTCACTTTCACTATAACCTTTTCTCCTCTACTCACTTTTAGCTAACATTTCTTTCAACTCTACTCACTTTCACTATAACTTTTTCTCCTCTACTCACTTTTAGCCTATATTTCTTTCAACTCTACTCACTTTCACCTTAACTTTTTTCCCCCTCTACTCACTTTTGCCCGAGTTATACTAACTATCTTATAGATAAGAGCTAAAGGAAACGCATTCGGCGTATTGGGTTGGTCAATTGGGAACGGTTGGCTTACATTGCTGTGTCCCGTCATGTTCAACGCCATTAGCGAGTATACCCTATTTATTTTCGCAGCATGCAATGTCCTGACCATACCGATGGTATGGGCGTTGTACCCGGAGTCGAACCAACGCACGCTGGAGGAGATGAATCTCCTGTTTGCATCCGACAGCATCTGGAACTGGGAGGCCGAAAGAAACTTTGCAATCTTGAAGGAAGAGAACCCAGAGCTCGTTCGAGCAGCAAGTCGAGGACAAAGTATTTCGGTCGATCCCGAGATGCAAGCGCGGCGCAGAAGCCAGGGCCTTCCAAGTTTGAGTGCAGGAGGCAGACGAGCAAGTGAGGCTGACACTGTAGTCGGCGAGAAAACCGCCGTTGACAAACCTTGAGTTTGGTAATGGTGTACTCCTGGAATTCAGATGTTGTTGGGAGTGAGATGGCGAGGAGGGGTATCGTGAATAAACCTTGAGTTTGGCAATAGTGTACTCCTAGAATTCAGAGGTTATTCAGAGTGAGTTGGGAGAAGAGGATACCGTTGACAAACAACGAGGTCGGTGATGGCGTACTCCCAGAACCAGAATAGCACTTGGGTTCACTTGAGGAAGGGCTTTGACAATGGTACAGGAAGCGGGCTTTGAACACAAGGAGTGATAGGCTATGAATATCAACACTGCCAGTGTACCTACCCAAAGGTAGGTATCTCCACAGTAAAACGTTTGTGCGGGAAGGATACAAGACAACGGGACATGGTCACATTCTATCACATTTCTGGCTATCCGACCCCTAGGCATA